AGCAGAGCTGGGCTTCTCCGACGAGTTCAACGTCGATGGGCCATTATTTTACGACGGCGACGACCCGTACTTTCAGGCCGTGGATATTTGGTATGGTGCCACGCAGGATTTGGAGGTAAGTCGCGCACCCGTCCTAACACTGCAATTTCTGACGCACCACAGTGGTACGATCCCGATGCGGCATGGACGCAGAATGGAACCCTTGTTTTCGAGTTCGCTAGGCATGATAACCACGGACTCAAGTATCGCTCTGGCATGGTACAATCGTGGAATAAGCTGTGTTACAAGGGTGGCCATCTCGAGGCCAGTATCTCGCTGCCCGGAAAGGGTAATGTCAGTGGTTTCTGGCCTGGTTTCTGGACCATGGGCAATCTTGCGCGTCCCGGTTACCTTGGTTCCACCGAAGGCTTGTGGCCTTATAGCTACGACGACGTCTGCGACTTGGGCATTACTGCCAACCAAAGTTCCTACGACGGCTTGAGCTATTTGCCAGGAATGAAACTGCCAGCTTGCTCTTGCAGCGGCGAGGATCATCCCAGCCCAGGCACTTCCCGAAGTGCTCCTGAAATCGATGCAGTGGAAGGCTCAGTCCACTTCCTCGGTCCCGGAGAGACGAACGCTGTCGGGGTGGTTTCGCAGTCTTTCCAGGCTGCGCCTTTCGATATTTGGTACCAGCCCGATTATGGTGAGTAGTTCCCTGCATTGATCCTTCCCTGCTAATCCATGTTAGACTACGTCGAGGTGTATGATACATCTGTAACAATGATGAACGCCTACAAAGGTGGTCCTTTCCAAGAAGCCATTTCTGGTCTGACGAACTTGAACAACGACTGGTACGATGGCAACCAATACCAGACCTACGGATTTGAGTACAAGCCGGGCAAGAAGGACGACGCCTTTATCACTTGGTATGTCGGTGCAGACAAGACATGGTCAATGAAGGCTCCCGGAACCCGACCCAACGGCAACATTGGCCAGCGAATCATTCCAGAGGAGCCAATGACCATCATCGCCAACTCCGGCATGTCCAACAGTTTCGCTGCCATTGACGTTCCCACCATCGAGAAGAATCTCCCCTCGTTGATGGCCATCGACTTCATCCGCATCTACCAGGATGAAGATCAAGAGAACGACGACGATTTCATGACCTGCGATCCTCCAGGCTACCCAACCACGGAGTACATCCGGAAACACCCGAATGCCTACATGAACCCTAACCTCACTGACTGGTAAGTCGCTCTGTTCACATAGTTTTAGGCACTTCTAATAATGTTATAGGAAATCGACGGGTTTTGATTGGCCGAAGAACACCTTCGTAGATGGTTGCAAGATGTGAGCTCCTCATATCAACAACATCTCTCGTCGTCACCGGAACCTGCTGGTTCACGTTCCGACTCCTGTTTCCTCTGTCGACTACTACCTAATGTGGCCACGGCAAAACGACAATACCCACCTTCGCGCGCGCAAAAATAAGTTGTCTGCGCAAAAAGCAAAGCACGTAATTTTAGACGTTTTCTTACACGTTGGAGCCATAAGAAGCATTTGCATTGGCGTTTATGAGGCGCTTCCTATTTACGGTTTATTTAATCGCCATTGGTGCTCGCTCGAGTTGACCGGTCGACAACACCCGTACGCCCTCTTCCGCGACCGGCACGACAGCGACATCACCCGTCCTATCTGAACAAGTTGGTTATGTTTGGCGGCGTCACAAGACTTTACTATTTCAACATTCTGCAACATATACGGCGCTACTTTGTATATCAACGGCATTTATCCCTTCCTTCTGGCATAGCCTGTACAAAGCATATTCTCGCACCGCCCTTGAGGCCTTGTTCGTTCTTCCATTCGCTTTTTTTTGGAGTTGGCCGGTCTGGCTTCCGACCGTTTTTGATTCGCTTTCCGGCTTGTCGTCAAAGCGGATTTTGTATGTGCAGCATGATGCACGAATGCTTTCTTGAATGGTCGGCGTTGCTTTTTTATATAATGTTTGTGGAGAGTTAGAGCACAGTAGATTGGAAACAGGAACATGGCTTACATTACCTGTTCTTCATATAAAACTCGAATTCAAAAAAGTTTAAAATATCCTTCCTCCTATTCTTTGAGTTTTTGCGATGGTTTGATGAAAACGGCGACATCGTGAGTGCTTGCCACATAACCCCTCCGACACTACGCCGGCCTAGAACACCCGCGGGTCTTGACATCCAACACCACGAAACACAAGCCCCCGTCCCATCCCTCCCACACATCCTTCCCACCGCACCGATCCGAGATCCGATCTCACAACCGCGACGCAACACAAAAAAAGCGCCTCACCCGCAGCTTACTATCCCCCTAACCCTTTTCAGCGCCTGCTTACTTAGCTCGGCCCCCGTCGTAATCTCACACAAACTGGCATCACCCCCTTTAAGCTGCATATTCTTAGCGAGGGAATCAACGGCTGGGTTGCGAAATTGCTAGTTTGGGCAAGTCTGGTGGAATGCTGTGTGGTCTGGGCGGTTAGTGGTGAGTCGTGTGTGGTGGTCATGTGAAGAGAAGGGTTGTGGCTTTGGTGTGGTGTGGTAGGTGGTAGGTGGGTCACGCGGGCGAGTCAGGATTTCTTAGGATTCTTGGGGAGGAATGATGAGGACGAGGGCGGGATTGAATGGGGTATTTGTTTGTTTCACGTGTGTGTATTGTGGGATTTTGAACAGAGACGATCTTGGTTCACATTTTGATTCTTTGTATATATATATATATTTTTTTTTCTTTTTTTTTTGGCGACAGTTGGCTAATTATGCACACCTCTCGACTCTACACTCTCTTAAACATCAGTGTCTTACCGGGACAAGGGATACAAGATCGTCCAATATCGACGTTTGGATACCTTTCCGTTGCATCTCCCGGCATTTTCATGTCATAGTTGAGGATTAGTCTGGCTACAATCATCTTGATCTCGTTGGCGGCGAAGAAGCGTCCAGGACATGCGTGTCTGCCATAGCCAAAGCCCAGGTTCGTCTCGTTCGTGGTAACGAATTGGTTGCGGCTGTGATCAGTTGCGGTGCCACCTTCACGCAGTTTGGAGTGTCGGAAGCCGTCGAAGGTGTCGGGGTCAGGGTAGTTCTCTGAGTCGGTGTAAATGGCGGCGGTAGGTACCTGGACGGTGGCGCCGGGGGGGAGGTATTGTCCGTTAGAAAGTGTGATGCCCTTCATGACGCGGCGACTGAATGAAGCTGTGCCCGTTAGTCGGTGTTCGCGTTGGGTTAGATATTGGAGGTCTACATACAGAGGCCAGCCGGGTACAAGCGAAGCACTTCCTTCATGTAGCTGTCAAGCTTCACCATTTCCTGCAATGCCCTGGTGGTGATACTACCTCCATTCCCATGCATGGCGTTACGAATTTCCTCTCGAAGTGGTTCAACGTATTCTGGCGTTGATACAAGAGTGTAAAGAATGTTAGTTGTAGTCATTGTTGTTGTGTGACTGGCAGCGAGGATCAAGCCAAGTTGGCACTTCGCAATGTGCTCGACTGATACATGACCGTCCTTGTTATAGCGATTGATCAACCACTGCATCATGTCGTCCGGCTTCTGCCAATTCGGGTCGCTCTTCTCAGCCTCTAGCCTTTCGCGTACAATAGGTTGTACGAATTTTATAGCTTTCTTTTCCACGTCTCGTAGACGCTTTACTTCTGGGAGACGATGACCCACAAAAGACTTTAACCACGGACGCGTCCGTTTGATAGCAAAGAGCGCTTCCATAAGATAGACGGTGTAGTTTCTGCCTAACTCCAGGTATTCTGGATCATGACACAAATCTGGGCCCACGAATACGCGGCCAGAGACTTTTGATATAATGTCAAGGAGCTTATCATTGATATCGACTTCAGTCCAGTCCTCGCAGGAAGGTAGGGCTTCTCTCATGGCTGCGTCAACCTCAGTGCAGACGGCCTGATTTAATCGTGGGAGCGCTGGTGTGAGATCTGACTTGATGGTGTGTACTGTATTCGAATCCTCAGAATCGACCCCGGTGAACTTCGTCTCCATTACCTGTGTCTCGATTAGAACAGCCGCGTGGTCAGAGCTCATGACTTACATTATCGATAGCGGCCGCAAAACTGAGGACATCGTCAGGCAGCTTTCTCAGCTCTGGCAAGAAATGCGGTGGGACGACCACACTGTGTTCTCCTATACTTCATCAGCACTTGCCAAGCTATTGCAGGAGCTTCGTGATTCTTTACCATCGCTCGACATGAAGTAAACAGTGTCTTTGAACTAGTATGACGTCAGCCTTCACAACTGCTTCGAGCTCGAATTAGATTTACCTTCTGGTGTCCTTCCTTATATAGCTTTCTCGCCGAGGTCGCGTAGTCTTTGCCCGGCATGGATGGGAGCTTTGCGAGCTGCAGCCGCCGCATGAGTTTCGGAGCATAGGTGAGAACCACAAATACCAGAGAAGCAATCGTGATTGTCTGGAAAGTATACGCGAGCCCTGCGAGCTTCTCGACGTCCATGGTTGCCCAACCGGAGTGGGAGACAGTGGTGTTGGAATCCATGGGGAAGTATCTAGTGATTGAGATTGTCCGGACGAGGTTGCGCAACGAAGAGGAGATGGAGGAGGCAATGACAGCCTTTAAGAAGTTATTATATAGTAAGAATAAGATTACCAGTAAAGAAGACGCAACGGGTTCAATTGGGTAAATCATGGAACTGAAGTAAGGAGCACTCGGATAACGGACCGTGCCTAGTTCCATCAGCTTGCCGAGCGTTGAGCAATACTGAGCTGGTTCGGCTCATGCCTAGTTCCGGCTTGTACTCTGCTTTTTACTAAGAAAATTAAGGAAATTATATAGTTATAATAAGCTCTAACTTTTTAATTAGAAGAGATATGAGGAAGTTTTCTAGCTTAGATTTATATTATTCAAAGACTTTATTTTTTTTATTAAAGAAAAAAGAATATAAGATTCTTAAAGGTAATGTAATTATCTAAAATAATTATAATTTTTAAAAAAAAGGTTAATATAAAATTTATTCTATATATCTTAGTTTATTAATTAAATTTAATATATAAGCTATCTAAAGATATTATCTTTAAATATTTCTCAGAAAGATAGAATACTAACTTAAAAAGTTAGATATTATAAAAAACTTTATATCTAAGTTATAGATTCTTATCTCTAGACTTTTATTAACATGTAGCTTTTTTAAATATCTCTAATATTAAAAGAAGTATATAGCTTTTAAGATAGAGAATTTACTAGTAAAACGTGGAGCATAAGCCGGAACTAAGCATGAGCCGAACCAGCACGTTACGCGTATCAACTGCTGTCGGCCTTATTCTAATATAAGACCAGCTGTGTATATACGCTCTCCGAGTACATACGGTGCATACGGTGCAGGGCCAGCGCCGCGAAGTGGATTGAGCTGCTTCACACGCACAGGGTCTCTAAACGCCAAGGCGCATCCTAGATAGCGCAATTAATCAGCTGCCATGAAATCTGATGTTTTTACGCTAATTTACCACCATTTTCCCTTCAAGAAGATAGATGTGCGAAGGCCCGACACAGTCATATATACGGACAATAGCTAGAATTGACCAGGATATGCCTTGGCGTTTGGAGAGAAGCGAGCGATGCACGATGCTACCGGCTCTCGGATGCACTTTGCTACCGGCTCTCGGATGCACTTGTTTCCCTTCGAAACTACTGCACAGCCTTGCGCCTGACTGGTCGAGTGTCCTGGGCGTGGCTCTTCTTCAGGGTTCAGGCTGCGGCTCGACGTTGCACAGCGACATCCTCGTCTCAACTGAAGACGCGACGTACGCAGCACGCTGGGCTAAGCAGACCGGAACAACCACTTCGATTCGCATCAATCAATCTGCCCGTATGCCTAGATTGCCCACAGGCCCAAGGCCCTGGACTCGCCAACTGTTGCCGCGCCGTGTGGTCCATACGAGATACGTCGTCACGCGCAAGGCTGGTCGTTGCAGCGGAACGAAGTTTCCCGGACCACGCCATGATGTTGGTCCCGCGCTTTACCTGCCACAAAGTCACCCTGTCGTACAGCTCCGTCACGGAAGGCGAAGTGACCTTACATCTCGAGGAATTGGTACATCTATCCTTCAATTCGCTAAAAACGCTGCGATAGAGGTCATTCGATACAGCGACAGCAACACGGTTTCCATGCACCGTATGAGGTCGGAGGTAGACGTAAGCGAGATCAGAGAAAAAGTTGTGCGACATGACCGCAGGTCAATATGCGGGACTAACTAGCGCGGCAAAGAGGGTACGTACAAGACAGCAGTGCATAATGGAGTCATCACTGCAGATCAAAGCAACACTACAGCGTCAAATCCGCTAGCAGATGCCTGACCTGGTTGTACCTGCACATAACCCAAGTTTTGACGAAGTTCGCGAATAGCCAAGCCAAGGTCTCTAAATCGTTCAAATTTCTCGAAGATCTCAATTTCGGTACGTCTACTTCAGCATCACGACAAACAATCTTCGTTACATTGTTGGTGGCTGTTTGCTTGTCAACCAAATCCTCAAGTGCGTGAATTTGAGTGGATTTTGAGTCTTCAAGACGGCGGTATAGATCAATACGTTAATACACACCTAGACGCTGGGACATGCTTAGACGACAGGACACGTTAGAACAGCAAGACACACTAAGACAACAGCACACATATAGACGGCAGTGAGCATGTAGACTGCATTTCTCAGACCTAATAACACGACTCAATGAAATCAGGCGCACCAGCATTGACCAAGCTAGCGCTACTTCTTGCCCAAACAGCTCTAATCCAGCTACAAACATAACATTTACATTTTTGGCAGAGCCTCCATGTCTTGAAGCTAGCTTTGGCTATGCCTAAATCAATACACCAATAGCCCGACGAAGTCGTCTAGGCTTATGTATTTCTCAAGAGCCTACAGTATTTGCAAAGGTACGCGTGTGAAGACCTGTTGTTACCGGGCGGCGCCGAAGATAGTATCTGCCATCAGTCCTCAAGACATGTGCAGTCACAATAGCAGCTTGCGCAATCAAGTCCACACAAAAGAGAAGAGCCACAGCCACCATGCAATATCAACAGCAACTTCATTCCCTATAAGTATCCATAATCCCCGTCGTGACTTTCCACAAATTGCATATCGATACATGCCGTTCAAATCCTCATCTCTCATCTAAGAAACTACAGGAACCAAACAAGGGCAAAAGCCAGAGTGGTCGAGAACAAAATAGAAAGAAAGAAAGAAAAAACGCCAGGTGCCTGTGCCCTTTGCCCATGCCGTGGTATGCCCCATGCCCAAGAAACGCCCTTTTGATGCCCCAATTGATCGTACATATACATGTGGTTTTCTTGATGCCATTTCAATCCTGCGGCTCGACGCTCGCACTCGCCCGCCCATTCTCAGCCTTGCTCATGCTCAATTTGATCTTCTTCTTGCGCCTCTCGCCGCCGCCGCCATCATCATCGTCGTCGCGATCGCGCTTGCCCTCGCTTCTCTCGCTCATTTCGCTGGCTCGGCGCTCCATGTCCGGGCGGCCGGTCTTCAGTTTGACCTTGAGGCTGGCGGAGCCGGACTTGCCGTCGCGATCTGCTTTCTTGACGTAGTTGCTCTTCTTCTTGATCTTCTTGCGCTCGGGCGTGTCGTCGGCGCCGAGCTCGTCATCGTCGTCGTGCGGGGCCATGCGCTTCGTTGGGGAGATGCCTTTGCCGTTCTTGGAGGAGCGGATGGGTGCGCCGCCGTCTTGCGAGCCGGGGACGGGCGTACCCATTCGACTTCCCAACGGCGTGCCTGTGCCGTTCTGTCCGACGAGTTTGGCCATGGCGTTCCGCGAGCTCTGGCGGCCGCTTATACCAAGACACTTCTCGAGATGTTGTGCGAAGCGCGTTATGAGCAGACTGCGCTTGCAGTTGGGGCACGTGTGCCAGGGGATGTAGCTCGCGGGCTTGCCTCCGGTGTTGAGTTTGATCTCCTTCGCATCGCCCCCGGCCATGTCGGTGTCTTGTGATCCCGGCGTGCCCACGCTCTCCTTTTCCTGGTTCTTTTGCTGCTGCTTGATGAGCTCGCGCTCCTTCTTGCTCTTGGCCATGTCTGTGGGGAACGGGTTGCCGTAGACGTCGTGGCCGGAGCGCTGGACCCACGGATACAGCATGCAGTACTCCTTGGTCAGATCTGGGTTCTGCATGCCCTTGCCCATGATTGGGTGCATCAGCCGCGGCAGCTTGCAATGCGGACATATTATCTCGGGCGTCGTCTTGAGGGGGTTGCCCTTGAGGAAGACGGTTCCATTCTCGTACTTGGCCGCGGGCGTGTCGGCGATGGGTATTGACGATGAGGCGGCGCCGCTGGGGTTCTGCTTCTGCGACTGCGGTTCGAGGTTGGCGAGAGCGAGCGATTCGGCTTGCGTCGCTGCGGATTGCATGCGCAGGACCTTCTCGGATCTGTGGCACGTGATGACAGTGCTGGAGATGATATTGTCCAGCAGGTCTTCGAGGATGTCCGATGTCTATCCATATCGCATTAGCTTCGCTGTCGCATCGTCGCGCATGGCAAACAGCCTCACCAAATCGACCAGGGCCTCTGGCGACAGTCCCACGGCGGACTCGACGCCCTCGCCAGTGTCGTCGTCGGCCGGCCGGTCCTCGGACATGGCTGCTGTGCCTTTTTAGTTATCAGCTCGTCGTGTTCCTGACAGAATGGCGACTTGCTGAGACGGCCACTGCGAGACACTGGCGTAATTTCGGGTCTGATCCTTGCTCGGGCCCGTTAGCGTCATGCACGATCCCCGTTAGCCTCAAGTGGACTACCCCACACACGATGAATTAGACTCCGATCTGAGGGTTCAAGAGGTCACTGGGACAAAGACATGGACTTGTGTCGTGCACTTGGTCGTGGCCTATCTAGCCATATCTACACCACCTCCCACGTCGCCAACCTACCGAGCGGGCTGCCAGCTGGCCTGACAATGCACACACGGTCCTGCTTCTGTATCGCCTGACTGCCCCCCTCAGTGGGTAGCACCCGGTGCAAGGCTAAATTTGCAATTGCAGTCGGCATGCCCTCAGCGAGATTGAAATTACCCGTCGTCACAAAGCCAATGAGATCCTCTTCGCCAGGTACTACGGGATAGTCGTCTTGCCCGGCTTTGGGAGGCCCATCTCTCAGAGGTTGGGGCTCGAGAAGGTTTCTAGCAAGTTCTCTGCGTTTGATGTGTTCAGGTGCATCGCTGGCATAGCCATTGTACTTACTCTTTGGTGGCCGTTTACCACCTGGCTGAGGTGTGAGTGCTAGCCATCTTTTCCGCAATTGCTCATCGCTGGGCAGTCGGTAGATCCGAGCACAGTCAGTCGGAACGCCACGCTGTGTCATAGTGACCTTGACAGTAAATAGATACGGCGTGCGGTGATGATCGGACTTGGGAGGTTTTCCATCAAGCACGTCGGTAGCCTCTTTAGCAGACAGCTGCATCAAAGGCGCAAGCTTACTCATCTTTGCATCGTGCATCATTATGGCATCCAGCATGGGTGTCGTGAGGAACTTTCTCCAGTCGCACGCCCACGGGTCACCGATCTCACCCTTCTCCCCATTGCCGGGATCCACTGTGGACCATTCGATCCTCTTGCCTTTGGGTCGTTTCGTCCACTCGTGTTCCCTCTTCTCTCGCTCTCTGAGCTCCCAAGCCCAACCAGCATCGGTACCAGGATGGTCAAAGGGGAAAAGCGGGACTGACCGCTCGTAGTTGACCTGTCGACGTTCCTTCAACCCGCCAAATCTTGGGTTGCCTCCCGTTGACAGCGGGTATCGTGTGATGCCTCGCCATACTGGCGAAACGCACTTCCAGGGAAGCAGAATAGTCCACGACTTGCTCCCTCGTGAAGTATATATGAGCATCGGAATGTGTGGGTCAGTGGGCAGTGGTTCGGGACGTTCGCCGAGCGTGCAGGCGCTTTTACGACGATTGACGGACTTGTCGGATGGCATCGAGCGTTGTGCAGCAAGCCGCTGGGTACGGTCGAATATTGGAGATGGGTCTTGCGTGCTATCCAACGGCCATTGCGCGAGTGTTTCCATCAGCGAATTTAGATATTGCTCGTCCTGCGAAATTCGGGAGGTCTTCGGAGGGTCGCTAAATCGAGGGTCTGATATCTCGAAAGCCAACACTGCACCCACAGGCAAAGAGCTGACATCCGTGATGGACGCCAAGTTTGACCATGTTGACTGAGGTGCTTCAGGAGCTGGTTCGACAGTTGGAGATGGGGATAGAATAGAGCACAAAGTCTCCGCTGCGCCGGGTCCTATGATCTCGATGGAGCCCACCTCGAAGCGCAGGTCCTCAACAAGCACACCGGGCTTCTGGACCTTTGAGATCCGGATGACCTCCTCCCACAGCTGCAGGAAAGCACTCGGATGTACACGGATGAACGCCTTCCTTTTCTTCTTGTCCGCTTCCAACACACACCAAAGCACAGTGACGTGTGCGATCTTCTTGTGTGCATGTGGTTCTCGCTGGTATATCCACCCCTCCCACGCTCTCGTGCCATGTCGCCATTTTTTTGCTCGGCCTCTGTCTTGCCATGGGTCTTCCGCTGCTTCACTAGCGAAACCCAGTCCTTTGAGCATACCAACGATGCTGGCCTCGGCTCCCTCAAGACTTATCGTCGACATGTAGCTTGTGTCCCATGCCACTGCGCCGCGCTGAGTGACAGCCCGGTGCGTTAAGCGGTATGCCTTTGACACAGGCTGCAGTGGCATCGCAAACCGCCATAGAGGGTCCTTGGGCTCCGTCATGCGTGCGCGCTTCGAGTGCCATACGTGTGTAGGTAGCCATGTCTTGTCCTTTTGTCGTCTGCGGAACCGGGATGGAGGGGTAGCGGGCGTGGCTAGAGACGCGAACTGGGGCTTGAGCTTCGATGCTGCTGGCCTTGGCTTCTTTGGCTTCGGTTCGTCTGCTCGTGCAGTCTCGTCGATGTCCATCTTGCCATCAGCCCCGCCAGTCTTGGCCTTGCTCTTCTCCGCTCTCTTCGCACCCTCCTGCCTGCTCTTCTTTATCCCCTCCTTCCGCAAATGTGCCTTCGGTCCTTTTCCTACCCCACTGCCACTCTTCCCTCTGACAAAGGGCGTGTTGTCTTCCCTTGCTTCCTGCTTCGCCCTCATCCGCAACCGCTTCGGCACACGCTGTGGATTGTGGCTCGCGGTTCTTCTCCTCAGCTCTCTGGGGACATCCTGAAAAGCTCTGCGCGAGAGGCCCTTCTTTGCCGCGCGCATGGCATGTTCCAGCGACTTGATCTCATTCTCGTGCGACTTGAGGAAGCTCTTGACGTTGACCTCCCCATCGGGATAGGCATTTTTGGTGGGCTGCGCCGGGATGTGATGCTGCGGACGCATTGGGAACCGAGGTCGCTTTGCGGATGCGCTGGGATCTTGCGCTTGTTTCCTCTTCCTCGACTGGTCGGCCATCAGATGAGTCAAGCCTGGTCGACGACGCGAAGTGTGACGCGCCGCTGTGACGCGATCAGAAACTATCAGCCAACGGGCGGATCGCCCTCGGAACTTTTTGCTACACGTTGCGCTAGGCAACTCACGTTAGCACGTGCAGCGCCGCAGACCCCTCTAGCAACAACCCGGGGCCATCTCGGAGGCCTCCTCTGGAACAACAAACGGAGCGACTCTCTGGCTGTCGTTCACTGTCGCTTTCTTCCATGGGCATAATTCCACACGCGTTTATTCGTTATGCACCGAGCACGTTCTGTGCATTTTGTTTCAGCTTACTGCTCCCCATCCCTTAGGACTGCATCTGTCAGGTACCCCGAGCAACATCATTTCCCGCCCGCGTAACCCCTGCAGAGAGCTCCCCTGTAAGCTCCGCCACGGGGCCTGTCTAGGTCGTTGACATCTTAATAGTGTTTGTCTGCTTGTTTCCCGTTTCCATATTACTGCTACTCTGCGCTACTTTACACTGTATGGTCCAATTCAACAAACGCACAATACATTCACACCATCACATAGCATTCCTCTTCTTTGTCATTGTGCAACATATCCACAGTGTCCGAGACACAGCTGCTGGCACTATATCACCATGAACTCATATCCTTCTTTTCCGCCAGAATCACCCGCTTGCAGGACAGGAGCCTCTAGTCCCTTTCGCAGCCGACCTACTCCAATCCACGCACGTCACGGCTCCGAGCAAACACCACGACCACGGAACATGAGCGTCACTTCTCAGCCGGGCTCAGTGCGGCACAGTCGCCCGCGTCCTTCGTCCATCTACGTCTCCGACGCCTCCATCCTCCTGTCACACAAGAACCCCATCATGTCGCCAGACGACTCTTCCTCACCCGCCAGCGACACCCCAGACTTCATCGACCACTACGCCAACCTCGAGCTCGAGCCCAACGCCTCCATTGACGACGTCAAAGCCGCTTTCCGCCGCCTAAGGGGGCAGTACTTCACCACCAACGCAGCAAAGTACCGCGCGGCACAAGCGGCCTTCGACGTCCTAGCCAACCCCGCTGCACGACAAGACTACGATTCGCTCTACCGCGCGCGCCCCTCGCCTACTACACAGAGCTTGGATGAGCTCCTGGATACGTCAAAGCATGGCCGGACGGACAGCGCACACGGCGACGAGACCGCCATGCCCGTGCTGTCAGAGGAAGAAGAGGCAGAAGTAGGCCGCAGCCAGGATCCCAATTGGGGCCTAAAGCGACACCGGAGGCTGTACGAGCCCGTCATTGGCACGCAGCCATATGCGTCCTTCATCCCCATTGACGAGATGTACGACGGTTTCCAGCGACATCCGCTCCTGGGATGCAGACGGCCCGTGTACAGGGGCGAGTTTGCTGTTTATTCCAGGCCGAATTGAAAGTCCACCATAATGGTGGCGAGAGGTAAAGTAAACCCCGATTCAGGGAATCGTAATGTCTTCAATGATGAAATGCACGGCTGAAAATCTCACTGTTTTACTTTGTTGGTTATTAGCGAATGATACTCATACTCAGATCTATTTGGCATATTTTTTTTTGGCTGTCTTGAGCAAGCGAAAGGAGGGATCTTTTTTCTCGCCTGTATTATCGAATGATCGCTGTCGTTTCTTCTTAGATCATGGAATGATAAACAAGGAGCAGCGCTTCAAATAAATTGAATCAAATATCTTTACACAAGTCACTAGTCATGGTAATAGTTTGTAACGAGTGAACGGTCAACCTGGAGGGTTTCGCGGAATCTCGACACGAGCAACGGAGATTTATAAAGCCCTGAAGCTAATCGTGCATTGCTATCAAACTTCGGATGGGAATTTACAATGCACTGAAGAACTCTTGGTTGATGCTTCGTCACAGAAAACTCCCGATTGAATCATGTGTCATTGCTAGTAGAGATCGTAACAGGTCCTCAATATCCAGCTTGCTTTTCCTTCAAATCCAAATCCAACAATGCAGCACTCATCCTACTATACAACTCAGCCTGCTCGTCAACGAATGGCTGCAACCTCTCCTTGAGCTCCTCAACACTCATCTCCTCGCCCTTCCAGTACACCTGCTCACCAGCAGCGTTCTTGGGCGGCACAAGCACATCCGAGACGACCTGGATGACACCATCGCTCGCGACGCCATCATGCACCGTGACCCTCGAAAAGCCATTGATCCTGATAGTAACAAACGGTCCGTACCGCGCTACATCAACCGCGAGGTACTTGCCACTCAGCACCGTCTCCAAGTCGTAGTGGTAGTACGGCGGGCCACCAGCCGCATCCTCATCATCGCCGCCCTTCTTCCCGTCGTAGAAAGCGTCCGTGTACAGCGTTTGATCGACTACCATGTGGTACTCGAGCAGCGCGCGGAGGTACTTCTCGCCATATTTGCTGAACAAGAAAGCATTGATCCTCGGCCCAAGCTTCTGGAACGCAAAGTTGCTCGGCGCGAACAGCGTGCCGCCCTCATGTTCATACTTGGTGCTGTTGAGCTTGTCAAACAGGCCTGTCTTGCCGAGACCCAGCTCCAACGTGCTGAACTCGCCGGGCAGCAGGTCGATGATGGAGGCGACGTTTGGTGGGGGTACGAGGAGGGAGTCGACGCCGTGGACGACGCCGTTGGTGCCGAAGATGTTGACGGCCACGAGACGGCTGTAGAAGTTGATGGCGGGACCTTTGAGGGTGACGCGTACGGTTAGGCGCTGCGCGTGGCCGAGGTTGTGCTCGGGCGAGTAGAGCGTGGGGATGGTGTAGCTGTGGAGCACACGGCCTGCTGGGTAGAAGTCGTCGGAGACGTGGTATTGGAGAATGGCCTTGAGGATCTCCTTGGAAGGCTTCTTGCCGTGGTCGGGGATCTTCTCAAAGGCCTCATCGGTAGGGGCGAAGACGGTGTAGTTCGCCTTGGTGCCGTTGAGAAGCTGTACTAGGTCGTCGTACTCGTTGATGAGCTTTGCAAGCTTGGTGGTGTACTTGCTCTCGTTGATGAGCTGCAATTGGTGTTAGCATAAAATCATGCATGTCACTTTTGATTCTTACTTCGTAGACGGTACGATTGGGCTTGTCATCACCGTCGTGTGGTGGGTGATGAGGCTTGCCGTGGTGTGGTGGCTTGTCATGGTGCGGAGGAGGAGGAGGGTGGTGTGGGTGATCATGGCCCTCCTCGAAGTCGACCACATCGTCGTCGAACGATGATCCCTGTAGCCATGCATCTACATCACATCCAGCATCGTGGACTTTGCTGTAGACGTTCTTTGCCTCGTCCTTGACCTTGTCGTAAACATCGTGTACCTTGTCGAAAGCACCGTCAAGGACATTTTGGGCCTTGTCGAGAATTGACCGTTCGGACTTCTCGATATTCTGGAATACCTCTGCCTCAGTGATGACAAGGGCGGATGCCAAAGGCAGAAGGGGGACAATGCGTGAGAAGCGCATATTGAATTTGATGGAATTGTAATGAAGAATGCAAGACTGGTCAAGAAGAGAAAATAAATATGCTGCCTAGCAACTAATGGTGAGACGAGTCGATTACAGCTTGACCACTTGCGTGGCGATAGTATTGGCGCGGAGGTCTCGGTCACGTCACCCTTGAATACGCAATACGCGGACGATGCGACGGACGAAGACAGCAATACGCAACACGCAACACGCAACACAGTTGCAAAGGCAATTAGCAGGCTATAGAGTGAGCAAGACGAAACTACAATGCTACACAGATGCGATATCTTTCTTCTTGTTGTGCTGGCGAGGCCGCGCAATTGAGAGGCAGCGGCAGTACGCGTATGCTTGACGCGGGGAAGGGGGAAGGGCGGCGGCATTCATGACGTATGTGGGGTGAGCATGTTGAAACAACAAAGCTGGAGAAACTTCCGGCCTAAAATGTTACAAGTTGACGAGCCCGAAGTCGAAAGAGTTGAGGAATTGGAATACTTAATGGGTTCCGGTACCTGCAGATGGTGTTGAGTGATGTCCGAAAGATAAGGTCGGAGGGTAGGTGGCATTCACGTGGGTGCGCATTTGGATTACTGCATCACCATGCGTCAGCAAAATTCCTGCTAGTCTTTTCCTAACGAGAACAGATGAAGAGGTAGCCTGTATATATTCAGATATCTTCATGAAAATAAGTAGAACATCTTGTGGCTGCGTATATATTCAGGCTCCACTAAGCCCATGTCGTGTAGCTGCAAGCAGTCAAGACGGATCTCGCCGCTGCCTGATGGCATTGTCTTGCATACCTGTCGTCATGGCTTGTGTTTGCTGCCCGAGAAACATTGTTTGGGTGCGTCGTCATCTTACGCCGTTTGTCCTAATGCCGTGTCAAGTTTTGACACCAGTACTCCACTTGTTGTGCATTTCCGGATGTTCCGCTGCAGCACCCTGTGTGCTGAAGACCGAGACCGTTTAGCCCATCAGGAACAAGCTTTTCCCAAGCATTCGTCAAGCCTTCCAATGGGCATTCCACAAAACTACCCACAGGGATGCGTTTGGCATGAGTATTTATGGCGTCATGGGCTAGAAATCGCGCAGTATATACCGCAGGTACGGTAATAGCGTGGTGGACGTAAACCTCACCAAAAAGCCCGGCTGCCTCTCTACATACTTTCCAACACATAATCTTACTTTAAAATCTCGGCTGCCTCTCTACACGCCTTTCAATCCATAACATTGATCTAAATCTGTCAATATGGCTGGCCTCGCTCGACACGTCGATCCCGATGAGCTGATGAAGACGCTCCACGACCACCCGATGCACAAGGCTGCGGGTGGTCGTCGTAACCAGACTGTATCACACATCACGCCTTACTCGAGTCGCTACTCGGCGAGCACTGAGCTTTCCAAATTCAAGATTCCTCATGATGGCGCACCGGCAGACGTTGTGCATCAGCTGCTCAAGGATGAACTCGATCTCGATGGACGTCCGTCTCTGAACCTCGCTTCATTTGTCGGTACTTACATGGAAAAAGATAATTTTGCGTCTCCGTGTACGTAGGAAGGAAGAGAGACACGAAAAGACTAGGACGAATTAGCATCTAGCGCCATTCCTTAGCACCTCACCTCAAGAGAAGAGAGGGCCCGCCGTTTCAACAACTCCATACGTCATACATCACCACGACTACGCAAGCATGCGCAATTAAACAATTGAATAATTAACAATTAAGAATTGAGCTGATGGCAGTTGATACGTCATACACGATGAACCGCGCGCCTCCCATTCAGAAGATGAGGATGCTGCAATAGAACCTCCACTACAAGACTTGCATCTTGATCTGTTTAACATGCTGGATGTAGGCTATCATGTCGCACGTCTTTCAGCACATGATGGCGCGTCAAGTTGTAAACCGCGGACCGCGTTTAGGCGCATCTTTGCTGCTGCTTAGGGCGCGCTCTGCCCGTGTGGATGGCAGGTGGAGGACGCGCTCTTTCCTGCTTCATGGCAGGTACGCACCTTCCTTGACAACACGCAGCCCACCATGTCATCTCACCTCGTCTCACCCCGCCTTACCTCTCACCTTGGCTCACTTTTCATCACCTTGCACCACGGCTGCCACCACCAAGGAAGGATGGACGACATCTGCTCGTCCGACGTCGAATACGATGAGCCGGTCAATCGTTTTGCCAATGCCGGCAAGGTCAGCATTGTTAAGATGCTTGAGCATGCCTTTGAGGACCGTATGGCGTCTAAGAAGCAGGTTAAGACTCTCGGGTTCAGTAAAGGGACACCAGCTACGCAGTACAATCATACGCTTTGGTGGAACCGCGTTTCACAGTTCATGCAAGCTACTCTCAACAAAGGGTTAGTATTGGCAGTCACAAGTCAAGTCACTCAGCAAATCTGACACAGCACTACAGACCAAATCATGTGCCCACCGGCCTGGACCTTGAACGCTTCTTCAGCTCAATTGTCAGCCGCGTCAAGCCTAACAATCCCATCGGCGTGCCTTCCTATACATGGATGAAGTCCGGCATACGGCTGACCGTTGAAGTGTGCAAATTTCACCACAAGACTTTCATTCTAGACGGGCACGACATCGTTCGCTTAGGCAGTCTTGTCGACAAGCTATGCCAGGAGGGAAAGCTGACGCGTGAGCCTGCTTTCGAGAGGGAATGGGCAGGTGCCGTCGTTGTCCGCAAGCTGGTGAACGGGCTTATAGCCGATGCTCGTGTCAACGGTACACTAGCATGGGACGTCACTTTGCTCAAATGCCTGTCAATTACGCTCCTCGCAGCATTAGGCGCACGCTCTGGCGACCTGACCCGCAACAGGTTGGACGAGCATGACCTTCCCTACCTCGCGTACCAGGACGTTATACTCCGCCTAGTCCCAGGCGGCTCAACGATTGACGACATGGAAGCTGTCGTGACTATACGCAACGAAAAAGGGAACAAGTAAGTCGACTGTGCATCCTCTGATGACGCACAACGCGGACCGCGCTGACGCTGTATCGCCATCACAGGCTCAATCCCGCACTCAGGCGCATGGTTTTGCTCCGAGCATTAAAGTCCCCAGAGGACGCATGCATTTGCCCCATCAAGTTGCTCGTCACGTTGGCCCTCCGGCTAGGCAATGTTGAAGAACGATCGATAGACGAGCTCATCGACCACACTCGGCGTAGAGGAACACGAACGGTGATATGGAAGCACCCTAGGCGCCCGGTCATTCCCAAACTAAGCAAGCGCGGCAGATGTGTATTGCCGGACGACCCTGCTGACGTCAACCAAGCTACCAAAGCTGTCCTGCCTCTAGCTTGTCGAGTCTCTGGGTTCTTTGAGCGACTCCGGAGTCACGATCTGCGGCGTGGTGCTGCCCGAGATGCGGCAAACATCTCTGCCAAGGTCCACGGAATATCGGGATCACTGGCGGGAGCAGTACTTGGTCACTCGAAGAAGGGCAAGCAAATGACTGCACATTACGTTGGGAACATGGCTGTCGACATCTGGAGCCTGCGCACCGACGAGAATTGGGTCGACCCGTTTGACCGCAAGGAAGTAGCAGAGATGCCATATCAAGCCCCATTCAAGTACAAGCCCACATCACTTATCACGGACATTTGTCGTGTCGAGGGTCTGGACGAGACAAAGGTCTCAGACCGTCTCAAGGCGGGGGTGTTGGCCGAGAAGCGGCGCCAGGGCATGTGGGTCCAGCAAGAACGCGAGAAGAGGCTCCGTCTCTCGCCCGACCTCGCCTTGATTCAGGGATCTCCGGGTCTCGAGACCGCCCAGACCGATCTTCATAGGGATGACGGTGAAATCGATCAACAGGAAGATGTAGAGGCACAAGCTCAGGCGATGGATATCGGCAACTTCATCTGTGGCAATGGCGACGGGGGCCCCAGCAGCCACCAAATCGACGAGCTCATGCTGGACACCCTCCAGGGCCACGATGGTCTGCAAGAAACGGGTGCCACGCGGTCCGCGTTGGACTTTGTACGTCACTTTTCCACAGTCAACATCACCGCCAACCAGACCTTCTCACTGGAAGGCAACAAATGGAAGGACATTGCGCGAATTCAAGGCAACAGCCGTGACCCGCCTACCAGCTTTCTCTATGCGTGCAAGAACCATGTCTATGGATGTCCCTTCAACCATAGGCACCGGGCTACACTTGCTGAACAGCACGAGCTTACATGCCCGTACATCAACCACGAGATCGGAGTCGAGCTTGCCGCACAAAAAGCTGTGGATCGGCTTGTCAAATGCACGACCTCCGGTTGCGACAAGACCTTTGTCGACGAGAAGAAGCTCAAATCGCATGTCAGTAACGTCCACGGATGGCCTAGGATGTGCGCAAAAGCTGAGTGCAAAGCCGGTCCATTTCCCGACATTACGTCCTTGAACAAGCACAGAAAAACGCACGACAATTTCAAGTTTACCAAGTGCGTCGTTGATGGTTGTACGTCCGACTACGTCTTCGAAGATAGAAACCGTTACCGAAGACACATTCGTTACGTTCACAAAATCATCGACAGGAAGGCCATTGACGAAATTGTGGGCACCAATGTACACAAATGGCAGGAAAGGAAGTGCGGAATTGATGGTTGCAGCTCGAGAGCAACCTTTCGGAGGCCCGGCGAGTTCAGTACACATCTTCAGACGGACAAGCATCACGATTTCACCGAAGAGGAGATTGCAGAGATTGTAGGTTGAAGCAGGGACCACGGTCCTGGGGAGTTGAGGAACGGGAGTACCACTGTTTAACAGGAGTGTACGTTGCAGCGTGTCATGAGCCACCAAGTACATGGAGAGAGCATGTTTCCAACGCGGACCGCGTGTTCATATATATATATATAGTGTATGTATCGGAAATTCCACATCATGTATACCCTGTTGACAAGGAGTGTTTCTCGTCGTCTTGCCGAAATGTCATACCAGAGTCTTCGTTGTCAATCCATTCACGTTGATTCTGGAAATTGGAGATTGTGTCATTTGAAGCATCGATTGCAAAACCATTGAATAAATTTACTTTTCTGCCACGCTGCCCGCATCAATCGCCAGCAAAGCCAAGAATTGAGCTAATGGGCTTACCGTAGAAATGCCTCCGTCGCAGTAGATGAGTAGATGGCACTAAAATTTCAAAGAAGATCACTTTTGCCGCAGAAAATCATTCCCATGTCGCCGCTGCCTTCCATGCCTGTGAGGCCCATCAAACTGGCGGGATGTATTCCGCCTCAGGGTCCAGTGTCAGCAGGTCTGTCTCCTCTGTACCCTCCTCCTTCTCGTTGTCGATGAAGGGGTCTGGGCCTTGGGCGCGGTCCGCGTTTAGAGTCTTCTTGAGTGGTTCGTACTTCACTATAATGGCAGACTCACGGCGCTTCTTCTCAGCCTCTGCGAGATTAGCTTCTTTCAACGACATTCCTCCCCTGGACCTGGTCGACGGTTGTTTGAACTTTCTGGCGTACAGATCAGGATGAGTGTGCTGGTCAAAGGAAGACTCTTTCCAGCCGCCTTGCATAGGCTTCACAGGATTGCCATCCTTGTCCAGTAACACCTCTTTGCTGACCTTGGTGTACGTTCCCATGCCGCTGGGATCGTCGAATGTGTCGCCGTCAAATGGCAGGGAACTATCTCCGTAAATAGGGACATCAATGTTGCCTTTCGGGTCGCGGCTCAACTCAAAGTAACCATATTGGTCTCCAGACCAGTCGACTCTGTCCTTTAGTTTGTCCTCCTTTTCGTCCTGCAAGTGCGCATTATCGGCAAACATTCGATCCAACATTTTGTTCATGTTGGCATAACCCTTCTTCCGGAGAGATGCAGATCCGGTGCCACCAGCAAGAACTTCCTTTTCGACTTCCTCGTATGACTTGGCTTTCGTCGGCTTCTTGACAAAAGTCTCGTCATTCTCCGACTCTGCAAGGTCGTCCTCTACTTGGTCCTCATCCATGTCTGGGTCGTCTTCCTCGTCCGAGACTTCGCCGCCTTTCAGCTTGAATGCTGAATCTGGGGCCTCTGCTGCCTTTTCCGCCTTAGCCTGAGAATGTCAGCCCAACGCGCTCCGCGTTGTGAAGCTTACAACATGCCTTCGCTCTGTCTTCTGCGTGCGCGAGCAACTCGGCCATGGTTCCTTTCTTCTTCTTCTTCTGCCCGTACGGCTTCTTTGACTTATCTTTGATGTCGCCGATGATGCTCTTGCCGGCGTCACCAGACGCGTTCTGAAGCCCGAAGACTCCCACCTTCTTCGGGACTGTTGCCGTTTTTCTTGGTCGTTTCTTGCTGTTGTCGTGGAGGCTGTGTATTCCAGTCTTCTTTTTGGTGTTCGCCTGATAACTGTTAGTCTATCACTTGTGCTTTGCGCATGCAGCGGTACTTGCTCTCGCCATGGTGTAGCCGATGATGTGTCGTGAACACGGTCCGCGTTGGTGGCTAGGCGTTTGTCTGTACAGTTTCGTCGTGAAGCTTATGTGAAGGTTGGTTGTTGGAAAGGTGGGTGGTGTCGGTCAGCATTTAAATGGCGCGTTCGAAGCTCGCTCTCTTCTCTCACCTGCTCGCAAGCTGCCACACGGCCCGCTCGCCACTTAGACTCACCAACAACACAACTGTACCTTCCCACACCCCAAGGCCATCAACAATTGCCCTTCTCATACAGCAAGCCGAGGCAAACATCAGTAGGCAAGATGAACGATCGCGACAACGTGGACCGCGTCGAGCAGGCGATTCTGGGTCTGCGCCACCTCAGCGAGCGTGAACAACAATCTGCACAATCGTCCTCACAGCTGAAGGCGACGCTGAGCAAGATTGATCAGATTGCACTAAAATTAGTCGTGCCCGGCAGGTATCTGCTGCTCGATGGCGCTGCGAACGACAGTGTGGCCAACGCGAACCGCGTTGAGAAGGCCGAGCAAGCCAACGCAGAGCAAGAGCTGACTGAACTGATACGCGCCAACCGGGAGCATGTGGCCATCATCAACTCCAAAACAGTCCCGCTAACCCAGTATCTTGGATCCGAGTACACAAAACATATCGTAAGTCCAGGTCTTCTATTGAGAGGTACATGCCTCTAACATCGACTCAGGACAAGCTACACAGGCCCACCAAGACGTCTCGGTCGCCGGAGCTTGTCTCGCAGCTGCACGACTACCAAGAGTTGGGTATTGACATGCTCATAGAACTGGGCAACGGCATCTACAAGGGCGGTATATTGGGAGACCCTTGTGGTCTAGGCAAAACGGTACAATGCATAGAAGCATCCATGCGTGATCGTGTACCTGGTTGGCCCGACCTCGTAGTCACGACTAAGTCGTGCGCTCTCCAATGGAAGGCCGAAATAGGCAAGCACTACTCGCCAGTGAGTAGTTCCCTTTGCTCAAGATTGACGATTGCTGATAAATGGCCAACAGGACCGACAACCCAAAAGCCTGATCCTCAACGACCCCCGCACCACCGCCAATGCAATACTCGAGGGCAAATACCAGTTCGTCATTGTTACATACAACTTCGTGATGTCGCGTTATCGCGAATATCAGAAGTACCGTCCTTTCTTCGATTTGGTGGCACTCTTGGGCATGGCTGAAGCGCTCGAACTCTGCTCGACACCTGAGCATAAGCACTTGCTCCCACTGAACGTCGTTAAGAGAAGTGCCAACGCCTTATTCTCAGACGTCTTCGAGGAAGTGGGCGTGATTTGGCACCACTTGATTCTCGACGAAGCCTCATTCGTCAAAAACACGAAAAGTGAAACACACAACGCGGTCCGCGCGATACGCACAGAGAAGGTCTGGATGGCCTCGGGCACATTCTTGGATAATAGGTGGTGGGACATCCACGGTCTCTGTGCGCAGTTGCCGGGTGTTCACCCCTTCCAGGACAAACGGTTGTTCGAGCGAGCATTTGCACAGAAGGCTGACGGACGGTTCCAAGACCCGTCTGTGTCGAAAAAAAACCGACTTGTCAAATGGTTGCAAGGCTTCACAATCTGCCGACCCGATACAGTACTTGATCTTCCCGGCCTAAAGGTTGTTTGGTGGAATTTCGAGCTGGCCGACGACGACGAAATGACCGTTGCTGCACATGCCGTAAAGTTCATCTATGCGCTTAAGATGAAGCTCATGCAGTCTACAGAGGGTGCTAGCGCTCTTGTCGAAGAAAACGGATCCGCGGCCCTGATGCATGCAATGCGTGCGCAACAGATTTGCGCGAATCCTGTACTTATCAGCCAAAGCGACCGAAACAAACAAAAGAAGCTCCTTGAACAGGCCCGAGACATCATCGCAGAGCTTCTCAAGGAGTGGCGGAACACCGCAGCAGTTGACGAGGATGCAATGGAGATTGACATTGATGCTGGGAAAGGAAGCAACGAGCGAACAATCGACCCAAGGATGGATATGATACTCCAACACCAATTTGCAGCACTGTCTGACAACGCGGACCGCGTACAGGACCAGAAGCCTTCGGGTAAGGCTAGTGACGCACCCACTCTGCCGGATGCCTCAAGTGCCGATATCGCAATGCAAGATGCTGGAGAAGGTGACACGACTGCGCAGCAAGAAGACGATGGTGACGTGGATGATGAGGGCGCGGGACAAGACCAGGAGAAGGACTCTGAAGCTGAATTCGTCGACACGGAAGTTGTTGACGAGAAGAGCCGCAAGATCTGGCTCAATAAGGTCAGAGAAATGACTGATAGAGAGATATTCTCCCATAAAGTGCGTGAAGTGCTCGAATGCATTGAGAATATTGTGGACATGGAACAGCAAGACATCGTGGTGTTTACCACATTCTTGATGTTTCATGACATTATCAGCGAGGCTCTGTACCGAAGCAAATGGGCGCATAAGGCTGGCGTGGAGGTACTGAGATTCGACGGCACGACATCGAGCCAGGAGAGGGCTGACAGGAAGCTCCAGTTCGAAACCAAGACAACGTTCACGAAAATCATGCTGGCTACGCCAGGGGCAGGAGGTTATGGCCTGGAACTGTCAACAGCTCAACATGTACTTCAGCTTGAACCTTGGTGGAACCACAACAAAGAGAGGCAGGCATGGTCTCGTACCCATCGCCAGGGCAACCTGAACCCCGTCACAGTGTGGAGATTCAGCGCCTCGAACTCGCTGATTGATTCACTCTTCCTCGCGATAGCTGGTAAGAAGACCATCGTCAACGAGTCAGTCATGAAATACCTCAGAGTCCCACCAGGCGAGAAACCACGCATCCCCAAGCAGTACTCAGGAACTACCGGTGAGTATTGATGGCACTAGGATACCAAACGCGGTCCACGTTGAGCGAAGGAAGGGATATGGATTTTGAGCGTCATGGGGTGTTCAATTTTGCTATTCAATTCATCTCCTCTCTACAGCAAAAGGCATTTATGTAGCAGGCCTCCAGCTAGCTTCTAAGCAGAGCCTGCTGTCTTTTGAGGGTCTTTAGCATTTCCATATCGTACAAGTAAAGGAAATCAGGTCCGAGAATAACGTCTTAGTGGTGTTCTCCATGTTCAAAATCTTCAACCTGCTCCGTTTTCCCTTTGACATCATCCCTGGTCCTCGCCCATATCCCATCCTGCTTCTAATGCCCTGAACATTGAGATTCGTGCCTTGAGTGCCTTGTGCAAATCTTTCGTCACCGCTGGCAACACCATGTAGGCGAGGTACCGAAACACCTGTGCGCCATAGACTTTTGTGACTTCGACGTCGAAGGTGGTTCCCCACTTTTCAAAGACCTTCGGAAGTGCGTCAGCCACCACTGCGTTACCTTGGCTTTCAGCCACGCTCTTGTTCTGCTCGATAGAGTGGTCTAGGACCTGTTGCAACGATTCGGCCATGGTGTGGATGAGAGTACGAATGCTATCTCCTGGTACCATGGGCGGTGGCTGAGGTTTCATACCGCTCTGGAGCTGGACCATTTGCAGCGTCTGGATCACAAGGGCGCCGTCTTCCGTGATTTGTGGATCTACTCTTGTGTGGTATATGTATGCGACAACAAAAGGCCTGATGTGCATATATGGGAGGATGAGGTTTCCCTCAGCGCAAGCTTGGCACATGCTGTAAAGCTCCCCATCAGTTATTTCCATCTCCTCAATTCCGGGATACGCAGACTGAGAATCACAAAATCGTCAGCATTGATCCAATCGTCGACGCGGACCGCGTGCAGCACAAAACATACCTCAAGCTCGCTCTTGAGCTGCTTGCAGTCATTCTCTTCAATGGAATTGGGATCCATGGCAAGTAGGGGAAGCATTTCACTGCCCTCAGAAACCTCGTCGCCTTCCTCAGTTAACAGTTTCAGGGCCCTGTCTAACAGGGAGCTCTCCACGTTCGGGTTGAGTAGGTACGTTGAGATGATACCAACGATGTCGTTCATTCGAGACTGCGGCATTTCCACTAGGAACTTTTCTTTGTCGTAGCTCTTTGGCCATGATTCTGATGCTCGCTCTGCCGGTTTCATGATCTCCACAATCTTGCGGTTCCAGCCCCCTTCTCGTTGACCATTTGCCTTATCAGTGTCGACACGATATGGCTCAAAATAGAAAATTTCGGGTGCCTTGCACTCAATGGCTTCGCAAAGGCCCTCGCTATTGACATTAGCTAGGGCGAAGAAGTTTGCGTGGGCGTGTCCAGAGTTGACGCATACAACGCGGAGCGCGTTGGGGTCGTGGGCGATGACTTTAATAGCAGAGTCCTTACTGCTGAAGACGCTCATCCCGTTAAGAGAGCCTCCCAGATTTTTTCGCGTGTAATTTTCAGCGCCAGGTGGACGCATGCCAATCCATAAGCCAACATTCTTCTCATCAGCTTCCGTGCAGTTAAGCTCAGTGTCTGTTGGCTTAGTGGGCGGGACTCTGATCTTTCCGTTGTTGACCAAATCCACAAGCTTTCCTTCTCCTCCGCGGGGCTTCAGCCTCGAAGCAAAGCGTATGCGAACCGAGTTAGGCACCGACTCTGAGGCATCGGCCTTGAAGTCGTAGCGCACGAGGTTTGTGTTGATCGCGCGATCGCTATCTGCGAACTGGTGCGCCATCTTGTAGTGTTATGGTCGTCCCCTCGAGATCAAATGGCAATTCTGGTTCTGGTTGTGATAAGGCGAGCTTTTAAAGGACTAGGTGGCGGCGGGGTGGCGGGGTGAGGGGTGTTGTAGGTAAAGGCAAACGCTCCCACATGCAGTGCGCCCGGTCGACCCGCTACTTCAACCTGCCCATCATTGTCGCAAAACAATCGCTCTGTCAAGAAACCAGCTCTTTGGCTATCGTGTAATCCAATTCGTGACTTTGGCAACACGCGGTCCGCGTTCACAGTGACATACCCACGCAGATGGCTACTGCGCGCAAAACAGACGTCGCCTGCATGGATCTGGAGGAGCAGCTAGCAATGTTGATATCTGCTCACACAAAAAGGTCAATAGCCACAGGCAAGAAGCGAAAGGCGCTAGCCAATACGGAAATCGACGAGAAGAAGTCCCAGCTCGAAGAAAAGCTCGCAGCTTACGTCTTCACACGACCAGGTCCACCAACATCTCCTAGGGAGAGTGTTCTAGGTCAGCGACAACGAAAGATAGAGCACCAGTTGAAGAAACTGGTCAAGGCTGAGATCGACGGGCCATCAGATGAGCGTCGACAGGAGTTGAGCAAAGTTCTTGCGGAGTACCAACAGCAATGCTTTCCAAAACCACTCGACCCGCACACAAAGGGCTGGGAGCCCTCCCGATTTCGTTGCCTTGACCCCGAAGATCCAAGTATATCTGCGCCGTAACTTTTCGATTCGGCACACTAACAATAACGTTTAGAGTACAAACCTGACTTCGTCACTGACGAGGAAGACGCAGCATCAGATGATCTCGTGTACGACGTTCAAGAGACAATGAACAAGCAAAAGGCAGATCAACAGGAAGCAGGAGACAGGAAGAAATATTACTCATTGCCAGATGACTACGATGAAGACGACAGCGCCAAATCCACCGACATCGAGATGAGGTCAGGCTCAGAATGGGACAGCGCATCCACCCACTCAAATCGAGACCTGGCCATGGCCAGTGACTGGAAATCCTCTGACGATGAAGACTCCGACTGGTCAATCGATGACGATGAAGACGATGACGATGACGATGAAGACGATGACGATGACGATGAAGACGATGACGATGAAGACTTGTCCATGTGTAAGTATCATGGCCACGCGGTCCGCGTTCAAGACGCTAATGCTTTGTAGCAAACAATGAGTCGACTCCAGCGCCACAAGACGATGTGACTCCGAATGGCAGTAACGGTGAGCCTCAGCAAGACATTGGAGATGCGGAAACATCGGCTAAGCAGGACACACAGCATGATTTAGGAGGACTTGTGGCGGAAATGCCGCTCGATCAACAAGATGGGCGTGCGGGGGAATTGGCTATTCCGGAATTGGCGCTCATTAACGGCCATTTTCTAGCATGTCTTTGCAAAGAGTGCTGCTACATAGCTCGCTTGGATCCGAGGAATAACGTATGTTTCTGCATGTGTTGCGTCTGAGAAACACGAGTAGGAGAGTTGCAATACACCAAGATCATCACAAGTCTCTATCAGAATACCGGATGGAGTGCAACATGAAGCATTTGAGAGGATATAAGATTGAGTTTAGAATACATTTCCCTGAAGCAGCACATCAATGTGTGTGTGCCATTCTGTGGCTTTCCCATAGAAAACTCATGTCCAAATAGGCAAACTCCCTCACGCCGTAGCCCCTCACCACTTGCTCTCATCGCGGACCGCGTTGCTCATTCCTCCATACCGCCCTCGCCCTCGGCATCAACGTCGTCCTCGTCCTCGTCCTCGTCTTCACTCTGCACTTCAATCTCGATCTCAAGATTGATGTCCTCTTCGACGCAGAAAGCTTCGTCCTCGGAGTCCATCTCGTCGTCGTCGGTGACGCTGCAGGCTTCATCGCTGTCGATACTCTCTCCATCTTCATCTGCAGCAACATCCGCCGCAGAGACCGAGGCAAGGTGGGTGGTGTCTGCCGCGCGACGTTCTTTAGCTGCGTCGAGCCGGTCCTGCATCTCTGCGAACTTTTCCTCGGGTGGGTGGGCTAAGTTCTCAAGGAAAGTACCGACGCGATCAATTTGCTTCAGGCACAGCTTGATCCAGTCCTTATAGGCGTCTCCACGTTGGTCTTGGGCATCGGCGATCATGTCCTCGGGCTCGTTGCTGAAGAAATCTGTAGATGTGAGTCAAACGCGGACCGCGTGCAGCGTTATTCACTCACGGATGGTGGCGCGGTCCTTGTGGCCAAGTGCCAGACAAACGCGCTCGAACTCGATGCAGTTATCACAGATCTGAAGTTCATGGCGGCCTGCCCACGAGCAGCTCTCTCCAGAGCCGTGGCACGCATTGCAAGCGAGCCTGTTTGCGTACATCGGTAAGCGCAACATGGGAAGACCGTCTCGCACGAGAATAGTGAAAGTCATTTTGGCTAACATGCGCAAGTAGTGGTTATTGTGGGTGGCAAGTGGGCAGTAGGATAGAAGGTGCCGTGGTTGTGGCTGCTGCTTTTGATAGTCGCTTCTCGTTTGCCTTCACCTTTACCTAGCTCGTCAGGCACGCTGAGTAAGCAACAGCCGATGCCGAATGTCGGAGCCTTTCCTCACCATCATATTTGAACTACTGTATATATTGAGGCAGCAGTGTCACTTGCAGCAGTCTTCCATTCCTCCACCCAGCGCCTCTTCTCATCGACTTCTCAAGTCGCCTGAAGTTTCAGCATACAGGTAAGATGTCTCCGTGATTGCCGCAACGCGGTCGGCGTTCTAACGCTTAGCAGACTATAGTATGAACAACCAAAGCGACAACGCAGGATGGGGCAGTGTCGTCAAGTCAATTGATGGACACATGTCCCAAGAAGACATGAACGGCTTCGACGAGTCACAGCGCAAGGTCCGAGAAGTCATCAGTTTCCTCGAAGCTATGGAAGCAAAAAACGAGGCTCCTAGGAAGCCCAGTGAGCTATCTCGCTCTGTTACAGAGCTGCGCAAGAACATGCAGCAGGCCGTTGCGCTCTTCCAAGATCCGAAGCATACGCCTCTCAGGGTTACTGATACCATGTACGATAACATCGACAAAGCCAAGGTCGTACTCACTGATGGCTGTACAATTGGTCTAGTCACTCCTCAAGGCATTGGCGAAGCATTGCACGATTACGGCAAGGGCGATGTAATTGACCTTAGCAAGGAGACTGCAGCAATGATGGCAAACATGCACAAGATCCGCCGGGCTAGAGGTATCAACATGACGGACATTACTCGCCGAAGCAACCGCACTACTGAGAGCGTCTCTGCAGTAAGCAAACACTGAATCCAGGATTGAAAGAGGTGTATTGACATGATTGCACAGGTGCAGGTTACCGTTACTTGGCTTGAGGACGATGACTTCCGGGTTTGGGATAGCGAGGACGCTCGCGACACAAGCGGAACCTTCGGGTCTCGCGTCTGGCACGACTAGGACTCTCGAGTCTGAGGAAGGGGCACACGCGGTCAGGTGTGGCGAACGCGGACCACGTCTGCAAAGAATTGAAAAGGGATCGGACGATGGACATCTACGGTGGTCTTGTGCATGAAAACTACGGTACCGGGATATGCAGGAACGATGGGCGAGGATCTGTGCAGTAGAGGCCTACTCTACCGTAGGTCCATAATGAACATTTTAATATGTCGAGACCTCGCAGCTGATGATTGAGAATCTTTCCAAGAACATGTCGGACGCTGATGAATACCCAGCAATGATGGACATGCACGCACGCTGCGTGTCGATCATCGCGAACATGTGGGGTGCTCAGAAGAGCGAGAAGGCCATTGGCAGTGCGACTACCGGATCAAGCGAAGCCATACACCTCGGTGGACTCGCCATGAAGCGCCGCTGGCAGGAGAAGCGCATGGCAGAGGGAAAAGACACTTCCAAGCCTAACATAATCATGGGCGCCAACGCACAAGTCGCCCTTGAGAAGTTCGCTCGTTATTTCGAGGTAGAATCTCGCATTCTGCCCGTTAGCGAAGAGTCTTCATATCGCCTGGACCCCAAATTGGTGAAGGAGAACATAGATGAAAACACGATCGGCGTGTTCGTGATTCTTGGTTCGACTTATACTGGCCACTACGAGCCAGTCGAGGAGATCTCCAACATCCTGGACGAATTCGAGAAGAAAACTGGTCACGACATCCCGATCCACGTCGATGCCGCATCTGGTGGATTCATTGCGCCGTTTACTCACGCAAAAGCTGGCCAGAAGTGGGACTTCGAACTGCCTAGGGTCAAGTCAATAAATACTTCGGGACACAAGTTTGGTCTCGTATATGCTGGCGTTGGCTGGATCATCTGGAGAGACGAGAGTTACCTGCCCAAGCACTTGATCTTTGAGTTGCACTACCTCGGCGGGACCGAAGAGTCCTACACGCTCAACTTTTCGCGACCAGGAGCTCAGATTATTGCCCAATACTATAACCTGATTCATCTAGGCTTCAACGGATACCGTGGAATAATGGAGAACGGGCTCGCCAATGCGCGCCTATTGAGCCGGGCGCTGGAGCACACTGGGTGGTATCGATGCGTCAGCGATATTCACCGCAAGAAGGGTGACTTGAAATATGTACCAGGTAAGAAGCAGTACGACGAAGGAGACACGAGCGCAGACTACAATGCCGGTCTGCCCGTCGTTGCGTTTGCCCTCACCGATGAGTTCAAGAAAGATTACCCGCACGTGAAGCAAGAGTCTGTCTCCAATTTATTGAGAGCCAAGCAATACATTATTCCTAGTAAGTGCCAATAACCACCAACGACAAGGGAGAGCGAAAAGTAGCATCACAAAGCCTAAAGCTATACACAGGGTCTTTGTCGTCTGAAGAACAGTGGCATCCAATAGCCTGGAGCTATGCGCAAGATCGCTAAGTTTCTCTCAGACTGATAAGGCCCTGTGTATTCCTTCAGGCTATTGTGTGGGCTGGCTGATGTTGCACCCCCGTCGTCGATGATCGAATGCATTAACGTTGTGGCGGCCGTGGCTGACAATCGTAGACTACCCGCTCCCGCCTGGCGAGGATAAGACCGAGATCTTGCGGGTTGTCGTACGCGAGAGCTTGTCTCTGGACATGATTGACCGGCTCGTAACCGACATCTGCGCAACCACGGAGCTGTTGATGAAGACCGATGCCGTCGACCTTGCAGCATTCCAGCCAGGCGCGTCTGCTAGCGTCGAGAAGACGCATGCCAACAAGGGCTTGAAGAAGGAGCACAAGCACAAGGCCCAACGTCCCTCGAGTGATGGGGTGTACCGCACAGTGTGTTAAGCTGCATAACGTGGAAATGAGCGGCCTAGATACCCGATGCTAGGATATAGCAAGTCATGTCGACTTCAACCAAAACAGCACATCTCCAGGGATTGCCCGCACACTTGCTGTCCTTGTTAAGCCATGATCCACCAGACCCTTCATATGCCGCAAGCTCATTACCCTTGCTTTGCCATGATCCACCTTCTCCTTGATGTGCGAGCAGTACCAGGTACGATCGCGCCAATGATGCGGTATCGGAGCCTATTTCCGTCGACTCGGCAACGACAGGTGAGACGAGTATGTAGCAGGCATATTGACTGGCGTCTGTCATATGACGTACAATTATTGGCTGTCAACGTAGTGAAGCTCAGCCGTGCCCAAGATTCCATGCCTCGCCAAGCGGGAAATGCCCCTTTTGGAGCACCGGCACGTGTCGAGCACGATTTCCGCTCCAAGTCTTGCGATTTCAATCGCCAAGAGATCTAGATTTACATGCACGCCTTACCCAATCAGGCAAAGTGGGCGATGCACCAGCTCGCGATCGTTCGAACTTTAATGAGAGCTTCACCATCGCCACCCTGTCTTCGCATCACTTTTTCGGTCCGTCACCAACTCGTTCGCGGCTGCGTCCCTGCATCGGACGGTGGCCAATCGCTGTTCGGCGACCTCCCTGCAGCTGACGTCATACCCCGGTCCAAGATGCTGCAGCAAGCATCACCAATTTTGAATCGGATCTCCTCAGACACAAGCATCTGCAGTCTTCCGAGTGGAGGCAGTCTGGAATAGCTGACAGATGACATGTTTGACTTAGGGCCTCGTTCTTAGTGCCCACGAGCCTCGTGCCCAAGAATTTTCGACAGACATAGCTCCATTGTCGCCCTGGGGTCATGACGTCCCACACGCAGTGAGCCTCTCCTTCGCCTGTGTTGCCGCAATGCTTCTGGGATTCCTAGCTAGGCGGTCTAGGTGATCGTTTCACCCTCTTAATGTTGCGCCGCAGCTGTTCTTGGCCACTGTGCAATACTTGCGATTTATCCATTTGTTCCTGTTGTTCCTTCCCACGCGGTTGCACTGCTAGCGAGAAGCCCACCAACCCGGCCATGTCTAAGCAGGCCCGCATTGTCCTTTACATCCTCCGTCGGGACATCCGCCTCTCCGACAATCCGGCATTCCACGCTGCTGCACAGCAAACGCAACGAGCTAATAGCAGGAAATCCTCGCCTAATGGTGAGCGCAGGGGCCGTGATGATTCCTTGACCTCGGAACACGGCGGCGCGCCTTTTACGCACTTTTTGCCCGTATACGTGTTTCCCCCCAAACAGATTGAAACTTCCGGATTCCTCGCGTCGCCATCAGACAAAAGTCCATATGCCGAAGCACGCAGCCAGTTTGCAAAAGTATGGCGTACAGGACCGCATCGCGCCAAATTTATAGGGCAGGGTGTTTGGGGTCTCAAGCAACAACTGGAAAACCTAGGTTGTGGATCTGGCCTGGAAATGCGCGTGGGCATGGTCGACGAAGTAGTCCGGGACTTCATTAACTCATATTCCCTCAAGGATGGAGAAGATGAGAGCAAGCCTAAAATCACCGGAGTGTGGATGACCAGCGATGATGGTACAGAAGAGAGGGATGAAGTCAAAGCTGTGCGAAAGGTCGCTGCAGAAAACGACATACCATTCAAATTATGGGCTGACGAGAAGTTCTACATAGACGAGTACGTCATGCCCACCTTTACATTACAGCCACACCATTCAAATTACTGATCTTAACAGTCGAGATCTTCCTTTCAACGATATCGCTGATCTACCAAATGTTTACACGACGTACCGCAAGTCGCTCGAACCACTTCGGGAACGCCCACGGACCCAGCTTCCCACACCAACAGAACTTCCGCCACTCCCACCAAACATACCTGCGCAAAAAGCGCCGTTCAAAATACCGACCACATGGGATGGCCTCCTCAGCGCGATTATGACACCGCTTGAGACGGATCCAACATGTGCACTGACAGAGCCTCCGATCTGGCCAACGGATGCACAATCAGCACATCCATTCAGTGGTGGAGAAGAACACGGGCTCGATCGAATCGCACACCTCATCAGAAGCGGTGCAATGAGCTCATATAAAGCCACGAGAAACGGCATGCTCGGGTTGGACTTCAGTACCAAACTTTCTGCATATCTCGCACAAGGTCACATTACCGCACGGCAAGTGCACTGGGCCATGAAAGACTTTGAAGAAGGACGTGGTGAAGGAAAGGGTATCGCAGGTTACGGCAAAGGCGAAAACGAGGGCACAGCAGCTGTTCGGTTTGAGCTACTATGGAGAGACTACATGCGCCTTTGTATGCGCAAGTTTGGTCACAAAATGTTTGCGCTATACGGCATTCAACCTCACCGTAAAGGTCAAGGTGATGAACCCATATACAAGAAGAGGTGGCGAATGGTACATAAGCCCAATGGCGCTGGCGATGACCACAAAAAGAATATGGAAACATTCCAGCGCTTCCGGTCTGGACGTACCGGAGTTGGTCTCATCGATGCTTCGAACCGAGAATTGTTCTGCACCGGATATACGTCGAACCGCGCACGGCAAAATGTCGCCTCTTTCCTCTCCTCGCATCTCGACATCGACTGGCGTATTGGCGCAGAGTGGTACGAGATGCTGCTTATCGACTACGACGTAGCCAGCAACTGGGGGAACTGGCAATATGTCGCAGGTGTAGGCAACGACCCGCGACAAGGCCGCATCTTCAATCCCGTAAAGCAAGCCTTCGACTACGATGGAAAGGGCGAGTACATCAAGGCATGGGTGCCGGAGCTGCGGCAACTCAAACTCACCAAGACGGTCGCCCCTGGAAAGGAAGAAATAGATCAGCAACGACTGATGTTGCTCTACCAAGCGTGGAGGCTGAGCGATTGGGAAAAGAATAACCTCGGTCTCAAGGGATGCGAATGGGTCGAGCAGCCTCTGACCCGCATACAATTCTCGGTCGGTCGCAAAGGGCCACAAGATGGCCGTGGAAAGAGAGGAGGTGGCGGCGGAGGTGGAGGTGGAGGCGGAGGCGGAGGAGGTCACTGGCGAGCCAGTGGGCGAGGACGAGGCAGCAGGGATTTTCGACGAGGGAACGAAGAGAGGAACAATGTTGCAAGATACGACGATGGGCCAACGATAGTCACATCAAGCGGCTAGCAGGCGCAAGAGGAGGTTTAGGTTGGAGATTTGGGTGTTGGAGTATCTAGGCATTGTCGTGCTTTACCTGCTTGCAGGACTTGTGGGGAGCTTTAGCTTTGCTTGTATCGTGTTAGAGAATGCATTTTATTCGAATGTACTCTCTCCCTTGACAACGAGACGATGTGGTTCTGTGAATGGCAATAGAAAGGCATGTACTGATGCTGTAATAACAACAAGATAATTTGGCGAATTGCTCGGTACGTATAGCATACTGCGGATAGACATGGCTCTCGACTGATGCATACAGTCTCATGCATGGCGATGGCAGTAGCTGCTGTGTAACCTACATCATGTCGAGCTTCAGATAAGACAAACCCCGCGTGGAGGCAGCACCTGCGAGGCTACTCCGCATCAACAAGTCAAGAAATTTTGCCAGAAAACCACGCGAATTGAGCTATGAACGTGAATGATTACGCCTAGATGGCTACTACAAGCAGTCACAGTTCTGCAGTCATTTGTGCCGAGAACATTGCGTTACTCTCTGTACTACATTCAGTGCCCCATCTTCCATCGCGCAATGAGCTCGAGCCGAGAACGCCGTTCGCACAAGACTACACACTGTCTTTTCCAAAGGAGTTGATGCTTGCAGAGGCTTTGGCATTCTTAGCAAACGACGCTGACGATGTCAATCACATCCCGGCCCTCTGCATCGAGCAAAATCCAGCGAATGGTTCGTTGAATGTGTTACTAGCTGTGAATAGCACCGATGGGAAGAGCGGGAAGCAAAGCTTGCAGCGGCTCAAGAAAGGCTTCGATGACCTTTTTGCCTTGCTGAAGGACTCCCCGCAAAGTGGGTTAAAGCTACTTCATGTTGGCAACGCCATTAGCTAACAGGTTTCTTCTTGATCAGCGACTGAGACTGTAGTCTTCTCGGCAATCGTGTCCATGTGTGCGAAGCGTATACTCTTAAGACTGAGACTCTTAAAGAACGGTAGAAACTCACAAAAGCAAAGCTTTCAGCTCAAGCTGCGCTCCGCGATTTACTGCCTGAACAAGGATGGCTCCACAGGCTCAAACCTGCAGCGATATAAGCCACTGAGCGATTTTGTTGAGATGGCAAGACTTATCACTAAATCAGCGGATGCTTGGGTTAATCATCAAACGACTATGAAATTGAATGAGCTAGTAGACTCAGTGTACAATCTTAAGCAGACGATAAACATTGAGGCACTGTCTACCGCCATGACTGCTCGAAATATGGATCCAGGCAGTCGCAGAAGCCTAATCAACACCATCAACAAGGTGGCAAGATATCGCGAGATAGCCCGTTCATTATACCGAATGTCTAGAAAGAACACTTTGCTCCGACACCTGGGAACTCATACCTGTCAATCTGCCGATAGCGGCATTCAGTCGACCTTCAGAAGCCCTTGCCATGCCAAGTTTGAGAGATACTTTCGTCCGAGCCAATCCACTATGTCGGGAAGCCGATGTCAAACATATGCGTCGCCTGATCAATAGACCAGACTACGACGTGAACGCGCAGTTCGCAAGCCAAGTCACCAATACCCTTACACAATCGAAGATCCACGCCGAAATCCAACTTTCCTACCACACCGAGATGAACCCCTCAAGGCTCCCGCCACGCATCGTGGCGTCACACAAAGACGCATGTTTCCTCTGCAATACCTTCTTAGCCATGCACGGTAAATTGCACACAGCTCGAACCCATGGCCGCCTATATCCCGGATGGCGATTGCCGTGTATACCAGCTTTTGCAGATTTGGAGCAAAGCTTCAACGCAGTGTTAGCGCGTCAGATCAATGCCAGTCTCTCCACGCTGTTGTCTAGAGGGCAGAAGACTGTGTATCCAGATCCGAACGAGAGCACGTTGCTCACCCTGCCTCATTCTGCGTCGACGCTGTATAGTCGGTGTTTAGAACAGGTTCTCAGAAGGCCGGGAATGGCTTGTCGGCGAGAGGACTGTGCTAGCTGTGGAGACTACCATTCCTGCACCTGTATCCGAAGGAGAGCTTGGAGACACAAACGACGAAGAATCCGGATGCTCGAATACTTCGTCTGGAGAAGATACAATGGAGCATAAGGTGAGCAAACTGTCCGGTGCGACAATTGAAAGCGAAACAGCAGTAATCGGTGGAGAGAACGTGGCTGCTACCGTTGATACCCTTCAACGCAGCCCCTCCACAATCACATCGAACTCTGACGCGGGCAGCGAAGTAGAGATGATGCAAGGACATCCAATCAGCATGAACAGAGAACATGCTATTGTAAAGGCTGGAAAGCTCCACATGCATGTGGAACACCCAACCCAATCTACGAATGTGCATCATATCCAGACCAGCGAGCATCCTACCCATGTGCTCGAATGGCTCGATGAATCTGGGACGAAGAGGCTGGACGCGATAAAAAAGCTTGAGATAGTTGATATCGAGCATTTGAAAGAGGAGAGAACATACAACATCATCGATCAGGGCTATTTGCTTATCGTTGCTAAAAACGTAGTTGTTCGGCTTGCACTACAGAATGAAAAGTTATGATTGCGACGTGACAGTACTGTACCGTTCTGTGACTATATCTGCATTGTCTCGATTAAAGGAGAAAAATTGCAGTAGACGCATAAGAAGATGTGAAGAGTAAGTCAGCCAGGACGAAGGTTGACAGGCGCCTGCCTAGGTAGTCCCAAAGAGGAAACGGCACTAGCGCGCATCTCTTGCCTCGGTCCAGCCATGACTTCCGAGCAGCGTCACGCTCAAGCGTCGCGCTGCCATAGTTCGAACGCCTCTTCACTCAGACTTCCGCGCATCACGCAGAAATAGCGACATGTCAAACAAACCAAAGATCCCCTCATGGCAACTCGCCTCTGCCGAGAAGCCCGTGGAAACGCCATCAGAGGCCGAACAACAATCGGAGCCGACGGAGCCATCAGAAGCCAGCACATCTCCCATTGCAGACGCGCCAACACCAACAGAGAGTGACCTGGACGAACCAGAGCCCTCAAGTCTACTCGATCAAGCGAAGCGCTTTCTTGACGATGCGACAATCCGCGATGCGCCACGGCAAAAGAAAGTCGCGTTTCTGGAGTCCAAAGGCGTGAGCGCAGAAGATATAGAGACATTGCTAGGGGCAGAGTCAGATGAGAAGCCTTCTGCAGGACTGGAAGAAGCAGGAGAGCGTGCGTGGTTAACCGTAAGTAAAGCAGCGTCATCTTCGCAGGAATGAGTGAGACTAACATGTGCAGACGCCTTCAAAGCCAGCCGAAGCACCACAACCGAGTCCACCTCCCGTCTCACAACCACGTGAGATACCCCCAATCGTCACATATCCCGAGTTTCTTGCCCAGACCGAGAAGCCACCGCCATTGATAACTACCCAGCGGTTGTTGACCACGGCGTATGCGACAGGAGGTCTGATGGCTACTCTATACGGCTTCTCAAAATACATCATCGCGCCCATGACACAGAACCTCACAGAAGCGAGGCATGACTTCGCGGCGCATACACAAGAACAGCTGGCCGAATTCAACAAACGATTAGGAGAGTCCGTCTCGGTCGATCCTGCGACCAAGGCGAAGAACAAGGCTACGGATGCCGCTGACGACGTATCAGAAGCCGATTCAGATCCCACAGAGCTTTACCACCGAGATTACGGGACGCAGACCACTCCAGAGCTCTCGCGCAGGCCATCAGTAGCCACCAACGACCCCGAGCCCATCGTGACTGGTCACGAGAATCGTCTCAAGATCATCAAGTCGCACTTGCAAGAACTAGAATCTACGCGGTCAAACGACACAGCATCTGCAAACTCACTAAAGACGAAGGTCTCCGATTTGACATCCTATCTGAGCGAGATGAGCTACCAGAACCAGTACTATTCGAATATGAACGGGCTCTATGGATCGAATTATGGATTAGCGGGCGTGAAGGACGGAAAGAACGATCAAATCGAGGTCCTGAAGAATGACATCAGGGCTGTGAAGGGTGTGTTTTTGAGTGCGAGGAACTTTCCGACGGGAGGGCGGAACACGTCTCCTATGCCTACTGGTAGGGTTGGTGCATAGTTGGTAAGGGAGTGTAAGAATAATACAGCCATGCGCATATGACTTTGAGACTGAGTTACCGAGACGTGAATATGTAGAACACACGGTGGACTGGACACGGGACAAGGAAGCATTGCCTGACAATAGTCCAGGCTGTTCTACGAGAAATAGGACGGAACTGTCTCCAGCCTGTCACATGCCGTATTGCTGGAATGCTAGTAGATGATCTGCGTAACCGCAGAGATCGCCCCCACTACATCGGATTGACGTCATTCCCAAAACAGCAACATCTAGGCAGCTCCATCTATCCTTTACACGACCCTCTCAAGCACTCTTTTGCTCTGCGAGTCAAGATAGTTAACCACCTACACCATGGCAAGTTGGGCCCCAAAGCTGCCTTTTGGGCAGCACAAAGAGGAACACAAGGACGAAACATCACTCACCACACTCCTTACGGCAGACCAATGCGCGGAACTCACCTTACTGATAGCGACGATCACGGCAACTATGCGGAAATCGTTACTCCAAACCTACACAGCTGAAGAAGTCCAATCGGATGCAGCAATATCGAAATCTGAAGAGGATGCGCTGAGGAAAGCACCAACTGATCTGGAGGCCGTGGATGTTGCAAAGGATGACAAGGTAAAGAAAGAGCGAGCGTCACGTGAAGAAGATGCGAAAAAGGAACTGGCACAGCCCGAAGCGCAGGAGCTCAAAAAAGAAATGTTGCAGTATTTCGACGAGTGGAGAGGCAAAATCATCAGCAGAGTGGGCGAGATAGTGAACTCGAGGGAAGAAGCGAAGGAGCAGACGAAACATGTGGGGGACACAAAAGCACAAGAAAGCGTCGAGAAGAGCAAAGTCGGCGTCACCAGCCTGACTAGTCTTGACGCGAAAGACGATGATGAGGAGAATGCTTTCAAAGAACTGTATCCGCCTGCGGAGACGCAGTTGTCGCAGCTAGATGAGAGCAAGCGAGCACTCATCTTGCATTCCATGGTCCTCATATTGCTCAGTCTTGAGCATTACTCGGCGCACTCTCGCATCCTGATCCTTTACATTACGAGCTCGCTCAGACTCTCCCTTTCGGTGCTTAAGAAGGACGAAGAGACAGTCGCCCAGGGCCTTCTTGAAGCGGCATCGCAGCAGCTCAATGCTGACGCGGAGACCAAAAAGGCTGCTGAGGCAAGTCAAACTTCGCGCAAGTGGAAGGTTGGGCTCGCTTCCGTGGCCGGTGCAGCACTCATTGGTGTTACTGGTGGTCTTGCAGCTCCGCTTCTCGCGGCCGGCGTAGGATCGGTGATGGGTGGCATCGGTCTCGGGGCCACAGCTGCAGCAGGATATCTCGGCACCCTAGCTGGTTCGTCGGTACTGGTAGGAGGGTTGTTTGGTGCATACGGCGCCAGAATGACTGGCCGTGCGATGGATGATTACGCGCGACAGGTCGAAGACTTTGCATTCATTCCGATACATCGCTCGCAGGACCCAAAACATCAAGATAACGAGTCCCGTCGCCTCCGAGTCGCCATTGCTGCGTCAGGCTGGCTACGTGAGCCGGAAGAAGTCAGCAAGCCGTGGCGATACATTGGCAAGGGAACAGAAGGTTTCGCGCTGCGTTGGGAACTCGAAGCTCTCCTCAAGCTCGGTCACAGCCTCGAGACCTTCATCACTAGCGCTGCATGGGGTTATGCAAAGAAGAAGATTCTTGAACAGACTCTCTTTGCTACTCTCACTGCTGCTCTCTGGCCTCTCGGCTTATTGAAGGTTGCAGGCATTCTCGACAACCCCTTCTCCGTGGCCAAGTACCGCGCCGATAGAGCTGGTGAAGTCCTCGCCGACGCCCTCATCAACAAGGTCCAAGGCGAGCGCCCGGTAACCCTAGTCGGATACTCTCTGGGTGCTCGTCTTATCTACTCTTGTCTGCAGAAACTCGCCGAGCGTCGTGCTTTCGGTCTGATTGAGAACGTCGTCTTGGCTGGTGCGCCGTGTCCATCAGACGTAGCTGATTGGCGCCGTGTCCGTTCTGTCGTCAGCGGTCGTGTGGTAAATGTCTTCTCCAAGCAAGATTACATCCTTGCCTTCTTGTACCGCACGTCCTCAGTTCAACTTGGCGTCGCCGGTCTCCAGCCCGTGCTCGGTGTGCACGGCATTCAGAATGTCGATGTCAGCGAACTCGTGGACGGACATTTGCAATACCGCTATCTGACCGGTTCCATACTTCGGAAGATTGGATTCGAAGATGTTGATATCGCGGAAGTCGAAAGAGCGGAGGCGGAGATGAAGAAGCAGCAGGAGGAAGAGAAGAAGGAAAGGGAGAAGAATGAAGGTAAGACGGGCGGAGAGGGTGAGGATAAAGAGAAATTAGAGAGTGAAGTGGAAAAGAAGAACCAGAAGAGCTTGATGCAGGTCATGCAGGAGAAGACCCAGGGTTTGAATATTGGTGGGTTCTTCGGTGGTGGGGAGGGCAAGCAGGATGTAAAGGTACAGGGAAAGACTGATTAGTGTAGGCTTTGCAATGGTGTGACCATACACGACTTTCAAATTTACTCGGGACCAATCCAAGATACATGTGTTATATTTAATCCAGCATTCTTGAATCAACTGATCCTGGGAACGCTGGTGTTTGAGCGTCCTGGATCATTATTTTCCTCGACTAGGCATTGGACTAATAGGATCACCTACTATCATTCATTAGCACAAAAGTGGTGTGGTGGATCATCCTGCCTGAATAAGATTACAATGTTGGCCCAAAACAACGAGATTAGTAGGCTGAAGGATCAAGGGGTGGCCGCCGTGTTTGTTTGCCTCAGCAATGGGATAGATCCAGCCGGGACGGCAACGGCCCTGAGTCCTTGGTATACATGGCAAATCTTGATAACGCAAGGCAAACCTGAATATATCATGGTTGACGTTGTTGACATGGCTGAGATGTTGCTTGTCTGCAGGATGACTGCTGGCGGCCTAGACCCGAATAGGCTTGGGTCAGAGGAGATTGCCGTTGTTTCAACTCGTGTGGATGACAGGAAACGTCGAAATACCTTGTTGGAACGGTATTTGGGATACCGAGGTAGTATAGCTGTCGCAATACTCTCATACCGTTGATTTACGGTACCTAGGTACCTTCGCAAAGGCCTTTCCTTCACGACCTCCACGGACATCGGACAGCCCCATAAGTGTTGATAGAAACACTTTCAATGTTGCACAGCATCGCCCATCGTCCCCACATGTCCTATCCTTAGGATCCATTGCAGAGACGGGCAGTTGCACGCCTTACCTACGCCACTGTTTCGGCCAGCCTGATGCAATTCAACACAAGAACATATGTCACCATGAAGCCGCTGTATTGCAGCCGGCAACCATCTGGTTGACAGTCCACTCGTTTACACATTCGTTTCTAAAATGCTCTTTGTTCTTTCTGCTGCTGTTGGCCTGCTGGCTGGGCTGGGCTCTTGCCGTGTAGTCCCGCGTCAGGCTGTGACTAAGCCGGTGTGAGTGAAGTGATGCCAGGTTGAGATGGGCTTTGCTGATATTTCGAATCAGGACTGCACACTATATGATAGGAGATATTCAGGATGCTCATGTTCGACAAGACATTCTCGACGCAAAAGCGTTCGGGCTCGACGGCTTCGCTATGAACTACGGCATGTACATTAGCAGTATTCATCGTTGAGAGATTCTAATCAAATGTAGATCAGTTCGCGGAATGGTCCAACCGCACAGTCGAATCTCTATTCAAGCACGCTGACGAAATCGGCGGATTCAAACTCTTCTTCTCCTTCGATCACGCTGCAGGCCACCTCAGCGGAGATCCCCTCCAGTACGCAGACTACTTCAAGTCATACAGCAGCAGACCATCATACTTCCACTTCAAAGACCCAGCAGCCAGCATCGGTAAACCACTCCTCTCTACCTTTGGCGGCGAAACAGTCCCCGACAGCCAATGGGCCTCTTTCAAGCACACAGTCGGCGACGTGCTCCTCGTCCCCGGCTTCCACGAAGCCACCCCAAGCCCTACCTTCTTCTCCAACCGCGCCAGTCTCGACGGCGTCTTCAACTGGAACTCCTGGCCCTTCCCCTCCGCCGGGCGCGCCCCCGTATCCACCGCCCAAGACACCCTCTTCCACTCCGCCACCCTCCAAACCCGCCGCATCTTCATGATGGGCCTGTCCCCCGTGCAGTTCAAACACCTCTCCGCTAGCCAGAACTGGTACCGCCGCGGCGAAGACAACCTCGAGCACCGCATTGCCCAGATCCTCGCACTGCAGCCGGACATTGTGCAGCTGCAGAGCTGGAACGACGCGGGCGAGGGACACTACATGGGCAACCTATGGACGGAAGCGCTGTTTCTGAAGAAAACGCGCGATCTGACGGACGGGTATGATCACAGGGGGTATTGGGAGGCGCTCACGCCGTTTATCCGCGCGTGGAAAAGAGGCGATACGCAGACGGCGGGTATGGTGCCGCTGGAGGGCAGGCGCGTTCAGGGTGTGTTTTGGCACCATACGCTCACTGTCGATGGGACGTGTGAGAGTGACGACGTCCAGACTTCCGAGTCTGTGGTTGCGCTCGCAGAGGACGCCGTGTCGGGCATTGTGCTTGTTCCACAGGACGTGACGAATCTCGTTTCGGTTGTTAACGTGGGCGGCAAGGAGCTTGGGAAGACGGCGTTGGTGCCGGGGTTCAACAAGTTCAAGTACACGGGTATGGGCACGGGGAAGGTGCAGTTGGAGGTTTGGGAGGGGAGTACGATGGTTGCGGGGGGGTATGGGGCGATTGAGGTGGTGAGAAGGGCGGAACTGTGTAATCATCAGTTTCAGGTTGTTGGGTTTGCTGGATGAGGGGGTGGAGGTTGGCTTGTTGACAGATTATATTTCTTGATGTAGTCCTAATGTTGACGCACTTGTGTGGTGCCTTTACTCACTATCGATTCATCACTGATCGCTTCGTACTAGGGAACTGAAATTGAACGAAAGACAACGACATGAGTGTTCACGATTCGATTGAGTTAGGTGCGGTGTTTGCCATTGTGCACGAGGATAACATATAGATGGTTATGGGCAGGTCATCTAGGAGGAGGTCTGAAGGATGGAGGAATGAGAAAAGAGCCAGCTAGAAGGAGGCACTGTACGAGCATCGAAGAACACTGCGTCAACAACGTCTCATGCTTCGAGGAAGAACCGAAGAAAGCTCTTAGGTGCTAAACTCAGCTACAATAACGCAGCTCAACGTGAGACGATACATGGTCTACTGTTGGGCTTGATGTTTGGCTCTGATGGCTGCTGATGCTGCTGCTGCCGCCTCCAACCCCATGCCCACACTGCTCTACTTCCGCCCGACCTCACTAACAAACCGCATTAGCATAGCGCACACATCAGGTCAGTCGTGTGATGCCAGCATTGCCCGTAGTGCTGACCTTCACCGCTCCGTCTCGCAATGAACACACATCTTAATCCCTCAACAGACGGTGACATCCACCAACACTCAACCCCGCTCGCGTATCCTTCCTGGCGCACTGTAGTCGAGACTACAAGTAGGCCGAGGGTTTCCAAAGTAGGACCGACGCCAAACTTTCAAACGTTTTGTACAACAATGTTCCGACAGGGCCGAAGGCGATCACCGCCGCCCTTGCACTTCTGACAGATCTGAAGGCCCTTCCCTCGAGGCTGTGCATGCACGTCGTCGTGGCGTGAGCATCATCTGAGCAGTCGGGTGAACGGACCGAGGATTTTGCGGTGAGAAAGGTAGCGTACGCGGACACATTGACGGGCTGAATCTTGGGAGGGTCAGGACTATCGACGGGAGCAGAGACTTGCTCGCGTCAACAGAAGACAGCTATTCCTCGTCTATCCGCCTAAGTTGACTTGAAGCCTTAGTACTTCTGCAGGAGAGTTTCGGCCACTGCTACGGGCGAGTGGAAATCGATAGTGAGTGTAAACCAACACTTCGCCAGCGGCTGGCTGACTCTGGCTTCTCTCCGCTTTGCTGCCCAAGCCGTGGATTATCCGTTCGGACTCGCGTGGGAACAGATCGTCTTTTAAGTTGCAGGTATCAGACAGATCCCAGTGTTAATTCCAACGACGGTCATCCATGACGTGTCTCGTGAGAGCGGCTTCCAAGAGCTTCTGCTGAGCTCATCTCCGCAGCGACACGCTTCACTCCACGGGCGGCTGTCAGGTTCCTGATCGCCATCCACGATGCCTCTCAAGCATATCCTAGATTCGACATTATTTACTGACCTAGCCGACGGTGGTATCCCTACAAGCATTCTCAGACCGTCCCGAAGCGCTTCATATCACCCTCTTACCATCGAGTGATCTGTGCCGCTCATGCCCACGCATCGTGCTGCAAGCCTCATCTCTCGAGAACTGCCGATGGTGTCGGGATGATCCCCGCACACGTGCGTACGCGAGTGTCATACAAAATGCGCGCTCTTGCCTAGGTACCCTAGCGCCCGCTAGCCAACCAAATTTCTAGAGGACGAACGTTGGTCCGATCAGGGTGATCGCAGCAGTGGGGATGCATGAACGATCCAAGCGGTGTGTTGCATTTGCGGGCTTGTTTCCCATATGCGTATAAGTGATGTGCAATAATTCTTCCGCATGGAGTAGGGCTTATCCCAGCTGCCAATTTTCTGGTGATGACTGACTGCTGACATCGCGCGGCGTGCAATTCGCTTGACTCGTAGGTCCGACTCGTCAATCGTGCGCAAGGGACGTCCCCGAAACTTACCAGCGTAACGGAGGAACGATGGCATTCCAGCACCAGGGAACTCCCAAACGCACAAGATGATCTGATCTAAGCACTGTTACCAGGACAGACAGCGCGAATTGACAGCTGTCGCGTTGCTGTCGCAACTCATGGCTCCTTTTCGCTTCGACGGCGGAAGGCCAGACATTGACATGCCTTGTTGGAACTGAAGGTGCCTGTTGCGATGCCTGTTGCGCATCCAGCGTGATACTCACCGCAACGCGGCCAAGATCCACAATAAGACCGCATCTTCCTCGGCATTTCTCGTGGGATATGTGGGTTTGTCACAGAAGTCTACGCGTCGATCACAGCGGGCCAAAGAAATAGCGCCATGGCAGGCGTTCGTGGTGGGATGGAGTGTCAGGGTCGGCCAGATGACTTGACTTGCGACAGGTGTCCGGACATTAGACTGCTGTGGTATCGAGGATTTCCTTGCGGCGTAAGGTAGGAAGTGGACACCGAACCCACGTGCTTGAGTGCGCGCTAGAGTCGCAACGGGCGCACATGGCCTATGGGTAACGCCGTCGAAAACATGCTTCGAGAAGGATGGAGGTCCAGGGATGGACGCTGGAGAGAGGCAGAGATGAGTGGCGTGTGACGTCGCGTAGTGCGGCAGCACCAAATCAACTGTCTAACATCAACATGACAATCCCAGCCACGCAAGAGTGCAGATTACCACGCGACAAGCTGCTGTGGTGCAATCACCGCCCATGATGCCAACGGCTGCAGCTCCCGCAGTCATATACGAGGCATGCAAGCAAGACACCTTCTTGGCTCTTGGCCTCAACCACAAGGCCGAGTTATTTTTGAGCCCCGTAATCCTGTCACTTGCACGTTGCGATCCGGGACAATCGCGGCTCGCTTCCGAGATTTGCCTTGTGTTCGATGTCTGGTTTGCTGGCCTGCTGGCGGCGACCTCGGTTGCGAAGCTACCTTTCTATCGGGTCTTAATTACCACCATCTCAGCTTCGATCTCGCAGTGACGATACGATCATAGGCCAACTTGTCGTGATCATGCGCCAGCCGCAAGCGCCGTGTATTGCTCGCGGGTGATGTGCAATGCAGAAAGATGGTGGCATCGCGGGATAATGATTCAGCGAGACAATTGCGTGAAATGAAGGAAGTGGTTGTGAAACACAAATGGCGGAAATGGCTGCATCGAAATGTGTGTTTGTGCCGATCCTTCTGAGGCCTCACGCAGTGGCTTTACGGATCGACCTGACCGTGCACCCGGTTCGCAAACGCCCAAGGGTCTCGCTCCTGCGCTGAAGCACGAACCTGAGGCTGCGCCTATGCCGCATTTCCCCAGCCCCGTTGCTTTTGACACCTGTGGCTGTCCTCGCCTAAAGTCAATCGCATCTCTGTGTGCCCTTGAAGTGCTTTTAGATGATGGTGCGGCAGGATTGCTATTTGCTTTTTCGCGTTGTGCGCTTCCGTTCAGCGGCAGCGCATGCTCAACGGACGCAAGACGGAGAACCTAGCCATTCTCATTGCTTCTCAACGGTCACGGTGTAACTTGAGGGGAGGCTAATTTGGACGTCTGCCTTTGTTTGTACTCAGGATTCTCGTGAATCAATATTGCATCCATGCGCGGTCACTTGCATATGTCGTTTCTGTTCTGGCCCAAGTTGGTTGTGGAACGTTGCGCATCCGATGCAAGCTCGCTGTGATCTTCCCGCTCCTGCGCAGCCGCGCGTTTTGCGTGTTGATCTTTCTTTAAAATGGAAGCACTTGACTCAAAGTATTTCGATTGTCAAATGTTGGGTCTAGCTCCATCGAACTTAACGCCATGGGCCCGGAGGTATCTCGCCTGTGCCGGGCGCATTTGTGATGTGGAAGCAGTGTACTAGAACTGTGATATTCAGGAGGCTCGAGAATGCCGACAAGGGTGTAGTTGGCAATGGTGGAGAGCAAATCACGGCACCCGGAGAAAGGCCTTGAGAATTCAACGTTGTTTTGACGGTCGTGTTGCAGATCGTGTGATACTCAGCCATGGTCGTGGTAGCCATGCACCTCTAGAACAGGAGAGGAGAGTGTTCCGCAGGACTTTCTGGTCAGACTACATTTTCCTCCCTTTGGAAGTGCCGCTTTGGTCTAGCAATGCACTGTTTCGAACAATAGAAGACAAGATGTCAGTGTTGGCGTCTGCTACACTCGTGTTGCACAAAGCTGAACGGACCATATACCGTGCTAGCAGATCAGCGCCCACTACGGGGTTCAATCAATAACAAGCTGCAGAGAAGTTCAAATAACAAAAGGGTGTTCTTGTATGCGTAAGTCTTCGTTACGAGAGCCCATCCCTGAGTGTCGTGTTATTAGCAGGCAATGGACTGCAACTCGAAGATGACGTGTAAAGGGGGTTTCGTGGACATACTGTGGTTCATGCATCGGCGGGAAGTTACAAAGAACAAGGCGACAACTTGATCTCCGTGTAGGCATGCTGCACGGTGGAGTGAACATGGGGAATCCTTCAACCTCGAGCTTGTGCACGGAGAGCATTCGTCCTATTGAGCCCGAGCTTGCACTATGTTTGAAGGGTCCATGCGGTCAATGCGAACAACACACACTACTCTGGCTGCAGGATACCGCGGCAGAACAGTCACAGTCAGAGATGAACTGAAGCTTCGTTTAATAACATTGATTTTGTCTGTGTTGACAGATTTTGCAGGCGTATGCGCTGGAGTAGATACTTTACTATGGTACAAGAAATGAAGCAGACCTGATGGTTGCCGAGAAATCGTAAATAAGGCGGCCGAAGCACGCTGGTGGGATAAAGAAACATTACCGCCTAGAGCGGATCTGGATATTGATGAATGATCAAATGGACTCCGAGAAATGCAGGACAGGACGTAGACGCTTGGAAAATGGCCTGGAGAACGCCGGTGCGAGAAAAATGGACAATGGTATCCTGGAACTTTGCACACTCTAAAGACTGTTGGTTGAGCCGCTGGTCTGAACTGATGATGCTGGTTCGCCTGACGCCTGTGAAGAAAGACTTGCCAGTTCGATTACTGTGTCGTTATGTCGTGATCGGAGCACTCGTCGCCGCGTGGCAGCCGCGCTCATGACGTTTCATGTTACTTCGTACGCTGAAAGCTTTGCCACAGCCTGGTTGAGGGCACTTGTAAGGCTTCTCGCCGGTATGGCTGTGGCTGTGTATGCGCAGACTGCTTGGTCTCGAGAAAGCCTTGTTGCACGTCGAGCATATGTAGCGATCTTGCGACTGAGGAAATGCTGACTGGCTGGACGTGCTGATGTAGTGGTGGTGTTGCCATGGGTTGGAGCCAGTGGCACCAGGGCTGGGAACAGGTACCGGGAGGGGCATCCCTTGGGGCTGGAAGTGTGAAGGGAGCGGTCTCTGCGCATACATGCCCATGTTGCCATAGGAATGTTGCTCGGGGGAGTAGAAGGAAGTCGCTGATGTACCGCTGGGCGAGGAAACGTAGGGAGACTGGGCGTAGACCGAGGCACCATACGGGGACATTGAGTGCGCTTGCATCGAGTCGCGCTTCATGGGGGGCATTGCAGCCGTCGGTTGGCGCTGTTGGTGAGGCTCAAGGTTGTTCAACGAGCCACTGTAGTACGGCGCTGACGCCGCTGAGTGGGAGGAAGCAGCTGAAGGTGAGCGGTTGCCGTCGCCAGCGACATCTGAATGCATAGGCGGAGTCGGCGGCAGAGTCATCCTGTGGGTGTTCACGGCTTGGGGTGCTGCACTGTAGGCGGGTGTTTGCTCAGGTCGGGTCGTCTGTGGCTGTGGTGGTTGCTGCATGGAACCTGCCCCTCTATGCTGTGCCTGCCTTGGTTGCGGCGATGTGGACTGCCGATGTTGTGACTGAGGACTTGTGGCAACTGCAACCATTAGAACTGAAATCCAAGGAAAGTGCGATCCAGCGTATTCTTACCTGTTTCGGACGCAGTGTTATCACCACCAGCAATCTCCAGTAGGCTCGAGATGGACGGGAGTGAGGGCAGAGAGGGCTTCTTTTCTTCCGCAGGTGGCGATGGCGGCGACTGAGGGTGTTCCCGCTGGTAGGTGTGCTGCTGTGGTTGGCGTGTGTAGGGGTTGGAGGGCGCACTTGGGGCGCCGTATGCTCGTGGGTGTGTGTGTTGATAGTAGGCTGAGGAGGGTGGTTGTTGGAAAAGCCTCCCGGTCCCGTACGCTGCCCGTGTACCATACTTGCTAGATGCATCGCCATGGAGGAGAAGGAAAAAGTGCACGGGTCACGACAGAAGCTGCGTAACAGGCGAGTATAAGCAAAGAGTGTCTGCAAACAAGTATCGACGGTATAGAACGGGGGAGTGGTTCGAGGGCGGGTACGGGCAGATGCAAAGTGCCAGAACTTCGGGCCTGCAGTACTCAAGTACGATGGGCAGCGGATTGGCGAGATTCAGCACGAAGCCCGTTCACACTATAGCGCCTCTGGTGAAAGGCCGTGGTGACCAAATCGTTGCCAACGGGGTGGGTCAGACAGCGGTCGACGGGGCCCCAGCAGCCTGTGGTTCCCTGTCTTTGATGGCGGACGAGGCGGCGGGACGTTGTGACAGCCAGACGCCCAGGGTAGCTAGCGGAGAGCTCAATGCCCTGCAACGGCAATGCAGGTGATAGCCTGAAGCGGCCTAGCGTGCGATGCGCACACTCCATTCACTATGCCTTGGCCGAGTGATCCGCCCACACATCCCAGACCCAGCCAATCTACCAGCACCGGCGAAGGTGCGCTTTTCGGACACTGGCACCTCAAGGGCGTTGCAGGGGCCCTGGTCCAAATCCAAGGACAGGCCGCGATGCACCGCAGATCGACTGTTCCAGGAGAAGCCTGAGGATAATCCCCAGGGATCTCGGAAGCACACTGCCAGCCACGCTGGGTCCGCGAACAGGTGCAGACGCCGACCTCAGTGCCTCCCTAAGCCTCTCGTCTCCCCGGGGCGGAGTAACCCACACCGAGCACAGTTGCAAACGCTGCCAGCGTCGCACACGCTTGGGGTCACGTAGTCGCCGACTGCTGCTGCTCGGTTACCAGGGCCGGAGCGCACCAGAAATCCACGATGCGGCTGTCTGGAAGCGTATTGCCGGGATCCCAATAAGATGCCTCCTCTCGGATATGCGATCGATCGAGCTCCTGCTGAGCACCTCCTGCAAGAAGGTAAGAGTCAGACAATAATATCCCGACTCCCAGCAACACAGCTAGCTGGCAGGAACTGTGGGAAGGGCCAGAGATCCGCCGACGGTGCCGTTGCTCACCAAGATCACCTCAAATGGCTGACGAAGGATTCTGCAGGGGGGCAAACGCTTGGGAACAGCCAGATGCTGGGGTTTCCGAAGGGGACAGACGTGAGACGACCCAGAAACCATTGCCCCATTCTTCGCTTTAAGCATTCCCGCCACCTGCCCTGTCATATCGCCTGCAGACCTCCCGCGGGACTTTTCCTACACTCGCAAGCCGAAGCTGCCAAACTAAACAGTAGCACTAGCATCGCCGTGTGTTGAAGCCTTCGCTGGGGAAGCGAGCTGGCGCCACATGACGCGAAACCTGTCTAATGCGTCTTCCGCTGGCTGAGACAAGACCCAAATTGAAGCCGCTACTGCAGTGTCTGGCCACTCTGGACAGCGCAATCGGGAAAAACCCGCACCGTGGATTAGAGAGGATCTGACCGAAATGATGCACATGGCTGCAGCCGCTGGCGAAGCGAAGCATCAAAGGCGGGATGATGTGACGGCAGTCTCGAGGGAGGTCGTCAGCCAACGTTGCACTCAATTTCGCTTCTCAGCAGAACCTCAAAAGTCACGAGAAACAATTCATGACCGCTTCTGTGATTGAAAGTTCCACAGCCTTGACTCGCCTTGGGACTGCCTACAAGCACGTCTCCGCACCCTCTCCTTGCGAAGCTCTCACCGCACATTGGCAACGCGGGCAGGCCCCTTCAGCTAAGATTTAGGTGCATCAGATTCAGCACGATAGCACGCGCGGGACAGCAAAGAGAGGCGGCTGGACGGGTGATGCGCCTCTTTCGAGTAGCCTTCTCCGGGCTCCTACGCGATGTTCTCTTGATGCCGCGCGAGCGGATAATGGCGTTAGACCATGGGCCATGGCTTGGCCCCGTTCGTCTGTGGAAGATCTCTGAAGAAGAGGCGGGTCGATCAGCACAAGCGCATGCAGCTAATCCCGGAGCCACGTTGGCTGGTGCCACCACCATCTGCTCACAGCAACCGACCTTTGCATTGCCCAATGAAAAACACTCATGTCGTCCTCTCGAGACGACTTCTCGAAGCACAGCACGCGAGCCAGATGACACCGCAGCGCACCACATGGCATTTCGGTCATACATCTTCTGGAAATCACTGGTGGAGAATCGCGCCAACCATGCGACGGAGCCATGCAGTGTCAATCATGGCGATATGGCGCATCTACCGAAGGGCCGTCTGCGGCGACAGGCTTTCACTGGCAAAACACTGACTACGGTAGGCGATCCAGAAACCAGAGGGCACGGATCCTGTCTGAAGTCTGTAACCGGGGTCTCTGTTGATGGAAAATCTGGCTGCTTTTGTGTGTCGCGATTCGCGGAGCGCACCCACGACCCTGGATCCTGCACCCGTGGTGGGTACCGAATTGGCCCGAGACTCGGAACAAAATCATTCGTTTTCGCTAGATGATTTCGAGACGAATAGCCTACGGCCGCCAGATAATCTCCAGCGTGCTAAATGAAGCAACGCTCCCAGCACAAATCGTCTTGGAGCAAATCCCACTATTTTGCTTGCAGTGTTGTGGTCGTAATGAACCGAAACATAAGCATGGTCTTCGCGAGGTGTCAGCGAGCGTGGGATCAACAGGGGTACCTAGGACCACATGTTGACCCGGGACATCATTCGTGTCAATCGAGTGATGATCTCGGCCTTTCTCAATTGCGAATCGGCACGGTAACGGCATCCCCACCATCTACTGTGTAGATTGTATTATGCTGTTTCTTCCGAATTACTCGACCTACAGCACGTGGAATGCTTCTGGAAGCCATTCATTTCCGTGGTAAGGTCCAACGTGCTCGGACGGAAAGTGAACATGATCCCCCTGGAAATCGCCTGCCTGGGGCAGGCCTGTTCAGAGATCGTTGCGCGCTTTCCACAGCTACGGACGCTTCACGCTACATCATGGCTGCAGCCTTCAAAGCACCAATACATGCAATCAAGAGGTCGATGCCTTTACATCTGTCGCGCAATGTTTAGCTATGTTGTCTTTCTCAGCGTCTCGACGTTAAGTGTCGGATGCATTGGTCATTGGAGGCCTCGTATGAGAGGAACCTTATGTCGCAGAGCGGTCCTCGCTCAGATCCATCCAACGGCGATCATCCCAGACATGCAACACGTCGAACCTCAAGCTACGGTCGCTCGACTTGCTCGAATGTACTTTCGTGAGCCCTATGGTCTTATTGTTTCCTTTCGCACGTACTAATATTCTTGGAATTGGTAATATATGTTAGGGTCTGAGCACCCCTTAGTAAGTTATCTCAGAACGTTACAGTGTTGTTGCATCAGGAACGATGCCCATGCTTCTTACTACGTATGGATTTCCAATCCTCAATTCTCACGATTCAAAACACCAATCGCAGGTTCGTGCTGGGCAGCTCTAATTCTAGATATGGCCTGCCAATCGTGCCCTTGCGCAAGTCCCACCAGTCACTTATTCGTGCTACTTACCAGGATCGTACCAAATCTTCAAATCAGAAGAGCAAAGTGAGGCGAGAACAGACAGGAAATGATACTTCCCGCCTTGCGCTACTCGAACAAGCTCTCAAGCCTGGATACATGCTTCCAGAACACATGGCCCGTTCGGCCGACCTGGTCGATGTGCTTGTGGTACCATGCCAACGATCAAACACATGCGACTCATTGTTGGCCTCAGGTGGAGCCCTGACCCATCAAATTATCAGTCAGCGAGTCGTCTGGTATCTCGGCAATGCTCATGGTTGGATGCACAATAAGTTCATCCCTTTGGACCTTCGGACGGCAACTATTGAGGATCCAGTAGATACCGCTGTAACTGGTGTAACCCTCTCTCCACAGCATCAATTAGACTGGAAAAAGACGCATCTATACCTGCCGAACCCTGTTGGCTTGGCATGGTCTTCTAACGCAGTGAGGCGCCGCCACTCTAGTCTCTTAGCTGTCACTACACGTTTCACACCAATGGTTCCTAACGGTCACATTGTTGTTCGCAGGGGGCTCGGGATTGGGACGGAAAGGCAAACGCTATAAGATGTTCAGAGTTTGGCCCGAAAGGGTTGCATGGGCCCAAAGAGGTCAGCAGCGAGGATGAAGAGCGGTCCACGGCGTTCGAGCCCTGGTCCTTGCCTACCGTTTTGAGAATAATTCCGGAGCCCATGACGCCACGACAAGGGCTCAAGTGCGGCCGGCGAAGATCGATTACCACAGCTGGTCACACCCAACACGCCGAATGTGCGCGGCTGACCAAAGGAGCCCCTGGACTGCGAATGCGGACCAAGTCTCAGATCAGCCGGAATCCCTCTTGCCCCCCTCTGGGCTAAAGGCTGTGGGATCGATATTACTTGTTGGTAACATCTGCCGCGCAGTGATGTGCCGTCCACCTGGGAGATGATCGGTGCAATTTTCATGCAAACTGGGCTCGGCACAAGTTGTGATTTCTGACAGGCACTTGGAAAATATTAGTGCGACCGAACTTACGAACGGCGCTTCTGTATTAAGAGTTTCACCTCATTTCCTCTTCATGAGGCCCACTGTTACAGGACCTTGAGGCCTTCATCTGCTAGCATGTTCTGGCGTAGCAAAAGCACATGCAGAACAGTGGTGTAACTGGAGTGGGTCAGATTGATCGTGGCTTCCGACCCTGATCTTCAGTCCTTCACGAAACTACGTCTTCGATTTGGATACCTTTGGGAATTTCTGATGCTAGTGACGCCAGACGAAGTCCAGTTTGGCGGTCTCGGCAAGGCACAACTGCTCACGGCTCAGGCTCTGCCACGCGCCGTGTTCATCTCTTTCGGGCATACCCACCAACGTCCGGTTACGCTTGCCTCGCTTCCTCGTGCCACTCGTGTCCTCCAACGTGGTCTCCACAGCATGGCTGAATCTCTGCTTGCTTATTCGTAAACGTTGCAAGACAGGTGCTTAGCACCGAATATCCTTTCCAACGTGTGCAGGCATCATTTCCCCAGCGTGAAGCACTCCACGCCATTACGAAATTTTCTTGATAACAGGCTTTTGAGGGCAGTGCTTGAGGGCCAACCTTATCAACAGTTGATACTTCAAGCCGACAAATCCGCTTCTGTGGTCCAGTGATCCTTCCCGGGGCCCTCTAAGACGCTTAAAGCACCGAGAAATTGCAGCATGATGCTGGCGCTGTTCGCGGCTGCATATGACCCCTGCCTCATAGCGCCGTACGACGGACGCAACATGGGCTTGATTCTACCGGGGCTTTTCCACCACTGGGAGTCGAACGAGTGATCCGATGCCTCCCAAACGTCAAGGGGCTGCGATCGATGCTGATCAATGCTCGAAGAGATCGACGTGAGGTTTTGCTGGAATTGCGGATTGTTTCGAACATGACACGTTCAGATCAAAATGGCGCGCGGTACATACTCGTCCTGTGCAAGCGGCATTGTCCACTGTTCATGCAGACCAGTGAGTGCCTCAGTCCACGAACGGGCGGGTACTCAACATTATGCAAGTCTTGAAATTGTTCAACTTACCAACGCATGGAAGTGGTCCCATCGGCGATACAGCACCGTCGTACAGTAGGACGACAGGGCAGTATCCCCGCCGTTGCAACACATCTTCTAGCTAGGGATCATTACTGTGTCTTCGGGCAAATCGCGGGAGTTTGCCCTGGTGACGCTCACAGAAGTTCCACCGATGCGGGCAAATGCGATACAACCCCCTGTAGCGGTTCCTTTTTGAACCCGACAGAAGCAGCCCTGGCTGCACAGCCATCACATCCATTGTGGAGGATTAGGATCTGGTCTGCAACGTCCGCAGCGAGCTTAGATGGTGGAAGACCAAAGCTCTCTTGTGGTATGTACGATCTATGGCATTCTCCTGCTACCCTTGCGTTAAATATGGATGGCGGATGCAGGACGGAATTTCGGTAAGTGTACCAACAGAAGCAATCGACTGAAAGAATGGGCGGCACCGAGACATTCGTCTCGTCCCGTGTCAGTTGAGCCACACCGAAACCTGGGTGTCGGTTTTCGGTGTCGGGAGCTGCCCGAAAGATTGTATCACTATCCTAAACATCAATCTATCGAAAACATCTTCCTCGACAGTCTGGTAGGAGTCCGATACGTGCCGCTCTGCAGCTTATACGGGGGGCGGAGGATCACACAAGGCAGGGGTATCATGATCCTCGTGTTGGTAAGCCGAGGACTGTGGGGTTCCCATGCTAAGATCTCCATGTGATTCAAGATTTCAGCTAATTCTTCTCATCATTCAGGTTTCGGGGCTCTTTTGGAAAGTGTCCGGCGTTAATCAAAGTCTTGACATGACGACACACCTGCTTTGAAATAACTGACTAACGGCTATCTCGATGCCACCATCGCGATTGTGGGTATGGCCGTCTGATCGTTCGGCGTCCCCGTCTTGGTTTATGCTGCACTGAGTACCCATGACGACACGTACGTACGACCACCACCCGGTACTGAGGTTCTTCGCCGACCTACAGGGCTGCATACGCATGTCTCTGCATACACTGTATTACTTTCCATTATGAAGACAAAGAAGCTTGCATACTGATCCTTTCACTACCACACCCGTCCATGGTGGCGCCATAGGTGGAATAATAATGATTACCTATCGTTTTTGCACAGCGGCAGCACATCCTGGAGCTTCCCGCTCACCCTCCCTTCCCTTAGCAGCCCATCTTATCGCCAGGCAACCCTTCGAGAAACTGCAGCCAATCTACGTTGCATACGCGAAGTCGATCCCACACCACGCGAAATGACGTCCTCCAATATATCGTGCTTTCTCGCGTAGCCGCCTAAATGCAATCCCTGAGCCCCCTCGACACGCGCCCACGGTCTATACTCCGGCAACGGCGCGCTGTCAATAACGGCCTATAGTTGCGATATATTAAAATATTGGGCGAATGGTGTTGATGCAATTTTTGACAGGTCCGCCGCGTGGGTGATGATCGCTCCGCCATCCATCCCTGGTGCTGATCGCGTGGGTGAGCAGATGCTGCGGGCGGTGACTACTCGCCAAAAGATGCCCTTGCTTGCCATATAGCTGATGGGCTTTATTACCTCCAGCGGTCGTCTGATGCGGTGTGCAAACCCAGTCAAGGAAGTGAACGACACGCTAACACGCACATCTTCTCACGTCAGAACGTACCTGTGCCACAAAACGTGAGCGAACAAGCCACCTTCGGCGAAACCACAAAGTATTCTGGTCGTCCCCAAAAGGGTACTCAGCATTTCCTAGTGGGTGGTAAGCAATTTGCAGCACCCAGGTAACTCAGCGAGCTATCGTTAACGATGTCGGGCGTTTGCTGAGATCTGGGTGCAGGATGGAAGTGTGGAAGCGAGGACCGGACGGCGGACTAGATATGGCTCGGTCGGCGCGGTTCAATAATAGGCATGAGGATATAACCACTAGCTGCTGCCTTGCGAATTCTCCGTTAACCGGTGGTGGGAGGGCAAGGGCAAGCGAGCTAGGGCGGTGGTGCAACTCGGCTCATTTGAAGGGTAAGTAATGCCTTCAGCATGCACTAAAATTCCACACCGCACCGAAAGACGCGCAGGTGCGGCTGGCGACTGATTCTCCGGCGGCACAGTGAGCGGTTGATGCTCGCGAGGGTGGCAGTGACCATGATGTGACTGCCCCTGGGCCCTGGGAAAATTGACTCCGGCGGTATGCTCCGACGTGGTCATCATGTACTGTGTAGAGTGCAGTTATGCAGTCTGAAACAACTCGTCTGAATCGACTTTGCTGGGTCATACGATGTTGCTGATCAGTCTGTTGTAGTGATAAAGGTTCCGACACGTCGGAATTACATGACATGTTTTATTGAACAATCTTGAGCAATGAAAAGCCAGGCGTGGGGGGCACGAGTTGACGAAGACTTTGCGTGTCCTCCATGTCATGAGCAGATGCTCAGCGTCTTCTTCATCTAGCTAATACAGTTTACAAGACTCACAAAATTGACTCTAGAAAGGCTTACTGAATGTCTTCATTGGTCCCAAATCACACTGTTCATTGACGTATGCAGCACTCCTCTCAGCGAAACACTCTGGCATATCCCGCTGCTTAATCGGGTCAGAAGCAGCTTAAACAAGTCACATTTTCGTCTCTCAGTCCAATATCAGCCGTAGTTCGACTCGGTAGAAAGCAAACTCTATTGCACGCGACTCCCCCTGACGAGTCGAATGCCAATGAGCCTGCTAGTTCATCAACGTGGTGATGAGTGGATTGGAGAATTCAAGCCACCACTTTCATAGTGCTGTGCGCCAGGTCGGAAGCGAGGGCTTTGCTGAACCACTCGCACCTGCGCTGTGCAGTCCTTGCCAATGAAACTGGTAGCAAGAGAGCCCCAATATTCGGCTTGGGCTGGAAGTGTTGATGTTGAACCCATCTGATTGCATGTAGTGCTATTGATGCGAGATTCGTTGTCTAGACTTCTGCGAGCCATCTTCCTGGCGCATTTTCTGTCCTTGCTTCGATTAAACTTGTACAGTGTTCTCTCTCGGCGTGGTCAAGTCATGACCAGATTTGTATCATCCTCTGGGGTTCCCTTCGTCGGTTCGACGTTCGTGACATCTGCACTCACACACTGTCAGATAGTTGACGCAATGTATCAGTTTTCTGGCAGCCCGCACCGATCCCAGCCCAAATTAGTCGTGCATTATGTACACCGAAGCGTCTTGTACAAACGCTATTGATTCGAGTACTTCAAGCACCCGCATGAATTTTAAGGCGCGAAAACACTGCAGCTTTGGCATTGCGATCAGATACAGTACATGTCAATCGGTTGTGAAGGCATGTTTCTACTTACATGGTACGTGAAGTTTTGAATATTAGTAGTGCTAAAGTTGCGATGGATCTTGCATATTGACCGGTATCATGGATAATCCTACGCTGGAAGTTAACAGCATAAGATAACACTGCTTTGGGGGAGAGTAATCAAAGTGGCGTATGGTGTCTCAGCTGTCATCTTGCCGACAGAACCGTGCTATGTATATGATGCGTAGACTATCAAAGGCAGATTCCTGGTGAAGAAATTCATCCAGCTCTCTTGACCTCATGTCAACTTTCCCCTATGAGCTTTCATCGTTTTGCATGCTCTGCCACAGCGAGCCTTGCCCAATTGGCACTGAATATCCCAGCTGCGCTGTATGTCGACTGAGAGATCAGCCATAAATTTCTTGAAGGCTGCAGCAACACCATTCGGGCTCCGGATCCCCATCTGTGAGAGATAATAGCTTCCGAACAGCTGAATACACCTGACTGCGTCTACTCCGCGATGATTACAGCATAAGTAGGTGCGATAATTATATCATGGGCTAATTAAGGAAAGTATCAATATATAAACTATTCTACATAAATTTCATAAAAAGCGTCCATCAAAGATTCCAAGGAAAGAATATACAAGAACGAACCAACCATTCATCATACTTACCATAAACTTATACTCCCTATGAAGCGCAATAGAGCTCACTTGCCCCACGGACAAGGCTCAAACCACCCCCATCAACAATCCATCTAGCACTGACGAACATACAGCCCGATGGGCGAAGGATTATAATCCTGGAAGTAATCCAGCGCGAAATCGCCCTCACTGCACATCTCATACGCCACTCTCTGTCCCGCCGCGCACTCGCCCGATGCAACAACATATGAGTTTCCAGGCGCGACAGACATCTTCGCAACCTCACTGTCCTTAGCTGGCTGATTGGCGTACGAAGTCTGCTGATCCGCGGGCCCGCTGAGCTTGGAAAAGCTGCACTGGCCGTTACCAGAGACAGTGTAGCTAGATGTCTCGAGATCCTTTTGCTCGGGGAAGAGGAAAAGCACGGTGCATTGCTTGCCGGCGTACGAGGCGGGGATGTCGAAGTTGAAGATGGAGCAGGTGGATTTGTTGACTTTGCCGTTGTAGGATGTTCCAGCGGCTTTGTTCGGCGAGGTGGAATCGACGGGGATGATGAGGTGCGGGTATTGGTAGGCGCCGTTTAGGTCTGTTGGGCAGGATCCTGAGGGCTCGGATGCAGGCTGACTTGGCTTGGGTGCAGGCTGCTCAGGTGTAGGAGCTGGCTTTTGTGAATAGTCTGGCTGAGGAGCAGGGTGCTGGGGCGTCGGTGCAGGCTTCTCGGAATATATAGGTTGCTCTGGTGTTGGAGCGGGTTTCTGCGAGTAGCCTGGTTGAGGTGCAGGTTGTTGAGGCGTTGGTACAGGCTTGTCGGAGTATGCAGGCTGTTCGGATGTTGGAGCGGGTTTTTGTGAGTATCCTGGCTGAGGGGTAGGCTTGCTAGGCTTAGGTACAGGTTGCTCTGAGGGAGGTGCAGGCTTTTGTGAATATCCTGGCTGACTTGGCTGAGCTGCAGGCTTGCTAGGCTGAGGAGCAGCACCAGGGCCGCATGATCCAGCAGAACTCAGTGAGATTTCAACACACTTTTCCTGACCCGGAGCCGGCTCAGTGTATACGTTGTACTCGCCATTGTCGTTGACAGGGCAGGCGTAAAACTTGCCGCTGCCATTAGAGGTGATTCCTCCATTGGAGCCAATGGCAAAGCCAGTGGAAGGTGCGGCACCGACATCGCATTGGAACTGCGTGGTCGGGGGCGTTAGGATACATCCGCGTCCGTTCGAGTCCGTGAATCCACCATTGCTCAGGCAGTAGCATCCGGTAGAATGACCGCCGCCAACACGGTTCTGTCCATCACCGAGCTGACCAAAGACACCTGAGACTCCTCCCGAGGCTTGGAGTTGCACACACTGTGCGGCCTCTCGGGCAACGAGGGCGTTGGCACTAAGGCCGAATGCTACTTGAGCGAAAGCGTACTTCATATTGGCCGATTCGTAAGATGAACAGATGAAGCAGAAAGCAATTGAAGATAAGAATGCATTGTTCGGTCAGAACAAGAAGTGCGCTTTATACCTTTGGCGGCAGAACCGACAGTCTGCAATGACATCGTTGTCTGCGCAGTGATGCATAGTTTATACCGAAGTGGCCCGCTGAACTGTGATGTTGAGGCTTTAGCAAGAGACGTAGTCCGTCATATCTGCGAATATGATGTCAAGTAAGCAAGCTTTGTTCAAGCTTCGTTGATGTGCGGAGAACACGGCTCATATTACTGCTTCCAACAACTACTTTCTAGATGGGGATAGCTCACGCTGTCACGTAACAGTATCGTGGACCTTCGCTCTTAGTCGTCGAGAGAGAGCCACAAAAGTGGACCATTCAATTTTGATCGACACGCTCGAAGTTTTGTGGGGTGATCGACAGGGCCATCGATCAAAAACAAAGAAAGACATGTAACTCATCAGTCCATTGAGCGATCCAGTATAGAGGTCAAGCCCGCCTGTCTGATAACCACCTTTTTAGTGTTGACCAACGCGGCGCCTGGATGAATTGAATTTCCACTGTCAAAGAAGATTGCGATGTGATCTTGAAGTTGCATGCTGACAGGCTCGCAGCGACCTGGGCGGCTCAAGCGTCCATTCTCGACGGAGTGGCAAAGACAAGCGGGGAACTGGATTCACTGAGAATAGAAGCAAGCCGTTACCCAGCGTTTTTAAGTGTGTACACCGGTGTATTTACGAGAGGCTTATCGAATGGAGCGTAAGGTGCGGGCTCGGAGCGTCGAATGAGGGTTGACGCACTTGCATGTGCATGATGCAAGATCACGTGAACGGGCCGGAAACAGATGTCATCAGGTCCGAGTAGACGAGAATGGACCAAAGTGGATATGCATGAATGAACAAAGAACCTGAATGGAGCAGAGTTCTTTGTCCCTTTTGGCTTCGCTGCAGCTAAACGCGTAGTTCCTGTGTCAGTCAAGCTTCTCCGTTGCTTCGGCTGGTTCTCCGACAACGATCGTCAATGTGAGGTAATGGTGGAGCTATCAAGATCGAGATGCTCATCAAGAACACAAATCTTTGCATCCTGCTGACGCGTTGTGAACCAGGTATAGGAAGCTTCGTGCCGTGAAGCGCTCCTGGGTAATACTTGGACGAAGCTGAGGAGGCGCACACGGGGCACAAACTGATGGGTGCAGCCTGCTCAACATGAGCTCCATTGAATGCCCATTTCTTTCACATAGGATGCTGCCTGTCTAAGTCTTGAGGTAAATCGTAGCCGGAAGCTTGCATGATGAGGTGAAGGAGCAGACTGGAGTTAGATTCGCTCCTGTATCTTAGGATCAGTAGGAAGAGCCTTTCTACAGGCCGCTCGATTCAGGCGTTGAATAGAGAAATTCCAGCAGTTTGAGACAGACGAAAAGCGGTTGACATATCCGTTGGAGATGGGGTTCCGGTGACGAAGGTGACAGGCGACGAGAAGAGTGTTCGCAGTAGTCGGAACTTCGGAAGTGGCGCCCAGGCAGGATCGGCAGGAACGATGGGGTTGTCCCTGAACGTCGAATCCTCGCCGCCACGACAATCGCTGTGCAGCCCTGTCACATCTCGACGCTCTTCTTCTCGTTCGACGATAGCCAATGCGCCCTGGAAGCGCTCGCTTGCTGATTTCGCAGTGGGTAGCCAAACAATGTCATGATTCATTGCTAGTATAATCATCGGGCCACACGCTCTTATTGTTTCAGAAACTCACATCACCGCCGTCATTGTGTCTGTCGTACACATATCGCGAGTCTATTGCTGAGACTCTACTTACACCAACATGTCCTTCTACGAGCTGCGTCGCGGCAAGTACGCGAAGCTCGATGCGCCCGGCGACGACGATGTCGATACACCCACGCGCTTCTCCTCCGAATCGACCGGCACCCTCGAAGACCTCGAAGAGCACGACCCCTTGGCATTTGACAGCAGACTGAAGCGCAAGAAGAGCGCTGGCGACCTCAAAGTACGGAAGGCTTCTTTTAAAGATGCCGAAATCGCAAAGCAGGGATCATTTGCCAGGAGGAAGACGCTCGGCCGGTGCTGCTGCTGGTTCTTGACGTTTGTCGCGGCCGTGGTACTGTTGCTCGCCACAGGAGGCATATGGGCGTGGAAGGTGTCGGTACCAGAAGATGGGCTGAGCCCTCCCTGGTACCCTGCACCCAAAGGCGGAGCGGATAAGCTTTGGGAAGAAAGCTACAAGAAGGCAGCTGCCATGGTCAAGGAGATGACGCTGCCCGAGAAGGTTAATCTCACGACTGGAACAGGTTGGAGTATGGACATGTGCGTGGGACAGGTGGGAGGTGTGCCCAGGCTCAAGTTTCCCTCGCTTTGCTTGCAGGATGGCCCGCTTGGCCTCCGTTTCGCGGACAACATCACGGCTTTCCCTGCGGGTATCACTGTGGGCGCAACATGGTCTAAAGAGCTGATGTACTTGCGCGGTAAGGCTCATGGCAAAGAAGCACGCTTGAAGGGAGTACATGTGCTTCTCGGTCCCGCCATGGGTCCGCTCGGACGTATGCCTGCTGGCGGTCGCAACTGGGAGGGCTTCGGCTCAGATCCGGTTCTCCAAGGTATTGCAGCAGCCCAAACGATCAAGGGTATACAAGAGGAGGGCGTCATAGCGACCGCAAAGCACTATGTAGGAAACGAACAGGAGCACTTCCGCCAAGCCTGGGAGTGGGGTCTTCCAAACGCTATCTCGAGTAACATGGACGACCGCACACTGCACGAGATCTATGCATGGCCATTTGCAGATTCTATCAAGGCCGGTGTAGGTTCAGTCATGTGCAGCTACAACCAGGTCAATGCTAGCTATGCCTGCCAAAACTCGAAACTCCTGAATGGCGTGCTCAAGGATGAGCTTGGCTTCCAGGGCTTCGTGCAAAGCGACTGGCTTGCTCAGCGTGCAGGTGTGGCCAGTGCCCTAGCAGGTCTTGACATGACGATGCCAGGCGACGGACTACGTTGGGCTAAGGGAAACAGTCTATGGGGACCTGAACTCACAAAGTCCGTGCTCAACGGCAGTGTGCCGGTCGATCGTCTTGATGACATGGTCACTCGTATTGTAGCCTCTTGGTACCAGGTCGGGCAAGACAAGTGGGGCGAAGACAGCGGACCCAACTTCTCCTCGTGGACCAACGATCGCATTGGTAAACTACACGAAGGCAGCCCCTCGGATAAGTCAATGGGCGTGGTCAACAAATACATCAATGCTCAGGGTGAGGGTGAGGATGCGCACAGCCACATCGTGCGTCGTGTGGCCGCCGAAGGCACCGTCCTTCTCAAGAATGAAGGCAGGGTGCTTCCACTAGACCGTAAAGGCTGGAAGAAAGGCAAGCGACAGACCAAGTTCCGCGTTGGTATCTTTGGCGAAGACGCACGCCTGCCCCGCGACGGCATCAACCACTGCCCGGATCAGAGCTGCAACGAAGGTACACTTGCAAGTGGATGGGGCTCTGGTGCAGTCAACTACTCATACCTGGTCGAGCCCATGTCTGCGATCCGCGAGGCTTTCGACAAGGATAGCGTCTACGTGACGGACTGGGTGGAGAACAAGCTTCCCAGCCAGAAGGAGATTCTGCAGGAGCAAGACCTCTGCATTGTGTTCGCAAACGCCGATGCTGGCGAAGGCTATCTTCACTACGAAGGTATTCGAGGTGACAGAAATGACCTATATCTGCAGAAAGGCGGAGACAAGCTTATCCAGGACGTTGCCAAGGACTGTGGCGAGGGCATGGGCGATGTCGTTGTCGTAATTCACGCCGTCGGTCCAGTCATCATGGAGAACTTCGCCGACATCATGAACGTCAGGGCCATCGTACTGGCCAATCTGCCCGGTACAGAATCTGGCAATGCTATTGTCGACATCCTCTTCGGAGACGTCAACCCCTCTGGAAGACTCCCATACACCATTGCGAAGAAGGAGGAGGACTACGGTCCAGGCAGCAAGATCAAGTACCTTCCAAGCGTATCTGACGGCCTAGCTCCTCAGCAGAACTTTTCTGAGGGTCTCTACATCGACTACCGCCACTTCGACAAGCAAGATATTGCGCCTCGTTACGAGTTCGGATATGGCCTCTCGTACACTCAGTTCGAGCTCTTGTCACTCTCGATCGACGCAAAGGGCAAGAAGACACCGCTTCCAGCGGCTCGTCCCGCCGGCATTGTTCCACCAAGCTACTCCACGGAGGTGCCGGCTCCCGAGTCTGCACTCTTCCCCGAAGGCTTCCACAGGGTGGAGAAGTACATCTACCCTTGGATCGAATCAACAAAGGGGATCAAGAAGTCTGATGTTGTAGCGTCGCAGCTCCAGAGCCCCCTCAGCGATGCAGGTGGTGGGCCCGGCGGCAACCCGGACCTCTACACGGCCATCCTCGCCGTCTCCGCGTCAGTCTCCAACATCGGCTCTGTCGACGGCTCCACAGTCGTGCAGCTGTATGTTTCTTTGCCACAGGGCTACAAGGACCACGAGACTGGCGAGCCCGTAGACTTCCCAGTTCGAGTTTTACGAGGCTTCGAGAAGGTTGCTCTCAAACACGGAGATCAGAACAGAGTTACATTTGAAGTGACGAGAAGGGATTTGAGTTACTGGGACGTGAAGAGGCAGAACTGGGTCATGCCAAGTACAGGGGAGATTAAGATCGCAGTTGGCTTTTCGAGCAGAAATCTGCCGTTGGAGGGCACCTGGTAGATAGGCACGGCACGGTAGATAGGCAGTGGTGTTTGGGCGTTCTGGTAGATATCCTCTGAGCTATAATGTATTTTGGTTACAAGCACATGTCGCTCTGCCCCGGCGAACCAAGTCTGCACGAGCTTACAATTTTCGCCACGGTTTAGGCCGCGGTAGCGGTTTCAGGCTAGCCCGCGGATGGGAGAAAATCCAACCGTGGAAAATCGTTGGGCTCTCAGTGGCCGGGCCCTGAATAAGAGGGAGAATAATTTAGTCGCACCCCTCAACATTGAACGCTCTCCCACCGCCTTGTTTTTCTTCCTGGGTTTTCTGTTTCTTTGTTGCTTGCATAGACTCTCCACTCTTCCTGGGGCGTCCTCACACAGAAGATACCCTTTCTTTCCGCAGCATTTGCGTGAGTGCCGCTGCTTACGCTCCGCCCGCCAAAAAATAGTTGCGGGTTTTACGATAAACGATAAGCCCCTCCGCCCACCATTTTCTGAGGGCCCTCTTCACACAACACACCGCACAACGACACGCAGATGCCACATTCTGAGTCGCCTCCCATGGCTCCTGCGATCGTCGTCGACAAGGCTGGCGCCGCTCCGGCTCCCTCAGCGGACGATGTGTCAGCCTTTCTCACCAGCATTCTGTCGGCGAAGACGTCGCACGCCTCGGTGGACGCCGCCTACGCCCTCACTACCCTCCTACAAAACTCAGTAGGCTTCCGCGGCCTCCACGGCTACGGCATTATCGACGAGATCAAGAAGGCCGCCAACAACAAGAAGGATGCCGTGAAGCGCGAGGGCGCCATGAACGCGCTCGGTGCGCTGTTCGAGCGCTTCCCGCGCACGCAGAAACTCGGCGAGGTCATCTTCCTGGTGCAGGAGGAGACGCTCGTGCCGACGGTGCTCGATTCGCTGGCAGACAAGACCGGCTCCGTCAAGGAGTCGGCAAAGTACGCCCTCGACGCCCTCTTCGACAACCTGTCCGCCGAGGCCAAGGTCGTCGGTCTTCTCCCCGTGCTCATCAAGTACCTGGGCAAGAAGTCGGGCAAGTGGCAAGGCGCTGTGGGCGCCTTTGAGCTCATCGGCCGCATGGCTGACAAGGCCAAGATGGGCATGGAGAGCCTCGAGGTCGAGAAGGAGAAGGACATCCTGCGCGAGTCCATGGGCAAGAAGCTCGAGCGTCTCATCCCCGTTGTCGAGAACGGCATGCACGACCTCAAGTCGGAGGTCGCAAAGCAGGCTCTCAAGTCGATGAACAGCCTCACCACACTCCTCCAGAACGACGACATCGCGCCTCGGATACCGCTGCTGGTCCAGGCCATCGAGGACCCCTCCACGCAGAGTCTGCAGAAGGCCATCCACGCTCTGTCGCAGACCACCTTCGTCGCTATTGTCACTTCGCCCGTCCTCGCCATGGTCACTCCCCTGCTCGAGCGATCTCTGAACACCCCTACAACCACCCAGGAGGTCACTCGCCAGACCGTGGTCGTTGTCGAGAACTTGACCAAGCTCGTCCATGACCCCGTCGAGGCTCGCGCATTCTTGCCCAAGCTGAAGCCAGGTGTCAAGGCCGTGCAGGATCGCGCATCTCTCCCCGAGGTGCGTGAGATCGGTGCGCGTGCGCTGGCTGTCATTGAGGCAGCCATCGCGGACAAGGACGGTAACGTTGATAGCGGTGCCATTGCCAGGATGGAGCCGACCGACGTCGCCAATGTCATTACACAGCAGATCAACGCTGTCGGCAACTTGAACAACTTCCCTGGAGACGCCGAAGTCTGGGCGCCTACAAAGGCCTACATTTCAGAGATGATCGCCGAGGACATCAACCAGCGCGAGATTGCTCGCATTCCCCAGCTCATCACCCTCTACCTGGAGCCTCTGATGAACCCCGGAGACGCCGAGAAGGTCGCCGAGGCAGTCCACAAGTTCTACCTCGAAGAGGACCATCGCAAATACGGTATGCCTGCCGAGATTGAGGAGGGTGAGACCGAGATCGTCAACGCAACATTTTCGCTCGGTTACGGTGGTATGCTGCTCCTTTCGCACACCAACCTGCGTCTCCTCAAGGGCCATCGCTATGGTCTCTGTGGTCGCAACGGTGCTGGAAAGTCCACCCTCATGCGTAGTATGGCGGATGGAAAGTTGGAAGGATACCCGTCTCAAGACGTCGTCAAGACGTGCTTTGTCGAACACAACCAGGGCGAGAACGCGGATCTCACCATCCTCGAATACATCTCCAGCGACCCTAGGTTCAAGGATGAGAGCAGGGACCGCATCATCGAGGTCCTAGAGGAGGTCGGGTTCACATCCGGTCCCGAAGGCAGACAGTCCAACAAGGTTGGCTCTCTGTCTGGAGGATGGAAGATGAAGCTGGCTTTGGCCAGAGCCATGTTGATGCGTGCTGACGTACTGCTTCTGGACGAACCTACCAATCACTTGGACGTTGCCAATGTTGCCTGGCTGCAGGAGTACTTGAAGAAGCACACCGAGATCACCAGTTTGATCGTATCCCACGACTCTGGTTTCCTTGATGAAGTCTGCACAGACATCTACCACTACGAGCAGAAGAAGCTGGTATGCTACAAGGGTAACCTCGCGGACTTCGTTCGTGTCAAGCCCGAAGCTAGCAGCTACTATACCCTGACTTCATCCCAAGTGCAGTTCAAGTTTCCTCCTCCCGGTATTCTTACTGGTGTCAAGTCGAACACTCGCTCCATTCTGCGCATGACCAATTGCACATACACATACCCTGGCTCGTCAAAGCCATCGCTCTTCGATGCGAACTGCAATTTGTCTCTCTCGTCGCGTGTTGCTATCATCGGTGCCAATGGTGCCGGTAAGTCGACGCTCATCAAGATTCTGACTGGTGAAGTCACTCCTCAGGAGGGCAAGGTCGAGAAGCACCCTAACTTGCGTATTGGATACATCAAGCAGCACGCCCTGGAGCACGTTGAGATGCACATGGAGAAGACACCAAACCAGTACCTGCAGTGGCGTTACGCCAACGGTGACGACCGCGAAGTGCTTATGAAGCAGACTCGTGTGCTCACCGAAGAAGACAAGAAGCAGATGGAAACTCCCATTGACATTGGTGATGGCAGCGGCCCACGAAGAATCGAGGCACTCATCGGTCGTCAAAAGTACAAGAAGTCTTTCCAGTACGAGGTCAAGTGGATGCACATGTTGCCCAAGTACAACACGATGATCTCTCGTGAGACTCTGCTCGAGCGCGGTTTCTCCAAGCTCATCCAGGAGTTCGATGACCACGAGTCTTCCCGTGAAGGTCTGGGTTACCGTGTCCTTGAGCCCAAGGTCATCTCCAAGCACTTTGAGGATCTCGGTATGGACCCTGAGATCGCCAACCACAACGAAATCTCTGGTCTCTCTGGAGGTCAGAAAGTTAAGGTCGTGCTCGCTGGTGCTATGTGGAACAACCCGCATCTCCTCGTCCTCGACGAGCCTACCAATTTCTTGGACCGTGACTCTCTCGGTGGTCTTGCGGTCGCTATTCGCGACTACAAGGGCGGTGTCATTATGATTTCCCATAACGAAGAGTTTGTTGGTGCGCTGTGTCCCGAGCAATGGCATGTTGCCGATGGGCGCGTGGCTCACAAGGGCCATCTCGCTGTCAACATGGACCGCTTCGAAGACTCTCGACCTGGTTCGTCGAATGTTAGCAGCAATGTTAGCTCGGCTGCGCCTAGCACGACTGGCACACCCAACATGAGTGACGCCGAGGGCAACAAGGACGACATGAAGTTCCGCGCTAAGAAGAAGAAGAAGATGACGCGCGCGCAGCAGAAGGAGCGTGAAGTCAGGAGGAGAATGAGGTACATTGAGTGGTTGAACAGCCCTAAGGTATGTTTGCTCCAACCTCTGATCTTGACCATATTTATTCTAACAACTATCACAGGGCACTCCACAACCTCCTAACACGGATGATGAAGCTGAATAGACGGACTTTGTCGGATGGGCATTTGGGTTCAAAGCATGATATCACGTCTTAGACTTTTTGCATTGCTGTGGCGTTTATAGATGAGCTTGTTTGTAGAGCTGTTGAAGACAAAAGCTCGATTAGATTATGATTTTGTGGTGTGGCATTCTGGCGTTCATTCTAAAAGTATTCATTGACATCCTGCAACCTCTTCGTGTTTCCAATGTCTTCGATGTGTTTGCCTCGACGTGTCCATTCAAGCTGATCCGAAGTATCATCCAGGTAAGATCAGAAAAGCTACATGTTTGCCTATCTCATTCCTTGAGCACGTGCACACCAAGTGCGAGAGGACGGCTGGTTCTTGTCCCATGCTCTTCGTCATACCCTTACCATACCGAACACACCGCTCAAGACTCCCAACACAAACCCTCATTTCCGCCACCGAACGCTCCTGCCTTTATGTCCACACGCACGGGCTTCAAACAATCGCACTCTCACCTCAACATATGGCGAAGGCAAACGCTCCTGCCGTGCGGCTTGGGTATATAGCTTCGCCTTGACGAGATAAACCTCTTCTTCTACACCCTCTCTTCATATTCTTCTCCTCTAAGCACATTCTCTTTACACCACCACTGCTTGCTACTCAGCTTGCAGCTCACTCGCTTCAATGAAGCTCCTCCAGGTCGCCCTCGCTGGGCTCGTCGGGCTTGCAGGGTTTGCAGCAGCCGCAAAGGCTGAGGCTCGCGGTGAGGTCATGACTTCGTGGGACAACGACGCCTCTGGCAAGTACATGTAAGTGGTCCGACCCCGAAGTAGCTTCGTGCATCTGATCATTTTGTGTAGCTGCACTGGCACCAACATCGAGCACTGCAGTCCCGCTGGTACCGACTGCGCTGGGGTCGAGAGCTGTCCCGATGGCTGCTTCGACACCGGCAATGGTGCAGTGTGTATTTACAGGGCTCATGGTGAGGCACGCGCCGCCGACGAGGCCACCCTCCAAGAGAAGTACGACTTCAACAATTACGGCACTACCGTGTAAGTAAAAGATCTCATACTCAACCGATGCTCATATTTGACACATCCTCTGCAGATACAAATGCCGCGTCAAACTTATCTTGGAGTGCTCTCTTCAGCGCGAAGACACCCCTCGATGCGGTCCCAAAGTCGCTAGTTGCAAGCATGGCTGCGAAGAGTTCGATACAGGCGCTTCCTGCAGACAGATTTCGCAGTCCGAATCTCGCCGCGCTGAATCTACACTTGATGCAGCTGAGAAAGAGACCTACGAATGCTCGAATGATCATCGAGGAAGAATGAGCTGCAACTATGGTTTCTGCGCCGTCAAGCCGGGAGACTGGTGCTGGAAAGGTTACTCGTGTCGCGACGACTGTGCCTGCTGCAAGAAGGATGGCGGAAAGACGGTTGTGGCGGATGCCCCGATTCCTCCTAAGGTACGTTCGTTCCACAAGCGTGAGCCTGCTGTTCTCGTTGGCGCACCTACCTAGTCAAGTGTCCTGGTAGCAACCATTGCTGCGAATCTCGGCGAGACAACCCACACGCTGTCCAGTGCAATTGCTAGAGCGGCTTCGAAGTTTACACCTTGTCTATCTACGCTCTTCGGAGTCAGGTAGCTCGAGTTCGATATATTCATACAATCAAGATTGAATAAATGTCATCCTTGCTCAGCTTTTTTTCCCTTTCCCATGTTTCGATCATTGAATGCTTGCGCCCTCAACCCTTGCTCCCAGCTAACACAATTACAACAGATTGATCATGGATCGGAAGCGCCCTGTACGCCCAGATATTACGATTGCCACCCTGGGAGCAGTGACTGGCTTCGCGTCTGCAACGCACAAGGCGAATGGGATCTATCCGCATTTTGTGGTAGTGACAAAGGTTATACCTGGTAAGCCAACGAAATACATTATAGAAGCAGGGGGATCAGGGGCTCACAATTTCGCAGCTGCAAAGGGCCAGACGGGGCCGTATCCAGCCCCAACCACAGGTGTGACTGCCGTGATCAGTCCGCAAGGCTGATTGCATCACCCAAAGTAAACACTCCTCGCGAGTACGCCGACACTACCACAACCACTGTCACTATGAGGGAAGATCCCAAGGACAAGCAGTACTGCTACTGGCCAGGTCATTATGGATGCCTCAACGGAGACCTCTACGTGTGCGATGCCCACAACATGTGGGTGCTATCTGCGAAGTGCGGAAAATCAAGCAAAGGCGAGGACTGCTGCAAAATCGGCCCAGAAATCGGCGTTGCTCGCTGTGTCTGTCCCGCAGCCGAGTCCTCAAATCTCCTCGAAGACCGCAGCATGGCCGACATCGAAGCTTCAGCCATCGGGACCGTCGCTGCCGACCTACCCTGCGGAGTGGTTGGCCTTCACTGGTGCGATGAAATAGCTTTCAGGGGTTTGTATGTCTGCGGGCAGAATTTCCAGTGGCAATTGGTTGCTGATTGTGGGACGACGAGCACTGGGTTTGGCTGCTGTAGGGCGGTGTTGCCTGGTAGCGCTTGGTGCGACTGTCGAGGCCTTCCTGGAGGTCCGCCTATGTTTCTACTCGCTGGTGTCAGTGCAGCTGCAGCTGCTGTTGCTGTTGATGCTGGTACGACCGAGACAACTGTTCCGACCACGAAAGATATTGCCTCTCGGGAAGCCCCGTCTTCCGTTGCTCCCGACTCAGTCACCCCCGAATCAAGCAACGAAAAGTGTACGCCTGGTCAATTCTGGTGTGAAACGCCCGGCTGGGACTGGGTCATTGTTTGCAACTTGAATGGTGACTGGGAAAGGTCAAACTTCTGTGGAAAAACAAGCGAAACCTATGGCTGGTAAGTCGCTATTGTTTGATCTCGGACGGATCTCCATTGAAAACTCCCGTACTTACCATTCCCGCAGCTGTAGGAGCTCCTCCATCCCTAGTCATTATGCAGTATGCGACTGCACAACTCTACCCGGCGTTCCACCAGCTCTACTTCACGACCGCGCTGTCGATGTAATCGGACAGGTATCTGAAGACATCCAGGATGGTGAACCTGGCGGCAAATGTTCGCCAGGAACCTTCTCATGCCGCCAACCTTTCGTCGACGGAGACCTCCTAGTCTGCGGAGTCAATGGCGTTTGGCAAATCTCAAGCCATTGCTGCGGACCATATACCTGCTACGACCCTCCAGGTGACGAGCAACCCCACTGCGAGTGCGTTCCGAAAGCCCTGGATTCCAACCTGGTCCGGGATATCGCGGGCAACGACGATGTAGCTGTCGAAGCTCCTCGCTCGGTCTCTTCTGAACGCTCAGCAGACCCAGTAGCACACGGTTGCTCACCAGGCACATTCGAGTGTAGAAAAAAGGGCACTGAGATCTTCCTCTGCAATACTAAGGGTTTCTGGGAGCTGAGTCAGGTGTGCAAAGGAGCTTCAAAATGCAATGTTCGAAGTAACGGCGAGGCGTACTGCGGCCCGGGACGACTTGACCACAAGGTTTCACCCGGATCCGCGATCTCTTTTGCACGCTCTGCAGACATCCAACAAGCATGCCAGCCAGGAGAACTCAATTGTAGTATTATGCCGGCTACTAATCAGGGTGTGATCATGGTCTGCAATGCTTCGGGACAGTGGCAGGTGAGTGCCTATTGTGGAGCAGGAGTACATTGCAGGGCTGGGGAGCATGGAGAAGTGTACTGCGATCCGAGAAGCTAAGGATCTTCCACACTGCTCACTGTAGCCATAGAAACGGCTTCCTCAGCGGCGAGGGCGTAGGATACGGTGAAAAGACGGCTTGATTGACAAGGGTCAGAGAAGGCAGGCAGTTGGGAGATGCTGGAAAGGGAGCCACGATGCCTCAACCATTGTGTCTAGGCAAATCATGGAGGGCTCTAAATGTCTTTCAGAGATGAATATGACAGAGATCTATCCAATTTCTTCTGCACTTGTCAAAGATTTGGCACATATTCGTGATGCCATCGTCGTGCACAGACGCGGGATCGATAGGTGGGGCAGCACCCGATCATCTAGACTGCTCTGAGCTAAGCTTTAACCCTTCCCGCTGCAACCATCGTCATACTTCAACGAGACATGCCGCTTGTACCCACCGCCTGACCAAGGCTTTTTCACAGTAGTTTTGTGGCATATACGAGTGCGCGTCAGCATGTAAATAGCTACGAAAAACCTCTCTCGTTCTTTCGACCTTTACACCAGCAAAAGCTCTCAACCGAGAGCAATTGCAACTGCCATTATGTCGTTCCTCATAGAACACGTCCGCCAGGCCTACAATGACAAGCAAACCCACGTCGTCATGTTCTCAGCCACGGCGATAGCCTTATATGGATATGACCAGGGAATGATGTCGCTGATTAACACCAACAAGGACTACCTGAAGACCATGGGCCTTTGGGAAGAAAGCCCCATGGTCGGCGTCATCGTCGCAGTATACTACCTCGGCTGCGCGGTGGGTGCCGTGCTCTTCTCCAAAGTCGCCGACAAAGTCGGCCGCAAGAAGAGCATCTTCTTCAGCCTGGCGAGCGCCAGTCTGGGAAATCTGATCATGTTCGTGGCGGGCATGAAGTTCCCGAACCTCGGGCTGGCGCTCATGCTCGTGGGAAGAGTCATCATGGGCCTGGGTGTGGGTGGCATCGACGCGGTCATCCCGACGTATTCGAGTGAATTGAGCGCCGACGACTCGCGGGGAAAAGCGCTCGCGCAGGAGTTCCAGTCGAACATCTTCGGGCTCGTCATGGCGTTTGGCATCAATCTGGGCGTGACGATTGCGCTGGGCAAGTGGAGCCAGTGGGCGTGGCGGACGCCGATTATCGTCATGCAGGTGTATCCCGTGCTGTTGATGGCGCTGATTGGCACGCTGCCGGAGAGCCCGAGGTGGTTCATCTTCAACGATAGAGAAGACGAGGCCAAGGAGGCTTTGGATGAGATTTATGGGGAGCAGGCAAAGGAGCAGTTGGATGATTTGCTCGAGCAGCATGAGAAGGAGAAGGATGAGTCCGTGGGGTATTGGGATATGCTCACGCCTAGTCATGCGCAGTTTCATCCTACGATGGTTACGATCATGTGCCAGGTCAATCAGGCGTTGACGGGATATGGAGCTGTGTCGGTTTACGGGCCGCAGATCTTTGAAGTAGGTCTTTTTGTCGTACATCGTAGTACTGAGCTAACCCCCATCAGCTCCTCGGATTCGACGTCCGCATGGCCGAATACCTGACCCTCGGCAACTACACCTCCTACTTCTTCCTCATGACATTCGCCTGGATCCTAATCGACGTCCTCGGACGCCGACACCTCCTCGTCCAAGGCTCCATCATCCTCTCTGCGTGTTTCGGCCTCCTCACCATCTTCGGCGGGCTCTCTGAAAACGCCTCCAAAATCGACATACCCGTGTACGTCTCCGGCATCATCGGTACCGTGATCCTCTTCATCGCAACCGGCGCCTTTGGTATCGGCTGGCTCGCAACCGTCTGGCTCATCCCCACCGAAATCTTCCCCACCACGTGCCGCGCCCAAGGCACCGCCATCTCCGTGATCATCTGGGGCCTGGCCAACTTTGCAATCACGTTTCTCACGCCCGTCATGTTCAACAACTTATCGTACTTCATCTTTCTTGTCTTCGCGGGCACGAATGCGGTTGCGGGTCTGTGGACGTATTTGTACCTGCCTGAGACTGGTGGGCGCAGCTTCGAGGAAAATCAGGACTTCTTCAAGGAGGCGGGTGAGGCGGGGACATGGAGGGTTAGCAAGGTTGCGGGAGGCGATTGGATCAAGATGAAGTATCCGGACCCGAAGAATGATGGCGAGGTTGTGGACGCGGAACGGGTGCCGCTTTTGAGGAGGGTGCAGGATCAGTTGCCGAGTACGGAGGGTTAGGTGGATATATGTGTTGCTTGCTTTAGATTGTTTATTCTCAAAAGTTTTTTGTTATAGATGGGTTGGATTTAGATGCTGGATGTTGATGGGTTATACCTACCTGAATTTGGGTAGCGCACTGCTTTCGGCGTACGCATATTTGCTTTTCTCAAATGTCTCTCAACTCCTCACCTTCTCGGGAAAGTCATCTTCGTTGACTGGGCATGGGGCTGGTGTTGGCACTCCGACCGTGACGAGTAATCAGGGCAAACCCTGGGGTGGTATCGGGTAGATCGTAGACGTGAAGAGACATTTGCTAGCATACAAAGTGGTGCCAGTGAATGAATGATTAATAGCGATCACTTTACCTACAATCGATGAAGCAACGCAATACAACAGGCCAGTATTTGGAAATGGCAGGATCTACTCGTTTGATGAGAAAGGCGTGTAAGTCGTACTGGGAGCAAAGTAAGGCAAGCGGGTTTCTACTAAGTCTGACCCACCATCAGCAGTCAAATGCAGGCTCTTTCAAGCGAGTTATGAAGAAATAATGAAATCACACTCGTCCCTTACCACAAAAGCTGCCGCCTTCCAAATTCTCCGTCTCGGCGTTTCCACGCCCCCGACCTCGGACATTCCGGCTATAGCAACTCATCTCCGCCCTCGCCATCTCCAGGCTCCAGCAATTGCTTCACATTCAGAGCGGCTTTTCGGCCGACTGAGATCGAGATTATTTCAAAGTCCGTTGAGTGTGCAGCGGGTCTCGCGGACGTGAGTGGGCACAGACCTAGTCCCTTGTTCCCGAGCAATCGGGGCTGCATAAACCCCGACTGAGACGTGGCTGTAATGGGCGTAAGACTTGCATATGCACGAGGGCCTTGTGGTGTGAGGGGTCGTTCGCATGGCACATACATATAAAACGACGAAGGGAATATCCGTCATGAGCATATTGTCCTGCTACTCCCTTCATTGCCTTCCTAACTTCAAGTTGTGTGCCACCAGCTTCTCTGAGTAAGCGATTCGGACCAACCACGTTGAGGATATTTGTGAGCAACCAGCAACGGCAAGGTTGTTCGCGAAGATATAAGGACCCCAGCGGCTCGACGTAAGCTAGGAGCAAAGAGAAGGGAGAATTACATCGAAATGTCGACGACTTGCCTTACCATCCACGATCTGCTGCGCATCACATACACATACGAAGCGCAAGCTCTACAAGCGCAGGCCCGGAAACGCTCAGATTCAGCCTGCTTCGTGAGTATAGACCGCGTCGAACATGTCAAGGAGCATCACTAACATTTCTCCAGACGCCAGAAACATGTTCGCATCTCTCACCACCGCCCTCTCCATCCCCCGGCTTCGCCACGCTCGAGACAGACTTCACCCATCGCTACTCCCGACACACAACGTCATGAACTAACGTACCCACATGCGACCCCTCACAGACGGGTGAACGGTGTGCGCGACATGTACGACTGGCACGCATTCCCTAGAGCGACACGTTAACACCCCACTTGGATCGGCGTGGAGGGTGGTGTGATGTTGTTTGCGCGCATGTCGCGCGCAGGCTTGTGTGTGGCTGAATCGGCCCCGATCCAGAGGTTTATTTGAGATCATTGGTTGGCGCGAGTGAAACGAGGGTGGTACGACATAAGATGGATGGTCGAGTTATGTTATTGAGCAGCTGAGTGTGGTATGGTTCCGAGGGCGTGGAAGTGGTCATCACGTCGTCTTGACAGTGTCTTCGATGGACGTTGGGAGGCTTGGATTGGGCCTTTTTGGGCGTTCTTGTCGTATACCCCTGTGATGGGCGTTGGTAATAGTGTAATTTGGAAGGTCAGCACCTCTTCCTACCTCGATGAATTTGCTCGATGTTTACGTATCTTGTTCTGCCTCATTGATGATGATGATGATTCTGCAGGGATCGAGACTTCTCCAAGGTTGCTTTGAATGTTAGGAGCAGGTTCCCAGTCGCCTCGTGGCTATGGAACTTTGTCTTAAAATGTCAGAAACTCAATCGAGTGACCTTTGACAGATCGTCTATAAATAGTGAATGGTTGGCTGTAAACTATCAAACCTAAAAGAAGGCACCATGGTAACTGGCTTTGATAGGAGAGAGGGCCGGATTTGAAATTCGTAACTTGCCAGCATACGACGTCAAGCAGGAACAGTTTGTAGTCTGAGAGAAGAAATGCGCTCCGGCAATTAACGATGCACCCGCTGAACTGTTGGCCCCGGACTTGTACACTGTTGTGACCGGTTGTGACCGGTTGTGCAACCGTAAGGCAGCAAGGCAGGAATGAAGCACGTTCACGTATCTAATCACAATATGTGGAGACTCCAAGGCACCACGTAATGGACCGATCCCCACTTGCAACGGCGGATCCGGAGATCAAGCGGGTTTCCGTGCCCGTCAAGTTTCAGGATTCCAGGGAACATGCGTGCCGTTGTTCTGGAAGCTTGGTTCTCGCGACGAGCCAGGATTCGAGGCCTGGGGGCTAGTCGTTAGTTGGGCGACCGGATTGCATAGCGTCATCACAACGGTCGCTTCGATGGCGTTTCGCGGCCTGCTTGCACGCGTTGTTTATGTGCTGTTGCGACGATAGACGCTCCCTCGATTCGTGTTGTGCAGAGGGGCGCAGCGAGGGCTGGGGCTGACTGGCGTGCTTCGCGTAGGCGTGTGCTCGGCCCGGCGATAGGTACGCCTGGAACGTCATGGCGGGTCACAACGATGCGTGACAGGGTGTGGCAGCCCTCGCAAACGATCGTACGGCGGCAAGGGTGTGTGCCCTGATTCACGTGCATCTCGAGATGTCGCCCAGATCCGGGAAATTTGTTGGCCGCCAGGGACGCTTCTCTGCTTCTCCTGATATACCCACCAGCATGCCTCGCGCTTGCTGTCCGACTGCAGCACATCATGTTGCGAAGACTCCACAACAAGTCGGTCGAGGTCAGCGAGGTGAAGTTGGGGCGGAAGACGAGTAAGAGGCAGCGCATCTCGCAGTTCTTCAGATCAAGGAAGCAAAAGCCAGAGGCCCGCAATGCAGCACCCGTATGCCAACACCCCAGTTGCAGCGTTTTTGGCCATGTCTTACTAATGCCCGAGTTCAGGAGAAGGTACTGACTGGCAGCGAGTCTGAATCCCCCCAGGCAGCCCACGATGTGACGAGCCCCGCCGAAGCGCCCCTCGAGCAACCACGATCCAGCGATGAGAAGCCCACCTCAGTCGAAGAGCCCAAAAAGGCTCCTGAACCAAATGCCTCGCCGAGGCCGGAGACACCAGAGATAGAGAAGGTCGAGACGCTCAGTGAGGCGCAGTTGCATGTGCTCTTTTCTGGAACCCCACACTTCAGCGTCAAGACGGGGAGTCGTCGCCCTGCTGCCAACGTTTCGTACCCATGGGGAGGCCTGGAATCTTCGAAAGACACACTGGACTCGGTACTGCCAGACCAGGCTGCCTTCACGTCCGCAACCCTACATCCACTTCCAACCAAGGCTCGAACATCCTCTGAAGAGAAAAGCCGCAACCACGGATATGACGTGGATGTTGTGGAAGTACCGAACATGCTCAGTGCTCAGGGTATTGAACCGGGCAGCATTGGCTTCTCTCACTTTCTGGAGTTGCCAAGATCGGATAGTCTACTCGTCGACTTGGAAGGGTCACAAACAAGCAAAGAGTTCCTACAAGGGACCAAAAACAAAGAGCTCATGCAGAGTGCACCCGAACGGATTGGAATTCGTGCAGTGGATATGGGCTTGATATACGACCGTCTTATCGAGATCCATGATCTGAACGAGGCGTTCCACGAGAGCCCTGGACCCATGACTGTTCTGAACCATCAAAGTCCGGGAGAACTGTACGCAAATCTGTTCAGCAAGTTTCTGACGCCTCCTGGATACGATGGTACGACAGGTGACCCAACAGGCCTACGAGTTCAGATCCTCACACTCATGCGAATATTGAAACTCAAGGGTGTTTGGTACGATTTTAGCCTCGTTGAGTGGAGGATCAGACTTGGCCAGATCCTTTGGAGTGATCCTGAGGCGGTACCGGCACACGAGGCCCATCCTTTGTGGACGGAACGCGAGGTTCTACTCTTACAGATTACATTGGCGTGCGAACTACTACTCCGACTCGATGCCGTTACCAGCCTGGACGTGGGTGGCCAAAGTAGTCCGGGGCAGATGAGCGCTCAAGAGATCAGGGGCTTCTTCGGCAGCAAGACCAGGAAGCTCGATTGGGATCTCGTACTCGCAAGAAGATTTCTAGACAACATTCTGGTCGTCAAGAGCAGTGATCACGACGTTGAACCATCGAAATCGCGTGGATTTCAGTCGATGCGTGGTACAGGAGAACCTCCTGAGATCGCTAGGCCAGATATCGTGCTGCTGCCACAGCACCAAACACGCCAACTCCAAGGCCTGATCAAATTCGGTTCGGCCATACAGTGGCCTTCTACGGAAACCATTGTGCAGAGTCTGGCCCAGAGGCTAGGCGCTCGCGGACTCGTACAGCAAGGAGAGCCACTGCCAACACCTGACGGCATGTTCCTAGATCCCGTTTCACCTGCGACGATCAGTGTCTACGGCACACCTCTAGAGACTCCGCGCCCCGCGAACCACATGCTTGACGGTTACTTCGGACACATCGGCAAGCCCGCACTGACTCGCGACAATTCGCATTCTTTGAGAATTCCGCTATCTCCTACTCTCTCGCCGCAGCCCGATTCTCCAAGCTCAACCCTAACCGGAATTGGTGGATGGCTCAGTCGCTCATACTTGACCGGTCTGACACTTCCCGGAGAGGCGATCTCGCACTTCCTCATATCCACGCTTCTGGAGAACGACATCGTAGCAATTGCGAATCTGGGTGACTCTGCCAATCTTTACGGCGGTTTCTCGTATGCCGGCCGATCTTGGTGGAGTAAGAACTCGATAGTAGGTCGCGTCTTCGCCTGTATTGACGGTGGTGTTGAGTGTATGGGTTGGATCTCATTCCCAAGGCAACCGGAAGGATCGACCAACCAATGGCATTCAATTCATAGCGAGCAGATTCCTTTGGACGATCGAATGAGCGACACCACGCGGTCCGCTGCGGTCGCCCGAGCATCCTCAATCATACCCGATGGTACAATAGCATCTATAAACTCCGAGGACCTAGTTCTTCCGCGCGACTCGGAAACGCTACCTACGCCCACGTTGATCCTTCGAAATTGGGAGCTTACACCACTCAATCCCGACCTCATGGACAGCGACATGATGTCAGGACCACTGACTGAGAGCGATATACATACTCCATCCGTCACTTTCGCTTCCCAGGATCGAACATTACATCACACTCTGACACTCGCTTTCGACGTACAGTTTGTAACCTCGTGGCCATGCACGCCACCGATGTCGACTCCTGTTCCCGCTCCTAGCATGCCTCATATCCTCAAGCGCTCACTCACTGGCACTGTATCACGTACATCCTCCAAACGAAGTGGTGTCACGATGCCTCGCCGCAACAGTCATGGTTTCGAGCCACTTCTGTCGCATCCACCCGACTCAACAGACATTGCACCGAAGCGTGTGTACTCTGCCGATACTGATAACGATTCCATGACTACCATTACGAAGCGACAGCCCATGGAAGTGCACCCTCTCCACACAAGCTACAAGTACAAGACTGTATCTGTCACCGAAGTGTTGGACCCCAGTTTCGACATTCCCTTCGACATGCATTCGCACACTCGTTCGCCAACCCCCACTGGACTTGATAAGAAGAACGACACTGATGCAACACATGACAAAACTACCGTACTTGTCCTTGATGCACGTGGGTCTTCAGATTTACAACTTCTTGCGCGTTCTTGGTGCGCCGAGAAGGGCTTCCACGCCATCGTCGGCAGAGTCGGACGGACGTGCCTGGCTTGTTGCATCCGTGAGGCGCGAGCTTTGGGTATACACGTCGTGATCAGAGTGTAATGTCTTTTTCCTATGTTTGTTTCCTTGTCATGACTAGATCGCGTTCACAGCATTCGCGTGTTTTCTTCTCATTGTTGATACCCAAATTGGTCATCGGTCTTATCTTGTCGGAATTGGCCATCGTCGGCAAGCGCATATACGAGATACCCAGGAACGTGTATATAGGAGTACATGTGTTCTATACAGATTGTTTCCTGCTTCAACTGTTCGCAGTTCAATTGATTGAGTGTCTATGCTTGACAGCAAATTTCGTGTTTAGTGGGAAGAGCATGAGCATCTATCATGAGGTGGAGCTTGTTCCCACTTTGAATTTTCCACCGCACGTCGCCGACTCAACACCAGCCCATATCACGCCCTATTCGGCGAGTTTCTAAAAACAAGCATAATCAGCCGCATTCATGGCAGTGCAAACAATTTCGCTAACACGATCGGGATGGCGTGGGACTCCACAGCCCGCTCTCGGCAAGGCTTAGCTGGCGGCCTTAAAATCCATCCTCCCCGTGCGCTTCACCTTTTGCCATATTTAAATCTCGGTATAGGAATCACGGTTCCGCAATCAGATATTTTGCAACAATCTTGTTTTTTCATTACGATTGACGACGTCACGCGCAGATACGACTCGTTCTTCCTCTCCACTCACCATTCTTCAACATGAACTACGCACCGCTCTCACACAACGAGGACGCCAACGCAAACCAGACGCGTGAAGATGGTTGCTCACGCTACTGCACTGCTTGCACTAATTCTACGTGGACCGGGGCGCTCTGTTTCGACAGCGTTCTCGCCTGCTTTGCGGCAATGTGGGAAGGCATTGCATCCTGTTGTGGAAGCTGCTGCAATGATGGTTGCAATGCTTGCAGCAATTTCTTTTAGCAAGAGCGCAGGTGCTGATGCGTGTGTTGTTGCTTCCGATCGAGACGAGGAGCAGGGAGGTGCGAGGGTGTCGTGTTGACAGACTCCCACTTGCGAGTGCAGCTCTCGGGTTGCTCACCAACATTGCTCAACTTTCAACACGGCATATCAGTGTCACTACGGCGCTTTCGCTACGCCCAGTTTGTATGCCATAGCTTGGACCGTCGCTCAAAGGTATGGTGATTCATCTACGCGGCTTTGTTGATGATGGGACTGACGAGTGCGTAGAGTAGCTGTTACTTCTATCACTATTCCAAACTGTTCTCGACTCATCTTTCATATCTTCTTCTCTCTTCAAGATGGATCGATCACACAATGCCTCAAAGCCAGCAGCTGGCTCCAGTACCAGGGCCAGCGACAACAAGTCAAGCGATGTGAATCGCCCATCGGAAGCACAGAACCCTGTGAACTGCCAGGTGTGTAGTGTCTTTGGTGTGCCGAAGAACAAGAAATGCGACGCATGTGGGACGTTCTTCACACCACTTGGAAAAGATTCAGGCAAGAGCGAAGATTATGCGCTCGGCCCCTTTGGCAACGATTCCGCAACCACAAATGTATACGAGGATGCCAAAGACGCGCGTGGACATCGCAAGGTCGACTCCAAGCTTGACAGCGACCCCATTTCCCCAGAAAGTCCCACAAGTGTTCGAGACGACAGTGGACAGGCAACTCAATCTACTTCGAAAGATGGTGAAGCTCTCCTCTCTGCTAAGACCTATCAGGCTGCGGAAGAGCCTGAGAGAAATGAACCATCTCGGTCCGTAGTCTCTTCGAGCCAAACCGTCTCCTTCAAATCTCTCAAACAAGCCCATACTCAAAATCGAGAAGAGAAACTCCGCCGATGGGCTGAGACGAGCACTGATCCAGAACAAGATGAAGTCCTGAAAGAGACTGGCATTGAACCCCACGACTTTGCCAGAGACGATGCATTGAAGGCCAAGAGGAAACGCGACAGTTGACAACGACGGCGCTCAGTCGCATCAACCAAGCTCAAAGCTATCCCTCTCCCACCTTCACGACCACTGACATTCAGCGCTCGTCCGAATCCTCCACCACATGTTCCTCGCACGCCCATCAAGCGTGCTAAGTCTCCACTGTCACAAGTTGTATCTGCATCTAGTATTATCGAATATGGTGCCGGCACAGGGCGTACTTATCAACCTCGCGCCCCGTCTGCACTCGTACCAACAGTCCAAACTCCCGTCGCTCCACCTGCACCTGAATCGACGGCTACATTACCCATCAACGCACCTAGAATAATCACTCAACCTCACAGCCACAATGCAACTATGTTCATGGCGCCCCAACCCCCTGCAGATGTCTTGGCTGCACGGCAGCAACGAATGGCTATATATAACACGGGGAAAGGCTGGGATAAGAAGCGTTGTGGTTGTATTGAAAGCATATTGGAGTGCTGGAGACGGTAGGAATTGTTGCTAGTGCATAGATGGGATGATTGGGCCTGGTTACTAGATAGATGGTAGCGAATTGAAAGTTCGTCAGGATAATGTCATGTCGTTAAGTGATATGTACTTGAATCTGTGAGATTTCGTTGTATGTGACACTGAAGTGATCGGTAGTCCTTGCAGATGCTTGGACATTGAAACTCCAAGAGCCTCATACATCACGGTTCAATGAGCGTTTTACACCTGCGGGGTTTGATGCACTACCGCAGATGCAGACAGTTTTTAGTATGCTATTGCAGTTTTGGTGTGCTATCGTGACTTACAGTAGACCGCATGTATAGTGCTTGCATGTTCACTGCCGCAAGTGCAATGCACCGCAAGCTGCAACGAGTTGTGCTTCAACGTCCACAATCGCGGTTGTAGCCGAGTTTCGCTGGCTTGCAGCCTATCACAAGGTTGTATTCCAGTACATGTTTGTGTAATATTGGCGCAATCCAATCGTTTGGTTGCTTTCATGCCAAGTTTATAGCGACGAACTTCATCAGCTATCTCTTTCACCACCAACAACTCCCGCCTCCCTCTTTCCACCCATACCAGGACTGTCTCAACTCAACCCAGCACCAAAAAAAAAACTCCAATCATACACCATGCCCGACTGGACGTTCGTGAGCAAGTTCGGCGCGGAAGTCGCCAAGCGCGCTGGGGTTTCCAAGGATCAGGTCTGGGAGTCGATGATTGGAGGAGGCCTACTTACCGTAACCGATGGTGAGCATGCATACACCTTCACCGAGGAAGACAAGGCTGGCTTCGGCGAGAAGCTTTGGCAGTGGATCCAGAAAAACCCCAGAGAGGTCACGAAGCTCACGGCATGCATCGCCGCTGGTCCCGCCGCCATCTTCGCCGCCCCGGCGGCTGTAGGATTGCTCGGATTTGGACCGCTTGGGCCTATCGCTGGTATGTGTTTGTGACGTTCTGTTCGTAGGCCAATCTGACGGGATACACAGGCGCCAGAGCTGCAGCTGCCCAAGCAGCCATGGGACCTGTCGCTGCTGGAAGTGCCTTTGCTGTCCTGCAAAGTGCGGGTATGGGAGGTATGGGGCTCATTGTTGTCAAGGCGATTGCTGCTGGTGGTGCTGTAGTTCCGACTTGCAGTTTCGCGGCTGTTAGCTTTTTGAATGCGATGAAAGAGGAGAATTGTGGTAGCGGAGAGAGGAATGATGAGAAGAAGGAGAGGGAGAAGGAGAAGGGAGAGAAGAAAGACCAGTAGGCAGGCAACACTGGAGGACACTGGAGGACGATGTCTATGAAGTCTAGAGTGAAGCGCACATGTGCAACACGGATTAGGATGATCTGAGGTCATGCCGGGTGTAAAATCCATTGGCACAATTACACCGCATACTTCAGCTGGGTGTGTTTCAACGTTCACTGCCGCGAATTTCCTCATAATATAAATCTACAATGGGCTGCTTCCGTGGTATCTATCATCCTTGCACTTCCATCTCAGATCTTCGATTGTACGAGTTCGCTAACTTGTTGCTCGATGGCCTTGTCGTCCAGTCCCTTCAGTGGCAGCTTCTTCTCCTTTCCAAAGTCTGATATCATCCTTGTTAGCATTCGCCATGTTTCTCTTTCATGTCTGACGCACCGAATCTTGCGTATACGGTGGGCTCGGTGCCGCTCGCTTCTCGGATCATAATGGGTGTGTGGGGGTTGTGCTTCTTCATGGTGGGGTAGCTTCGGGTGAGGAAGTTCCTGTTGTAATTTTTAGCCTACAGTCTCCCTGATCTACTACCAGAACGCCTATCTCGAGGCGCATCGTGACAATAGCTCCTGCTGGCCGAGTGTCGCATACCTTGTCGCGGCGCTGTGCTCGCTGGTCTGGCAGAACAAAAACCGCAGCTCCTTCAGGCCTTGGCCAAACGCATATTTCGACGCCATGGTGAGATTTGTACGGGTGTCGTGGGGTGAACAATTGGTGTTGTCGTCGGGCGCAAGTGCATTCGATGTCCAATGTTCCGCAAGCTCTCATGACGCGCCTTCCCGTGTTGGGTTTAGCCGCCTGCCAATCGGAGGTTGCCCCAACGTAATCCCGATGCTTCAACTTTGGCACCGGTATCGCGAACACACGATTGCGCTCTCACACGACACCCCGCCGTCACCTCCACCACCACTCAATCTACCGCCTCTCACGTGCGCGCTGAGAGAATAGAAGAGAAGGATAGCAGTCATGTCTTTCCGCCCGGGTTCCCGTATCTTCAGCAGCTTCCGACCCTTCTTCCGGCCCGCACAAGCAAATGGCCGTCGACGAGCAACAACGGCTGCCGGTCCTGGCGGCTTCGCTGGATTCTGGAACAGCCCAATCGGCCCCAAGACTGTGCACTTTTGGTATGCTTCACCCTGGACAATCTGCCATGCGCCTGCATCATCAGAAAATCACTGTCAGATGCTGCAAACACTCGACTAACACCTCGCAGGGCACCAGTAATGAAATGGGGCATGGTCCTCGCCGGCGCATCTGACTTCTCCCGCCCTGCCGAATCCCTCTCCTTTACCCAGAACTTTGCCCTCATGTGCACCGGAGCCATCTGGACCCGCTGGTGCTTCGTCATCCGCCCCAAGAACGTTGCGCTCGCAGCTGTCAATGCGCTGGTCTTTGCTGTTGGTGCGACGCAGGTTGGCAGGATTTATATGTACAACAAGAGCTTGGAGGCGACTGAGGGCCAGGTCAAGGGCGAAGGCAAGGAGCTTGAGGCCGACCTGAAGGCTACGGCGCAGAAGGCGGAGAAGGTCGTTAAGTCGTAGGAGGGTGATGAGGAGGAACAATGTATTGAATTGGAGAGATGTGTATATTCTCACATATGCTGGCGATTACATACCGTTGAGCTTGAAAGTGGGTAGTACCTTTTGCTAGGTACATTTAGGGACAGGTGAATGCAGTGCCCGTCTTTACAACTCCGAGAGCAGCTCCAAGCTTCTTTCTCAGCCTTCTCTTTTCTTCGAAACTTCATTACTTCCTCACATGACGCTCCCAGCATAACCAACACACTTCTAGTCTCCCTTACGAAGTCAAAACGCACATCTTCTGGCTCAATTAACAAACATCACACAATCAAACAACTTCAATCGCAAATCATAAATACCTGCAGCTTTAAAAACACAACAATTTATTACTCGTAAAACAAAAAGCCCATCAGCAAGGCATCTACCCTCCCCCCTTCGAAATCTAATAAACAACAGCCTTCTCCCCCGCCTCGCCCTTGCACTCGGGCAAACACCTGCACTCCTGCTTGCCCCACACGCTCAGCGTCACGCACTGGCCCGGCTTTGGATACCCATACAGCTCCGTATGGCACTTGGACTTGCAGTTGCCCAAGCCGTTGTATGTTTTGCCGCAGTCGTCGCGCTTGCTTGACCAGCTGCACTTCGTCTCGGGGATCTTGGGAGACTCGGCGGGGATGGCGCTGGCGCTGGTGAGGGCGAGGAGGGTGGTGAGGATGAGGGTAGTGAGTTGCATGGCTGTAGTGGTGGTGTTGGTGTTGGTGGTGAAGAACTTTGGTAATACTGTGTGAGAGATTCAGATATCTATGATGATGTTTGGGAGAGTGGGAAAGGGCAGGGAAATGTTAGTTTATATATGTGCAACATGTTCACAGTGTGCCCTTTTTATGAATGCATGACAACAATGATGGGTGGTTCTTTGATTGGCCTGGTGATTGACATGTTCAGCTACGGACAAAGCGGATATGGAAGCGGGTCGACGGAGGACAATACAATGATATTGTAACATGGTATTCTATTACCTTTGTGGTATTGTATGCTACACGCAAGCTCCATCAATCACTGCGTCTACATCTGTCTTAGCATTCGCTAGAAGCATTCAGAACGCTACTCATTGGTAGCAAATTTTCATGTATTCGAGATTGCATGCAGATTCAAAGCTCCACACATGCACTCCCTCCCCTCTCAACTCACGATGGCCACAATCCTCGACCTAATCGTCTTCCTGATCATTATCATTGTTGGCGTTGTCGTGTCTCGTCTTCGTCGGGCTCCTAGAAATGCGAACCCAACTCGCTTTCTCAATCACCGCCCAGTTGATGTGGACAGGCTTCAAAGACCTCGACAACAAGGTATTCTCACTTAGTCTATGTACATTGCTTGTCGCTGACAAGCTACAATTCACCGACAAGATATGCAGGGCACCCAACAGCTTCTTGACCACAGTTTGGTAGAAGTGGCCGACGGTCTTGATATTGATGCTATAGTGGGGCCTGGTGTGCGTCCGCGTGCGGCTCGAGGAAATTGGAGGAAGGGAGAGTGGGTTGTAGGAGGCTGAGGGTAGTTTGGTATGAGCAATCGGTGGCGGTCAAGGAATAGAACACTTCCTGACTGTGATATACTTGCTCGAATTTGACATACTTTCATGTTGACGAAATAGGAGCCTGGAGGTAGTCGCTATGAACTTGACTGCAAATCGACAGCCGATCTGACTATGTCGAAGACAAGAGCGCATGTCCCTAGCTTGCATGCAGTATGCGTCTGATTGGCCATTTTCCAGTGAACAAACGCTCACGTGCTGAAGCTAGTGTGGACTAACAATTCCCCGGCCTTCACCTACAAACACCGCGCACACCACAACAAACTCCAATCAAAAACCCCTCTCCGTGCCGGAATGGCACCTTTCCAAGACTACCAGCCGGTTAAGTTTGCGCGCCTGCTGTTCTACTTCATGCATGCTGACGGACACCTCGAGCTCGTCAAGGATGAAGCCGAGCAGCCACAAGCACTCGACAGCGCCTCCTCCGAGGCCTTCTTGGAGGATGAGGTCCACCAGGAGCCCACCAACAACGACGCCCTCTCCAAGTCAACGGAGGCTGAGGGCCAGCAGGAGCCACAATCCAATGGCACCTACTCCGGGTCTCTGACGCGACTCCAGGCCGGCTATCTCCATGCCATCGGCGTTCTCGATGAGCGCCTCAAGCGACAACAGCAAGAGCTTGACTTGGCGCACGCTGACCTCCAATATATGGATTTCCTCCAGCATCAGAACAAACAGCTGACCTTGGATCTGAATGCATCGCGCTCGGTGGCCCAGGAAATGCGCTCTGCACCGCTCGAGAAGAAGTTGGCAGAGAAGAATGCCACACTCAAAGACAAGAACGAGAAGATCTTCGACCTTGAGCAGACGATTGGACGCCTCCAGAACGAGCTGTACCAGCCGAAGAGGGAGCCTCTGGGCGTGGGTGCATGGCTACCAGGCCAGCAGAACCATAATAACGTCTCTGCAGGTGCGACTACGACTCATACGACTATACAGGGCGCGACGCCGACTGCAGCAAGGAAATAGGACTTCGGCGCGAAGGGTAGTTACGAGAAACCAGCGGGACTGCTTCAGCAGAACAGCTACGAGGGAGAATTGAAGATGGAGCCCACACCTTACGACCGCAAGAACATCGGCGCAACTGAAAAAGGCAACGCGGCCAAGAAGAGGAAGCTCGTCGACCTTACGTGCGCAGGCAAGGACGGACTTTCAAACCAGGATTCCGGTGCTGATCAGGTCGTTCGTGGAGGCAACGTCTAACCATTCGTCATTGACTGATGTCGCTCAACACAAGCTTGAGCTATCAGAGAAGCTTCAAGAACCCACAAGGGCAATGAGGTTGGATTCAGGCGTATTTGGAGACGTAAAAACAGCCAGGGAATCACGACTAGCGTAACTCAAAGAGTTTGCGAATATCAACGCAGAATTCGAAAAAGTCGTGTTAATCTCATGAACGTGATGTCGTCGGATTGAGGCCACCAAGGCTCCCACCGCTAGCCCGATCGATCTAATCCATGCAAATCCCCCAACACCTCATCCCGGCAGCATGATATCTCTCCCATCTCCATCTCCCTCACCAACGCCCACTCTCCACCCCAGCCCACCATGATATTCCACATTTTCCTCTTCACAGCCTTGTGCACAGCATATTCTAACCCCAAAGACGCGCTCATCAACCCCCGAGGCGAAAAAGTATGCATGCAGCAGTGCGGTACGTCGGCGCTCAAATGCCCAGAGGCGTTTTGGAAAGAGCAGTTTGATATGTGTTATCGATGTTGCGCGGTGTGGGGCGAGACGGTGATTAGGGTGCGGTGTGATGAGGGGGGCACTGGGAATGGGACCATGGGGAGGAAGGGGAATGAAACGGCGACGGTGAAAGAGAAGGATAAGGGGAAGAATGAAGGAGTGGGGAGGGAGTTGGGGTTTTCGTGAAGGGTGGTGTGATGAGGTTTCATATGCGACGGTGGGTTGATGTTGTGGTGCCTGGCGGCTTCCACGGCTGTCCGGTTGGGGTTTGCTACCTACGGAAGGCGGCGTCGACATCTCGCGATTACTGCGTGCTGGAGACGTTTTGCGATGTGGGCATTTGCATACTCACGACAAGATTCTTCGCAAAATACGCGACCCTCTACATCGCAGCTCAACACAAACCAGAGTCGCCTACAACCACATTCGCAAATCTCTCCGGACACCCTCCGCCGACGCCTCACCATGGATAACGAACTCAAACTGCCCATCCTCATCCTCATAGTCTTGACAGTCTTCGGCTTAGCACTCGTTGGGTGCATCTGCTACATGGACCCCGACCACATCATGATGAGGATCATTCGCTTCCTGTTCTTCGAAGGTGCGCCTCCCCAATCTTCTACTCAACGATGTCCACTGACCGCGCGACCAGGCGGCGCCGTGGTCATACAAAGGAATTTCCGAGCGAATGAGATCACCATCATCGGAGGCGCTGCCGTCATGAGCGTCACTATCGCGGCTGAAGACGCCTCCATTCCGAGAGACATTGATATGCTCAAGGTGTATACGCGGCGTTCAAGACCGAGCCACGTACATACGCAACTAGTACACCACCGGAGAGCATAGTGCTTTGAATGTTTAGCAATGGGAATCATTGCGAGGATCTTGGTAGTTGAAGTGCTGGTGGTATGGAGTGTATGCATATATTTTTACAAGGAGAATACCATCATGATTCTCCAGCGTATCGTACACATTCCCGTCACACCGTTGTATCCAACCCTCCCCCCACCGCGCTAATCTAGCCCCCCTCTTATGTTCCATCCACCATCTCACAACGCGCCTACACATGACCTCCGTTACACACCCATCACGTGCTCCCACCAAACCCAGACGCCCTTGCGTCCCGCCCCTTTCCCCTCTGCCATGCACGCTTCCCAATCGGCTCGCACGTACATGGTCGCTGCAAAGCAATCTTACCTAAGTAGCAAAGTCGTCGCACAAAGCAATATTGAACGGCGAGAAAAAAAACTGCGGGTCAGCACGCGAAGCACTGGACTAGGAACGTTCCCGGGCCAGAGTCGTATGGAAACATGTGGGGCGTGCGCCGTCGAGTTACACGGCGGACGGCGGTCATGTGGGCGGCTTCGTATTTTGTGTAAGGTTGGAAGCGGCAGGGTGCGTGAAGCAAATGAAAGATTTCAAATTCTAAGCAGCGGTAACGCATACAATTGGCGCAACGAAGATCCGGTCGTGTACCGGTATCCGAAACGCTGGGGAATATTACAGGCAGAAAGCACGACAGGTTGAAGGGAACCAGAATACCTCGCCGTGGGTATGTTACAAAAGAAAATCGAAAAAATAAATAACGCCAGGTGCCGTGAGGCTTGTCCAATCTGTCCGTATCCTCCCCCAAAAGTTTTCCGGCCGTGAGGCTTTCCGGTCTTATAAATTCCCGCTTGTGTGCGCGGGATGTGTCTCGAAGAAGTAGTGGAGAAAAGCGCGTGCGCGCATGTGTGTGTGTGTGTGTGAAGAAGTATGGTGCGGGTTTACGGGTGGTAGTGGTATCTCGTCAAGTTGGGTGGGAAATGGTGGTCTATATGCGGCGATCCAAGCGATCGACCCTCGACCTGAAGCCCTTGACAATCTCGCCAATGCGGCGGACCTTGTCGAATTCCGTCTGCAGCTCGTCGATTTCGCGCAGGATGGCGCGGAAGCGGGCGATTTCGGCGTCGGCCATTTGGATTGCGTTACCTGCGCGGTCGTACTGCACTTGGGTTGCGGTTTGGGTTTGTTGCGTGAGCTGGAGGGAGTATGGATTAGCATTGCATTCTTGGATCTATCTCATCTCGGTTGATTTTGGTTTAGGAGAGTCAGGGAAGCAAACTACTCACATAGTGCCATCGCTGCTGGATCGAGTACATCAGACGGTCAAAGTGGGCGCTGAGCGCCTGTAAGCTGGTGGGATCCAGGAGGAGACGGCCCTGGCTGGAGGCGTGAGAAGCTGCGCGCGACGAATTGCTGCCCTGCTGCGAGGCGGCGATTTGCTGCTGGAGATATCTCGCTTCGCTCGAGTTGAGGCCCAGTTCAGACACTGGGATGGCGGACATGTGCACATATTATCTATAAGGACATGGTCGCGCGTTGCGTTGGTGGCTGCACAGCGCTCCCCGAAACGAGCGACAAACAGAATTGCAGGGCTAGTTGCTGTTACTAGCTTGGGCGTGAGGTTGAGCAACGTTGCAGTAAGGTCTTCAGCTTGCTGCTGGCGGGTTTGGATGAGGAAAGCGCAGCACGACCGGCACACGATGCGAGTGAGTGAAAGTCGCCAAGGGCCTGTCTGCACTTGCGCGCGCCCGGATGCACCAGACACCACACGAAAGCAACCACACCCCTTCCAATGCCTGCATTAAACCGCATACTCTATCCCGCACATCTCCTCCACATCTCCTCCGGGCCGGCTGCAGCCCTACAGCACGTCCGATTGCGTTGGCGCGCGCTGATGCAGCCCGACGTGCCCTGACGCACTTGCGCATCGCAATTCGCGTTCAGACAAATCTCGAAACTCTCTCCAGCGTCGGCCATATTTTACGAGCCGTTCGCTCGTCTTGCTTTTTGGCCTCCCTTCGGGACCGTGCCGCCCTGAATCACAAGTCTCATTCAGGCGCGGGTTATTATCGCCGTCGGCGCACCCTCCTAAGTTGATGACGACCAGGGGTTTGTTAATTGTGCCGCCCACTGCTCAGGGCGAATTAACCCCACCAGCTCGCATGGCCGTGGAGGGGTAGCCCGAGGCGTTGTGGTTGGACCGGATCGAGAAGGTGACAGTAACAGGTGAGTTGTGATGAGAATGTACCGCCGACAAGGGTACATTCATCCGGCGCGAATGGCTGTGTCTAGGAACACCGCGGCTTTCGGTGCAGACCGACTTCACATGGGAAAGTTATGCTTCGGCGCACAAAGACAGTGGCTTGCCGTGTCTCACTCATCAAACACTGGAACATTTTGCTTGTTTGGTATTGATTTGTTTTCGAGTCTTTGGCCATCTCAAAGCCGGATATCATACTGAGATGATGAGAAGCGACTCGGTGGATTGCCACATGAGTTCGTGATATAGGTACAAGAAAAGGTACGAAAAGGGTATATACAAGTCCATCCGTATCCACGCTATGCACAAAGAAAAGAAATGCCCGGAGGCAGCTGTGTCTGAAAGACATTACAACGCGTAGTTTTCCGCGTGTAGGAAGATCTCATCGCGATCGCTATTACTCCACACTGAGCGTTGGAGCTCGGCGACTGTATCGCTGACGCTGACGCGCATGGTCGGCGGCCCGCAAACAAAGACACACGTTCGTCGTCCAAAGCTCTTGCTCATGCCCTTGAGGAGGTATGGTATGTCTGGACGACCGTACTCAGTACTCCAGCCGTCCTTCTTCTTAACGGCAGCTGGCAGGAAAGCAAACCGCATTAGATTCTTCTGGAACTCAGTAGGCGTAGACGGGAAGCCAAAGTCAAAGCCTTGGACTGCCCCTGATTCAGAGACGTTGGGATTGATGGCACCCGAACCGGATGATACAGCCTGCGATATGTCCAGCTGGAGACTGCGTTCCGAGCGGCGGGCTGCCAGCCCACGTGGAGCAGGCGCGATCATGTCGGGGTCGGTCTGATTTGAGGTATCAGAGTGGTGGCTTTGGAAGCTGGGGCGTGGTGGCGCAAGGTGTGCTCGGTTCACAGGAAGGACATGAGCCTGGGGAAGGGCTGTTATGCTGTCCTCGTTCTCGCGGCGCAGGGCGCTCTCTTTCTCAGGATCACCTTGGGCCTCGTCACGGATGAGTGCAGAATGACGCTGAGTTGAGATGCCAGAAAGTCGATGGTCTGCAATGTTTTGAAACGCATCGTTGACTTTGTCGTGAAAGAACATCGAGACTGGACGGGTTGGCGTCTTCGCGCTGACAAGCGCGCCGGCCGGATTGCGTTTGGCTGCGGTGATATAAAACTGGCACTCGACAGTCTCGGGCGGCGCAAATTCGCGACAGATGCGAAGCTCTTCCTTGAACCATTCCATAGTCTCCGGACGCTTGAGAGCCCAGATGACATGAATTTTGCGCGTCACGGCTTTCCCGTCGCGCATTTTCTTGATGAGCGTGAGCAGCTGAGAAATGATAGCAGTAATGCCGCTGCCACCGGCAATGAGGACGACATCGTCGAATGCTTCTATGCGGCGTTGCATGCCTCCGTATGGACCATCAACAAACGCGCGGTATGTGTGCCATGGGCCATGCTCGAGTGCGGCCTGGCGGACTTTGTTGGTGAAGCCTCCGAATGGGCGGAACACGATGACCATGTCCCGGTAACCCTCGCCGTATTCCGAAGGGAAGTCTTCGTCGCATAGCGATGCGATGGTAAAAGGGTGGTTCTCGAACACAGAGATACCTGGCATTCGCAGGTAGATGTACTGTCCGGGTCTCCAACGAACTTGGGTGGGAATGGTGATCTTGATTGCATTCTCTGGCATGAGCGTGACAGCAGCTTCGTCGCCAATGAGCCAGGATAGTCTCCCCGGGCGTGTCCAATTGAGGTAGAACAAGCGTACGAAGTAAGAGAGAAGCCAAATGGTCAGCGTTGAGAAGAGGTAATGCCACGAAGTAAGGTAGTTGTTGCAGTGCCAGAACATCATCCCAAGGAAGACAATCGCAACGGGTACATGGAGCGTGACAAAGAGCTCATACATGCGGTGGCGGAGTGGACCGATTGAGTGTAGGCAGAGAAAGGCTAGGGGAACAAGTGCGGCGATTCCTGTACCATAGGCGTAGAAGCCAGTCTGCTTGAAGAGGCTCTCGAAGCTCTTCCGCGCTCCTTTCTCCCAGATTGGCGTGACGTAGAAGGGTACGGTGTGCATGATGCTCAGTACCAAGCAAATGTATGCGGCCCATCGATGCAGCACGTTGAGCCTCTCATGTCCAATACCAGTGATCATGGTAATGAAGTTGGCTTTCATAGACAACGCAACGATCCAAGGTAGCAGCGCCACTGCCATCATGCCCGAGCGTACAGCGAGAGGGGGTGATCCGTAGGCGATGCTTTTCCAGAAAAGAGGTTGTGGTAAGCATGAGTAGAGAACACCTACAAGCAACGCAGCTACCACAATGACTGTGACACTCAGGGATGGGAACACAATGGGCCTCCATCCTTTACGAATGTTGATCTGTCGTATCGGGCGGTAAAAAATAAATCGAAAGAAAGCCACCATGTTGTTGATAGGTCCAACCGAGGAGACACTTGATTGTGTCTTTGGTCCACTAGGTAATGGGCCTTCGCGCGGAAAGAACTTCATGGTGGACTTGTCAGTATACAGGACCGACATTTCGTAGTCTGTGTCGGGAGAGGAAGTCGTTGAGGATTGCAATACCTCTTCTTGGTGTAGTGCTGTCCGGATCTTGTCCGTGAATAGATGGTAGTAGCGCATGAGCGCCGCAAAAACCAGTAATGGTATGCAGAAGTATACGTAGGCCAGCGCATATTTTCCGCTCTTGTTGAAGGGGTCCACCGTGTTGGCTTCGATCAGACCAGCAGGACTTGTGCTGTTGAATGGTATGTTCACTCGTCGCGTCAGTGTCGAAACAGCTTCCCCTAGTTGTTCCAAGGCAACACCAGCCTGTTCCACCATTGCATCCCGAAGAGCTGGCATTTTCAAATCGTGGTATCGGTGTCGCTCCTACTAGGGATTCTAGCTCGTGTAACACCGTCACCAGTGGAAGCTGGGATCACAGCGTCGGGGCGTCCTGTGCCAGTAGGGTGTAAAATTCGAGGTGGCAGCTGCTCAGAGGACATTCCGGAATTCGATTTACATGAATACGAGTGTGGAACTTGGTCTTCTGTAACAATGCGGTGTGAACATGCGCTTCTAAGATGAGTGCTGCGTGTGGCACCAGTTGCGACGACCAGGTTGTCCTGTAGCGAAGCGCCTCGCTGGGTGGCGATAACGATATCCGGTAAGAGTAATTACGCTGGACCTTGAACAGCAGGAAATGGAGGTGCGACAGTGGGTCACAGCGGATCAGATACCGTGCGTGAGCAGCAGCCGGCGAGATCCTTATGTCCCTTGCGCGAAGTGGATGATGGGTCACACGCAGGGATCATAGTACCGTATTGTGGCAGCAAATGGTAAGTGATATCCTACCGCTCATCACGACCCGCGCTATTGGGTCCAAGAATGTGATAGGGATTCCAGGGTGGGTAGCCAGATAGGGAACTCGACGAACATACAGTACCGCACTATCACGACGGGGGCTGCTTGCATGCATCAATAATCCTCGAGTTCATCTAACGGTGGCTTCGCAAGCGTCGCCGCGCTGTCTGTCATGCAGCGTCTGCGCCGTAACTGGAGGCACAACAACCGTCGCCAATAGAGTTGGAGCAGGACGGGCCTGGATCACCGCCAGTTCGCCATTTCAAGCGGGAGGCGTCCTCGGCTGCAGCGGGATTTCCATATGATCCGTTGCGAATTCTTGCGCGCACTGCCACGAAGGGCGACTCGTTGTGGAGTTGCACGACGTCAGCGACCCCCAGGCTCTTCGTCTGCAATTCCTTCCGTCTCATGTCAGACTTGACCGATACTTTCACTTTGAAGCCAGCGGAAAATTCTGCAGACGGGTGCATTGCGACGGCGTTCTAGGCGAAGAACCAAGGAAGCCACCTCGTGGGCTGGTAGTCGAATCACAAGCCCCAGGGTCCTTGCTCTCGGGAGCCCCAGGCCTGCACTGCTCACCTCAAGGTGCGGCCGGCCGAGTTCGCATGACTTGGGAACGAACGAATAAGATAGCGAAGTGGTGTTGCACGGCTTGGATGGTCGTGCAGCGATGCGTGGGAGAAAGAGTCGCGGGGAGGGGTCGGGACGGGGCGGGAGTCAATGATTGGATTTCGATCACCGTCTAACCGCCAGCCGTCCCAACTAGGACAAGCTTCATGTCAAGCTTTCAATGATCAGCCACCGACTTTGCTGGTTGGACGCACACCTTGACTTAACATAAATTTGCACGAAATGTACCAGATCCGTCGAATGCCCGCTGTCAAATTATGGCGCATGTGTCAAATATCTCTCGATCTGGACAGTGATGGCGTATAGCACGTCATGTTTGGGCCTCTGACCGGCCCTTCATCGCTACATTATCGAGGCTAGAATCTCAAGATCTAACAAGCTTCGCACGGTCGATATCAAGTACCTGGGTGGTCGCGTCTCATCTCATGCCTCGGATGTATTCTCAAACCTCAACATCACAAAGCCTCGTGCTCATCACATCCCACCTGATAGCCATCAGCCCAATCCGAGACCGCCATACACAAACACATAAACAACCCCTCCATCACCCAGCAACCACTAGGCGCCTGTCAACCCCTTCTGAGACCCGCCCCTAACATCAACCTGCCTAACCGCCAGCCCTATGACCTCCCCCACCAACCTGCCGGATCCTCAGGCACGATATCAATCTCCGCGGTGTATTACGCGCTGAACATTGCGCTCGTGGCTGCAACTCTAAATGAACCTGAGTAATGCTTGCCGACATATGTCATGTACTAGATAAGCCTAGGTTTCCGAGGCAGTGGGCGAGGATACTCGAGCGCTTGAGCGTGCGAGTAGTCCGGGCACGCCGCCTCAGAAAGCAGTGCAGTGCAGTGCAGTGCAGAAACTTCGCAAGCGATGTACACAAGCGAGCGCTTGGTATTCTGCTTCGGGCTCTGACATGTTGTCAAAGCGCTTGGAGTAATGCATCTTAGCGCTACCGAAGCATATTTCCATCCATTTAAGGGAGTATGACAGTTGTTCAAGTGCCGAGCTTCCTGTACTATGCATTGCTGTCGAGGAATATGCAGTTCCCCACCGGTCAGCTATGTTTGCAGTGTTTATTCTGCTTTGCGACAGACGCCCGAGGGGTGTGGCAAGGTGCCTGAAGCACTACTGTACGGTGTCTCACTTGCAGGAAACGTTTCGAAACATCCGCCGAATGAGAGAGCTGCGTTCAGTCGATCCGCGTTGCGCGATCACTTCGCGTATGCGGAATTCATATATATCCGGTTCTTTGGGGCGTGTTATCGGAGCAAATTGAACAATTTGTCTTGCCTATTTTTCTGATCTTGTTTCTGCAGCTCGCTGTTGGCTTGAGGAGTTATTCTTAGATGCCTTTGATATTGCTGTGCGTCCGTCATATAGATACTGAGGATAGATACTGGTACTGAAGCGATGGTAGCTCCTGGCATACAGGTCATTCAGTCGCACACGTGAGTGTTTGGTATCGCTATGAATAGTATTATGCATGCAACCGTGCTAGCGAGCAGAGATGACGATAGTAACAAGCCTACAGACTGCCAGTTTTTAAGAAAGTACGGGCAAGAGAAAATGTCATCATATTTGGGAGTCAGGTGGTGCGACGCAGGAATTCCGCATGGCGTAGTAATCACGTCAATCAGCAAGAGACATGGCCAATCTCGTATGGTTGTTGAAGGTCTTAGATATATAAAAATCATAACAACAGCTGTATTACACCTGTCTTCTTACATCTCAGCATGAGTAGTAATGCCCCACTTACGCAGCAAGTTGTTCCTGCACCAGTAGCTGCGATACTTCTTGCCCCAAAAGAAAAAAATCGGGGCTGTGAAGACCATGACAGCTGAGATTGCGCCAAACACGTAAAATACGATCGCCGGACCCTTTGTGGCAGTCCAGTCGTTGACAAAATACGAGAAGCCGTAGAACAAGAAGTTCTTGAAAACCATGTTGATGATGAAGACTTCTGCGCTGATGTCACGGAACGCATCAAGAACGTATGATGAGGCGGAGATGGCAGCACACACGATACCGAACAAGTCCATACCATGGAAGAAGGCAGTGAGGTAGAACGAAGCTCCTTGCTCGGCAAAGTAGCCGAAGAGGCAGAGTCCGATGATGACCGTGACGGCTGGGATCATGCCTAGTAGACGGTATTCAGGCTCGTAGACGCCCTTGTTCTTCTTTGCGCACCACTTGATGAGAGGGTCAAGTGATCCACCAAGAATGATCGATCCAAGAAGACCTCCGAGGAAGGGGCCGACAGAAAGGTACCCTACGCCAGCCGCCGAGAGCAGATAGGGAGGTGCCTGGAAGATTTGTGCCATGACATATGACTGTGCAACGAAGAAAGCTGTCAAGCCGCCTGTCACAATAACCATCCATAGTACGGCGACGTTGGCGCAGACGGCGAAGGGTGCGATGCTAAGCTGTAGTAGGTTGTCCTCGCTGTAAGTGCCAGTAAAGATGGCGAGCTCCTGCACGAAAGTCTTCTTCTGTCTGAGACCGGGTGGTGTGCTTGTTGTAGTCTCTATCTTTACCATATCGTCTTCGCTCTTCTCGCCCATGTGCGCGTGTCTCTGCTCGACGGCAGCGAGGTCTGCCAAATTGTCTTGCGATAGCTCATCAATGTCGTATCGGTGATCGCGGTTGTAAGACGTTTCAGGCACGAAGAAGTATAGCAAGATAACCTCGAGTGCCGTGAAGGGGATGAGAATGTGGAAGAGATATCGCCAGCCAAGATTTGTTGCGATGGGTCCGACGATGATGGCCGAAAAGTTTGATGCTGCGCCAAGAATGAATTGGATCAGGGTCATGAACGTTCCTCGCTGGTGAACGAAAAAGAGGTCGCCTATCATCGACACGACGATAGACTCAAAAGCAGAGCTACTGGTGTGTTACTTCATGTTCACGTCGTAACAAGCAGAAGGGAAACGTACACTGATCCGCCTTGGATGATTCTCCCTGCCAGCAATCCATTGTAGCTGTACACGGCACTTCCGACCACTGTTCCGAGCAAGCCAAACAACGATGCCAATAACAGCATCGGACGCTTTCCGTATTTTCGCGCGCATGCACTAACAAGAGGTCCTACGCCGCCGGTAACCAGAAGCATATAGCCGGAGATGACGGTGATGTCTGCAACGTCTTTCTTAAAGTCCGTTGCGATAATGACCAAGGCCGGCGACAGTAATGGAGAGAGAACCGCAGCATACAACACAGATCCGTATGCGACGATGAGCATAATGACCCATTTCTTTGTCGTGCTCCAATTAAGGGGATCGTTCGGGTCCTCAGATCTGCAATGCGGTCAGACCAGAGCAGTCCACAAAAATATATTTGTTGCGATGAAGATTCAGATGAGTACGTACGGCTGAGGGATGAGGATAATCTCTGCATCTCTGCCTGTTCCACGCTTCAAACCAATGGCTGACTCGGTGGACAGGTGCTGCTCCTCGCTGAGAGTCACCGTGGCCGGCACGTGTGCGAGTTTGTTATCCTCGAGTATACCGAGGAACCCCATGATTGCTGGACCCTATCGAAGGTTCTGAGTGTTGAGGTGGCGTGTCCGATACGGTTAACGGAATGGATGCGATCAGGCACGGGATGAAGACCCGAGGAACGGATGCGACGTAGGACATTTAAATGGGATCGTCGACTCCAAACCGTCGAGATTTACGCGGCCAATTGACTCGGTGCCATGCTCTGCGAAACCCAGGAAATGCATCAGTGCCCCCCGCACGGCCACATTCTCTCCGTCCCAGGCCCCACAGCGCCAGCAAGTGCTCGATGTTTGCAGCGGATATTGGAGAATCCTTGTCCAATATGCTCGCCTAAGCCGGCACGAGCCTTTCTTCCTGCAACAATACGAATTTCATACAGAAGCTGCAGATAGGCTGAAACTACCATCGCTTCGTTACCAAGCAATAATTGCGTTTATCTCGAACTGAGTAAAAAGGATTCCCCAGATGGCAACAAGTTTCAGGCGGGTGGCAGTCGGTCCGATCTCTCCTCAACGGGAGGGAGGCTCGAGATAGATCAGCGTCTGGGCGCGGAGATTCAGCGCTAGGCACCCCGCAAAAATGCCCCACAGGGGCTGTTTCGTACTGTAGCGCGTGAAAGCTGCTTTACGACACCTGTCCGCGTACCCGTCGTCACAGATTCCAGCTTCCAGAACCCTGTCTCCGCCGCAGAATCGGATTCTGTGGCTATAGCTTACCTAGCAAAGCTCTGTGTGGTTCCGTATCTTTTCACGCTGCAAAACCAGCTGATGCGCTATCGCATCCATCCCGCCGCGCTCTGCGGCAGAATCGGTCCTTACCCCATACCCCAGATAGCTCCGTTGAAAACGATATCTTCGAGGTGGCTTTTTCAGGTTCAAGTTCCGGCTGACCCCGTGGGGCAGATACGCCATAGTAGTCGGCAGGTAAAGAAGGGCTTACTGCTCGTGTCATGAGAGAATCACAGATGAGCGCATGACGTTAATACTCTTCCTGGCGAGAGTATCTTCGCTGTTACCATTGGAGTAAACGATCTACTTAAACACATGTGTATGTCCTTTTGGGGGCGAATTTTTGTTACGAGCGTCATAAGCAATAAGTTCTGCTTGTCGAACACTGACGTACATCGAAACTTCACTTGATGTAAGCAAGCTGTCTCTCCTGCGTAGCGCTTCCCCAGACTTCGAAGCGAGCAACTTCGGCGCATCTCCACATTCGGCAATTACGATGGTTGCCGCTGTGGGACTGGCTGTGGATTTAAACTTGGCATAGCTGAGTCGCGATGCGGGAAGTCCGGAGAAATGAGGCCTCGCTGATGAAGCGGAGGTCTAGATCTTACAGCACGAGAGAAGCACGGGTGGGACAGTTAGGGCTTATCAAAGGCCTTACCTTTCTTCATCAATATGAGATTAACGCACACATTTGTTGTATCTATATGATTAGAGTAAAAGCAAATCAACTCTATAAATATGCGCTGGAAGAAAAAGGGAAAAAAATCCCTTCATTGCATTGCGTTGCTGTTATAGCAATAAATACGCGATGTTTCTTACTAGTACTTCCCTTGTGTGGCAGTAAAGGCACGCTGATATTTTGAACGAGATACGAGATGAATGGCCTGAAGGTGTGTCATCCAAGGTAGTTTGGCGAAGTACTCCAAGGTCTAAGGCTGCTCAAGATAGCGCGGACATTCAACCATCCCCGAACATGTTGCCCAAGAACTCACCGCAAGAGACTATTTGGCTACCCTGTTCACGATTGATGATAGCCTTACTACTTGCTTTTGCTTACATGGCCTTGGTAGCCTTGTACCTCTCGAACTACTCCAAGGGCTTGAGATTTAACACAGTTTCGTCAGACTCTATTTCGTGAAATAGCCGGTTATGAGTGGTGTCGAAGTACGTTCGGCCATAGGCCGCAGAAGTCCCAAATTCCGGTACCGAATAGGCTTGACGACAAGGGGGCCGGGGACCGTGGACGGAAAGGGAGAGAGCTGGCATCGTGTATGCTGTAACTGCTGTAGAGTTCTGTTTGACTAAATGAACGAGGAGGTGTGGATCGATGGATTAGTTAAAAGATAGATTAAAATGAGTTGCGTGAGTTGCGTGAAGATCTACCTATGGTAAATGGCTACCTAGATATAGTCCTAATGCCTGCTTGGTAACTTGTTGTTAAACAGGCAAGACTACACAAGATCAATCCTCAACTACATCATACTGTATGGTCAGGAAGCTGATTGCCAACTCTTCCCCACCCCTTCGTAACGATATTAGCTTTTTTTCACGCTTACCGTATGTCACACTACATGCGCTCAAGTGACAACTAAAAACACAAGCGTGGCGCTGGCCATGCTAGGGAGTTCTAAGACCATTAAAAGATGATTATTCACATTACATCAATTTGTTTGCGTAAGGCAGTGACTTGAGAGAGATGTATGCTGCCTAGAAGAACAACTCGGTATAAAGATAGGCCTACAAAACCATGGCCAAGGCAGCGAGTCCAACCACTGCACCAACACCAACCTGTGCTGACGAAGCGCCTCCAGTGAACATGCCGGGAGCACCGGTCATAGTTGAGGAAGGCTTAGCCGACGAACCTGAAGCCGATGAGGTCATGCTCGCGTTAGCGGCCATGGGCTCCATAACGGTGCCGTTGTTTGGGTATGCGGAGCACTGAGCCATCGGGTCGAGAGGACATTGTTCGTTTTGGCAGATGCTGTTGAGGGTGGGTCCCTGCTCTGGGATGACAGTTGCGGCTGGGCTGCAGCGGTAGTTGAAGAGCTTTGTGAGGGCTTCTGCTACGGTGGTGACGTCCTCCTTGGAGACACCGAATGAGGTCGCTGCAAGACCAACTTGGGTGATGACTACAGGTTGAATATGAGATTAGTGTGTGTCTCAAAGACGTTCCGAACGTGGACGTTGCTTACAGTATCCCATCTCAGAGGGATCGAGGTTCATGAACCTGTGCGAGTCTTCCATGCTGTGTCCGGTGTACGCGGGGAAGCCCGTGTTGCCATATGCGGAGCAGCCAAGTAGTTTACCAAAGAATTGGTACAAGTGTGTGAGGAGGAAGCTGCGTCACTATGTCAGTGTCCGGTTCGTTGGGCAAGCTAACGCCGCAATGCTTACTATTGGTTTGACTTCTCGCTGTTGGCAGGCATGTTCTTCATAAGGGGCGCAGCACCTCCATCGTCAAGGAAGTTGATGCTGACTCCTGAAGAGCCACCACGGTTGCTGGACTTGAGCGTTCCGTCGAAGTAAGGAAGGAGGTTGACCTCTTTGTCCATGTACATGCCCTTGGCAAGGATACCGGGGACAGCGTTCATGTTTGGCTGAGTGTAGTTTCCAATGACAACGGTGTTGACGAGGAGAGTCAACAGAGTGTACTGGTTTGTGGCGTTGTTCTCCTTAAGCAACGCGGTGGTGTACTTGTCGCACAGCGACATGTCCTGGGCGGCTGCCAGGGAGCTGGCGCCCATGAGCACGATGGAAGAAAGACGCATGTTGAAATTTTTGGAGAAGAGATAAATTAGGCTTGGAGAACAGGTCGATGATATGTACTCTCAAAGTGTTCAATAAGTGAAGTGCGCGATATCGAGAACCGCCATGACGCGAGTGCTTTATAGAAAATCCAACGTTTGACACACAGACAAAGACGTCCCGCTCGAAACAATTTCTCCAAAGCTAGATCCGCCCTGAGCTAACCACACTCGTGTTTGACGATGTCTGTCTTGAGGCGGCCCAGGTGGTTTCCTACGGCAAGGCGACGAGCCGTGAAACATTGCGCCAATCAGAGAAGCCCTATTCTGACTTATTCTCAGATTGACGGCCCTTTTCTGCAAACGTGTGAGGAGTATTAAGCACTAGAACTAAAATCAGCCTTTGTTGTCGGAAAGCGTGAACCCGGCGACGTTAGCTTTCCATCTTGGCTTTAGCGCCTACATCATCATCGGCTTTACGCGAGTCACGATTGGTCCGTTCGTTGTCCTACACAATAAGTCATAGCTTCGTCTTGATCCTAAACCCCCAGATTGGTGGGAATTTATCGATAACGATGTGTTTGGGGTGGCATTCTGTCTGACTAGGTGCTTGCATACAGACGTTTTGTCTGAAGTTCTAGGAGTGAAGACTTCCAAGGTTGCGACTATGCAGAGCTGGTACAACGGTGGAAGAATGACAGTTTTCGATGAACTACGGCAGAGTCGATAGGTGGTCCTTGCATCACGCTCAAAGCTTCCAATGAATCAGGGTCAACGTCTAGAACATGGTGCTCCTCTCCCTCTGCCATCTACGAGCAGTGCAGATTCAATGCTCCTTCAATTCTTTCAACCGGGACTCCTGTCAGTCATAATGTCTCATATCACGAGACGCTAGATATAGGGTTGGCAGCCTGGTCAGTGCAGATTGTCAACGTTTTCATCAACAGCAATAGCAATTCAATTGCAATGAAAAAAGTTCTTACTCTAGACAGTCTCTATGACAAGAGTTCTAGTAAGGATATTACCTTCTTTGCGTGTGAACAAATTGAACACAAAAGATAATTTGACCAGCAACTATCTAGGTAACTGAAAGCATCCTGAAGCCCCTTGTGGTGTGTAGTCTATGCTGGTGCTACTGCTTCATGATCTAGTAATTGTAACTCCGCTCCAAGGTAAGGATATCGCCTGGGCTGATTCGTACATTGTCCTCCTGTTCAGCACCTCAATCTACATCGAGCTGAGTCGAGAAAACATCGAGCTTGTTAAAACTATTGTTCGTAACGTACACCGTAATACTTCGCTCCAGCAAATGCTTAGCAACGACTCTCATCGTATTGTACGTGAGTTTGGTGATCTGGAAGACGACTTGTCTATTGGCCATGGTATATTTGGAGTTCCTACTTGAAGGGGCTTTGACGTCCTTCGTCTCCCGCTTCCTCAGAGCGCTGCATCATGTAAGTTATGCATAAGCAGGGCATATAGAACTGACGGTTTGTCCTCGTGTTCGATGAGATCTGTAGAGCTAGAGTCGGGATGCAAATTTGCAATGAGATTGTCAGGCACAAATGCGGTACGCTTGACGACAGGCAGAGCGCGGACATTTCCCGCAGGAACCGGAGTAGCTGCAGTAAATGCTAGGACATCAAGGGCGGTCGAGATTGGAAGGAACTGCAAATTTTGTTGGTGGTAAAATCCAATGTAGATTGTGGAGTGTAGAGATTGATAAGAGTCTTGTGTACCCAACGAAAGCCAGGGCATTTATAGCACCTGATTTCACAACTGCGTACAAGCTTTTTGGAAGCTTTTTGCTAGTGCCGCGAAGCTCATGTCAAATGATGCTCGTACTTAGAGTTTTCCACGATGTGCACAAATATACCTTCACATCTGCTCCCTACTAGTGCTTACAATACTATCAACTGCCAGATTCAACCTTCATTGTACTGGCCTTATAGAAGCTTTCGGACATTTTACTGGCAATCAGATACTTTTTCTTGATTGAAAGTTGTGTTTGGAGTTTCCCAACGTTTCTAGAAAGTATACCACTACGTTTGCTCCAGACTAGCGCTTACAATAGTCTTACTTCCCAGAAGAACCTCGTATTTCGAATTCCCCGCAGTCTGGCGAAAATCATAGTCAGTAAAGTCCTCTAGATCGTAGAAGCTCGAAGATGACCTCTCCAGCATTGGGGGTCTAAAGGTAGCTTGACTGTGGAGCTTAAATTGAATCCGTCACGAGGGATTGTGACTGCGGCTGATCGATGCGTGTAGACCGCTGAACAAGAAATAGCTGCTCTGCCACGCCTCGATTCTTTCCATTCACCGAACACTTTCTCAGCCCATAACCCAGATCAGTTGAATACACTCAGCACTCTCTTGGAATACGATGTTCATCGCTTCCATTATGAAGCTTACGACTGGTGTCGCCGTGTAAGTTCTCCCTTGTTTGCGGTCACATATCATTGTTGACCATTCCAAGTCTAACATACTATTGTGCCCCAGCCAGCGACCCTGCTCTATTGGTTAATGACCAAACGAAAACTTGTTGCGTGGCGATGAGCCCTTTCCGCGGACATACTGGGTATGGCAATGTGGGTCAATTTCTCAGTTCTTCTGCATTACACTAAATATGTTGTAGTGTCGCATCAATGTTGGTGACACGACAAATCGCTTCAATTTTCAGCAATGCTGCAAGAATTTCAAGTACGAAATATGCTACTAGCAGCAAGCGGGAGTTTTCAAATGTGGTGACACAAACTACCCGGTAGAGTGCAGATAGGACAGTAGCATGCTTTGTTTTAGGCAACCGGGGCTTCCACATTTTTTTTACCACAACCCGCCCTTGTCTCTTAACCAATTAGGGTGGGTGGATATTCAGCACGCTGCCGAGATGGACGTAAGGTATAATGCCACACTCGTGTAGACAGTTTCGCAATTATCGCCTACATCAAATATACACTCATTCGACCAATCTCCAGTCCAACTGACCGACCTCTGATGAAATGTGCGTGACCGCTTTGAGCCAAGCTTATCTGTACGTTCACGTCAATGCTACCACTCCCTCCAAACAACCAATTGCTTTCCGCAATGAAAGCTCTTTCCTTTATCAAGTGCGGACACATGACGCTAAAGTCAACCTCAAGCGCTACAGAATCACACTCGCGTAGAAGCAACTCCAATTCTTTGTTTGCAACAGGCAACAAGTAACAAGCAGAATACAGCAAGCAACAGCCACCAAATACCATGTCCTCCAACCGCCCCTCTCCATTCTCTCAAAACCAGGATGTCGAACCGCTACATCATCCCCGATCTCTCCTACCCACACTACCGCATCCACAAGACAACATGAATACGTCACGCAGATGGATCGAACGCCAAAACTTTTCTAATCGATACTCAATTCTCTTCCGCCTCGTATGCTATCGCGCGCAAGAGAGTTGACCATGTTAGGCAGAGTGTTACCAACCGAGGTAGTGCAGACAAGTACACCTTCGTCATGTCGCGCGAGTGGGCTGATAGCGCAGACGTGTTTCTCGTCGATGACGCAAGGACGAAGATCTGGCTGAGGATTTACGACGCAGGTCGGGCTGGGATGTTTGAGCCGAAGAGCGTGTTGGAGCCGGGGGTCGGGGATGAAGAAGCTCGTCTGGGATACCATGTGGACTTTGCTACCCCGCAGGTCAATCTCGCGGATACATTGCTGCGATGGCAGAACCTAGATGCGTTCAATGGCATTCCGGTACCGAGGAGGGGATTCAGGATCAGTTCGATCGATGGGAGGGTAGTAACCATGAAGCGGAAGCGGTAGAATTGTCTAGTGCTTATTCCCCGTACGTCAATTTATAATGTATAAGGTTCCTGCTTCCAACTAACCCTCCTCTCGTCCCTCATTCGATCGAATCGGACTACACTTTGCAACAGCACCTGCGCGCCTAGAGCACAATCCTCCTCCTTGCAGAACTCTCTGGGGTTGTGGCTCACACCCTCCCTACACGGGACAAAGATCATGCTCGTGGGACAGCGCTTGCTAGCATACACGCTGTCATGGCCCGCGCCAGATGTCATTTCCATGACTAAATTGTGGCTGTTGGGACCTAGGATGTTGTATGCAGATTGCCTAACGGACGTGATGCAGTCGGTGTGGAAGTTTGTTGCGGGCGAAGAGAAGTCTTCGACAATCTCGACTGAGAGAGGGAGTCCAGGTGTACAACCGAGGTTGGAGTCTAGAACATCTTCGCCAGCGGCAATCTTCGGGAAGTCCCTTTGGATAAGTTCGGTCATGAGTGCTACGGTTTCGTCCTTGGGTGAGCGGATGTCGAGACTGAAAGATACTGAGCCAGGTACGGTGTTTGTGGAGCCGGGTTTCAGGTGTAGAATGCCGGTAGATGCGAGAGCGTGGTTCGCGGTTGCAAGGCGATGCGAGTGCAAGATCATTTTTGATGCTGTGAGGAGAGCATCTGCACGAGACTTTAGGTCCGTGGTACCGGTGTGCGTATCACGTCCCTTGACGTTGATCGTGAACCATTTGTACGCTTGGACGCCAGTGACAACGCCAATCTTCTTGTTGGACATTTCCAGTAATGGGCCTTGCTCGATGTGCAATTCGAAATGTGCGGCCATGGGTATGGCTTCATGGCTTGCTGGCGTTTCACCCAAGTATCCTATCCTCTTCAGCTCTTCGGCCATGGTTGCTGTGCCAGGATGTACTTCGCGCAGGTTGTGTGCCGTCTCTACTGGAATATCACCAGCCCAAACGCCGGATGAAACCATAGACTTTGGGAATCTGGCACCTTCCTCATTCGTCCAGTTCACTACACCAACAGGATACTCGGTTTCGGTCCAATTGTCGGCGAGCACTCTTAGCATCTCTACACCTGCCGTGACACCTAGGATCCCATCATATCGGCCACCAGTAGGTTGTGTGTCTAGATGACTGCCGACATATGTCGGAGGTTTATCATTCCGAAGCCCAGGTCTAACGGCAAACGTGTTTCCCATTGCGTCCACAGTGACCTTGCAGCCCAAAGCTTCTGTCGTTGAAACAAACCAGTCACGTGCAGCCTTGTCAGCATCAGAGAGGGCTAAGCGGGACATGCCAGTCTCAGTAGGAGCCCTTTTCATCGTATCAGCATAATGTTGGCATTAGGCTTGGAGCTGCTTACTCTCCCCAACGTTCACCAGGGCCCCATTGGCAAGTATAGTGGATGTCTTGCATCAGACGACCCTGATTGACTTTCAGATCCTGCAAATGCTCATCATTCATCTCTTTCGTCCGTATTCGCCATGTCGGACTGCTGGCAAAACCTCGAGCATGGCTGAATTCAGATACACTTCGACATGGGGTAGCCCTCAATGCGGGGTAGCGCCTTCCTGCAATGCGAAGGGTAGACGCGTATTTGCTAAGATTGAGTGACATGGTGGCAATGTTGGAGAGAGTGAGAAGATGACATGTTTCGAAATTCGAAAGGAAGTTCGGCAGCGGAATGCCCAGGCGTATGATGACCTGATATCGGCCAGTAGTGGGATGTATCGATAGCGGCACGGCGTCTTAGCGCGTGGACATCCCGCGTTTGCAGTGGGGTTGTTCGGCCGCGAACACCCATAGAACTACTAGTAACAATATTGATATACTTCTTCGAAAATAAACTTTCGTGCAATACTGTTGTGTAGTAACTGTTGACCATGCAAATTGATAACTCGTGTTGGAGGTGGATGCGCTCGAACTGTCTCGAGATTATGAAGGTCCAATTGGGTATCTACAACTAACAATACATACTTTTAACGCCTGAATATGCATACCTTGAGCGGACCTGACGAGAGACGCTTCTAAATGAGCCGCAAGCAATCATGCGGTGGCTTTTCCCTTGCCCTTTCCCTCGAATACCTGCGGCTTCGCATCGTCCTCTGAAACATCTTCTTCTTCCTCGCTGTCGCTCATGAACTCATCGTCCTCATCATCCCATCCAAACATCTGGCGCTGCTGTACAGGCTTCGAGGACGATGCTGCGGCCTTAGTATCGTCCTCTTCCTCGGAGCTTTCCCTTTGCGCAAGCAGCATCTTCTCGATGGCTTCTCGTGTCTTGTTCTCTGCCTCCTCCTTATCCTCCACCCATTTGCCATCCAGACGGGCAGTACCGCGGCTGTTCATGAGTTCGTCCTGCTTCCGCTCGGTGCTAGCCACAATGTCTTCCCACCGCTTCCGTCGCTCCTCTTTCTCTCTTTGCTCCATTTCTGGCTTGATAGCAAGGTACTCGGCAAGAACTTTAGCCTCGGCGACAGTGCGCAGCCGTCGTCCATCTAAATTTCTGGATGATGCGTTTGCATCACCACCTTGCTTCTTGCGCGACGACATGCGACCACCCTGGGCACGCAGAATCGATCCGAAACCACCTTTTCCACCGCATAGTGGTACTGTTAGGCGGAGCGAGAGAAATGTGTCGGATGGCGAAGAGAGCAGTGACGACACTGGAGACTCGTCATGGCTCACAGCGCGGCGCGAGTTTGTGGTGAGGATGTAGGATGAGTTCTGCACCCACGGCGCGCGTTCGTATAGCGTGTCGTATATGGATGTGAGTGACGCGTCTTTTGGCGATGTGAAGGCGATGTCATGCCCTTTGATGCTGTTCACGATGACCGTGATTGGGGATTCAGTTGTAGAGTCCATAGTGGCGGGTTGTGACGCCTAAAGTGTTTGTTTCTTCGGCAGATCTTTGCGCGCGATAAGCGTCTGCAACAAAACGCTCAGTTGTCGTCAAGGAGAGCCGTTGTGTGGTGATAGCAAAGTTGGTAGGCGGCGAATGTCGAGACCAGAGCCAAGCATTTGATTCCGCGCTAGCATGGCTCCGCCGCGCTAACTTTAGGCGAATGGCCTGTGCGCTACGCACTCGTCCCCCAAAATGCTCCGTCTATTGCGAACTTCCTCTCCATCGCCAACCTACATCTAACGCCAGCATCCCCGAGACTTCTCGCAACCGTCAAGATGCTTATTCCCAAGGCCGACCGCAAGGCGATCCACGAGTTAGTCCACCTCCACACCATTCAGCACTGCGGCGCAACCGAGTTGGGGACATTCACACGAAATATCCAATCTTGAGCTTGAGCTTCATTTGGCCCCTCCATTCTCGCTTCTGCATGAACTCTGCTAACAATTGCTCTCCAGGTACCTCTTCCGAGGTTAGTATCCCACCCTGTACTCGGGCCATGGCTATGGCACAAGTGAACAATTTCGCGGCTCTGCTGCATATAAGGATAGGCTGACACACGGTCACCACAGAGGGCGTTCTCGTCGCAAAGAAGGACTTCAACCTTCCCAAGCACGGAGACATCGACACCAAGAACCTGTTCGTCATCAAGGCTTGTCAGTAGCCCCGCTTTCCGCTAGCGCACAAGCGTGTCTAATATGTCGCAGGCCAGTCGTTGACCTCCCGCGGATACCTCAAGACTCGCTTCTCATGGCAGTACTACTACTACACCCTCACCCCTGAGGGTCTGGACTACCTCCGCGAGTGGCTCCACCTCCCCGCCGAGATTGTGCCCCAGACGCACATCAAGCAGCAGCGCTCTGCTCCTCCCCGGGGTATGCTCGGAGGCGGTGACGACCGCGAGAGGCGCGGAGGAGGCCGTGGTGGACGTGGCGGTGACCGTGGCGGCGACCGTGACGGTTACCGACGCCGTGACCAGGGCGAGAAGGGCGAGGGCGGTGCCCCCGGCGAGTTCAAGCCCGAGTTCCGTGGTGGCTTCGGACGAGGCCGCGGTGCTGCCCCTGCTTCTTAAGCAGGTCTCTACTTGCTTGAGGAGTAAACGGATACAAGGTCATCTTCATGTCGCAACTTTACTGCATTCACAAAAAGGGATCGGTCACGGTGGCATACGGCGAAATGAAAGGATGATACTACGAATCCATTGTCCGCTCGGGAAGCGCTTTCGCACCCGGAGCAGGTCATGTTCTCAATGATACCCCAGTACACTTCAGTGGCTGTTCGCTTCGTGATGATCATGTCTATCCAATGCTTTTCGTCTGAAGCTCATGTTCTCATTAAAATGCTCAATGTCCACTCTTCCCAGACTTCATCAAGTCCCCGCCACTCCTCATCCACATCGATCTAACCTGCTCAATCGTCGTCGACTCACCCATCTCCTTCTCCACCACTTCTCTTGTAATCCCCAGCCTCTCCTCTAATCCTTCCTCGCCGTCCACCTCATCATCTCCAAGTCTACTCCTCCCCAAAATCGCAATGTTCCTCGTACTCGGGATCCTCAAATGCTCTTTCTCAACCTTATACCCCATACTCTCCGTCAAGTGACTGACCCAACTACACAGCCCCGCATACGCACTAGGCTGCTTATTCTCCTTCTTGCCCATCACATTCGGATCTTCCTGGACATACTTCCTATGCACGGGCGCGCGAGTCCTCGCCCCGCCAAAATCATGACTGCAGCACGGAATCGCAATGAACGGCGACCTCGACAGCGACGCAATCAGCGGCGTCCACGGCGTCAACTCATCCGCATGATTGCTCACAACGAACGTGCCCCTCGGAAAAACACCATCATGCTCCACAGCCGCCGCGTCGCCATCCCGCTCGCCCAGAACGCGCGGGACGAGCAGCATCTCCTTCACCCTGTCCTTGTCCTCGCCAAACGTCGCCCACGTCTTACGCCGCCTCGCATCGAACCCCCAGCCGTTCCACCCCTCCGCATTGAGTATATACACCAAAACCCCGTTCCCACAGCCAATATCCACGAACCCGGGAAACGCTCGATCGACCCGTACATGTCGCGCCACAACTCGATCAAAAACGCCGCGATGCCCAGGTCCTCAAACACGTGTTTCTCCGGGCGGCGTCTGCTCGACCCAGCCGTCGATCAGGGCTTTTGCGTACTTGCCCTTTAGGTACGCGTATGTGTCTTGGAAGCGCTTTTGCGGGATGATGACGTCGTGGTGCACGCGCTTCTTGTACCCGGCTTGTCGGCCTTTGGCGTGCTTGTGGATGATTTGCAGCAGCATGAGGGCGGTACGCGTCAGCCGGGTGTCGAGTGGGTGGGTTGGGAAGAAGGCGAAGTGGATTGAGAGGGTGCCGGGGGAGGGGAGGATGGATTGATTCGGTAGATAGGTGTATAGGATGCCGAGGGAGCGGACGGTGGGGTGGTAGAAGGGTATGTCTTCTGGGGCTTCGGCGTGGGGGATGTATATGACTAGATAGCGTTCTGCCTGGACGGTTTCTTCTTGCCCGGCGGGAGTTGTGATTGCAATGGCTTGGGTTGATGTGTAGAGGTGACATGTTTGCATCATTGGTTTGTCCAGGTTGGGATTCCGGGGGATGAGTTTTCTCACCACTGTCCATTCGAGGTCGTACCCCTCCACTCCGCCTTCCACAAGCCGGGGCTGACATTCGGGTCGCAGGTGCTTGACTATGCTAGCTAGATCTTCAGGCGTTGTGGCTTTGGGGTTGTACGTCGCATCTGCAAAGCTCTGATACGATAGCTCAGCACGGGCAAGGTGTGAAGCAGTCAAGTTTGGATTTTCGAGCAGATTCCGACTGACGTCGAGAAAATACTGCGGTGGGAACTTGGCAGGTGCTGCCTGAATAATAGTCCATATCTCGGGCGGTAGTCCAGATATGATTTTCGGGGCAGTTGAAATGTCGTATGGCGAAAAATTGTCCAAATTTGCCTCCGGTGGAGCGATTGTTGCTGAATTGACGTCCGATTTTTCCATGTCTGCCTCGGTTACATGGGTCTCCAAACTAGTTCCATTTCTCTTGTTCTGCTCATCTGCCATCTCTTCCTAATGGCGTGGTTGACCCAGCCGTTTGAAAATGAGATGTTATTCGTGAGTCATGCGACTTTGCTCCTCACAGACAGGACACACGTTGGAAGAAGTTTGCAAGCAAATACTCTCTTAGTAAACGGCTTACCCGACAAGCCTTCGAGTTTCGCAAAATTATGTTGTGAAGTCCCGGCTATGATGTTGTGCTGAAATGGTAGTAAAAGTCAAGCGAGAAACATATGGCTGTACCTGCAGTAGCGTGCAAGCCCGCTCACCCACGAGCAACTTACTATACACTAACACCAGCAAAAGAATGTTAGGACTGCATATCTCAGAATATAAGTGTAGTAAGAAGGTATCCAAATTACTCTCTTTCTAGAGATGAATTAACAAATTATTACTTTCATTGGCACACGTAGGCCTAGTCAATGATGCAAGCAAGTGTGGATGCGCTGCCTGAGGCGTTTGTTATGTATTTGTAGGTGAGAGAGACGGAGCATAGGCGCTAGCAAGCCCGTTTGCACTTCAAAATTGATACACCTGGGCCAACTAAAGGTCTATATGAAGACAAGGAACTTTACACGAAGTATCTTCTTAGGCCGTTGAGAAAAGGTCTCGTCGTTGAATCGATGCAGCGCGTCGTATGCTCTATGCTTCTCTATATCTGACCGAATCACTCATGCGATATAAACAACGCTTCTAATGCAATCCCACCTCACCCACCCTGTCATTCCCCCCTTTACCGTCCATAATAATGCGCCATCTCCAACCCCGCCCTCTTAAACCCACACTTGACATAAAACCCCTCATTGGCCTCACTACAGTCCAAGATCGTCTTATAGCAGCCGACCTTCTCCGCGACAAAGTCGAGCGCCTGGATAATGCGGAGCCCCAGCTTCTTGCCCTGCTGGTCCTTGGCGACGGCAATGTCCTCAATGTGCCCGACGAGGCCGAGCTGGTGGATGAATTTGCGCTCGACGATGAGCGCGCCGGTGCCGACGATGGCATTGGCGCTATCGGTGATGCAGAGGAGGTAGTACGTGTCGTTGCGCGCGGACATCCACGTGTAGCGCTCGTTCCATTGCTGTTGGGGGGAGGTTAGCTAAAGCGACGGATTTGAATTGAGGTAGAGGTTGCTAAAATTATCGAAAGGGTATATTAATCACCTCCTCAGTTACATCCCCGACCGTCGTCAAGACTCGCAATACATCCAGGAAGCCCTTGTGGAAGTCGTCGCGCTGTATTGGGCGGCACCCGTAGCCTTCGGGCAATTGCTTGACGACTTCGGCGGAGATAAGCTCCGAGCTGAAGAGCGGGGTCGAGGCGTCGGAAGACATCGTCTGAGGTGTTTGGGGGCTTCAATTGAGATAATGGTCGCTGGAAACGCGGTTGAGGGAGGGGTGCGTAATGCGTGTTTGAGAAGGGCTTATCGATAAGCCGGCGGTGTGGGGATTGTGGGACAGAGGAGGGGACGGCGGGATGAATGGAAATGGTATAATTGCTGGAGGAAAGAGACGGTCTGGCAACGAGTGACTTAAAAAAATTGGGCTCTCTATTTTTTTGAACACGCTGAGAAACAGCTCCCATGCTCAGGCACAGCAACCTATAAATAGACTGCACGTCATGATCGCCCACCCTCGTGTTCAGGAACAGCGGCCATCCCAGACATCCGAAATACCTCGCACCATCAGAAGTAAATGTCTTCAAGATAACATATTAAATGAAACTAAGGTGCTAAGTATATATGTAGACATGTCGGTCGTAAATCACATCTTTATCCCAGATGTCTGCTTCTTCTATACCTATATTCCCTGCTCTATCATCCATCTCTCCTCCATTATTTAACGCCAACAACCCTCGAATCCCTCATTCGCTTCCAAGCCTGCAGAACTTCCTCCCCCTTGACCTCCCCACCATCAACGTCCAGTCCCACCGTCTCCGCCAACGCCTCCGCGAGTTGCGCAATCTGCCGCTGCATGGCTTGCACCTGGTCTTGCATGCGCGCCACTTTGTCCTCAGCATCGTCTCTTTTGGCGTGTTCGCGCTCACATGGCTCCGGCGTATGTGCAGGTGTCGGAAGAGCACCGGCCGAAGTATCCTGCTTCGGCACTGGTTTCCTCTTAATCCGCTGCAAGTCCCTTAACTTCCTCGCGCGCGTCAATTCGTCTCTCGACGGCGATGGCGTAGCGAGAGGATGATCGTTGACGGGCACTGGTTTCGGCGCTTTTGGTGAGCGCTTCGGGCTCCGAGGGGACTTGGGAACTGGCGTGGAGGTAGAGCGGTCTTGGGGTTCGAGTGTCGAGATGATGTGTTCGACAGCAGGACTAGCGAGTGGGTTGAGCATTTCCTCGGTGAAGGAGATAGAGATGTGACGGGAGTGGCGTTGCTTGATTATAGGTAATGTAAGTGGTTGATATCCCGCTGGCGGTTCAGTTGGGATGATGATTTTGAGATGGCGCGCTCCTTTCGATGTGGTCATTTCCTTCGCACATGATGGTACTGCAGGCCGGTTGCGTGCTCGCTGGGGAGAGCCTTCCACAGAGCCCACACGGGCAGCGAGGCTCTTTCGTTGCTTCACCTTGAACAGCTTCATGCCCTTCTTCTTCTGCTCTTGCGTCACCGCCTGAGGTGCGGATGGAGGCCCAGTGTTCTTAAGCCAGAAGCTGAGGTCATTGAGCCCCAGGTTACTACTAGCTGTGATGGCATCGTGACCCAGAATTGGTGGCGCAAGTCTGCCCACGTTGGGCGACCCGATCCAGGCAGCATGTTCCACCCGGGGGAGCGCCGAAGTCCTCTTTTTGGCAACGTGCAGGACGTCACCGTCCGGCTCGTAAGGCGAATATTCACCTTCGGCGGCAATGTTGAAGTCGCTGTCCCGCACCCTCAAGGATTTGGGGCTTGTTGGAAAAGCTGGGTTGGTAAGGCGTTTCGGGCTCCGATCTGGTACCGGTGGTGGATCATTTGGCAGCTCGAGTTCCTCGATGGGATATATGGCAATGGGCTCGAGGAAGGACTTCCCCAAGCTCGACTCATCAGACACAGGCAGCGTGACGCCTGACAACTTCGTGGACCGGTCCTCTGATTCAGCCACTGAACCACCTCCTTGGCTCTCAAAATACCTCTGAATGACTCCGAAAGTACCAAACTCGGCAGATAACTCGCGGTCCATGTCAACAGGTACGTCGCCAATTGTCTCAATGGTTTCAGTTGTTTCTTTGCGGCGATGCTCAGCTACCCAAGGCTCCAGTGGTGCGTGTCGAGGTACATTGATCTGCGTCGAAGTGATGAGCTTAAAGGGCGTCTGGCGTCGTTGACGTTTCTTCTCCGGAGATCGAGGTTGGTGACTGGCTAGGCTTGTACTACGGAGGCTGGGGTCTTTGCTTGGATGGCTGACCGACGTGGCAGTACCCGGCTCGTAAGTGAGGATTTTGCCGTGAGGCGCCGAAAGCGAACGCCGATGTGACCTTGAGGGCATGTACACTTCTGGAGACGAAGACATGCCAATCTCGGTTGAGTCAAGCTCAGCCACTGTTTCATGATTGAGGGTGGAGCGCTTGCCGAAGGAACTCGAATTTGTCGACGGACTGTACGCAGGCTGACTTGCGATTGCGGGACTTCCGCTGGCCATGCTGCTCTGTCGAGATAGTGGGCGAGAGTAGTTCTCGCTTTCGGCACGTGATGGTCGACTCATCTCCATTGCCTGGCTCGACCGCAGTTCGTAGTTCCGCGGAGTATGATTGATGAACGTCCCTCTTCTCCTTTGCTGGCAGCCAAACTCATCAACGAAATGCAACGGGGATGAAAGCTCAATAGTATTTTCCTCAGCGCCAGCAGTAGTCGAGGAGTTCGTCTTGTCTTGAGTACTCGTCCCAGACCTGCGCTTAAGCGATGTCTCACTCTTCCTCTGCTGCTCCTTCATCTTCTCGACCTGCCCCGCATACTCAAGAGCACTAATACCAGGATGCCCAAACATTGGAAAGAGATTCAAAAGGCTATCCGTGGAGCTGGACCGAGAAGAAGAAAGCATCTTCGCAACCGGGGTACCAGACCGCTCTAAAAGGGCTCACGCAACCGCCCAGCTGCAGCTCGCCGTTTCCTCTTGCGAGCAAGACACACCCGTCAATCAATGTTTGGCTCGAGAAAACGTGGTACAACCACGAGACTCGCAGGCGACAAGTGACCGCATATGCAGTTGTCGTTGTATCTCACCAAGACTGATGGACGCTCGTTGCAACGTTAGCCAGGGGCTTCGTGGCGACGTGCATACAAGCGTCCTGCGTGTCAGAAATTGTCCTGGACCTGAAGGGAGGAGCGGGCCTGTTGTGTGACGCAGGGCGGTAATCGACGTGTTGGGATGCAGTTGTCTCGACGTGGCACCAAAGTCGCACGGCGGCGTATTGAGCGCTGGCTTTGGAGGGTAATCGCGGGGTATGATCGAGCTGAAGTTGGGGTAACTGGCAGACGGGCGCGACGGGATATGTCTTTGATGATGTTGGGTCATTGCATGTCACGAGAAATGTGAATTCTTTGCGCGGGAAAGTCGCATTGTGCTAACGACACACCAACAATTCTTCAACCGCGGTCAGACATGCCCTTAGCCGACGACAGATTGGTACTTGGTGCCTTGGAACGTGGTACGAGAGGAATGTGGTCGGACGAGCATGCGGTGTAACCAACAGAATCGCTCAAAGGGAGGATGTGCTTCCGATCTCTCATGCGCAACGAAGATGAAAAGCCCCGAAAGGATCGTGGATCGTGCTCCAACAATCGATGAATCGCACCAGCGAGCGTTCAAAGCTGGACAGGGGAATTTCTGGAAGTCGAGATAATTTTGTGCACATGGCGTCTGCAGCTCGGTGCGACTCGAGGACGAGTCAAGGCGGTAAGCGATAAGTTGCGATCTACAGATTTCCACATGGTTACTGACGAGCCACGTCGAATTGCACGCCACGAAGGAATCCCTCCTTATTCACGTAATAATGCAGACCGCTCCTGAGCCTACGGATGCAAGTCACGGCACGTCCAGCGCACAGGCGATCGTGGTCGGTCTGATCTCGGCCCCAAACGCCGCGGGCTTTGTGGCTCGTGAGAAGATGTCGTCAGCTTCAAGCCGCCGGGAAGAGCAAGCATGCTTCTCCTGCCCATTACTTTCAATCTACCAATGCGAAAAGGCCTGTGCTACATGTACATGATACAAGCTATATAGTGTCAAAACACCGTGCCGATGCTGAAGCCGTGAAAAGTCAGGCCATGGAAACGCCAGATAGACAAGCCAACGCAAGTGCTTGCCTATTATGCAAATATGCTCAACTTCACCCTTCATCTTCTCCAATGTCTATTACTTCCGAGCTTATCCAGTCTTCGGTTTCTTTTTCTGCTTGATAAATGGGTTTGGCTTCCGCCTGATCTTGGGCTTTGCCATGGCGGCCAGCACATGTGTAGGACCCGCCCCGGCGTCAGCGCCATTTGGTGCATCTGCACCGGGAGTGGCGCTCTTTCGTGCAATGTCGGAAGACGCAGCTGGTGTCGATCGACCACTACCACCATTGAGCGTGTTCGATGCGGAATCTGACTGTGCATCTTCCATGTTTATGTCACCATCATCCTGCACATCGCCAAAGAGGTCAAATTCGTCCTTGTCTTCAGCTTTGCGCTTCGGGTGGTGGACAAGACCTGGCTCCTCCTTGATCTCCTGTTTGACTTCCTGCTTGATCTCTTGCTTGGTGGGTTTGCGGTCCGATTCGTTTGACTGGCCACTTCCCGAGCGACTCATAGGTTCAGACTTGATCTCAACTAGCGGTCGATGCGGCTGAACATAGCCCTCTTTAGGAGCAGGGAATTTGCTCGAATGCTGGTTGAGCATCTGGGTCAGGTTTCCAGTTGTGAACCGCTTCCTCTCCTGGGCATCTTCCACCAATCCGCGCCAGAACTCGCCACGACTAAGCGATGGCGCGTGGCCGAGCACCCACATAGAAGACTTCGCACGTGTGAGACCGACGTTCATACGTCGAATGTCCTCCAAGAAACCAAGGCCTCCCCGATCGGAGGCTCGCACACAGGAGAAAATGATGATCTCGCTCTCTCGACCTTGAAAGGCATCCGCGGTATTGAACTCAATGTCTTCGATGATTTGGGCTCCATAGACGGACGCAAAGCGTGTTTTGAGCTCCGTCAACTGACTTTTGTACGGAGTGATGATGCCGATCTTGCCCCGGAAGTTGTAGTCGGGAAAGTCTGAAGTCAGTCGGTGATACAGCTTCATCGCTACTTCAATCTCGGCGCGATTGATAAGCGAGTGACCCTTTGGCGCGGCTGATTGTTGGCCTGCCACGTCAAAGAAACGGTATGGTCCAAACAGCATACTCTGATGCCATGGTTGCTTGCGGATAGTCGCCATGTCCCCACCGTCCATGAGCTTGCCGTCGTAGAACTCCCGACTAGGAAACAAGCTGATCTCAGGATGCATACGATACTGCGTGTCGAGTAGATGCACATCATTAGGATGGTTCTTCTCCATACGAGCGAAAAGACTCTGCGAGTACTGGTGGCGCGATGCCACCTTTGAAAACACCGTAGGTGGCAATTGCTTTGGATCACCGACCAGCACGCACTTTGCGCAACCGTACTTCAGAGGAATGAGAGCACTCAGCTCAACACACTGCGCAGCCTCGTCAATGATGACAGTCTCGAACTCTATACTGAGTCCCTGGAACATCTCGTGTCCGGAACCACTAAGCGTAGCACAAATAATATGCGCATCGTTGAGGATCGCTTCTTGCGCCCTGCGGCGGCTGAGGTCTGAGTTACGACTCTGGAGCCTCTCTTCGTCCTTGCTGTTGTCGATTTGTCTACCCAGAGCAGCCTTGCGTTGACGCAGCGCAAAAAGATCGCTCTCAAGCTTTGCCGCAGCATCGCCCTTTAACTCTCCACTATCTCTTTGCGCGTTTCCGTTTCTCAACTGCTCAGAAACCTGCTTGTGTTCTTCGTACATCTTGCTTTTCGCTTCTGGGTCTTGCCCTTTCCCTTGACCTGGATCTTGACCGAGCCTCTTACTGATTAGGCCTTCTAGACATACGTCCTGTACAGCTGCATTGAGCTTGTCTTGGCGACCCAGACGTACAATGTTGACTTTCCGCACTTCTCCATTGAGTGTCTTGATGCCGGCCTTGAAACGCATGACCAATTCGTCAACAGCAGCGTTACTGGGTGCGCAAACCAGTAGCTTCTTGGAGGCAGTTTCTGAACGCTGCTGGCCAGGAACAGTAATGGTTGTGCCACGATTGCGGAGGCTGTCTGACAAAACTGCTCCCACAATCGCAGTAATTGTCTTGGTTTTACCAGAACCAGGTGGACTGTACCACGTTAGCATAGCCTAAAACAGTCAACACATTAACGCTTACCCTTGAATCAACGTGAATGCATCGTTGTCAATCGCTGACTTGATGGCTTTCGCCTGCGCCTTGTTCACATTGTAATTCTGGATCAGAGGCTCGGTTTGCTTGTCACTGTATGTCAACAAAGGAGATGGCCTGGCCTTGATGATCTCGTCGCACAAGTCGTAGTACTGGAGACCCTTCAATGCACCGTATTCGCGCTCTAAGGTCATGATGGACTGGACCTTTAATCCGAATACGGTATTGTTTGGCTGCAGCGAAGACGAAAGCGGGTTTGCAGGTAAGACACGATACAACACTTCGATGTGTTGCCCTTTCCTCTTCGCTTTGGAGACTCTAGCGAGACAAGACGGCTCATTTGCCGACAGTTTTCGAGACACTGACAACACCACAATGTCGCCCTCACCAATCCGCATCTCCTTGTTCTCAGCGAAGGTCATAGTACTTCCAAGTTCCTGGAACGCATCGACGCTAGCTCTTGACGTTATGCGGACTTCATAGGGCTTGGCCTGGTTCTCGTCTCGTTCCTTGACAAAACCTTGCCATGCTTCAAGCGTGAGAAAAGCTTCGAAAGTAGACTGATAATCGTTGGGGGTGCGAAATGTTGTAGGAATCTTGGAGTACATTTCTGGGCGTGCTTTTGGTGGATAATCGCCTTCGTGGAAGTAGTCCCAACCAAGGAAAGCCCGGTGGAGAGCGGTCAGATCAGGCGCAAGGCGAGCACGCATGTCTCGAGCAGAACGCACGGCCCTCTTCTTCTTGGTAGGCATCTGGATCTTGACCTCGTTAATGATGTTCGTCTTTGGTCCAGCCTTGTTCTTGGTCTTCTTGATGCCGAAGATCTCTTCGTCGAGATCACCATCGCTGTCTTCGGACTCATCGGATGAGTGCATGAGGCCTTCTCCCTTCGCAGCCTGGTCTTTACCTAGGACACCTAGACCTTCTAGGCCTGAACCTGCTTCTGCGATGTGCGATGGTATGCCTCGAGCAGCTCTTGCTTTCGCGATGGCAGCGGCCTTTTCTTGTTCGCGCTTCTGCTTCTCCAGCTGGCGCTTCTTCTTGAAATCGTCTTGCGCCGCAGCCTTCTGAATTTCCAGAGTCTTAAGTTTCGCGGTCTTGGCCTCCGCAGCCTTCATCTGCTCTCGTTTTTGCTGGAATGCACTCGCACCTGAGGTTAATTGAGACATAAGGTTGCCTGAAGTTGATGCCCGGTCTGTACCAGTTGACATCCATTTGCTTATCGAGGCTTGCTTTGGCTTGACCTCTTCCTCCTTCACAAGAGGGCGACCAAGATGCGTCTCCAGAGCCTGCTGCAATTCGGCCTGTTGTGTCGCACTAAGCTTGGCGCGAATTTCACCAGACAGGATTCTCTCCATGTAGGATAGAGTGTCCGCTGTAATTTCGATGGACACGTTGTGAAGGCGGACAAGAAGCTTGCTGATCAACGTGACGGATTTACTGGATAGGAACTCGTCCCGCAGACGCAGCCATCTGGCGAGTCCGTCCATAGCATTTGCGGGTTCAGCCAGAAGCTCTTTCAGCAAGTTTGACTTGTTACTTCCTTCTTCAGCGTTAGCTTTCAGGGCGGCGACCAAGATGCTGTATTGGTCGAAGAGCTGATCTGCGAACTGCATCGTGTCTCGGCAAAAGTCCATCATCTGCTGCTTCTCGTAGAAACCCAAGTTGCTCCACGCTTCTGTGGTGGCGAAAATCATTGTGAGCATCTCCCATTGGCCCCTCCAGAAAGTCATGGTAGTTGCTATTTCGCTCTGCTCGAGGCTTCGAGATCGCAGTATACCATCCTGCGAATTGCACATGACATCAATAATGTCAGAGCAAGTCTTGATCATGCTAGGCGCGGGAGCAAAAGCTTTCCTGATCTTGACTTGGCGGATCGAGTCGGAAATCCCGCCCAATGCATTGCGGTAATAGGTCCTGAGGACGTGCTGCAGAGCGTTTCGACGTTCGTCTTCTGAGCTGATGATCTTGAGAAGCTCGATGACAGCACTCCTCGTGTCTTCAGTAGATGAGAAAAGGAGGGAGATGATAGCGCTAGCTGCACTTTGTTTTTCAAATAGGGCCTGTAACTTCGCCGGGTGAAATTCTGATAGTCGTTCGACAATGTCGGTGATGGATTGGGAGAGTGTCTTGAAGCGATCGTTAAAGTGCCGTACTGTCGCGGGCACTTTGTCGACTCCCGCCTTCATGGACAATGGCTCAAGACCAATGAGCGTTCTGCCGGCGATCAACAAGTGCGTCGCAAGGTCAAGGTTGCTGGCGTCGATGGCTCGGAGGACTGTCTTCCATATGGCGGTAGATGAAGGCGTCTCTGTAGGTGAGGGCTGCTTTGCGTTGATGAGCTGTCTCTCAACGACCAGCGACTTGGCCTCGAGCTGGAAAGCATACTGAATCACAGATAGTGCCAGTTGTAACTCTTCCTCGTTCTCCTTGCTGCCATTGAAGCGCTTCAGGTTGCTGACGATCAGATCGATGTAAGTGGTGAGCATCTCCAGCATGCCGTTTACTGTGGGCTGCCCAACAAAATCGGTGTGTTGTTTGTATTCGCCCATGGTCTTGAAGGCGACAACAAGGACTCGCATACCTTGCTTGAAGCAATATGATCTTGCCAGTGGTGTGAAGTGATCCAACTGATAGCGGCCAAAGAGGGCGTTAGCAAATGGTCGAACCGCAGGGCCGAGGTTAGAGACTTTGATGGATGCAAGAAACGGGGGTATCCAGCTGAAGGCAGCCTCGAGGTTCTGCTGGTCCTCTGGAGTGTATGTGACTGCCGTCAACAGGTGCTTCAAGACAGGGCTGTTGAAGACCTGCTCCGCCACATTCGCAATGGATGGAGTAATGGCGTTCATGCCGTCCCAGAAGTCGACCGGGGCCTTTTCGAGCAGCAGCTTCATGGTAGCTACCAGCTCAAAGAAGCCTTCTGAGAAGCCTTCCGGCCTTAAGGAGAGATGGTCAAGCATCAATCTGTAAAAGTCACCGTCAAGACTACGAATGTACTCTGTAATGAGCTCCTTGTCCATCCTTTCGATAATGAGCCGTACGCCGCCCCAAAAGAGTGGCACATAAGACATATCCAGATTGGTCATCTGCACCTTCATCATAACATTGATGAGATGGTCACGCACGGCCCATTCGAACTCAGACTTCAGCAAGTCTCGCTTAAACCCCACCCATGACTTGGTCGCCCAGTCAAGCCGTCTCGCGTTCTTACTGAATAAGAAGCGGGTCATGGCTGGAAGGTATGTTTGAAGCTTTAGGCGCTTCTTCGTCTGGACCAAGTCGAACGGCGTGTCAAAAACTTCTTGGAGTAGGCCTTCGTCCCGAATCATGGCATCGCAGCTCAATGCTTCAAAGAAGGCATACGTGCTTTCTGGTGGCAGCAGTCGCATGGGTCCTCTCTTTCGGCTCTGCTTTGCTCAGCAACCTGTTGGCCTCCTCCAGTCCTTTCCGTATGCGGCCCAGGCAGCTCTCGTCGACCAAACGCATGAAATCGACGATATTCTCCTCGTCGTAAGTGTCGATCAGCCGTATCCTCCACTCGGGCCTGGACATGTAAAAGACCCTAACGCAGACTTCACAGCTCTCCATGTGCTGGTCGACTCGATTGGTGAGCCATTCCTTGTGTGGTGCCGCCTCGTCTCCGTCATACGCGAGTATCTCCATGGCCTTCAATGCAGACCATTTGCGCTCTTCGGCCTCTTGCAGTTTGGTCTTGCGGGCTTCGAGCTCGGCGGGATCGGTTTCGGGCGGATAGTTGGCGACGTCTTCGGGGAAGTATATTTGATCATCTTCGCCGACGCGTGGGCAAAAGAGATGCTGGTCCTCCGGTAGCGCTCGGAGCTCACTGTATGCATAGAGCTGGTTAGACGTGACCACTGGGGATGTCTCGCGTAGGAGCATCATATCATGCCCACGCAACTTACCTGATCTTCTCCACAACCTCAGCCATTGTGTATTACCCCAGGTCGTGCGTCACACGCAGCCTGGTATGCTCTTCTCAGTGCCCTACAAGCCCATGCAATCACGCATCGCCCACGTCCAGTCCTTTGTAAAGGCGCAGCGGATGTCTATCTGGGCAAGTTGCTATTTACACCCTGACGCCTTGGCCGTGCTCGTTGTTGGCGCAGAACAATTGGTGGGAGAGGGTTGAAGGGAGCCTTTAAGTAGACAACAAAAGAGTGTGTGGGGTTTATTTGGCGGCCGGTGAGAGAGCGTGGAGCAGACGGAGCGGCCGGCGGTCAGGTCCAACGAGGTTATGGGAAGTGAGAGACGTCAGTGCTCAAAGAACTGTCAAACGCGCGACGCGGCCGAGGTGCTAGCGCCACACGGACGCGTGCATGTGCCAAGCCTATTACACTTCCTTTCCCATCTGCACGCTCATTGCGACGTTATTCACTCTAATCAGAAATGTTAACAGGACTTGGCGCTACTAAGTGACTTCCTTCCGCCGTCAAGAAGACTCCTGGCAGTCTTTGAGGCTGTCATAATTGTTACTACGGCTTTATGTCAAAAGCTAATCATACTTTAACGTCTCCTGCCAGTGCACTAAGCTGCTCATACAGCAGCGTGAAGATCCTCAACATGTCAAGAACTCATCAACCCATACCAAATAATCACTCGAGTCTCATCACGCTCACACATCAAGAATCCCATCATCACCAATACCACGCAAGTCAGCCGCCCTCCACACGCACAGCAAGCCAAGTGAAGATGAAGACAACCAGCAACCGCCAGTCGGAATTAAAATATCTACAACCCAAAGTATCCGCTTCGCTTTGCGTTGCCGTACTCATTCAACATTCCGTCTATCATGTGACCCTTCTCAATCAAAATAAGAAAATGCTCAACAAAAAAAAGGGAGGGAATTGCCAACTTTGGCACGCCCAAAAGAAAAAGAACGCCTGCTTGCTTTTCGCCGGGGGACGCAGGCAAGCTGATGGGTAACAATAAAGGAAAAACGCTCATGGAAAGCCAACAGTAGTGTCTATGTACAATTGCAGTCGTGATTCAGCCTTGGCTACCGCGGCGGACTGTTGGGCGGGCTTTTTGACCCTGGCTTGGGCGATTTGGGCATGGGAGGTGCAACTTCCAGATCTGTCGGCGCAGTGCTTCCCGCGTTATTGTTGCACGACGGATGGCGTTGCGCAATCGACTGCCCAGGTTGGGCTGTGTGCTTGTATGGCCCTGGCCCATGCCTTGGACACTCTGTCGTTGCCCGTGGAAGCTGTTGCGACTATGCGACGACTCCAAGCGGGTAAGCATGGCTGCCGATGTGAAATCGTTGCTGGCCTCGAAACTGGGACGCACTCGGTCCATGGACATTCGCGCGCGGTCGAAGCTGGGTCGCACGCGGAATTCCGTTGATACGCGAGAGACAGGAGGCATAGGCTCGGTCGCAAGTGGCATACCATCCGTACTACGGCGGAAGGTATAGTCGGTGCTGTTCGACCCGTTTTGACTTCGCGGATTGTGCGTTGTCGCGGTAGGCGCAACGGATGGTGGGTAGATCGGTCGTACATCCTCGTCTGCTGGTTCAGCATTTGCAGCCTTGTACTTCGTCGCGTCGGCATCCGCAGGTTCGGCTTTATCAGCGGCGACTTTGCTCGGAGGCGGAGGCAGATAGCTAGTCGTAGTGCGTAGGTAGTCGAATTTGCCTTGCTGCACCTGTTCCCGGATAATGTCCACGTCGAGGGGAAAGTACGTCTTCTGGGCATATTTAAAGATAAAACGGGGAAGCAAACATGCAATAACAGCTACCAAAAGGTACGCCCAGAAGTTGATGTTGCTGTACACTTCTGCGCCAGCCTTGTAGAACTGAGCACTTGAAGTAAAGGATGTGTAGATACCAGTCCATGTCCAGACGAGTAGGGTACTGATGACGATGATGAGAAGCATTAGCCAATCCCAGCGGTACGAGTTGTAAAGAACGTAGATGTTGGCGGCGCAGACAGCTGCGGTGGCGGCGTAGATACCCATGCGCCTGTATTCGGCCAAATCGAGGCCGCTTTCAGTAGCAAAAGTACCGGCCTCGAAAATTTCGTAGACGAAATAGAATGCAATCAGAGATTGGTATACACCATCGAACATGTACGCCCTATCATGTGTTAGCCAGATCCTGGTGAATTCATCATACACACGTACCAAAACTTTGGCTGCGTCCACTCTTTCCGTTCGATACCACGACGGTAAAGTTGAGGGACGGCCAATGAGACTTTGTCGTCGACATCTTGATCTAGAACACCCATGACGATGACAGGGAGCGATGTAAAGGCCAGGTTGAAGAAGATAATATAGGTGTAGTCGAAGATATACTGGCTGTCAAAATTGGTGTAGATCTGGTACCAGAAAAGAGCGAACACCCAGATGATGTTCTGTGTATGTTAGTACATTGAAAGTGTTGATAGAGTTGTACCAACTTACCTTGTAGAAGAAGTTGGCGATAGTCTCCGCAAGCCTGCGGTACGACCATCGTCCATGAACAAGCACAAGACGAGTGAGAAAGCGGAATTGTCCGATGGCGTAATCCGAAGACATGACTGCCGCCCGGCCTTCGACACCGGCAATACCAACACCAACGTGTGCTTCTTGAATCATGGCAACATCGTTGGCTCCGTCACCGATGGCCAAAGTCAGGCAGTCCAGGCCAGTCTTGACCATGTTGACAACGGCGGCCTTTTGACTGGGACTGACACGGCAGCAAAGAACTGATCGGCAGCGCCTGCATAGGAGCAAGAACTTCCTCTTCATGCTTTCGTCCAAAGCGAGTTTGAGCGTGTCGCCATCAATAATGATAGCGTGGGTCGGTGGTGGGGGTTCGTGGTCAGATTGCGCGGCAGCAAGCTCTTCTTCAGAGCCTGTGAGCCCAAAGATCTTCAATTTCTCGTCGAGCTGTGCTTCAATTGATGATATGTTGTCGTCAGTGACCTTCAGAATGATGAGATCCATGTCGTTGTCGAGTAAGTTGCAAGAAAAGCCGATATTGATGGCTGTCTCAACCTTGTCACCAGTCAAGACCCAGAGTTTGATACCGGCCTGGCCAAGAAGTGAGATGGACTCGGGAACACCATCCTGTAGTCGATCTTCGATAGCAGTGCCTCCAACGAGCCAGAGGTGATTCTCAATGCGGTCCGATACCTCTTCAAGCTTGTCTTCACGTCCAACAACGGCATTGGCGGCAATGTCGTAGTCTCTGTTCCATTCCTCATACTCCTCATCAGGGATCTCCCTTTGTGCAATACACAGAGTTCGGAGTCCCTCACGAGCAAACATCTCAAGATGCTCACCTGTGGTCGCACGAAGTTGACGTTGTTCGTTGGGAATCAGCCGAGAGTAGATCATGCTGTCGGCTCCCTTGCAGAAGAGCATGATCTTACCATTAGGCATTCTGATGATGGCACTCATTCGCTTCCTGGTTGAGTTGAATTCAAGGGTGTTGAGGACCTGGTACCTACGCTCCTCTCCCATGACGTTAACAATGAGACGGTCGTCTTGACGGCCGACGAATGTGAAGCCAACATCGCGAGCAGTAGCTACTAGAGCAGCCTCATCAGGGGATTGGGCTTTGAACTCGATCTTCGGAGGATCGCCAGGAGTTCGCTCAGTCACGACAGTATGGCACAAAGCCAAGGCGATCATGAAGTTTTCGTTAGCCGCCTGCTGCTCTTTCCCGGCTTCGCCCGCGAGGTCATCAACGTAGTCGGGTGCGATGAATGTAAGATCTTCGTCCCAGAGATATGGGTTGTTGTGCAACTTGCGAATGCCTTCCAACATTCGGACGCGGTCCCGGGCTATCTGTTCGCGTGCACGAGCACCTTCAACCTCAACGTCGATGCCTTGTCGTCGTTGCATACCAGCCTGCGCCTCGGTGTATGCCTCTCCGTAGGGTACGCCGTTGATAGTACACTTTTTGAATTCCATAACGTTTTGCGTAAGGGTTCCTGTCTTGTCTGAGAAGATGTATTCGACCTGTCCGACATCGTCCGAGATGTTCCATGATTTGGGTGTGCACGGATAGTCGATCTTCTCGTAGTACATTTGCACGTCGCTATAGATGAAGAGCGCTTGCAGTGTGCGAATGATTTCCAGCGTGATGTAGAGAGAAATAGGGACCAAATTCTGGAACAGAATCACACCAGCCCAGAAGGCAATGACTCCGTCCGTGGCAGGGTTGTTTCCATAAGAACCATATTCAAAAATAGAATGCGAGGTGTCGCTTCTTGCCCAGGTCACACCCAGTACGATTCCCGAGACGAGACATAGTCCGAAGAGGACGATGAAGTTGTACACGACGTTCCAGTTGAGTTCTTTCGATATTCTAGCGCGCTTGCTAGGTGTAATTCCCGAGTTGATCATGATCTTTGACTCTTCACCAGTGAACACGACCACACCGAGAACCCACTCGGTGTTGCGTAATTGACATCCACGAAGGAGCAGATTGTTGATCGAAATGGGCTCGACCATCTCATAAGTTGGGGTTTCCGGGTCTTTGGCATTGTGCTGTTGCCATCGGATGGCGGCACTGTACGAATAGAGGTTCGAGTGAGGACCTTCGCTTTCGATGATGAACTCGGCGCGTTCGCAGTGTCGGGCGTGGCGGACGTCGCGCGTCGCATGAATGGCGTTGCGTACTTTCAAATTCGTTTCGCCATCCAGATTCTTGGTCTCTACATAGCAGGCCCCATCGTCGGAAGAGGTGGAGAGTACCACCACGTCGGCAGGGATTTCTTCATCATTATACAAGCGAACAAAGTCGCCGACCTGTACATTCTTCCATGAATCTTTCTTGAAGCGCGCCTTCTCGGGTGCGGTCTTGTAGGGGTTCATGACGCTGCCCCAAAACTTCTTTTGCACAGTGCCCTTGGTGTCGGCGCCTCGAATTTTGTCATTGTCGCCGGGTCCGGTCGTCAGTGGCGGTGAATGGCTTGGAGACTGTCCGGGGAGCGGGGAAGGAACGGGGGTCATCTGGATGCCATCCTCGGAGTCGAAGTAGGATTCTCTGTGCGAAGCAGTTGAGGCTCGCCGTGTGTCGATCGAGGGTCTTGTGCCGTCTCCAGCCACTCCGCCATGCTCAGCACCCTTCGCGCCCTTGCCCTTCTTGGTCTTCACCTTCTTGATTGCGCGCCATGTCGAGATGATGCCTCGCGTGCTCGCCTTCTTGATCTTGCGCCACAAGGATACCGTGTCTTCCGCAGTGTTGACGTTGTTGAAGTCGACTAGCCTGTGTACGGGGGCATTGTTCAGTTCCATGTCCAGGACGGTTCTCCGCCAGTCCTCAATAGCATCCTTGATGGCAGTAACGACGAGGATGACAATGAGCGGCACGGCATTCAGCGCAGGATTACTGGCACCGAAGATGGAGAAAATCTACGGAAGAATATTGGTCAGCGGGTCGCCGGATGGTGTGGTCCGGGGGGATACTTACACCCAGGATAATAATGAACAAAAAGTAGACGTTCGCAATGTTGTGGAACTGGAACCACAGGTTCTTGGGCACGAAACTGAGAGGGGTGTATTTGGCCGTTCTTATCTTGTTGCGCGCGTACTGTGCGGTTGGGTGGCCGTCCTCGTCGCGCTCCGTCTGCGGTAGGGGTACGTTGAAATAGACCCTCCGTCCACCGTCTGGCTCGTCACTGCCTGCGTCTGAGCTGTCGGGCGTGGGATCGCCTGGCAATCCTCCCTCTTTGCCCAGCGAGTCGCGTTTCTCGCCCGAGCCTATCCGCCGGTGCAAGCGGGCCTTGAGGCTCTCCCTCTTGTTTTGCGCCTTCACGCCGGTCGCGCGGTGCGTTGCCCATCGTATACGCTTCTGCGGGTGAGAGGTCTCGACCTGCTCAATATCCATCATGTCATCGTGCTGGGGCGGCTGCAGCGCCATTGTCGCGATCTGGTCGCTCGCCGCGGAGGGTCGCGGGTGCTGCTAAGCTTCAAAGGGCGGCCGGCCTCAGCCGGAAGGGCTGTAGGAGAGCAAGCAGAGCCAATTCGGCTGGAGGGCAAACAGCAGCGCGTGGTGGGATGTGTTTGCGGGGGTCCGGCGGTGGTAGTGGTGTGGTAGAGAGTGAAGGGGGTTGAGGCCAAAAGGAAGATCGTCGTAACTCTCGGCAGCGCGGATATTATGTAGGGAATCCCAGGGATGCGTACGCCTGCCGTCCAACAACACCAAAAACAGGGCGCAGTGAGTGAGTGGGTGAGATTACTGTGTATGCGAGAGGGCGTTGTTACGACGACTCAAGTCGTGCAAGCGTGTGTCAATCAATCCATGGGCGCGGGCGGCGTGGGAAGTCGCTGGTGGCGGTTCGCTATGATGCTGTACTTGAGCTTACTGTACAAACGTCCCGTACGAAGCCCGCTCGGCTTTTACTTAAACGCGACGCTAGATTGAAATCCAGAAATGGTCCGCTCCAGCACGATCAAGCACGTCAACTAGTCACGGATGCGAAAATTCAGCCGTCTTCACGTTTCAATATGGATGTCTTCCAGGACACGTCGCCGGGCGTTCCTTATTACGAGCCACCGCGTCCCTGTCGACCTGATCGATGTTGGTCTCGGGCCCAGCTTGTCGTAGCCTGGCAACACTCAGCCCGTCAGCAAATAAACTGCGCCGCTACCCTGGACGCGCATGAACCGTACGGGTCCCGTCAGCAGCCCTTTTAAGCATAGCGACAACTACTTTACTTCTATTTGCGCTTGCGAAGAAAGGACATGGTTGTATAATTCAGTTTTCTTGTAGCAGACATGCAATCTGGGCGTCTTAGGCTCGCATTGGCAGTTTCATACGCGCAAATTAACTACGTGTAACTGCTTAAGCGATCTGTTATAACGCGATCTGACAGCCCTGGGGCCCAGTATCTCGGGAGTGTGCCTTGCGCGTGTGAGACTGGGAAGGCAGATCTGGCCTGGAGAGCACATGTTACGGCACCAGCATAACAACATTACCCGTACTGAACTTCATGCGCAATAAAAGCCCGAGCAGCTTGTCTCCGAGAAGCCTCACGAACGCGCAAACGCGCAACACGGAAGCCGCTGAGTTCCCACTCCGAATGCATGTTTTAATGAAGCGCGTCCACGGGAGCGGCCCCTAGGGAAGCCGCGGCACGTGAGCACGCCCGGACGACGCGACGGCCGAATTCAATCCATTTCGCCAAGCATCAACACCACCCCCAACATCTCTAAGCCGCACTCAGGTGAAGATGAAGTCACATAAGAAACCAAGCATAAAGGACTTCTTCAAGCCTGTGCCGCGCAAGACACAAGAGAGTGCCAAAGACGCCCCACAGCTGCAAGGTACCCACGTTCCTACCAGTTTTGGGTGCAAGAGGCTAACATTCCACTTTATCGTAGACGCAAGCAGCACGCGTCCCGAGCCAACTGCTCTTCCCTGGACTAATCTGCACCAAGTCCCAGCGCATCAAAGTACGAATAGATCTGTTGCACATTCCAGCCCCAGTCCTTCTGCCGTGCCGCCTGTGCCAATCAACAACTCTGCCTCTAGCCCTGACGCACAGCCGCCTACCACGTCACAAACATCTGTCAATTCTGGCGTGAGCAAGAGAGTTGTTTCCAACGGCGAGCATGTGGTACTCAATTCCGATTCCGATGACGATTCGCTCAAGGAACTAGATTTTGGTGTGCCTACTACCGGTTTCAAGGCAGTCGCACCAATTACCCGCTCAAAGCGGACCACTCAATATGATGAAGACGGACTGCGCAAGCCTGAGAAGAAAGCCAAAAGCAAACAGGACCATCTCGACCGCGTTGTCGAAACCGCCAAGAAGACCAGGGAGCTTGAGCTGATCATCAATGAGCGTAAAGCTGATCTAGAAAAGCATGTGGAAGAAGACTCCAACACAGATTTCGTATTTGATGAAAATGCCCTGGGTCAAGCCGTCCAAGACGACGATGATCCTGAGAAGGCGCACCGTCTCTTCCTCGCAATGCAGCGAACAAATGCCACTCACATCGAGCATGTGTTCCATTTCTTCAGTCAAACGCAAATATCTCCTGCTACCAAATCAAGCTTTCCCTCAAGCTGCTTACCCAAGCATCGCTGGACAACAGCTTTTCGAGGTACGGACCTTGCACCCACATGACTTTATGTTGCTAAAGGTCGAAGATGAATCTACAAGAGACCAAGCGTTCTTGACTGGCTTTGCGCATCAAGCATTTCGACTACAGGACCTCCCCGAAGAGCTCGCCTCATGGATGATAGATCAGAGTGAGTTCACTCATTCCTCACTCTTATACGTACTGACTTTGCCAGTATGCTTTGAGCGTAGTGATGCCCTCGACTTGAAGTACATGGAGATTCTAGAGGTATTTTGATTTTGACAAAGACCTTGTATCATCCTACTAAGCAATCTCAGGCGCATGACCACTACCTTCGCAAGCTGTTGGATCGAGATAGGCTAGACAGCATCTTCAGATATGCCGGAGCTGACATGGCAGGCTGCAACACAACAGCCCAGGTCTCTCCATTTGTCGATCCTCAGACAAGTTTGGACACTCCACTTCCGCGCTCATTAAGGTCGATTGCCAGGCTACTCGCAAAAGTGGCACCTCAGTAAGTGCTGTATTAAATCAAGTACGATACCAATTAACTTTGCTCAGTCTGCGGATCAAAGCTAGAAGCTACGCCTTGTCCATACTCATCCACACTTGTTTGGATGATCGGGCCCGGGCTGATCCATGTGTCCTTTCAACAATTCAAGAAGCTATAGAGGCGACCATGTGCAACTTCGTCGACAACAGAAAGCTGACCCATGGCGTAGGGAGCTCCCAACCTCAGGATGAAGATCAGACTCTAATCGCCTCACAGCTCAGCGATGTACTCCCACAACTTCTTGCACGCATTACTCATCCTGTTATGCAGAGGGACCTTGTCTACGCTTTGCCTACCCGATCCCCGTTGACTGCATACTTTCAGCGCCACCTTGCGTTATCGTTCCTTGTTCATCCAGGTACAGTGGAGGTCCCTCTCGGAGACCCTGAGATGCCAGCTTTTATACACAAGCTTCTGAAGACATCACCGAATTTCCGCATCAACAAGAATACCGACTACCGCTTTCTCACAGCACGCATAACGCTTCTCGACATTGCGGTCGGCCCAGGCCTCTCATCAGTTCCCTACCAACCACTGCTCAGTCCAGCGGCGTCTCGTGCAGGTTCATCACCCATCATGGCTCCAGCTCCAGAAATCGACGAAGTCAAAAACTTCAACAAAGAAGTGGATGCACTTGCCCAGCAGATCAAGATACTCGGCAACTCGATCATCGAAGCAGGTGCAGTAGCTGACCTCACGATCTTAGATGCAAAGGACAGTGTGGAGCGTTTGTGTTCGCGCCTCGAGCATGCTGTTCGCATCGGTGGCAAGAAGATGCACGATGTCTTTGGCGACGATGACGAAGTGAAGCAACTCAAAGTCACAGACATCTTCCGCAGAGTCGCAAAGGCTCGCAAGAACGCGCCTGCAGGAGGCATCTTCGACCAAGACGACGACGCCGACACGGACGATGCCGTGACCGCGCAAATCAAAGCGGAGACGGCATCTTAGTTGGAGCGCCTCGCATGATTGTTTAACGGTCAAAGGAAGGCTTCTACATAAATGCCCGTAGTTTTAAACCATAGCGTCACCTTCACACCATCTCAGATGAAGTCTTCTCCATCCCACATGCCACTCGCCTCGTCCCCTCTTCGGGCCAATCCGCCCCCCCCCCCACGCTCCTTCCCCTTCCACACAAAAATCTATATTACCCCAGCTCTCTCCCCCTCCCCGCGTAAAGAACCAGACTCAGCAGGACCAGGCCCAATACCCGATCTCAACCGCTTCACCGGCCCCATCCGATTTCAGCCTATCAACAGCAGCTGTGTGAAGGAAAGCCGACCCAGGGAGATTCCGCCAAGACGCATCTAGAAAAGGAAATCTGCGCCTTCTCCTGTCACATTGCAAAGCGAGATTGGTCGAGAGGGGGCAGTGGACAGGGCTGGGACGTGCAAAACGAGCAACTGTTGCGCGTTCAAAAAAGTGGTCTCGCGCTGGCCATGGCATAGCAAGCAGCCAACTGTCCCTGGTCGCAGTTCAGGGTCTGCGGGAGCTCCGTGGCGCAAGCAATAATTCATCCCAAACTTCCCTCCCCCTACCTGTCTGTTCCTGTGATCGATTCTGCCGAAGGGAAAAGTAGCCCCCCCCTGCCTCTTTGCCTGCGGATTCGATTCCGATTTCGACACCGAGTTCAGGGCTGGGCCTGCTGCCCAACGTGCCGTCGGCGCAACTTCCCTTCCTTCCCTCCTTCCCAGCTTCCCAGGTAGAATAAACCTTGTTCTTTTTATGAATTCAGTAAAAGAGGCGGCCGGAATGAAGACTTTCCGCACTAGGGGACACAATTGCCTCCCAATGTTTACAGCTTGCGGTGCCGTTTGCCGAAGCGAACGGTTACTGCGGTGCGGGTTCTGGAACCCTGGGGCTTTGCGCGATTGGGAGTTAGGCTCAGGGAGCAGTGCGCCCGTGTTGGTGGTCGGTAAAGTAGGCCGAGCACGGGTTAGTGAGGCAGGGAATGTGGTTTGGCATCGGATATTGATCTGACCATCATAATGCTGCAGGGGTTATTTTTGGTCGATGTGGTTGTTGTCATTTTTATGGGTAGTCTATACAGGTAGGGACGAACGCTAAGTGCAGAATTGACGCGTTGAACGGAACAGAACGTGAGAGCCGCTGTTTGTCTCACTATTACCACAACCTCCCGAGCAGGCTTCGTGCGTTGAAATGCATATTGCCTCTCCTCACCGCTTGCGCCTACAATCCTCCAAAGCCGTTCTTCTCGTCAATGTGGCGGTAGCGCTCCTGCTCCATCCTGTACTTGAGGACCATGGCTGTGCAAAGAACGAGAATGACGTCGATGCCGACGATGCCAAAGGCAGCGGTGAAGATTTGGTCGAGGAACCTGTTGGCAAAGGACGAGAACTTGCCAATGCAACCACCCTTCTGCGCTGCAACAAGAGGGTTTGTGCAGGTGGCGTCCTGTACAAATGGAGGTGTGGTTGAGTTTGTGTAGCCACAGCAGTCGAACTAGACTTTGGTCAGCGTCTGACTTGCATGCTGCGTCAATCGGAATGACCGGGTTCAGTAGCCTTCCCACGTGGGCCAATGTTCGGTCTAACCCCATCCTAGTGCTGATGGAAGGAACTTACCTTTTGTTGCAGGAGACTTTGGATCAGCGGCCTCTCGCGGCCCCAGATGTTGCTAAGGTTCTTGCGCGTCTGTAGCGTCTCGAGCCAAATGGCGAGACCAAGACCAAGCGTAAAGGTTGCACAGATGATGACCAGCCAACCCTGGGCGCGTAGCCAGCCTCGATTGGTTGGGAGGAATAGTCCTGGGAGCGACAGGAGGAATGTGACAAAGACGAAGATTGCATTGACGACACCAGCTAGAGGGTTGTTAGTACGGTTCTTCATGTACTGTGCCGTCCAGTGGTGCGTGTCACGACTCGCGCCACAGTAGTGCGGCAATATGGACACGGTGGATAACGTCTTCGTTCAATATGAGGCCGTCGTACCTGTCAATGGACACTGCCCAAGCAACAAGTTCTGCGTGACGTTGTCCACGCTCGGTGTGTTGCGTATCGACTGCTCAGACATGAGAGAGAAGCCCAGCAGCAGTCCTCCGCACCCGGCGAAGAGGAAGTCGAATCCGACAAAGACCATCATCAGTTTAGTAGGCATGGTAGCGGTATTCGTGCGACTGGCGCGGTCCTGACTGCGGTAGATGTTGAAAAGAATGTAAGTCGAGCGCAGGAGCCGTCCGGCGAGCTCAATCTGTGTCGATCAAATTAAGTACAGAGAAGAGAAGTGAAGGCGAAGAGAGAGCGGCAGAAACGGCGGGAGCACAAACTACATGGCATTGTCAAAACGGATGGGGTGAGCATTAAGAAGGCCTGCGAGAGGGCGTCGCAGTTGGCCCGCGGCGATGCGTGGGCGGTTTCAGTAGTGTAGGAGCTGGGGGCGGGCGAATCACGTCGCGAGAAGTCATAGTGGTACGATTTGTTTGGCGCTGCGTCTCGGCAGACCGGACAGGTTGCATCCAGGTGCGACGAGGGGAGTTTTTGCTCAAAGCACGCTGCACGGCGTCGACTTGCAGTGCTCAAGTGCAGCGCGAGGGCTATCACGAGCGCCGGCGTGGTGTTGAGTGCCTAGGTATGGAGAGGCCTGCTGGGAAGGAGTTGGTGGCTGCCAATGTCCGGCGCGCGATGCCCGAGGAGGAAGGCGGTAGGGCCAGTGCATGGGCGCGGCTGCCATTCCCCATCGAACAATCCTGGCGGGTCGGCGCCTTTCTTCTTGCAGCCAGTGAATTGAGGGAAATGAGCGAGGTGAAGTGAGGTGAAGTGACCGGACGGTGAAGCTTACCCAGGCAATTCAGCTCGACGGGCTCCAGACAAATGTCCTCAGTGAGTAGGCAGTGAATATTGCAGTGCTGAGGTCAGAGGCGCCAGCGCCGTGATTGGCTGGTCCGCGGCGCGCTGGAAGGATCGACCCACCGTGCGGCGCGCTCATTGGTGGAGGGTGCTGGCGGTGGTGCAGGAGCCACCCACCTGAGCAGCAGCGACGGGGTCTTGTCACGACTGGGCTGGGAGAGGCCGCTGCGCTGCTCGAAGCGGACTGACAGCTTCATCAGGGTTTGGACTGGCTTGGGGACAGACAGTTCGCACCAGACAGGCACAGGCGGCGCTCTAGCGACCAAGAGCACCTGCGCGTACACTGCCCGTACTCCTTCACCTTGGTCGACTCTGCACGCGCAGCACGATCTGCGTGATTCAGTGCGGACCAGGGGTGTTAAGCGGCATCCGCCCCATGCTTGATTCCAGGCCGCTGTCCCATCAGCTGTGCAATAAAGTCCAGCCGTTGACCATCGCGGCATCGCCCATCTCGTCCATTTCCGCTTTCCCTTCCTGAGACAGCACCACCTCGTGCACCTCGCATTCACGACCAAGTGCCCTGCGTTTGCGCGCCCATCGCTGCCACTCCTGTAGCCAAGCGCGCCTGACCCCGAGTCCTTGCCAGTCCTTCGACGCGTCTCGCGCAGTCGCAAACAGGCAAGCGGCGGCCTCAGAGCTCCTCCATTTCGGTCGCGGTACGTACCTACTGTTCGCTGCCCCAGCCCGGCCATTCCCTGCCCCGTCCGCCTAGTGTGTTATTCCGTCGGCAGCGCTGTGCGCACCTGAGCGCCTGCCTTGCATTCCGCCCACCCACATGACAAAGGTCGCCGCGCTGCCCCCCAAAACTGTTTTTACCAGTCCCCTTCCACGCAAGCGCATCTGCCGCTGCTTTTCCTCTTTCGTTCAACCCTCTCCAGACCTGTTGTAACGACCGCTGCGAACCGCCAAAACTGACGGACCCCACAAGCAGTTAGGGCCAACTCTCCGCCCAACACCACACCTAATTTCCACTGCAACCTCAGGCATGGCCTCTGAAATCACCGACCACGACCAGAACGCCTCGCCGTCGCTGCACGACGACGGCAATGGCTCCATGGGTGTCGGAGAGGTCCGCGGCACCAAGCGCCAACGTCCAGCTGCCGACGACGACGACGACGATGATGACAAGCCCGGCCGCGAGCGCAAGGAAGATTGAGATCAAGTTCATCCCAGGACAAGTCGGCGTCGGCACATCACCTTTTCCAAGCGCAAGGCCGGCATCATGAAGAAGGTACGTCCTCAGCTCCACCAACACTTGCGCGCAGTGCGCATCGCAGCGCGTCGCACCCTCGTCTATAGCTGCGCTCGCGCTCGCGCCGCACCCGCGCTGTATGCGAAACATGACTAACACTGCATCCCAGGCATATGAGCTCTCTGTCTTGACCGGCACTCAAGTCCTGCTTCTCGTCGTGTCCGAGACGGGCCTTGTTTACACCTTCACCACACCAAAGCTGCAGCCGCTCGTCACCAAACCCGAGGGCAAGAACCTCATCCAGGTACGCGGCACTCTTGCAACCCCGTCGCGTCGCAATACTAACCTCTTCACAGGCTTGCTTGAACGCGCCCGAGCCGTCCAGCGGCGACGCGAATGGCGTTGATGCAGACAACTCGGTCGAGTCGCCCGAGGACAACCACGCCCAGATTCCCACTGGTCAGCAGCGCGGAATGCCGCCCAACAACCAGCCCATCCCACAGGCTTACATGACCCCCGAGGCTGCGCTACATTACCAGAGCTACCTCCAGCAACAACAGCCAAACCAGTACCCAATGGCGCAGCAGGGCATGCCCCGCCATCCGGGCGGCCACTATCCCGAACAGAAGCTGGGTTAAACCCATTACGAGCACATCTGACGCCGGATGGAGCTTCGGACGGCGCATAATATTGGGACAGAATACCCCCTCATAATGGTGAAAATAATTACGGTGTAGCTCATTGAGCATGACTTGGATGTACATCATCATGTACCTCATCCGTGTACGTCGCATGGAGCTGCAGTACCACTTGTTATGGGACGCGGTGTTGGGAGCCAGGCGGTTGCAATTCGGACACAACGATTGTACGTCTTCACGTGGGCATTGGCGTGGTGTGGGTGTTTTCCTTGGTTTCCTCCTCTCTCCAACATCTATATCATCTCGTGTCACATTTACGAAGTACCAAGTATTTCCAAATCCTTCGCTACCGACGATATCGGCATAGCTAGAGGACAATGAAATCCAATTATCTAGACGTTGTGCCGCTACTGCCGTTTTGTGTCTAGACAAGTCTGGGCATATTCGCCCGTTTCGTAGGTGTCGCTTCCTCATCTGGAGAAAATCGCCACTGTGCCACATTCGACCACCTGACTAACAGTTTGTTAATGAATACCACACAAAGCCAGACTTGATGCACCGTCACTACTACCAGCAGGAAAGCTGCATGCACAGACACACTACACAGCTTCATTGGAAGCCCACTGTGGGGCCGCGAGCGTCGAGATTGCGACCGGCGCCCAGGTGCACCCCCAGTATGGGCGCGACCAGCAGTCTTCTCGCGACCAAGTCTGCGACAAATTGACAGTCCCAGGAGAATGACGTGACTCCGACCCGGGCCGCGAACCGTTTTTGTGGGAGTGCTACCTTTGACGACGATGCAAGCAAGCATACAGAGCGTCTCCGACGATCGAATAGGGAGATGCACGACACGCGCATAGCACATTGCGACAGCACTGTAGGCCCGACTCTGTTTAGCGAAGTCGGTGCGCAGTTGCGACCCTCCAACTCCCCATGTTGCTTCTACAAATACAACTTCGAGTCCTGGGCATCGGAGTACAAACTTGACTCGAGCCTAGCGTGTGTCACTGCGTGATCGCGGCCAACGGTCTTGGGGTCGCACGCTGCCGCAGTCGGTAGCACCTACAGACTGGACGCTTGGGGGGGCCGCCCACTGCTTTTGCACCTTGGGCAGAATGTCGAGTCTTGGGGGTACCGTCGCCGAAACACAACAACACCACAACGCACCGCGAGGCTGTCGGAGCGTTGATATAACGCTCGTCGTTGCCCTGCTGTCCATGGTCGGCTCCCTTTGCTGTCGGCAGGCTGAGAGCTGCATTATGAGGGCGTTTGGGTCGCACAGCTATCGCCCCCAAACCGCCGTCTGTCCAATCATCTTCCTATTCATAACAGTATGATCGTTTGGGTCGATAACGACGGGCTGGTCCATCAAAAACACCGAGGGTAGTCGGGATACACGAACGACTGTACTGCAGGGACACTGCATATCTGCCGTGCAATACGAAGCATCACGTTCTGTACCCCTCTTCTGCACGCCTTCACCGTCGCTTTTTCTCTAGCCGAAGCATGCCCTGCTACCTGGTTCCTCCTATTCGTACATCGTACGACTCCTGTCTGCAACAGCTCCGATCGCGTGCATCGGAAATTGAGATGCATGTCCTCACCTGACATTTCCTTGGGTGGACGGCCGCCTATTGTTTAAGCATTGAGAACTGATCATCCTTGCCTGCGGATGCGGATACTGCCTTTCCGCGAGTGGGACATCTTGCTCCTTCAAGTTCTCCCCGCATCCTGTAGCATTCCGCCCGCGCGTCGGTCCGTGCTCTAGGGAGGAGATGCCGCCAGCAAACATTAGTACTGTCGCCTGTGTGAGCGAAGACACAGTTCCCAACTTGTCCACTGCGATTCTGATTGAGCAAGAGCTTGGGAGGCTTGCAATGAGAAATATGCCGGCGTTTGCATAGAATCTCGATTTACTCCAAACCCGGGATTATGGCACAGGACGGCTACAATTCACCCTGTTAAGTATAGCGCGCTGCGTGCTCCGCGTCACCACTCACCTCGTCAAATAACCGAGTGAATCATATTGGAATCTTCTTCACATAAACCGCGGCATATGCAGAGCGGTGCCATGTCACCAGAGGCTCCGAAGCACGGCTTGACATCTCCAATGAAAGTTCGCATTGCGGCTCTACTTTCTTCGCCCTGGCAAACGCCTCAAGTCTGCTGTCCCTTCATTGGCTACCTCTTATCTCAAACAGCCAACAAACCGCCGTGCTTCCTGAGCAGCACCCTACACCCTGGATGTCAGACAGATATAAACCTTTGAGCTCCTCACAATGCTAGTGCGCGGCAAGCTGATAAGCTTTGCGCCAAGTTTATGGTCAGCAGCAAGGAGTCTTGCTGAAAGTATATCTGTTCGTTGCATTCCAGTGCTCGTGCCCTGACTTATCTCGATACAAGTTCCATCACTACGCGGTCACTATGGCCTCGACACCAGAGAAAGAGGTCGCGCCTGTCATTTCCCGAGATGTCGAGATGTCACAAAAGCCCTCGATTGACGCCGATGCCCTCAAGCTGGCGGAAATGGGTTACACCCAGGACATGAGCAGGAACTTTTCTGTGTGGTCAGTGCTCGGTGTAGGATTCTCGCTCACCAATTCCTGGTTCGGTATATCAGCAGCTCTGATCACTGGAATCAACTCCGGAGGTCCCATTCTCATCATCTACGGCATTATATTGATCGCGCTCATCTCAACATGCGTTGGTATCAGCTTGAGCGAACTGGCTTCAGCTCTACCGAACGCAGGTGGACAGTACTTCTGGGCGAACGAATTGGCGCCGAAGAAGTATGCCAATGTCGCAAGTTATCTGACTGGATGGCTTGCTTGGTGGGGCTCGATGTTCACCAGTGCCTCAGTCGCACTGGCAATGGGGAGCGCCATGGTGGGCTGCTATCAACTAAGCCACCCTGACTTGTACGTCGCATCCTACTCCGGCCACCAAGCGTTGCTCGTTCTTGAGCACTGACCTCGTTCACAGTACGATCAAGGCATGGCATGTCTTCGTCGCCTATCAGATGGCAAATATGTTTTGCTTCTTCTTCAACTGCTATGGCAAAACCCTACCCCTTGTTGCCAAAGTTACACTTTGGACATCTCTGGTCTCGTTCGTCGTCATCCTCATCACCGTACCCTCCGTCGCACCGACTCATCAGCATGCAGAGTTTGTCTTTGCCACTTTCATTAACAACACAGGCTGGCAACAGGGTGGCATAGCCTTTATCGTCGGTTTGGTCAACACAAATTGGGCCTTCGCTTGTCTCGACTGCGCTACGCATCTTGCAGAAGAGGTGCATCGACCGGAGAAGATGGTTCCCATTGCCATCATGGGAACCGTCGGTATTGGCTTCGTAACGAGCTGGTTCTTCTCCATGGCCATGTTCTTCTCGATTGTGGGAGATTTCTCTGATATTCTCGGGACAGCTACACTAGTCCCAATCCTTGAGTTGTTCTACCAGGCCTTGAATAACACAGCCGGTGCTATTTTCCTCGAGGCCCTTATCATTGTCACCGGACTTGGATGCCTTACTGCCAGCCATACATGGCAAAGTCGACTCTGCTGGAGTTTCGCGCGGGACAGAGGCCTACCTGCGCATCGCTGGCTCTCCCAAGTGCACAAGGGACTTGGTGTACCAATCAACGCGCATTTCGTGAGCTGCGTAATTGTCGCCATCATGGGATGCCTTTACTTGGCTTCGCTGACAGCTTTCAACTCGTGAGTGCACCAAGGCAATGCAAATGACGTGCTCTTGCTAATTTACACAGTATGATCACTGCCTGTATTGTCCTCTTGTATCTCAGCTATTCCATCCCCGTCATCTGCCTCCTCATTCGAGGCCGATCAAACATCAAACCAGGGCCTTTCTGGTTGGGACCCATTGGTCACTTCGCGAACATTGTGCTGCTCATGTGGACACTGTTCACATTGGTGATGTACTCCTTTCCTTATGCGCAACCAGTCGCTGCGAGCAACATGAACTGTATGTATTCCTTTTTTTAAAATATGATTTGTGTCTAGTAACTAACATAGTTTCAGATGTATGCGTAGTATATGCTGTGATCGCCTCCATCACTAGGTCTCGACTATGTGTTTCGAGGCCGCAAGAGCTTTCGAGGTGTTGGCGAGCGCAAAGGCGAAGTCAGCGCACATGGCCAGATTGTCGATCTTCCCGAGCATCGCGGAGAGCTTTAGTGACTCTTTTGCTCTGTCTCATTCATTGTATAGTATAAACCCCGACAGACCCTGTTCCGTCCGTTGTACATGGCTATGTTACCACACGATGTATATGCAGTCCTTTATATCCTGCTGGATCTTCATGTCGTTATTCTTCACACGAAACACCTTAGCGAGTACAACTCATTACAGTCCATAGCCACAAACTTCAGCAGGTTACATTAAGACACCAGGACTGTCTCCATACTCATCATGTGTCAACTTCAGATTACCTCCTACGGCTGTGGTCACTAACGCAAAACCCTGTTCGAGCCCTGTGCTCTAACTCAAATGCTGAACCCCTCCAGCTGCAAATACACCCCCTCCTGATGTCCCAACGGCCTTACTAGCACCCGCTCCAACGCCGTCTCTACCCCCTTCGGCCACGACCACGTCTCCGACTCCCCATACTCCTGCGCCGAGCTTGTCCTCCTGCAGCCCTCCTTCACCCACAAAGCCAGTGTGCACGGCGAATTCGCCGACTACCACGACCGCATCGGCCACATCGCCGACTGTATGCCCCTCGTCTCCGACTAAGGGCGCCCCTAGCTCGACTACAGGCTCGTCCCCGCCTCGGACATGCAAGCCATGCTCGACTTCCAAGACGAGCACTACGACTCCGCGCTACCCATGTGTCTCCACATGGCACGCCAACATCGCTCGATGCTGCATCCGCCCAGCTTGCCGCTGCGTACACGCGCATCATCGACGTCATGCTCGGTTGCGCTCCGTTGGAATTCATCCCTGCCCACAGCACGCACTTGACCAACGCAAACCGTGGCTTTTTCAAAAGTACGCCGTCTGTAGATGATATCATAGCACGGTCATTTTGAAATCAAAAATAAAAGAAAACACCTTTGAATTTCAGTACACCCGGGGCCACCCTCAGAGACTGAAATACTATAAACCTTTCCGGGAGGACCCTCAGATTGGTAGATGAGAGATTCGAACTCTCGACTATTTGACAAACCAAGTAAACATTTGTTTCACTTGGACCATCTAGTGCTTTCTGATAAGTCCTTAAATTAACTGATATTTAACCTACACCTATACCTTAGGTACCTTGGCAGAGAGTGAGTTCCTAGGAGGATCACTGTTGATTCTGTGCATTCAGAATTTAGACATACGCCGACATGATCAGTGTAATCCGGAGTATCTGATCTCGCCGTCCACGCGCAAAGTGTCAATATATCCTGCACCATCGGCGCCACAATTCCCCAGTTCGATCCAATCAGGTAAGCCCAGCTGCGGATTACTCCTTTGGGCGAAGATCTGCTGATATGCACCGCCCTTCTCCCTATTGCACTTCCTCGGCATGCTTATAATCAATACTGTCTTTGCGAAAGGGCGGTTGCGGACGAGAGGTAAGCTGGGCTAATCGGTTAAACTGGGCCGGATGCCGTTTGCTGCAGTGGATTCGATGTATTTTGACTATATAAAACCAACCTATTCTATGTTTTGTGGAAGATAGAAGTGAATCAAGCAACACGATGGATTCTCAAGATAGACTTCCGCAGACGTTTACGTTTCGTCACAAGCGGCTTGGGTGAGTTCTCGGACGTTTATTGTATAGAAGGATGTAGAGCTAATTAGAACTCAGTACGTCTGTTCTTCTTTCGTGTGGAATTCCTGTGCAGAGAAACCGCAGGACAGCACGCGATGCCAGTTGCTGCTCGTCCATGTACCTTCCTTGACGTATTCGTCGGAAAGCAATACTGACTGCATCTGCAAACCAGGTCCCATGACCGGACTCATCTCGCCCGAAAACGTCGTCCAATTCCGCGCCATACCATACGCTACAATCCCCGCCCGTTTCGCGCGCTCAATTCTCAAAACTGACTTAGACGGCACCCAAGACTTCACCAAGCACGGGTAACCACACCACCTCACATAAGAAACCCCACTACAAACACAAGTTAACGTCCAAAAGCTTCCAATGCCCCCAAACATTCCCCTCCTCCGCCAGCGGCGGCCCACTCCCTGGGGACATCATCCCCCCCGCATCCTCCGAAAGCGCCTGCCTGATCCTGCAACTCGCCATTCCCCTCGCCCTCCTCCAAGACCCCGACCACGCCTCCAAACTCCCTGTACTCGTTTACTTCCACGGCGGCGGCTTTGTGCTCGGCGGTCTGTCTCCCTCACTCTCCATCTCTCTTCACAAGCTGACCCTCTCACAGGCATCGACGAACAACACAACACCGCGCTGCTAACCCAGCAATCCATAAATGACGCCCAGCCCCTGATCACAGCGAGTATCCAGTACCGCCTCGGCGCGCTGGGATATCTGCATGTTCCCGAGCGAGGAAGCGCGAATCGCGCCCTACATGATCAGCGCAATGCGCTGCGTTGGATTCAGGAGTTCATTGGGGCGGGTTTGGTGGGGATAAAGAGAATGTGACGTTGTTCGGTGAATCGGCAGGCTCGATTTCAATTTGCTCGCAGATGCTGTTTGCGCCTCCGCCTTCGGGTCCGTTGTTTCGCAGAGTGGTGCTGATGTCTGGGGTTCTGGGGGCGGCGGTTGCGCCTGGGTCGGCGGCGGATGCGGAGGTTGTGTACGAGAGTTTCCTGACGAAGCTGGGTATTGAAGAGAGGGGGCAAGCTGGGTTGGAGAGATTGAGGAGGGTGGACGTCGAGGAGATTGTCAGGGTGACAGCGGAGTTTACGGACGGTGGGGCGATGTTTAAGACGGTGCAGGATAGAGATTGGTATGGCGAGGATGGTGAGCTTGTGACTTGGGATAAGTTTCCGGAGATGATTGGGAGGTGTGAATGGGTTCAGGAGATTATTATTGGGACTACCGGCTTCGAGGTAAGAGGTTTGTTGTATCATCGTTGATTTGGAAATACTGATGGTCGTTCAGGGCGTCCAGTTCATACCTAGATTCGCAGGTGTAACTCCGCAGGAGTTCATCTCTGCCATCGCGGATCAAATGGGCGAGGAAAGTGCGAAGCTAGTCAGCCAGGCCTACAATATCACTCCAGATATGGACCAAACGCTCTTTCTTTCATCTGCATTGCGGTGGATCGGAGATGCGATATTCGACAGTAAGCAGTACGCTCTGCATCAAGTCTGTTGTGGCTGCTAAACATATCAGCACCCCATCACGAGTGGTCAAAGTACCTATCTACACATACCAACAAGAAGATCTTTCGCTACGTCTTCGATGTCCGTAATCCATTCCCCGGTAGCCCGCTCTATCAGCAGGCGCACCACTGGGTGGACAAGTACTTTCTCTTCAAGACGCTGCAATCCAGGTACCCGACGCAACGACTCAAGGACATCTCGACAAGACACGCGCAGCTTTGGGTCGAGTTTGCGAACGGGAAGTCTCCTTGGCGACAGTACCAGTACACAGGCAATGGTGATGACATCATCATGGTGGCGGACGAGAGAGAGGGCTGGGTAGAAAGAACGGTTGCGGATCACGAGAAAATAACTGAGACTTCGTGGAAGGGGTGTGAAGCGCTTGTCGCTAGCTGGCAGTGCCAGAAGGGCAAGGCCTTTTCTCCTGTGGACATTGAGCCATTGAGCGGAAAGAGTATGGTTAGATTTGATGACTGAGAATGTTTGTAGGTGAAGTCTGAATCATGGCCGACGCTCGTTCTCGTATGGATCGCATGCCTCGTGCAGCTGTTGCGGCGCGATGAGAATGAGGTACAGAGGGCTTAATGGTGTAGCCGTTGTCCGTGGCGTTCTTCACTACTCTTCAAGAAGTCGGCCCACATAAACCGGGTGGCGTCATCTGTGGTGAACAGTACACACTCATGAATCAGCGATGAAGACAATCAAAGCACTTGAATAGCTATTCTCGAAGGCGATTTCACTGACAGTTTCTACCACGGGAGAACTTTGCGATCCACAAGTGAGATTGCCAACATATTGGCCGGGTGAAGGGCAACAGTCTCGGTAATCTTGGTAATCTCAAGAACGGACATCCCTCAGGACATGCTGTAGCTCCTCTCCTTTCCCTCCTCGTTCTCTTCCATCAGCGTCGGCTCAAATTTCTCTTTCCTCGCCTGAGACGCGCCAGAAGCCTTCCACGCTGACAAAATCAAGTCCACAATTGCATCAACTCCCTGGTCTTTCTTCACCACCGCAAAGATGGTAGGACCTCCTTCACGCATCCTTCTGCTGTCCCTGTCCATGACGTTCAAGTCCGCGCCGACGGCTTCAGCCAAGTCGATCTTGTTCACGATCAGCAAGTCGGACTGCGTGATTCCCGGTCCACCCTTTCTGGGGATCTTGTCGCCGCCAGAGACGTCGATGACGTATATTATGAAGTCGGCGAGTTCGCGCGAGTAGTTTGCCGCGAGGTTGTCGCCGCCCGATTCAATCAGGAGGAGGTCCGTGTTGAATTTGTGGTGGAGGTTCGTAAGCGTCATGAGGTTGACAGATATGTCTTCACGGACAGCGGCGTGCGGACAGCCTCCGGTCTCGACAGCCACGATGCGTTCGCTGTTGCTGCTGTGAGATTCCGTTCATACTAGAGGTTGCCCTCTGGATGCGACTTACGCAGGGAGAGCATTGTTCCGAGTAAGGAATTCACAGTCCTCCCGTGTGAAGATGTCGTTCGTCACGGCTGCTATCGAGAAGCGAGCTCGGAGGCGCTTGCAGAGAGCAAGCATGAGTGCCGTCTTACCGGAGCCTACAGGTCTGACTGAATCAGCTTCTACTCATAAAAACCCAATGTCAACCTATAACAACGGCGAGCTTCATCCATCGTGTGACTGTAAACGCATCTCCAAATAGCAGGCTTTCTTACCCTCCAATGCCTATGGTGAACGCCCTGTCTTCCCAGTCTCTGTTCTCAATGATTGGCATCTCGCGCCCGAGGAAGCTTCCCGGACCATCCAGTATCTCATGGGTGTGTCCATGGTCCGCAGCCGCATTTTCATGCGAGTGCGACGGACCATCATGAGAGTGACTGTGCGACATGGTGGTTGGCACAGTTTGCAGCGCGGTGTATTGAGCCCTGTTGCAGATCTAGTGGTCAATGAGTTGGACAGGTAAGTGTGGATCAAGACAGCAGCAAGCAAGAACGAAGCTCGAAGCTGGCGATGGTGGGGCAGCAGCTTCACAACGTGGGGTGTTGTCGATCATGTTGGTAAGATTGGTCGCCGGCCACCTGACATCGTGGACTGGATCAATAAGACGCAAAATTATTGCATGAATGATCCGCTACACGTTCGCGGCCGACAAGTTTATGCGAACGTGTTTATTGTTGTTGGTTCGTGCCACGATTCAGTCGAGGCTGACCAAATCTGCGACCCTGAGGCACGGGCACGCTTGCTTCGGTTCATTTGGTCGTTTTCGGCTTCAGTCGTTCTCCATCCCCCTGCATCCAACTCCGTGTTATGAAATTTGCACAATTTCTGCTAACCTGAATGTCTCTGCCTAGTATCTTTTGACCACTTTTACTCGGTGCATTGTGCGCAACAGTAAGTGGCTTTCAGGGGACATTCTTGGAGCGGCTGATCGTTATGCCATTGTCGTCTCGCGTGTCCACCAATAATACCGAAAACGCCACAAACAAGGCTGGTGTTTACCGCTCATTTCACGTCGTTAGATGTTCGGCCAAGTTACCTGCACGAGCGTGACGCGATACGTAAAGACAGCACATCTCCCACTATGCGGCCGCGTCCCTGATCTAACGACGTCCTGTCCAAGATTCCAGTTTCACTAACTCAGGCCTCCGAATTGACCTCTTCGGTTCAATCCGACCTTCCAGCACTGACATGTCTTCATATTGAAGCTTGCGCCTCACCTCATTCCTTCGTCACTCGTTTCTGGCCTTCGCTTCACTATTATCCTTTATACGACCTCTACGAATCTCACGCTATCTATACTATAACTTTTAACACCATGGCTGTCATATGGGAGAAGGCACAACAAGCCTTTCTTACACTTTGGGACATCGATCGCGAATTTCAGAATGCGCACGAAGCATACGAACAATGGCAGGCTCGGAATCGGCGCAAGAGGTCGTCTTGGGCCTGTCTCGGCGTAAAAAATCACGAAGATGCACTGGGAAAAGCATTGAGTCTGGGACGAGAAGTGCAGCGAGTCATGGAGAGGGGGGCAGACTTGTACGGATCACGATTCGAGCAGGGCGACTGTACGTTTGCAAACAGGAAAATGTCCAATGGAGAGATGCTAAAACCACGCAGCAACATGCCACACCATCCTCAATGCACAACTTCTTCGCGTACAATACGAAGTCAGGCAAACCCTCTACGATACTGCCCTTCACACGACACGTATTTCTTTACCTCATGACGACCTTATCACGACCGCCAAAAGCATTCGACGCACAGTCCTCCACGCACTAGAAGACCAGATCGCTCGTTTCGACTCGCGAGAATTTGTGCCTATGCTTCCACCACCCCGCTTCAAAGTCGATTATTGCCCATTCGCCGATCAATTACGGAACGACCTAAAAGCAACCAAATCGAGCAACCTACGAGCGCGGAAACTACGGCCAGAACATCGTCACGACGACCGAGAATTGTGCCCGCACTGCGACGCATGCATTTCTGTAACATCGCATTCTGGACTACCAGCCTACCGGGGCATATTATTCACATCACACGTTGCTCGAGATCCGCTTGCCAAAGATGATCAGACCACATTCGCCTGCAATAGCTGTTACAAGACCTTCACGGACTCTTATGCATTCCTGGACCACATCTTCCAGAAACAAATCGGCAGTAACCGAAGTTGCTTGAAACGAACAAGTTCGCATTTTACACTCTACCAAAAGGAATACATGGAAAGCGATCCGTCTATTGTGAAACAGTGCCTCAAGAACTGCTTGAAGAGAGAGCTCAACAGAGTACGAAATGAGAAGACGAAGAGCACGATCCGGGTGGTACAATCGGACATTCATCCGAGCATGCGTAGCTCGACTACAACGATTTGACCCCCAACATACAACAACACCTAATTCGAACATCGGCCATCAGAACAGGTCAAATAAGATCTCACGAACCATATTATACCCACAGCGCATACGTTTCTTGTACTATACTATTTAGCGTCTTCGCTACTTCCAGGGATATACTTTTTAGAGCTCCATCTACATAGAGCATAAGCAAATATTTACGACCTTGATCTTTACTTTCTACTCGCAGCACATGTGGGAGTTTTATTGTGCGTTCTTGTCGAACTCACGCTTCGGTGTGAAGTTCTCCAAGTGTCCTGAGCCAGGATTCCGAGAATATGCAAACGACCTCCATGATACAGTCGAAATCGCAAGCTTCACGACCAACAAAATACTAATGGTCGACTAGCAGAACGCTGGATTAGGATCTTCACAGACCCTCCAAGTCTACATCATTCTTCTGGAGAGAACACTTCATCGCAAAGCAAAGGCCCCTTAGCCATGCTGCCAAGCAGACGATCTATCGATCTCCAAAAAGTCTCGTCACTACACCCCACTCACTCCCAGTTCCAGCCTCGCGGTGCCTGAAATTCTCCTTGCACTAACGTCTCGACCATCGTCATCCCGTTGGGGTTTTCAGTGGGCTGCCGATATACCCGTCTTGTGTCCGCTCCCGACGTTCCTGACGTGTGACAGATTGCATGCTTGAGAATTGAGGCTTGCACACCAATTGGATGCGCAGCGGTCTATTCTCACTTCTTCACATCCTTCACAGAAACCCTTTCTTCGACATACAACATGTAGATGGCAAGTTCATCACACGTCAGCACCATACACCGCGGCCCCACAACCACTCGTTAAAAAAACCCAAATCCTCCCGCCGAGCGGATCCTACGCTCGCTCACCTCGGCGGAATCGGGCGGGGCCTTTTTGCATTGCTGCGCGTATAGCATTTTCTTGGACACATGCTCGGGTGCTAAGCCGGTGGTAATAATTTCGCCAGTTTCTCCACATTACGAGAGTCTAAATTAGCCAACTCGGCCGACCTTGGCCCTTGGTAAGTGTGAAGAGGGGAGGGGCTGTGTTGTTTTTGCGAAACAGGCGGCTTGGTATGGCCAAAGTCAAACGGTAAGCGCCGTGAGGCAGACACTGTTTGCCTGACGTATATGTGCATGTTTAATGGGAAATGTGTAACAATCGTAGTGTTGGTATTTGATATTTTGCTATTTGAGCAAGAGAAAATGTGGGGTATATCATGTAAAAAGTAACGCTGAAGCTTGTAAAATCCATCCCATCCCATACTGATCTTCGCAAGCATGATTTCCAAACCAAAAACGCCTTTGCTGTGATCAGCGTACCAGTCGTAAACCAGTGTCGTTCCCATGCCGTGTACTCCATGCTGATAATGCCGCTGAAAAAGTGTGCTCTCGCCATCGTGGAGAGCAGGTAATGTTGTGTCGAATGTCGTAGTAGTAACAAGTCTCCTCTCGTCGCTCATCTTCAGCGCAGTCCCCGCGAGAGCCAGCGCTCCCACCACTTGCGCACGCCCAGAATGCTCTCCTTGCCGTCGTTGTGGCCGTCGTGACCGCCTGGGTCACCGAGGATGGACGAGAAGAACCAGAACAAGGCAGCCGTCAACGCAGCTATCGCGACGCCGAATGCGATGAGTGGCGAGAAGAGGTGGATCACTACGAGCATGGGTGCACTGTAGTTTTGCGCCGAGTTGTGCGAGTACACCAGGTGCAGTTGCAGGTTGAGCGCTGGGGCGAGGAATGTGGTGAGTTGCGTCGAAAGTGAAGGTCGTGTCGAGCAGAGCTTTAATGGTGCGAGGGCGAGTGAGATGAAGAGTGCGACTATGGTCCAGAGAGTGATGACGATGGAAAGTAGGGCGCAAGGTCCTGAGAGGTAGAACTGGTCACATGTTAGTCACGGTTTACAATCAAAACTTGGAGTATTTGCTCACTAATAATTGCCATGTCTTCTCCTCGGGCGAGCCCTCATGGTACTGGCCTTGATCGTAGACGGCCTCGTCTGATCGGGTGGATCCCGAATGGCGATGGGGTTTCGACGAGCCGTAGCCGTGCTTTTCCGGGTCCAAATGTGCCTGTGGCGGGCGTCTTATGTTTTGTGCGTCGTTGACCAATGTGGGAGACAAATTCTGCGGAATCGATGAATGTCGTCGCTTGTCTCCTGAGGAGAGGCTGCTGCGAGGGCTTGGCGATTGCTTTGGCGAGAATGGGTGGGAGATGACGGAATCCCGGCCGCGACCGTAGCTGGAAGTCTTGCTTCCGCGATCAGCGCGTCGCTGTTGTGATCGCGAGTAGTCATCTTTTTCGTTGTATGTGTATTCGTACTCGACAGGCGTGGTGTTGGGCGACTGTTGCTGGCCGAGGATCGAGTGCCTGGCCGAGAAAGGCACCGCGGTGTGCTGGGGGTCCATTGCAGGCATGTCGGAGCTGCAGCTGCTATGTGACGACGTTCATTAATGGCTGGAGATGGGCCTGTATGACATGCGGAGTCGTCGAGGCATGGAGCATGTTATAACAAAGGTCGAGGCTCACCTCAGGAGAGGCAAGACTCTTGTTACATACGACTTACGCTCTCAAGGACTTGGAAGAAGGTCTTGGGCTTGGCTTCTACCATCGCGCGCGAGAGCCAAGGCTGGGCATCATCTTGGATCAAAGTGAGGACGGCGGGTACGGCCAATCACGGCTGCATCTCAGTGGACCCACCGTGTCCTCTCTGAGGTGCTGCTTGGGCCTTCAAGACGGGATTCGCGGCAGCAGCTCGAAGCTGAGCCTTTCGGCGTATATCTTTCACTGAGGCTGCCCTCTTGGCCGGCGCTGGCAAATGCTGAGCGACGCTGAGCGACCTTCCGCCGCGTACCTGGCGCTTCTCACCCTCAATTTGCGCCGCTTTGGCTGAGCCGCCAAGTCAACGACAAAGGCGCAGCTCGGTCCGCCCAAGGCGTCCGCCGGCTCGACCTGCATCATGTGCTGGATTTTGAGAGACTTTGAGAACACTGACCCAGCACATCTGTAAATCTGGTGGTTCTGTGCGACGGCTTTTTCCGCATGGGTGCGCGTCGGACCATAGATACGTGACTCCGCCGAGACACCAGGCAGACACAAAGGCCGCAAACGTTCATGGCCATGTGCCGGTGGAACAAATCGAGCGCTTCTGCATGCTCTAAATGGGTTCAAAGCGGTGTATGCTGCAGACTATCTGCCTTGAAGCTCTTGGACTTGTCTGTAGTGTGCGCGGGAATAATGTTCCGCAGCCTCCGCTCCAGAGTTCAATACCAAGACTGGCTGAAACGGCGTCTGGTTTCGCTGATCCTCGTCTTGGCTTTGCGTCAAGGGAGACCATGATGAAGTTAAAAGCACTGAACTGTCCTGGCGGGCGGATCTACATGCTCCGTTGGCTTGTAATCAAAGTGATAACTCATCGCTCTTTCTCGGCGCTGCTGTTCGGCCTTGTAACCGCTGGAATGAGCGCGGCTTACGGCAGCAACGAAACGCTGCGACATTTGCGACTCCTTCGCTCGGTCGGTGCCGGATGCATATTGTCACTTTAACCGCAGGGGACAATGATTGGCGAACTGGAAGGGTCGATGCAGCAGTGTCATGGTAACGGACCGCCGCCGTTGTGAAATTTTGGCTGCTTCTGCACAGGCATGATGCCTCGAGCGGCATTTCGAACATGCCAAGCCAGTGGCCTCGACGATCTTCGGAGCTCGACTCCGCAGCAACGTCGCACTTGCGACGCTGAGGTCAGCGTACCCACCTATGAGGAGTTGGTATTTGTAGTGACGACGCTTTGAGTTGGTTGCGGAGAGGAGGAGGTGCTCTGACAATGTGCTTCACTCTTCCAAGGAGGCAGGTTTTCATCACACTTGCTAAGCTCCTCTGAGAAGTACCAGACACCAGTCTCCACGCACAGAATGAATGGTATTAGCGTCCGTGCACATGATGCCTTTGTTGACAACATCCCGATGCCAACCAAGCGTCGTTCTTAGACACTCACGCCTTCTGTACATATGCAACTCATTGACCGACTTTCCGTCCTCCATTGTCGTCACGAACTCTGCAACGGATGCTGCGAACCCCCGCGCCTTCTCTGCGCGATATGATGATCATTTATGTCACGTTTTATGAAACCAGGAAGAGCCGGTCTAATGTCTACCAAGCGAAGGAGAGTAGTCTGAGAACGGGCCTGTAATTGACATCCTACGGAATCGAATCAGGTCAAGGAAAGACAAGTCTCCTTGTCGGGCTATGGATGCCCGTCCAAGCAGTTCAGATTCTTACATTCTCATCGGCTCACGCACAAGGAGCAAAATGATACAGCTTGCTGGTATTTTGATGGGAGCGAGCCAAACATCTCGTGTGATGGTCGCAAATGGAACTATGAAGAAAGGACGCCAAGGAAACACGGTAGGGTGATTACCAATGCAAGGTGTGTTGCTAGATGAAAGGACGGCTGAAGACATAGGTAAGGTTTGGAGCTTCAGAAATCCAGTGTATGGAACATATTGAGGGACGGCTGCAAAATAAGTTCAACGGCTTCACGTTTATGCAGGGCGAAACAACAATATTGTGTTTAGGCACCCGTCATATGCAAAGCCCCTGTATGGACTTAGAACTAGCGGACGATTGAGTACTTGCAGATGCCTGGTCTTCGTTAACGATGGAATATTGACACTAACGTACACATTAGGCCACCCATGAACTTTTCCTTCCAAGCCTCACAAAGTGGTGCTTGACTACTGGCTTTGGTGCATCCGAGATCAACTAAGTAAAATGATGCCCACATGCAAATGGTATCTTCAGAATGCCATGTTGATATATTCTCCAATAGCAGCAAGTATCAAATATCGCGTTCCGTTCGATGTCAAGTGGTTTTCAACTAGTACCTGAGTAGGATCGCGTATGGATGTTATACCCTGTCCCGCAGAAGTGGAGACTCCCACACGATCCTTACCAGGGCGTATATATTGCTCCAATGGCTAGCCACCCGATGAGGCTCACCGGTAAATCAGCGCTTGCGAAAAAAGGGTGAGTCCCTCGCAACATGATATCGAACGCAGATGGGATCCGACGGCTAGTTGTGCGTGGCTAGGCGACAGGAGATCTAGACCTGAGCGTTGTCGTGGAAAATTCTATAAAGCTCTGTACAGATGCGCACATCTGAATTGCCATCTACATTGGCTTTTGATCAGAAGAAGAGCAATCAATCTTCACAATACATTCTTTGACCTACCAAGTCTATCACTCAACACCATGCTCGTCTCCGCTACTCTAGCCGTCGTTGCACTTGTGCACGCTGCATCCGGGGCTGCCCTCCCCAGCGACTGTACGAGCCTACCTCTCCCCCAAAAGACATCCAGCTCACTAGTCCTCCCCAGGCTCCGCTACCCACTTTGTCGAGCGCGACGAATCCTGCGTATCAATCGTAAACCAGTACAACAACTTCACCGCCCCAGATCTTTACCGCTGGAACCCGTAAGTCGTGACTCCACCTTCCAGAACCCCAAAACTCACATGTTACATCAGTTCCATCGGACTCGTCTGCAACGGCCTCATCGCCGGCGACTCCATCTGCATCAACGTGCAGCCCTACACATACCCCGGCCCGATCCAAGGCGGCGCCATCTTCAAAGCGGAGCAGAACCCCGTGCCGCAATTGCCTGATATCGCGGCGGGGTGCAAGACGTTCCAGTACACGGATTCCAAGGGGTATCCCGATGTGCCGACGATGAGTACCCTGAATAACATTTCGAGGACGATGTGGAACAATTGGAATTGGGGAAAGGAGACGGGTGCGTACGGTAGGACGTGGGGGAGCTACTTTTCGTGTGTGGGAAGGAAGTGAATTTAGAGGCAGATGAGATGTGATTAGTTTCACATGTGTGTGTACTGGAGTTGCGCGAGTAGAGCAACAGTAATGAGTTGGAATGTTTAATCTTAAGAGTATGTAGAAATCGAACGACAGTCTGCAATTGTAGCGACTATCATGCTATAGGCTACTAACCTTTGCTCTAGAGTGTCAATTGCATGTACACGTAAGCTGATTGATGAGGATACGCCCATGATGTACATCTGGCTTGTGGCCAGGACCCGTGAGCGGGAAAAAAGAGGAATGAGAGTGAAAGGTCGAGGTAAAATACATTATAGGTAAAAACTATATTTTAGAAGACCAGGCCTGGCAAGACGGTCCTAGGCTTAGTGATAGCCTGTCACTGCCCATGGAAAGAAACGCCATCATAATGTCCCAGAGGACGCATACCTAACACCAAAAGCCCACTCACATACTTTTGCTAGCCATACCGTTGATGAACTCGCTGACCTCAAAGCCGACTCTCCTCAAGTCCGCATCGCTGAATCTACCATCCTTCTCCTTTCCGATCGTCAAGCACCTATTTGCGTCGTCCATCTCGGGTTTGCTCACTCCAGCATCCTTTTCGTACATCTTAACGTAGATGGTGAGGTCAGGACCGACCGTGCCGCGCCACAAAGTCGCCATCCACTGCCAATGGTCTGTGCAACTGTAGGCGTCTTGGATGGGAATCCGAGAGGCATAAGTGACTGATGCGGCGAGTTGGAAGGTTGGAAGGATGACGATTGGCTTTGCGACCGAAGCAGCATCCAAAGAGGGTGAAGTGGAGGCGGCAGCTAACGCAGGCGAGTCAGAAGATGTGGCAGAGTCTTTGCGATCTATATCAGAAAGCTCCTTTTCAGTGTCCTTATCTGAGTCTTTGTCGGCCATGACGGTGTCTTGCGACGACGGAGGCGAGTCCACAGGCGTAGTAATGTACTGAATCATCTCTTTGCTCTTGCCATGCCACGCTTTGATCAGATCTAGATATTCCTCAAAAGAAGAATCCTGCTCAATGGGTGTCTGTGGTGGTTCGACGAGGCGAGGGCGATATTGTGACTCGGTATCTTTTGCAAGGCGATCATTCAACCACTGAGAGAGTTCTTTGACGGCAGCAACATCGTCTCCCTCTATAGCTAGAATGGCGCCACGAGTTCTGGGCGCAGGACTCAACGGAGACGGCTCTTTATACGGAAGACTGATGCGACCGAGGAGTTTGATCTTGTTCTGGTAAGGGAAGTTCATGAGTACCTCTTCTATATTTCTTGGGCTTTGGTCATTGTGCGAGCTTGCTTCCACCATAATGGAAGGTCTCCGAGCATCGCGTGGGGTACGTGGGGGTGGCATGGTAGCACTATTCGGAGGCGAGTAGCGTACTTGCATGGGAGGGAGAGACTCTCTTCGATCATACTGTGGGTAATAAGGTCCATCTGGCCTACGGGCATTGCTCGGTGGCGGACCGTAGTCGAACCGCCGCTTCTTGGCTCCTGGCGTTAGGGGACTGTACGAGTTTATCTCTTCGCGTATCGAAGGAACCTGGATGTTACTAAGACCCGAAGGTCCATGACCCCGTCGGCGGACCGGAGATTCTAGGCTCAGGCTACTCATCACGGGCAAGTACCGCGTGGTCGGTGTTGAACCTTCAGAGTAATTCGGTGGCGGTAAGGTTGGTGTTCTAACTGAGTCCGGATAAGGGCTGGTCGGTGTCTTGATGCTGCGTCCACCACACCTAGGACAACGATACTTGTCAACTGTCGTATGCTGAACCGATGGGTTGAGTGGCGACGAGCTGGCCTTTCCGACTCGTCGTGGCTGGTAACGGTAGTCAGGATACTGTTCGTGATGTCTGACTTTCTCTTCCTGCATGACATGTCAGAGGAGCTCAAGGGTATTGCGAGAAGACACAAACCTGTGCAAGATCCTGCCAAACTTTTTTCGACTCTTCGTTTTCAGCTTTCCACTGCTCACCAATGATTTTGGAAATATCGGGGTTATTGAGTCCAGGATTGCTAGCGATTATGGCTTGTTGGTGGTGCTGCCGATAAAGGATAAATGCTACAAAGAAGTTAGAAACTGTGGCACACCACGTACAAACAAAGAAAGCATTCTTTGTTCATTCCCTGTCACACGACCCTTTGCGACTGAAACGATCTGAAAACAAAGAGAGAAACCCACTCACCATTTCTCGGACGGGGTATCTTGGGCTCAGGCTGGCAGAGGCAGACGTGCTGAGGAAGTTCGCCTGAGCCGGTCGAAGTCGCACTTGGAGGGGAACGAATGTCAGTGGGGCTGTTGATTCCGACTTGATCTTCTCCATTCATCGTGTCCTCGAGAGGCGCGAGCCTTTTCCTAGCTGATCGAGGGGATGTCAAAGTTGGCGACGGAGGTTCCTCTTTCGCACGCACAGGACTTGATGTGGGTGTGGGCTTTGCATCATGGATCCTGTTACTTTTACGCAAGTTACGAGATCGCTTCACATCGTCTATTGAAGAGTTCTGAGGCGTGTCGCCGACCTGCATGTTCGATCTGACGTACCTCCTGGGGACGTGGAAGAACGTCGCAACAGGGCTCGGGGGTGGAGGGGGTGGAGGCCGAACAATTGGCGGCAGTACGCGACTTGCTAACATTCTGGACGTGAAAGACGAGCTCGCTGATATAATGAAGGCCTTTGAGGTCGAATTTCATTGTCCCATGATTAGGAAGGGAGGCGTGTCGGACGAACCATTGAACATTCTCAGCTGCTTTGAGATTGATATGCGGGTGCGGTACAAATGCATTGCGCTTTGATGATTAGGCGCCAGCGATCCAGTAGATTGTTGTTCCAGACAGATGCGGCTGAACCTGGTGCGCGATTCCTTTGTTCCTGCCACGTCCCAAAACGGCCAAGAACACGCCCCGAGACATTCCAGCATTCCGACGCCAACTATGCAAGGACTTAACAATGCCAGATAATAGCGGACCCACGCGTGGTCTCGGGAAGTACGATTTCACAACAGCTACCCCTCTTTTCGTGGCGGAGCTCCTACTAATAACTCAACAGCGTCCTTGGTCAAGTTTCAAACATTGTCTTTCACATGGCTGGTCATTGATTCGGTGGAAATTCTAGAGTGAAACGCTCTCCCGCCTTTCTACTTGGTCTGGGGTGGCCTTGGGTACCACCTTTCGTTGCTGGGGTGTTGACAGTATGATTACCGCGAACGAGGCGTGCGGCCTGTTTTCCGATTAGTTTGTGTGCGCTAGGTCCAAGGTGCAGGTCATCCCTGTTCTCTGATTAGGCTCAGACAATGCGTTTGTTTGGTTGGATGACTGACCAAAATAGATGCGCAGCTGGATCGGAACATTTCTCTACAGCGGCTGCATGCAGATTCGTCGCGTTGCCAGCCAACGACATGATTACACATGGCAGCTCCACGTCTTCGACCAGCAGCATGCGTTCTTTGGAGCCAAACGCATCCAGGATGCCTTCGCAATACAGCTGTTTCATTCTGACATGCTCTATCACCACATCATTCAAGTCAGGCATGAAGACTCTGCCCTTCTGCCATTGCACTGCGCGTTGAAACAAGACAGCGTTCCAGTAAGTCTGCAGGAACAACATTCGATGCTGAGTTTGCGCTACTCGTAGATCCAGACCATCTTTGCTGGGCTTGAAACGCGGGAAGAATGTGACATCGATCATTTGAGGCATAACAATCTGGACGGCAGTTGACGATTGCGCTACCAAAACATCAAGCTGAACGAATAACTCTGCTATGCTATCATCGACAGATCTCATAGCGAACTCCATTTCGAGCTTTGAGTATTCGAGAAGATCCCAAAGCCCGAAGAACACGGCGAAGAGTGTCCAATCGTCATCAGATCGGAGGCGTCTTGGTATGCGGTACTTCTTTTCCTCGTACTTGAGGAACTGTTCGACCTGTGTCTTCAAGTCGATCAGTGACAAGTTGTCGCCTTGTCCTTTCATGGCGGCTGAATGCACATCTGAGTCGATGACAGAACCAACCGTGCTTATGTTTAGGCTCATTGGTACAGAGCTGGCGAAGTTGTCGATCAGATCGCAAGCGAGCTTCCATATGTTAGTTGTCGCTGTTTCGCACAAGACAATGACTTACCTCATTGCAAAGCGTTTCAGCCCATAGCTCGCCCCGGGCAGGATCTCGGACAATTGCCTCCAAGTATGGTAGTGGAACCGCTCGAATACTACCTGTGTCAGACCAGTCGTCGCCAAATACAACAAGGCGACGTATCGCGCTTTTAGAGCCTAAGGAACGTCGGGAGAACAGACAGTAACCAATAGTAACTAAAAACGCAGCAGCACGAGCGTGAGATTTTGAAGGAGATCGCATCCTGCACGAAGTATGCGGCGGAACGTGGTATGGGGAACAAGGAATTATAACAAGACATCGGCACGCTCATGCCCCCTTGGGTTCGACCTGTGTCGTAGACATGTCTGAAAGAGGCAAATCCTAAACTATCACCCTATCTTGCAAAGGGTTAGCAGCCAGGCGCGTATTACAGTACATCAACCTGTCGTCGATGCTCTTCGGTCCAGTTGACGCAGGTGAGGCATGGCACATGTCGCATGCTTTTTGGCAGTGTGATTCAGCGTCGACGACCAGGTTGATCGCATCGCGACTAGGAGACACGGCCGAGGCGCGACGGCAACGCGTTTGGGTACTTTCAGTGCGACGACAGCGTCCTCATTTGCACGTCGGTTCTCGGTACGTACAGACTGTCATAGAATTTCGCGTCTGAACATGGCTGCTGCTGTGGTTTCAGTGGAATTTGTTGTGAAGGACGAGCGGTGACGCGCTTTCGAGTGATTGGAAGCTAGCTTGGACGCGCTCGCGCCACTCGCGTGCGTCCTCCTTACAACATTGAAGCTCACAAAAAAAATATCTCCACAAGCGCCTCGTGTGGGGGCTAGGTACACGCGCACGCCTATCGCGCCTGTTCTTGACCTTCAATCTCCGCCAGATATGAAGAATATGAATGGTTTGTACTGTAACTGTCACGTGATCACACCATTTCAAACATCGCGAATCTTACATCACTAATACCTGAGCTCATATGTTATAGTTTTTGAAAAAGACCGTGATTTTAGCCAGCCGAATAGATGCCATATGTCATTCCACGAAAACTTGTCTTCTACTATCGTCATCACAATGAACCATCGCGTCATGAATGAGACGTGGAGGTATTTTCTTGTGGCAGGATTCTGCGGCGAACTGTAGTACGGGAACGACTGGTCTGAGATTCTGATAGCTCGCGATGTTTACTATGTTTCTCCTTGCTAGACGAATTTTGATAAGACCATCATACAAATAGGTGGACAAAAGTCAACATCACTTCGCTCGCAAGGAATACCTTATATTGGGTCATCGGAAGCTGGATATGATTTCTCGGGCATACATGTCAGATTCCGCCGAATGCTTGAGATGTACAAGTGATAGTTGCGCACCTCACGCAGCGATGAACATCCACACCATAGCCTTTTCACTTCGTCAAAATTTATGTGCCGTTAGTGCTTATATTCGAGGCCCAGGAACTATAAAGAATCACGTTCTGCTTGTTAGAAGGCCATCGCAACCTCCACACGTAACCTAAGCAAGCAACTTGTCTCCCCAGCAAACACTCAACCATGGAGTTCTAGTATGTAGAGCTCCAGCCTTGCGCAGTGATATACTAATTTTCAAGCAGCACTCTCATCACCCTACTCATACTTCCATTCATCAGCACCTTCACATACCTCCTAGTGAGCACGGATATGACGATCTTAAGTCCTATCTCGGTCAAAGTCTGATTACCGTTCAAAATCGATGCGCTCGGTCTCATCACGCTGCTCGGCGCAGAGGCGATGCGCAAGTCCCTGGCCAACTGGTCTTACTCCCTGGGAACACTTTCCACTCATGACTGGATACATCTTCGCGGACAACTCGGTTGCCGAGTCGGTCCCAGGCTTTATCCTATACAACATCTCCAAGGGTATCATGGCGACAAATTTAAGCTCATGGTCTACGCGTTGGCTGCTCTGTCAGCAGATCAACTCTCCTACCACGGTCTTGAAGATCCGAGATGCCAGCAAGGTCTCTAAGGAGACGAATGTCCTGCATGTTGCTATCGCGGCCTCTGATTTCATCTTGAATGTCGCTTTAGTCGTGCTTCCGGCGCTTCTCTGCGATTGGTATGGCTTCGCCGCTTCACCGCTTCACTAAGCCTTGTTGGCCTGATTGCCGTTCGATTCTGGACTTTGACGGCAAGCCGCAAAGCACTCGATTCAAGTGTTAAGCGTTCAGCTGGAGCTACAAAGCTGAAGTAGATCAGAATGTTTGTCACCATGCCAAACGGTAATGTCGTTACGATCCGGACCACCACGGGCATCGTACAAGAACTGCTTGCTTACCGAAGCTCGACCGCAACCTAAGAAGGCGCATTCAAATTGTGTGCGCTGCCTGCTGGGCGCTTTTCAGCGTCCATACAATCGCGCTGGAAATGGCTTGCCTTGCAATGCAGCTTGTCTTGGTGTCGCTAACATTGGTCTTCTCCATCCCAGCAGATCAGGACTGGTTGAGCAATCATGGCCAAGACAATACCACTCACGCCAGCAACCGCCTTCTTATCAAATAGACTGTTGCAGTTCAACAAAATAGGTCGAAGGCATATGCATTGCTGGAATTGACAGCGGAGGAGGAACAGACCATGATCGACTGGTCCCTGATGCCGAAGCGTCTGAACAGGATTTGATGGACCGCTTACGAGTCCTACAAGGAGGCCGCCGAGAAGGATCCCGCCGCTTTGGAGACTTGGGGCGAACGCATGAAGGCGGCACATCAAGTGTCGGTGGAAGAAAACGTTGTCGAGAGGCAGTAGCTTACTCAAGAGGAATAAGAAGAAGTTGATCACTTGTGGTTGCTTAAAGTTTTCGATCGGAATCGCCCTGAAGCTGGCCAACGGTATTCTCATGGTCGAAGCGTTCTTCCTTCGAGGCCAATGTATTGATGACTTGTCGGTTTGACGGTTCTCAACATTTGCGTAAAACACATGTGGCAACAGACCGATCTAAGACATGGATATTCGTTCTACAAGTGTTGCAATAAGCTATAGTCCCTCCCATTATTTTTCCCGTTGTCAACTTGTCTTCTCCTGATATACTGTTACTTGTGCTTGTCATCGTTCCCTTTATGAGACAACGTGAAATCTTACTTAGCAGTTCCCCTTGCCTCTCCTTCTCTTCCCCTCCCCATCCGCTCTTTGTTCCCTTCTCTCTTGCCTAGGCACGCCCTGTAGTCATAATACCCTGTTCGCCCACAGGATTTTTATTGGCATCAAGTAGAGGATTACATTTCTCCACAGGCCCTTCGCCTTTGTCACACGAGAGAGTCCACATCTGGCAGCTTAGAGTTGGAGCCCACCAGCCTGCAAGACAGTCAGCGTACATGAGTTATGCGTACTCTACCCAGGGCTCTTACCGTTGTACTGAAATCCCGGTGTTACCTGCTGTCGAAAGCTGATTCCTTTTGACTTTGTGTCTGTGTTAGTATTGCCTGTTGACGAAGATACAGCCTCGGAAAATTCCTTGTTGTACCCAACACTAAAAGTAGCCGTGGGACCAGATAACATCCATCCGGCCATTGCCTCGAACGACATCCCTTCACTGTTCGTATAAGTTGTCGACTTTTCGCTAGACACGCTTGAGGCCACGCTAGCCTCAAACTCTACTGACATGTCGCAGCCAATGTCAGATCCACAGGGAAATGAATTACCATCTACAACCTGCTTCCCTGACTTTGTGTAGGTAGGGCCTTCTGGCTTTGCCTGGCACTAACGTTATAGCCATAGATATTAGTTTCCTGTGTGGATGGAGAAGTTTGTCGCAGAATACATACATTCCAGTTAGCACTAGAGGCAGGTCGATTCGCGAATGGATTCTTGTTCTGCCCGCCCGTATTGCGTCGACTCAGCCACTGTGATTTACTCCTTCTACTCCTGCGTGGAGTGTATAGTTGTGGTGAGCTCGTGGGGTCTTTGGATGCGGGCTCGGAGCGCTTCGTTGTAGTACCGCCGGGGAAAGCGCCAATCCTGACACATTCTGCGCCACAGCAAGCTCCAGCGCCAACTCCTATACGCGTCAGTTAGCAGAAGGAAACCGAAGAAAATGGACCAAATTGGACCACATACCTCCGGAGCGGATGGTGGACATGTAACAACCGCCCTTGTTCACTGATAGCCTGATTCGTCCCGAAAGCCCTGGCTCGATGCTGCCTTTGTCGCTGTTGAAGTCGTCGAAGAGGAGAACGCGGCAGTTTGCTGCTGGTTGGTCTATTTTCTAAGTGAACTTGTTAGCCAGCGGGTATTGCTCTTACAAACACATGAATCATCATACCCAGTACACCTTGTAGCCTGGACCAGTCTCTGCTGGCGCATCCCCCATGTTAAAGTCCTTTACCCAAGTGGCATTGTTCCAGGAAGTAACCTCAATTGCCTTACTTTCGTCACACGAGTCACACAACTCCTTGTTGCCATTGCCAACTACACAGGGAACTACGCTTGAGCTTCCCGCGGAGGCGGTAGGGGCTAGAATTAACAGTGCTGTACCGGCAGCTGCCAGGGAAAGAGTGGTAATCAACGTAGTGGCACCTGCTACAACACAGGCTATTGTTGCACGCATGACGAAGTCGGGAGTCTTCGTGGTGTGTATGGAAAAGAAGAGAAGATGTCTTCGCAAGTAAGAGTGAAGCTTAGAAGTCACTAGTTGTAGAATATAGTTGCACCCTTTAACACGGCGGCAGCTGCTTTATATGGAGACTATGGAGCCCAAAGCTCATAGAGATGTGACTATCGTAGCTGCGCTATCAACGTGGCATCTTCCGTCACCGCTGCGGCACCAACCCACGCCGTTTGCGGGTATTTCAGTCCAGACTGCCTTGTTGGTCACGCATGTGTTGCTAACGCGTCGCTGCCAACGTCGGCACAGTTGCGGGCATCAAAGTTCGTGCGGCGTAGTCACGGGAATCATACATTGCGCGGCGTATTCACGGAAATGATACTACGGCGCAGTCGCAGGAAGTGGCGAAGCTGCAAAGAGCGGAACTTTGCAGAACATCGCGCAATGCTAGGCTGTCTTATTCAGCTATGGCCAGCTGCAGATGGGCGCAGTAGTTCTGAAGAATATCATGCGTCGGAATAGTTAAAGGTGACGGCCCGTCATAGTACTCTTCTTCTTACAGCAGTCTGTAACAGATCTGTGAACTTCACTTCTCTCTACGCATAAAATATCCTACTATCAACGGCTTAGCCATGATTCTCCCCTCCACTGCCGCACTGCTCCTCGGCGTTCTCACTAGTCTGGCCGCCTCCACTCCCCTGCGCGAGTCTACTGCGCTCGACCAGCCTTACACAAATACAACAACTCTAGAACGACGAGGAAAAACGACGGATCCTTGGCACTTCTGTAGCAATAAAAATTGGTCCTCGTTTGGTGAGCGTGCTTTCCTGGCAGGCCTTCGTCTTATGGGGAAGACCGACGACCGCCAGATGCGACTCGACAAGGAAGCTCGCGAGCAAATCCCTGATTATTACATGGGAGTGCGAGGAATGTGTGAGAACCTTTGGTGCGGAGGAAATCACAGCAAAGGCAGAGGCGTCGTCTTCTACCTCTGTCTTCACGACACCACACCCGATGGCCCTTACCTCTCAGGAGACCTGGCACAGAAATTTCATGACGGTTTCTACGACTGCAACGGCGAAAGAGAGCCCCAGGACGATCCTGATAACAAATCCTTGGCATTTCACGTATGGGAGGCTGGGTATGACCTTCACGTAGAGGGCGGGTATGACGGAATGAAGTGTCCAGGCGACACCAAGAAAACCCGATTTCGTCGTCCTTCTTCGTTGGACTCGCCTCCTTATACGTAGTTCATTTTTTTGCATGTATCTACCTATATGTAGAATGAGAATACCTCTTCTGTGTACATGATTTATCATAGCCTCTCTACACTCCTACAGTGACACATAACATTATCGTCAAACGAATCTAGGCGAATCACTCTGCTAAGATATCCAAGGCGATAATACTTCTACAGTAAAGAATGCAGTAGCGATAGTCTCCTTATTGAAGAGCGCTGCCACGTCGTGTCCGTAAGATCTAACATCTTTTCGATACGTGGACAGTAGAGCAAAGCCGCAATGTCTAACGTGCCCCCAAAACCTAATACTGTGGCTACGTGACAATAGGTTATCCAGAGATCGACCGCTCGCCGCGTTGGTAAGATACAAAAATTCTTCGAAACAGGCGCAGTTGAGCAAAGCCGACTGCGGCACTGCTGTATATAGGCCCGAACGCCGCGTCAGCATTGAAACGGGCACGGTAGAGTAAGGCAGAATGAGGCACGAATGAAGCACTTATGATTGCAGAGCGACCACTCACTGGATTCCAGGGTTGGCAAGATACAACATCTTTTATGTGGCACGGGAAAGCAACACAGACTACGGGGACTTTCGTATGCACCGCACCGCAGGACAGATGCTATCTGCGGCATCTAGCATACTTTGTCTTGTTGTGATCGTGCCAGTCCTGCAGTTCTTACGCCGTAGGCCACCCACCATGCCGCTCAGTTCACGTGCCTCTTTGTCATAGTTTTAGATGACGGTCACTGTGATATTTGACAGTGAAATCTAACGCTGTTCAGCACGCCGTTACACGTGGCCTTAGGACGGGTAGTGTATAAAGAGCAGAGAGCAAGCTCTTGTAGTGTATGCTCATGCTCCTCAGAACATCTCTTTTCACATCTACCTAGATACAACGAGTGTATCATATCATTCTGTTTATCCCACCGTAACATACCATAGCAACCAATCGTCCTACCAATATGCGCGGAATTCTTCCAGCCATCCTTGGCCTTGTCGCCTTGAGTGGAGCCCAAGCGCGAGCTCTCCCTGGAAATGGTCCAGCCCTTGAGCAGCGAGCTGCTGAACTCGACTACACGCACTTGAGTGACTACGCACTGGACGATGTACGCAACAATGGTTTCGCCCAACGTTCGCCAGCGACAGCCGGCGATCTCCTCGGGGCCGGTGATGAGTCCAAACGCATGCTCGCCGTTCGCGTGGCAGCGCCTCCAGCAGCCCCCAGACCCGCTACACCCCCCAAGCCCAATCCAAACAGCAGACCTCGACTTGGTCAATCTGGCTCCGAGGACGCGCCAGAAGAAGCATTCATGGCCCTTGAGCGCAGTGCCGCCAAGGATACTTCCGATATTGTTAGGGCCTTGCCCTGTCGAGATGCTAAGCGTAGCCTCGAGTACACTAAGCTTGGAAATACATTGAGCGGGCGAATGTCCGGGGATGACAAGGTGTATACACTGTCGGAGTGGATGGATTGTAGAGTCTTCCCAATCCTGCCTTGCTAAACATTTGCTAACTTGGTGCTAGTCTACGATGAAGTTGGCGAATTTATGCAAGTTGTTGCCGCCGAAAGGGGCTATGTGTTGAACAAAAAAATAAAAGTGATCTGGATGGGTGGTATGGCTGGTCTTAAGCTCGGATCTCGTGGTGCTGAAGGGAAGACCGGAGACGCCGATATCTCAATCCCCGATGGCCAAGACGCAGGATTGGTAGACATCTTCTGGGAGGCTACTCGACGCTTTGTCGAAAAAAACACCCAAAAGTTTGAATGGATTAAGGTTAATGGGGAATTGAAGCAGGAGCCAATCAACATCCATTGGGATGAGCTTGCGCATCCGGAAGCCAAGAGCAACCTCGCACGTTACAGCCAAGAAGTTGCAGATACATCGAACTTCGTTACACACCTTTTCGGGGACTGGAGAATGCAGCTGTATAGCAAGATGGCCCGCATCGCTACTCATATAGCCCAAGGACACGGCTTCAAAGAAAAAGATCAACAGGACGCCAAGGTGTTTTACCAGCAAGTCAGGCAGATGCAACAGTACAAGGGCAGAGATCTCTCACTCGCAGACTTCCAGCGGATGGGTAGCTTGCTTGGACCTGCGCATGGAGCAGAACAAGCAGCAGCAAACGTTAGGATGGCCATGAAGGCTGTAACTGGAGACGATATGCCTGGCATTGACCAGGCACTCAAGGACCAGATTAAAGCAAAAGGATGCTAAATTGGCTAGTCACCACGATCTCACACCCTGATCTCTCTCTCCCTTTGGAATTGTCTCGAAATGCTTGCTGGGCAGTATGGGAGAGACAAGTCGTTGGATGGCTCGACTTACATATCTCGACTTATGGAACCGATCTTTGCACACTTCACCGAAAATGCTGTTTACAAACCCCACCGGAAACGCTCTTTACAGACCTCACTGGAAACGCTCTTTACACATCTCTCCGGATACGCTCTTTGTTTTGATTTCGCTTCTTGTTCCTTTATATATATGCGCAAGTAGGTGGATAAGAAGTAGAATAAATCTATCCTACACAAACAAATTCCGCTTACTCCACGCAACATCAGCTACATGAAATCGGCCAACTCGGGGCATTCCGCCACATAGTCCCTCAGAGCAACTACGTTCACTCCATTCTCAGTACTTTCTAGCTTGTAATAATAATGCGGATAGAAGTGAAGGTTGCTGTCACTACGAATTTGTTTCCATCGCGACTCGGCCGATAACGCAAGTAGCCTGATAGCTGAGCCACGACGGTATAGATACATCAACACGAGCGTAGCAAAATGGTACGCTATCTGTGCTGCTTTTTCTATCCACTCGTCTGTTTGTCGAAGCAGCTCGTCTTCCATTTCGTATTGACCTGGCGCCCATAGGAGACGGATCATGCGGAGAGACGGGGCTGTGGCTACAGCGTCGAGCGACTTGTCGAGGCCATAAGGCATTCTTATCGGTAGCGAGCAGTCTAGCACCCGTCCTAGACCCGGCTCGAGGGGTGGATACGCAAAGCAATATAGCTGAGGGCACTGAGCCAGAGTCTCCGGTACTATTTCGGGCCAGCCAGGAACTCCCATATGAATCATGAACGAAGAAATGAGCAGCCTTCTTAGACCGGGATGTCTTTGAAGAGTGTTGCCCTTCCAGTCCATGAAAACGGCGAGGGAAATACTACATTCCAATTCTACTAGGCCAGTGAACGACTGTAGCAGCTCTTCGAGACTGCCTGCCTTGCAGTGGTACCGCAAGTAATCGGTGCGGACGGCCAAAACCCGAAGTGATGTCTTTGTCTGCTGTCGAAGCGCAGAAGCAAGCCCTTGGAGAAACGCGTCTACTTGGCTGCAATACTCGAGTCTGAGTACCGAGAGCGTGTCCAAAGAAAGAGCCTGTACCAATCTATCTTCCACTCCAGACAAATCGATATCAGCAACTACGAGTTGCCGAAGCGTTCGAAACGCCTGGCTGGCGCCCATAGCATGCTGAAGTTGTCCATACAGTGGTACTTTTTGGTCGTTGGGCATCCCCTGCCATCGCCATCCGCAAATCTCAAGGCGATCGAGATGAGGAGCAGATGATACAAGGACATTATTATATGCAGCCTCGTACTTATGAAAAGCCTGGGTATGAGCTCCTGGAGCATTTAGATCTCCAATATATACGCGGAGTGTCGTCACCTGATGCAGAGCCAGCGGCAGCACGTGCTCCAAATCTGTCGTCCATGGGGCTGTATCATCGATGGCGCCCGCAGCTGCAGTCCAGTCCAAGCGCGCTCGAAAGCACGTTAATTCAGCCTGACGGTGGAGAAGCTCAAAGAGTAGCTTTGCAGGTAGCGGATTATCGGCAGCGCCCGTGAACGCGCGTAATTGATTGTCTTCCAGCAAGGGTAGCACGCGCGAAAGCCAGCTACATGAGCCGGCGCTGCTTTCCTGGTTCCACTCGAGTGTCAGACTGCGAACACGGCGAAAACAAGCCTTTTGCTCCTCAGATGGCGAGAGAAGACCGTTCGTAAATGATCCAGTTGAAATCGGCGTGAAACTTGTCCACATATACGGACTCATGAGTCGATTCCACTCCTACAACACAGTCAGTATATAGTGCGCGGGTCATCAAGATCGCATGATTACCTGGCTAATAAGGCGCGCACTGCCTTGATCAGCTTTCAACCGAACATAATCAAAAATATGAAGCTTGAGCTCGGTAGCTAGAGAAGAAAACGTAGGTACATGTGCTACCTGCTCAGGGCTGTCCATGGTCTGAATAAGTTATGTCAATGTAACTACTACGATATATATCGGAAGAGCTGTTAGAACCAGGAAAGCTTCATTGCGTTGCGCATTGATCTACGCCGAAGAAGTTGTGAGGCGTGTACCGCGGCGTGGTTCGCTGACTGCGGCGTAGAACGGCACCAAGCCTGAGGCGTGCGACTATCAGAACCACCATCCTCACCATAAATAGGCTCCCTTATCTCAGGGCTAAGTCGAGTTTCACGCTCCGAGTGAAGCCGCATTAAGAGTGCCCTTGGAATAGAGGAAGACACCTGGTAGTGCTTAGATCGAGTTCCTCATACGGTATTTTGACAAGTATGCTATTCCTGGAGCTTACGTCTTCTTTCTCAGATAGAATGTGCATCTTAGGATTGCCGACAAAAAGACTGAAGTCTCTGGGCTGCATTCGTGGAAGAGGGGTGCGGATCACGTGAAGATGTGATTGGCACTAACCATTTTGGGTCATCACCCCAGAACGCGTCAACATTGGGACAACGCGATGCACTGCTCAACCACGACGTCATGGTAAGTCGGCTCAACTTCGCTCTCTAAGCCAGCGGAATACTAACCAATTTCAGGCGCGTACGCGTGTAGACGACAATGCTTCGAAAAAGCGCCGCGGGCGACCGCCAGGGAGCCGCAAATCTGATGCGCCAAAACCTCTCGTAGCAAAAGAGAAGACAAAGCAGAAGCGAAAGTCACGAGTGGAAGAAGATGACGAGGATGAGTTGTCTGGCCTGTTAGTAGATCAGGCACAGTCATCGCGGCCGCGAAAACGCAAAGCGCACAGCGACCCGGACGAGATGGTCGAAGAGGGCCCCAAGGCGCGCAAGAAGTACATGCAATTGGAGGCAAAGACCAAGCGCATACCACAAGAGCAGATAGATACCTGGCCACAGGTCTCTGCTCAAGTGCTAGAGCAGATTGTCGCCGTCGTACGGGACGCCAAGAAGGATATCGCGAACACGCAACGAGACGAGCGCAAAGTCATCGCAGCCCACAACACGCTGAACCCACTCGTAAAGAAGCTCGCACGTCATTTAGCTGCTTCTCGGATACCCCCGCAGGCTAAAGATATACATTTCAATATTGACAAGCTCACCGAGCGCAATGCCCAAGTGTCGCGGGAGGTCACAACAGCTCGGCATTCGAAACAGCTGCTTACTGAGCAGGTCAGGGTGGCTGAGCATATGCTGGAGAAGGACGAGCAAGTTTTGGAACAGCTGAAGAAGGACACGAAGAAGTGGAGGACCGAGTGGAAGCACCAGGAGAAGCATGGACGGGTAGGCCTGCCATGCCTACCGAATTGAGTAGTGGCTGACAATCAGTAGATCCACCCTCTCCTGCTAGAATCCGAGAAGACCGTGGTCCTTCGCGATGGCCCTGACGACATATGCCTGAGGCCAACGCCACCATTGGATACTGCACTGCTGGCTGCCCCTGATGCCGAGCTAGCTCCTGTGCTCGAACAACTGCAGCGAAGTCTGGAGAACATGCAGGGTAACCATGCCCATGTGGACGGCGTCCATGGCGCACTGAGGGACACGCAGGCAGCGTTGGACGAGATTCTGTTCAGGCACGCCAGCGCACAGCAGTACGCAACACTGTGAATATTGACATGCAGGGTAACCGGCAGCGGGAGTTTAGGTTTGTGATCGGCCGTCTCTTTATGATGGTCATGCATGGCTTGGCGCAGGGTTCCATAGGCTACTGGCAAGCGGTAAACACGATACTGGGTCGGGAGATCAAGGCTGTGCAGGAGTTCGCTGGTTTCAGGTGCCGATCCAATACTTGGGTGCAGTCTTGGAGTTATGATACACACGTGGCGCTGGGCAGGACGAATGAAAGCCTGATGGCGGCATGGCCGACCCGGACTACAGAATCGATCTTGTCTTGTCATCATCTGGCACTCGAATTAGCATACATGACACCGACACAGTGGTTCTCGGAAGAGGTGCATGATTGATATGTCGTGGAGCCCTGCTTGTCTGTGATTGGCTCTAGACGGTCTCGGCACAGCGGCAGCCACGTTCTCTCCACATCGATGTGCATTACATCGTCGAGACAGAAAATGGTGCAAGACTGCAAAGCTCTTGCGTCTGTGGAACCTCTCCATATTATTATTTTGCGTGATATCTCAAGGCGTGTAGTAGAAAGGCAGCTTTCGACAATGACATGTGCAATCGGCTAGTACGGAAAGAGCCTTGCGATGTTCCCCACCGATTTTTCCCGAGGCTAACTAGCCACGCGACCATGAACATTCACTGATGCGCGTGCCTTTGAAACACCATCTCTGCCATCTAATTCTCCACCGTTCCAGGCCTCCTTGTAACACCTAGAGGGCCCCACGGCTGCCAGAACATTGCCTGTTCCGGTGTCACGAAGCGTGCAGTAGATCGTATTGATCTGCGGCTCTCCAAGAAAAGTAACCGGACCAGACCCACCACACATGACGGAAGTCGCGCGGCAGTCAAATGGAGGCCCATCGAGTGAAATGAAGGCTCCAAAGGATGTGGACAACAGCAAAGATGCTCCCTCAACGACTGCGCCCAAACATAGTTCACCCGCACGCGACAAGCGCTCTGCTGCAGACTCTGAAGCACCCACGAAAAGTGCAAAGAAGCGTAGAAAGGTCAATCATGGTATGTCACTCATGTCGTGTACCCAGATACCTTCAGCAGCCCTGCTGACTTGACATTTCCCGTCTAGCGTGCATATATTGTAGACGTTCGGTAAGCCGTCCCCAACATCCAATACATTGCATTATGCTGCGTCCGAAACATCCTGCGATGACTGCTAACATACGTGATTAGCATATGACATGTGATCTGGTAAGTGTGGCTGATATCGTAGCCCTTACGCAAAAGCTGATCATTGCTTGAACTGCTCAGGACCGACCATGTACGCGTTGCGTCAAGCGAAATATTGGCCACCTATGTCACGATGAGCCTCGTGAAGGCGTCAAGAAGTCCAAATCAGACGCAGAAACCACTACGGGAGAGAGCGACACTCCTAAAAATGGCACGCTTAGCTCCGATGCCACAGTAGAGACCCTCCCTCAGCAGCCAGACGCCCCAGATGCAGGGCTCAACCTGGCGCCACCTCCTCTGCTTGATCAAGTTGCCAGCACAGCGTCTGTTACGGAGCCCAATCCCGTATCTGCGCCACAAGTACCATCATTGAACTCTGGTAGCTCGTCGTGTAAGTTACACGTCCCCCCTTCAGCTCCCATTTGAGCTTGTTGCTCACCGTCTTGTAGTATTGAACTACAATGATTTATACTCCTCCACCCAGAACAACTTTCAAGACATGCATCAGTTTCATCCATCCTACATGTTCAACACTACCGAAGTGAGCAACGAGTATAATTTGCTCAACGATTTCCTCAACGGCAACTTCATGGACGACGGAGCTTTTTACGGTGGTGGCGACTTCCACTCCTTGTTCACTGATGCCTCCTTAATGAATCCGATGGGCACTCTCACGAACACTTCCACTTTCGATCCGAACACCTCTAGAAATACGCAACTGTTACCACCCCCCGCCCAGACCGCTAGTGGTCAGACCATTCAGCGGCGGCCTAGCGGAGTCCCATCTGACAAGGCTCGCGAGAGGTACCTCATGACAGCCGCGGACCCTGCCGGCTCTGACAGTCCCGAAGAACGAATGAACAAATTGCTAAAAGCCAAAATGGACGCTGGACTTCTCAAGCCTTTCAACTACGTCAAAGGTTACGCACGGCTCAATCAATACATGGAGCAAAATCTGCAGCACATTTCCAAGGTGCGAGTGCTACGGCAGCTCGACAGGTTCCGTCCCAAGTTCCGAGAGCGCATGGAGAAGTTGACGGACGTTGACCTGGTGCGTATTGAAATGTGGTTCGACAAGAGTTTGATGGAGTATGACCGCGTCTTCGCAAGCATGGCCATACCCGCTTGCTGCTGGCGGCGAACGGGCGAGATTTACAGAGGGAACAAGGAGATGGCAAAACTCATTCATGCTCCCATGTCAAAGCTGCGAGATGTACGTGCCGCATAAATCACAAGCTATAGAGCGTGCTAACGGGTATCAGGGCAACATAGCTCTACACGAGATCATTGCTGAGCCATCTCTGGTGTCATATTGGGAGAAGTTTGGTGCCATAGCTTTCGATCACACACAGAAGGCCATTCTCACCAGCTGCTCGCTGAAGAACCCCGATCCGAACTCATCAGACCCAGAGATCCGATGCTGCTTCTCGTTTACAGTGAAGCGCGATATGTGGAACATGTGAGTCACTTGCATTCTGGATTGGACAGGCTTTCGTACTGACATTTACAGACCGGCATTGATTGTGGGCAACTTCCTCCCGATCACCGAGGCCACATCTGGCCCTCCAACCTCTTCGTAATAGTCATGATAGTCACTACAGACGGTGTAATTGTAGAGTAATGCTTGCTAGGCTAGCACTAGCTCGATGTACAATTGTTGTATGCGATCTTGGGATGTCTTAACAATGGTATGGTGGGCTTTGGCACGGCTGCAGGCGTTGTTTGACTATTTCTTGAGTAGGTATCTGGGCTACTGGTTAACCACTGTCAATCAAATGCTTCCGCTGCCCGTCTTCGTTGTTGAACGTTATTGTAGTATTGCGCCTTCCGCCCCCGTAACGCACGTGAGCGCACCACAGAGGCAGTCGCAACTTGCAAACCTCCTCCACATCCCACTCCTCCTCACTCCCTTTTCTTCGCTCACACAACTCAATGACGCCGTGCAGTGCCGGCAGCAAAGCTTGAACGCGAAAAGAAGCTGAAGTCGATTCTCAGTGGGTGCAGCCCTGGGCCTTCCACATTCGTCACTTACGCGTCACAGCTTTCGGGGCAAATCTCCCCAAACGACTCGAAAAGGATCGCGATGCTTCTCTCGTGGTCGAACTCCAGGCTCAGATCCGCGGGCTACCACTGCTGCCATCCTCGACCCTCACCACGAGACAGGATGAGCTCGACAAACTAGGCACAGAACTTTGGAACCTTTCCACCCGCTTGCGACGCGATGAAACTACAACAAATAGCAAGACGAAATACGATGCGAAGGAGAATGACCGCGCTCTCTGCTTGGTGCGCGCTTTCGCATTTCTTGTGCTTGACTCCGCTGCGGCGCATGCAAAAGGTCGTCCGCGAAAGAGCTGCATTCGTCTCATGAAGGTTGCGCTGAAAGCTGCACGCATGTGCATTACTAGCAAAGAAATTAGTCATGCCACCAAGCTTCTTGAGCGCGCCGCCGAATATCAGGAAGTGCTGGGCAAGGAGGACGACGCAGCGAATGACGAGAGCGAGATGGCGCGTCGCCTGCGCATGGAGTACTTCGCCGTGCGGACTACGCTGGTCAGTGAGGTCTCGTTACGCCCATTATTCCATTCTGACACAAGCTATACCAGGCATGGCGTCAGGATCGCATGGACACAGCAGAGCACATGTATGCCAAGTGCAAGCAGCTCGCCGTTGCACTCACCCCGAGCTCGGCGGAGACCCTTGCAGATCTTCTATACGAGATGGGCAAAGATAGCTTGAGCAAACGCCAGTACGAAGCTGCGACAAGATGGCTTGAGCGCGCATACGATACGCTTGGGGAGCAAGACATGGAGATGTTCAGTCCTGAGGCTAGCGAACTAAGGCTGAGCACCATGCACGGCATTGGTATACATTACTACCACTCTCCAGAATTGATACTGATATTTCCAAAGTGCAGGCATGCGTGAAGTCGAACACCACTGGAGCTCGAGACAAAGCTTGGCAGATGCTGAAGCTCATGGAGACGGTAGGCAAAATGAGAAGGAACTCGGACCCACATTGCTCACTCATACCAGGACTACTCCGACAAGATGTTGGTTTCGCTCCTGAAGATTGAGCTACTCTCCTCAAGCGAGACCTTTGACAGCGTCGAGTTTTATAATGGTGTGCAGCGGACCTGACCTTCTCCACCCACCCATAGCTGACCTTTGTAGTTCTTCTTCGCATGATAAGGACCATTGTTCTCAACGATACAAATTTCAGGACCATCATGCATCATATCCACAAGCTGAAAGAGCATAGGTAAGTTTTGTGGTCCCGTTGAAAGTGTCAACGCTCAATGTGACAGCAATACTACCGCAGGCAAAATCGTTGATGATTTGATCGACATTCGACTCTTCAGAGAAGAGAATCAAACTTGGATCGAAAAGGCGGTCATCACTCGCATCTGGATCGGCACAACGAACAGTCTTGCGGAAAGAATACTCGAAGACACACAAGAACTTCTCGAAATGGTCTTGCAGAAATCAAAGAGCTCTTTCTCCGCACCTGCTACTCATGCGGCACAGACAGTGAGTATTTAGAGCATAAAAAAACTAGTCGTTACTGAGAGTGTCGCGCAGCTGTTGTGGAAGCGAGTCGAAGCAGCATTCAGTCAGGAGCAGTTCGTCATCGCCGAAGCTTGGTGTCGGGTTTGCCTGCACCCAGTCTTTGATAAAGCTGGAGCACAGAACAAGGCTCGAATCTCTAGGTCAGCCGTCTTGAAGCTAGGAGATTAACTGCGACTAACGCACAGTAGAAAGATCATACAATGCGCGCTGTCACGGCAGGATTATGCGGCTGCACGAGAAGCCCACAAGAAGATGTCCGAGAATAGCAGAGACGAGCCAGTCACACGCTATTTAATGTATAAAGCAGGTATTCAGACCCAGGATGTCGAACTTGGTGAGAACCCTGTACGCTACAGCAGGCAGTGATGACATATTGACCACGACAGCTGCGGAGTGCTTGGACCACATATGTCGGAGCTCCGCTAAGGATGCAACCTTGCTCTATGCTTGTGCGATGGAGGCTCAAAGCAATGGCGACAAAAAGCAAGCCATCAACGCCCTCGAGCGCGTCCTTGACAAGTACGACTACAGCGCACCCGCGGGAATTCATCTCCCTGCACTTCTGCGGTACGTCGTTCTGCCGGCTCAGGATGCATGAGGCTAAAAAAAGCAGATGTACGAGCCGGCTTCTTCAGTCGGAGCTCATCAAAGATGGTGCGATTGAACCAAGCGTCATGGAACAACTGTGCAAAGTACTTGAAGGAGGTTAGCTACACGACACAAATGCTACTAATCTAGCTGATGTCTGTTAGCAATAGCACAAGCCAAAGCCTCGAGGCGGCGTCCCAATGACCCAGCGCAGCAACTTTTCACGACAGAAGAGTTTGAGTGGTTTTCCAAGAACTCGTATAACTTGTCCCTCCGATACTGTGCGGATATGTCGCCCCGCCATCTTGTGAGGTTGTTGCACACCTGCTCGGAGGTATGTAATATCCTGACTTGGCATAAATGGAGCACTGACTTGCATGCAAGTTTATCAAAATCCTAAAAGAGAAGAATGGACTGGGATCTTCAGGCGATCTTTGCCTGCGGCTGGTGTTCTGCGAGTTCCTTTCTGCTTGCACCTACACAACGCTAGCCCGAGCAGAAGATAACACGCAAAGCTGTGTGAGTAATCCGCAGAAGTGAAAATGTGGCAATGCTGACTTTGAAAGCTACAATACTATCTCGAGGCTCGCAAGCATAGCCAGGAGTTCCGACGAGCTGCAGCAGAGGGCATCGACAAGCTCGGTGGTTCTGCTCAAGCAGACATCATCTCGAAGCACTTTCAGGTAGTCAAACTGGAGCTTGAAGCAGTACTAAAGCTCGAAAAGTGGGATGAGCTCGACGATCTCTTCGAACAGTGCTGGAAGTACAAGAGCCCAGATGACTACGAGACACTGGCCGATCTCGTTCTCGTCATACACTCGTGCGTTGTGCAGGCGTGTGTGGATGAGAAGTACCAGAGAAGTAGACTAGATGACTTTGAAAGACATTTCGCAAACTAACAAAGCCACAGAGGTACTGTCGGTGCTCGAAAAGATCATTAAGCTCACCTCACACCAAACCGGAACGGACATGACGAAGCTTGCGCGCTGGCTTCGTTGCCTTTTCAGCATTGCGCTTGGTTATGACGAGAAGATCAGCATCAACTGCATAGAGCTTGCTGTTACCGTCGCTACAAAGCACCATGGAGTAAGTTTCCCCTTGCACAAACGTCATCACCGGGCTGCAGTTAAGCCAACCCAGGACCGTCCGATTGCTCAAGCATCTGTCCTGACTACTCCCCCGCTATCCTCTGATGCTGTGAGAGATGAATGCGACTCAGGCTCGGCTGACGATGAGATCAAGGAAACCGATCGTTATCCCGCAACGGAGCTCGAGTGGCTTGCGACGACTGCTTTTAACCACGCGGTCGACTACTACATGCAGGAGAATGACGAGGCATGTACGAAGTGGGCGCAGCATGCGTTTGTGCTTTCGCAGTGGCTTGAGGATGGTGGAGCATTGAGGGACTTGCTCATGGAGAAGTATGCGTCATTGGGGCTAGGGAAGGGACGCGAGTGAAGTGGCAAGAGTACAGGATACCTGCAATACACTGTCTTCGAATACTGGCGCGTACTTTGACTTTGTGAAATGAATTAGCTTTTATCTAAACCACCCATCGCACATCGCTAGACGCAGACGCAGACGTTTTACACACCCCTCCTCCCACCAACCAACTTCATCCCCTGCCTCATCGCCTCGGTCAACTTACCCACAACCAAGTCCTTGATGCCCTTCCCTTCCGGCTTGGGCATGAACCCCAACTCGATGAGATAGCCAACATACACGCCCACGGTATCCTCCGTCACCGCGCCACCCGCACTCCAATCCTGCCCCGTCCACGCCTGATCCTTCCTCAACGCCTCGGCGGCATTCGCATCATCGAGTTCCGGCGCCTTGGTATCCGCGGGCAAATCGCCCGTGACGAAGTGATACAGCGGCAGCAGGGCATTCTCCTCGCGCGTGCCCGACTGATCCGCGACGTAGGTTTCCATGTCCTGCTTCCACTGCGCGTATGGCACCTGGGGCACCGTGTAGCCGAACTTCTCCAGACTGCCGAGGAACTCGTTGAACGTGATGCGCGGATGCGATGTGATTTGCGCGACGCCGAGGGGAGCGACGGGCGGGTTGAAGGACGCGGCGACGACGACGCGCGCGACGTGTGTGACAGGCACCATGTTGACTGTGTTCGCGATGTCCGGGCGCGACCCAATTTGCACGCAGCCCTTGAGCATGCGCACGAGGAAGTCGTCCGTATTCGTCGTGCCCGAGTCTGGATCACCGAGGACGTATCCAGGACGGATAACTGCGCCAGCCAGACCCTTGAGACCCGCTTGACGCGTGAGGTATTCAGCCGCCCATTTGGACTGGCCGTAGCCTGTGCCCAGGCCCTTTCGGGCGCCTTCGAGGTCGTCGGATTCGGGGACGCCGGTGGGGGTGCGGGCGGAGAGGTTGATGAAGTAGTCTGCGTCGAGGACGGAGGTGGAGCTTACGAGGCCGAAGTATTTGGGCTTGCCGACGGCGCACATGGAGAGGGCGGTCATGGTGGAGGAGACGTTGGGGCCGCGCAGGCGCGAGTAGGGAAGGACCCAGTGGACTAGGGCGCCGTTGTGGATGACGACGTCGACGGAGTCGGCGAGCTTGTTCCACGTTTCTGGGCTGAGACCGAAGTCGGGCTTTTCGAGGTCGCCAGTGAGTGTTTCGAGGCGGGAGTCCCAGCTGTCGTCCCAGATGCCGTAAGCCTGGCATGTTTGGCGGACGCGGCCGAGGGCGGAGTCGATGTCTTTGGCGCGGACGAGGGCAGTGACTTTGCCTGGGCGGGAGAGCAGGTCGCGAAGGATGTAGGCGCCGAGGAAACCGGTGGCGCCGGTGAGGAAGGTATGGACTTCTTCGCCTGGCTTGAGAGACTCGCGGGTCTTGAACTCCTTGAGGTGTTTGACGAGATCGCGGGCGTCTGCAGAGTATGCCTCGTCTTCTGGGTCGTCCTCGATTGCTTCTGCAGTATCGAGACGGAGACCGATGGGATCCATGGCTTGATCGATGTTTGCTGAGAAGCCGCGGAGTGTGGGGTACTGGAAGATGGTGGTCATGGGCACGTCGATGTCCTTCCACTCCTGGCGGATCTTGAAGAGGAGTTGTTGGGCAATGATGCTGTGTCCACCAAGATCGAAAAACGAGTCGCTGCCGCTGATACCATCGGCTGTTACACCTCGATCACCAAGGAGCTGTGCCCAAATGTCGGCCATCTTCTTCTCCGTGTCTGTCAGAGCCGCACCGAGCTGTGATGGCCGACGAGCACCGGCGGCGGCGAGCTGTGCAGGCTCTGGGTACGGCAACGCAGGCCGATCAATCTTGCCGTTGGGGTTCAGAGGGAATCGGATGAGCGGGACGATGACGGATGGGACAGCATACGCAGGCAGCTTCTTCTTGAGGTGTTCGCGTACATCATCTCTGAGGTACTTGAAGCGCCTCAGCAGAGTTACCATGCTCGTGTCTTCGGTCGAAGCCGTGTCTTCTGAGCCCCGCTCTTTCAGCCAGTCGTACCATCGCTTCATCTCCGGCACAATGTAGCCTGGTTGTCGTGTCAGCACAGTTCGGTAGATGAGATGTGGCGAAGCACTTACTGACGAGCGTTGGCTCTTCGTAGGCATCGCGCTTGAGAAGAGTCACATTCTCGCGCACGAGCGGATGCGCAGAAAGATGCGAGTCGATCTCACCAAGCTCGATACGGAAGCCTCGAATCTTGACTTGCGAATCGACTCGTCCTGTGCAGTGTACGTTTCCGTCTGGGCCATAGTGACCCAGATCACCAGAGCGGTAGAGTCTGTCGCGTGGACCTTTGTAGAACTCGCGCCATGGTTCGGCCGCTCCTTGTGCCTCAACCTTCTTCTTGTCCTCCTCGATCCACTTGTTCTGGTCAACAAACCAGTTCTCCACGAACTTGGTCGCCGTGAGATCCGGCAGGCCAAGGTACTCTTCGGCGAGACCACCAGCTCGAACGTAGATTTCACCACTCTGGCCAGTCTCGCAGATCTTGTTGCGGTCTTCGCGGTCTACAACCAATAGCTGCACATTGTTCATGCCCCGACCAGCAGGGATGACCTCGCCGATGGTGTCCAAGAAGTCGGGCGCCTCACTGCAGCTGGGCAGCTCGTAGTAACTGACGGCACGCTGTGTCTCTGTGGTGCCGTACATGTTGACGATGCGGACGTTGGGTGCGAGGTTTTGCAGCCTCCTGCAGTCACGCTTGATGAGTAGATCCCCGACAAAGAACGAGTGGTGTAGGCTTGGGAACACTGCCGATGCACCTCCGACCAGAATCTGGCCCATGGCAGGCGTAAGATGGGTGACGGTCGCGCCATACTTGCGCATCCACTCGGCCAGCTTCTCGTGCTGGATGTCTTCCTTGCTAGGTACGAGCAATTGTGCGCCGAGGAACAGTGGTGTGAAGATGTCACGCTGGATAGGGTCGTGGGCGATACCGGAGAGCATGGTGAACTTGTCATTCTCAGACAGTCCAAATGTCTCGGCCATCCAGGGGAAGTAGTGGGTCAGCGAAAAATGCCGCCCTTTCACGCCCTTGGGCTTGCCTTCGGAGCCGGATGTGAAGGACAATGTGGGTGTCGAGTCTGGGCCGACCAGCACTCCGGGCAGCTCTGCCTTGAGCGCCTGTTGCGCATCCAAGACGTCGTTGCCGTCCTTTGCGCCTCCAACCAGGGCTCCGTCATTCTTAAGCTCGAGAGCGGGGACTTCGGTCCTCAGCTGCAGGTTGTCCTTGATGTAGTCGCGCACCTGGTCTGAGAGAGGGCCGGCTTCGCGTGTAGCCTTGTCGATGACTACAAGGGCGCGGGGCTGGGAGACCTCGAGGTAGATGCACTGGCGGTCTGGCGGGTATCTAGCACGTGATTAGTCTGAGTGATTCGATGGTCGATTGGCGTGGGTCGCATACAGAGGGTCGAGGACTGAGAAGGTCGCTCCTGCCGCCAGAACAGCCATGATGGCAACGACCAGGTCCACGCCGCGGTGGGCGAAGATGATGACTACATCGCCTCTCTGTATGCCGCTCTGCACAAAGTGGTGTGCTAATATCGACGTCGCCTCGAAGATGTGCTTGTATGTGAACTTGCGCTCTGGCGTCGTGCTCGTGGCTGTCTCTACCACGCATGCTCGTGCCGGGTGCTTCCGCGCATTGCCGGCAAAGATGTCGTGGATTGGACCTTTGAAGTCAGACCAGTGAAGGTCTGCGGCAGGGTCTGGGATGTCTGTCTTCTGTGCTGGAGCCATTGTCACGAATCGTGGGGTTGTGTCGTAGCCCAGTGGAATTGTTCGCGGGGTCGCGTTGACTGTACGCGTGCGCTTCAACTTTTACAAGTCGGCCACTTCTGGAGTCAATTGAACCTGAAAAGAGTAGATCAGACGGAGACCAGACTTCATGGCCTGCTCACAGTTTCAAGTAAAGAAATGCCTCAAGGTGAGTCAATATAACGGTATGACGCAGCGCTCGAAAATGTTCCCATGCGACTTCGGCGGCATGGCTAGCGAGCCTCAGCCCTACCGTCTGGAGACGGAGACTGGGGTATCCCTGGCGAGCTTCGTACATGTGCCCCATCGGTGCCTGGGACGAGATGCAGCGCGCCACACCTCCCGCCAGGCACTCTCGACGACTTGGGTCTAGCTGTGGGGTTTGACTTGTTCTTGTTGTTTCTTTGAGACGTCGTGTAGTTGGAGACGGGCTCTTCAGCGGATTCCCTTCCAAGCCATCGCACCAGGGGCTACTACGGCAGAGTCGGCTCGCCATAGGCCAATTTCGTCAGCAATTCAGCTGCTGCTTCAATGTCGCCGTAAGACACGCCCGCCTACACTGCTCGCTGTCCTCGCTTTCTCGCAATGCCGATCCAACGCACCATCTTCGGCCGGCCCGTGACGCTGCAGATGCCGCCGGCGCGGTTCCAGGCCATCATCGTGCTTGTTATCTTCATCATCGTCAACGTCAGCTTCTATGGCCCGCCCAAGCGCGAGAATCTGCCCACCTACGAAGACGTCGCCGAGGCCGTCAAGCATCCTCAAGCACACCTGCCGGACATTGGAGACCTCCACGTCCCCGCCATCCCGAAGCCCTTTGGTCCCGCTGCGCATAAGCCGCCCGCGCAGCCGAACAGCACCACCACGAGCTCCTACCGAGCCATTGAGTGGATCACCGACTTCAAATGGCGCAATCCCTTCTCCAACGCCATCGCATACGACGAGAACCGCGCTGTCCTGCCACCGCTGCGAGAACGGCCGCCCATTTACACATACTATGATGCCCCAGGAAAGCAGCCCAAGGCGATATCTGAGGCAGAGCAGAGGCTCATCTTGGCATGGCGGCGTGCGTGGTGGGCTCAGGGCTTCAAGCCGCAGGTCCTGTCCCGCGCCGAGGCCCAAAAGCACCCCCTCTATGAGCTCTTCCAGCGCATGAAGCTGGATGCAAAGGCCGAGACGGAGATTGCGAGGTGGCTGGCATGGGGACACATGAGCGGCGGAGTCCTCGTCAACTGGCTTGCCTTTCCCATGGCCGAGTACGACAACGCCATGCTGAGCTTCCTGCGCCGCGCCGAATATCCCAAGCTGTCTCGCGTACAGACGCTGAACAACGGCGTCTTCTTCGGTGACAAAGCGACGGTCGATGCTGCCTTGAAGAAGGTCGTGAATAACGACCTCTTGAAGAACGTGACAGCGAACAACGAGAAGATCACCCAGCTGGCACGCAGAGAGGGTGGTGCAGTCGTCAACCTACTGACTCCGGCTGACGTCCAGGTCGACAAGAAAGGCCAACGGCATCGCATACTACACCAGCGAGACCATATCTAGCAAGTATGGCACCGTCAACGAGAAGCTGACCAACACCACGCAAGCCGAGGGCCTTGCGCTGCTCGCCACTCTGATCAACTCGCACCTCCACCTCACTTTCCAGGAGCTGCACCCAGAAGGCGTTGCCATTGCCAAACCTCTGCCCGAACACACGACAGCCCTCATGTTCGAGGCAGCCCAAATTGGCCGGAACCTCACCCAGTGCCCCACATCGCCAATGCCCAAGTCCTGCCCACCTAATCGACCCAAGTGTACACCCTGCGATGCAAACAAGCCCATGAAGCTGCAAGAGTTTCCCGAGTTCGTCAACACCACCAAATTCTTCACCATCGGCACCGTTCCGCACCCATACACCATGACCTCGCTGCACTATACGCGTGACACCATCAACGCCGACATCCTGCGCACCATCGCCGCTCGCGATCTCTGGATCAAGGAGCTGACAAAGAAGTCCATCGGAGAGAAGAACACCGAGGAATTCCGCCTCGTGCAGTTCAAGGAGCTTGTCGCAGCAGCCCCCGCGCACACCCTCTGGCTCACAGCCGAGCGCGTCACCCAGCACGATCTCGACTGGATCTTCGGTTTTGATCTACCTCAAACCGCGTCTCCAACCAAAGAGCCCAGCTCGCCCAGCGACGATTCACAGCTCATCATCTTCCACGCGACCCGGCCCACCAAAGCCCATCAAAGGCCAAGAAACACCCGAGGATCAGTGGATCAAGAAGGAAGAGATCCGTCTCGGTAAGGCACGCGATGCGCTGAAGAGCAAGGACAAGCGCATGAAGACGGTTGTGGGTGAGGTGGAGCAGTGGAACCTTGCGGACACGGAGGCATGGAAGTTTGCGCGGGCCTACTCTGCGCGACGCAGGATGGAGAGGAAGGTGTGGGAAGAGGAAGAGGGCAAGTTTGCCGGAAGCGAAAAGAAAGCTGGTCTGAGGTAGGTTATGATGTAGAGACCCATTGGCATTGACGTTTTGGCGTTTTGGTCTAGCATACAGGTGTGTATTATAGAGCTTGTTTGATGAGCAGCTAATGCGTATATACCCGATCGACTATCAATCATGTTCGAGCGCTATGCGGTGAAGATTGAGAATAAGCCATCTTCGCGTAGACGATCACAACTTGTTGCCCCTATGCCCCCACCAAGTTCGTGCCATGTAGACCACAGCCAGGCATCGGTCTCACGACGCGGCTGTAATACGTCTCGGTGAGCAGTGTGAGGCTGCGAGAGCCCCAAATAGGCAAGGCGCGACGTGGTTGCCTGCATGGTGCTTCTGTACACTTTGCCAAGCACAAGTATCTATATCCGACTCTGCCTAGAGCTCTCTCGTTCCGCTCTCGCTCTATCTAAAGGTCATACACGCCCCAAAATGAGCTTCGGGTGAGTGGCCTTTCACCAAACGTCGGGCCAATCATTAAGCGAACCACTTTACACTTGCGGCGCAACAATCTTCCACATTTGGTACCTAGGAAACGCACGCTCCAGATTTTGTGAATAGCCTCAAAAAGGAAAAGGAGCCGCCGTTTGTAGCGCTACGGTCGCGTCACGAGGCCTTGGCCTGCACATACAAAAGTCTCCTCTCCGAGGCCTTAAACGCTCCACACCAAGACAACGGCTGCTTGTCTGCCCAACCACCTCACTCACAAGAAGCTCAACAGACACTCGGATACGTTTGTCCAAACTCAAGAAAGCAAGCTCAGCAAACGACATGGCGGAGACGGAGAAGGGTTGCGTGATCTGTGGCGGCGAGGAGAAGGACGGCGAACTGCTCATTGCAGCTCCCTGCGGTCAGCACTGGGTGTGCCCAGATGACATTTCAAGCTTTTTCGAGCGCGCTACGCAGAACGAGAGCCTCTTTCCACCGAAGTGCTGCGGCCAGATGTTCATGCTCCAAGAGTATGAAGAGTACGTTCCGTTTGATATTGCTTGGGCATATCAAGTCAAGGAGCAGGGCGAGTACGCCATCCTCGCAAAGTAAGTTGGCCCATCATAACTACTGAAATCTGAACTGACTGTCACCAGGTTCCGCGTGTACTGTGGCAACCCAGCTTGCGCAAAGTTCTTGCATCCATCGACACACGTGACCGACCAGCCAACCAACATCACATACGCCATCTGCGAGGACGATTCATGTGGCAAGTTGTCCTGCATCGCCTGCAAGAACATTCTCGCCGAGGGCACCAACAACCACGTCTGCAAGAAGGACGAGAACGAGGAGAAGTTCCAGAAACTCGCGACCGAGAACGGCTACCAGAACTGCAGCCAATGCAGCGCCGTGGTCGAGCTGATGGAAGCTTGCAACCACGTCACGTAAGATTATTGCAACCCACCGTTTTCTTTCTCGCTAAGACTAACATACTCAGATGCTCCTGCGGCTACGACTTCTGCTACCTCTGCGGCAAAGAGTGGGTCGGCCTCCACGGCTGCCCTCACTACGGCCAAGCCACCTTCGACACCGAAGGCTACAACCAAGACGGCTACCATCGCGATTCCAGCCTCAACCGCGAGGGCCTTACCCGCCGTCAGGAGATGGCGCGGCGCCGCGGCGAAGACCCCGATGATGAGGACGACGACGAAACCGACCCTGAGCTGGAAGACGAGGAGTGGGAGGTCATGCAGCACATCACGCCCGAGCAGCGCATGGCTGTCAACATCCTCCATGGCGCGGCGCGCGAAGACGCGCTGGATAATCTACGCATCCAGCTGTTCGAGAGCCAGGGAATTACATTCGGCACGGATCCTGGACCGATGGAGATTCTCACCGAGCGGCAACTAGACATTGTCGAGGCGGTTATGCAGGAGATCCACGCCGCGCACGATCCGCTCCTCAACCCGTTGCTCAACCGCCTGAGCAACGAGGCTGCGACAATGGACGACGCGACTGTCGTGAGCATCTACCGCCCGATCGCAGACCTGTATGTCCGGCATATGTCTCCTGCCAACGCCCGGCAAATCATCGACTTCATCCCCGTACTCAACGACGCGCAAATCGCAAACCTAGCGCTCATTCTGGGCTTGCGTCTCACCCAAGAAGCCGCCGGGGCGTTCGCGGAGTATCTCTTAGAGCAGCTTCTCGCGGCCCAGCCTGAAGAAGCTGCGCCCCTTACCGCTGAGCAACAACTCGTCCTCGACCAAGTCCTCCAGGAACTTGAAGATGCAGACATGCCGCTCCTCCCCCCGCTGCTCAACCGCCTCACCAGCGAAACCATGGACGCGCTGACATCCACACAAGTCCTCTCGCGCATCGCCGAACTGCACATCCAACACCTCCCCACTCCCCTCGTGGGACAAATGGCATCGCTCCTCGCCGCGCTCACCGCGCCGCAGATCGCGCAGCTTGGAGCGCGCCTCGCGCCGGACCTGGCTGCAGACCGAGTTGCGGAGTTTGTGGGGCATTACACGCGGTGGCTTGGTGAGGCTGCTTCGAACGCTACGGGCGATGTGAATGCTGTGTTGGATGAAGGTGATGTCTTGGATGAAGGGACTGGTCCGGACATGAACAATCTGTCCATCGAACGGCTCATCGAACGGGTCAAGGAAAGCACGCCTGCGGAAGCTACATATACCGCCGATGCTGGCGGGGAGACTCGTTCGAGGCTGTCGGATGAGTGGGATGATGATGATTTGTAAGGCGATATTGAAGGTTTGAAAAGTGAAACTAGAGAACGTGGGCGGCTTTTTTTTTCCCGATCATCTAGTTCAGCTCCTACTACATAGACTCGAGCGCGGAAGTTTGGATATCCAAGAAATAACATGCCCAAATGCATGGCACATGCTATAGTTTCTTTCTTTCTTTCTGTCGCTGCACATGCTCGAAGCAGTGTCTTGATGGCATGAGCTCACTGCGTGCAAGAGTATGCTTTGTCCATCTCCTTCTCAAGGATAGACCGCTGGCATGACTTGACCGCCGCCCACGACCTCAAGAAGCGATATGCAACTCCAGGAATCATATTTCTGGCGGCAGTCCTGCTGTTGGTCCTGCGTCGAAAGACCTCAAGGGCTTCCTAGACCCTTCATTCCCGGTGACGATCCCCGAGGTGATTCATGCACAATCATTAGATTCACATGACCATATCTTCCTTGCAGGAATCAGACGAGTAGCCTTTCCCGAGACTGCGTTGATGTCAAGAGGCGAAAAGGTCGTCTAGGTGATGGTCTTGAGGTGGAGGGGTGGACCTGGATGTTGGCTTCACCAGGAAGAGCAGGTGCTTCAAGAGCCGAATAGCAATGTGGGGAGTTTAGTTCGTGGTGACGATCTTGGTGCCGACTCGTCGCGAGACTCGCAATCGAGCTAAGAGTAATGTGGGAAGTTTAGTTCCTGGTGTCGATCTTGAAGTGATTTTAATGCGGTGGAGGCGGGAAGGCTAGGCCGAGTGTATGGCATCCCTTCCTTGTAGAGATTGGGCTTGTGGCGTGGTACTCCCAGCGTGACCTGACACTGCCACGAATTCAAGAGCCGACGGGGATATCGGAAGTTTGTTCCTGGTGTCGATCCTGAGGTGTTTTGATGCGTTGGAGGCGGCAAGGCTAAGCCATCTCTTCCCTGTAGAGACCGGACTTGTGGCGTGGTACTCCAAGCGTGACTTGACACTGCCACGACCTCAAGAGCCGAGAATATCCTGCGGAATGTGTTCCTAGTGGCGATCCTGAGGTGAAAGGTGGGAAGGGGAAGCTGTATGTATGCCACCTCTTCCCTGGGGAGATCGGGCTTGTGGCATGATACTTGGTGCCTCATTTGGCGTGACCATGTCCGAGGTCCTGCTGAAGTCGTTCGGAATACTTCTGGTTCTGCTGAAGATGTCCAGTATACCATTTCCCTGGATTATTACCCCAGCAATCAGATCCTTTACCAGTTTGAGGAATTCAACTCCAGGTCTCCTGGTCAACAGTTTAATCAAGACTCGGTGCAACTTCGCGGTCTTGCTGCTTATTAATAGTTACACCGGCTTATAGTGCATTGATGATAAGCGATGTAAGTATTGCTGACACGCGTCAGTTGCGTTTGTTGAGTGCGTGTAGGTTACTTGGTGGCTGTAGATCGGCCCTGGGATAGAGTGGAAGGCGCGTCGGGTTGGTGCCAGTGTTTCGATGCATTGCGGAAAAGAGGTGTTTGTGGCAGGGAGTTGCTTGTGGTCTTGTGTTCATGCGTAGGAAGTATCTTACCGAAGGTTTGTTATATGGAAAGGTTGATTTGTGGATAGCGTGGACGCAAAGCACTTGCGGAGCGACTTGTACGTCGTATAGAGTAGGCAGACCCCACCTTCTTACCTGTCTTTGTTGATGTCTTGTTGAGTCAACAAGTTTGGTCATGCTGGGTTGACTTGTTTCTCATGCATCACGTAGCATAGGGAGCCCTGGCTTTGTTTGTAATGCGCGAGGTGTTGCACGTCCTGAACGCTGCAGTTCGTCGGGGAACTGGCAACATGTTTCGAAATTATCTGCCGGGTCGTGGAGCCATCTGGCGGGCCAGTACCGATTATCTGCAATATGGTTGCGCTGTTATGATCTCTGGGCAGGACCAGGGTAGATGCATGAGCGAGAATGAGAACGAGAGCACCCGCTGCGCCTCTACAGCGCGTGCTGTCGATGAGACCTTGGCTGCTTTCAAGAAATGTCGTTCGATGCTTGACGTCTTCTGACCGATGCTGTGGAATGGAACTCTATATATTAGTGCCTTGGCGGCTGAGACTACAGTGTGGTTCTTGCCGTAGCTTAACATCGTCTTTCACACCTACATGCATGCTCCACTGCATTATACAATCGGCTAGCAAGCGAAATATCGAGGTTACAATGGATCAAATCGAACAGGAGGCGACGGGTGTTGTGCTCGCTATGGCTTGACGGAGATTTTCGTCGGCTCGAGGTGATCGCTGCACTCCTACGCACATCTCTGTAAGCGACAATCCTGCGCACACCAGCTACGTGCGAATGTGCTCAAGCAACCGCTCAAAAGCTCCATCCAGCATTCTCCGCAATCCAATGCTGAAGACATGGCCAATCGGAGGCCACACCTGGATCTCGCGCCGCAGTAGCTGGGGTTGTAAGCCGAGTATGGATCCTACTACGTCGCCGGTCCCTTGCATGGGTACCTTCACCGTTTCTACGCCACGTGCCCTGGGCGTCACATCTGGGATCGGCCGTGGTGGGAACGACTGCTGTTGGAGAGCGGCGTTATTTGTTGGGGCAGCCGCCTGGTAATAGCCGAGATGATGCCTGTCGAACAACAAAGTATGAGACGATGGAGAAACTCGTTGTACGACAGGCACCCGCACCTCCCAACATTACGCCTCACGGACTTCCCCATGACCTGTACTGAAGACGCCCTTCTTCCGCGATTACCGAATTGCGGGGTTAATCCTGCTATGTACAGTGCGCATAGGCAAGCTGTGGGGAAAGCTCACAACCTGCTGGTGGTGGCAGGGGTTGAAAGCGAAGCAACGCGCGCATCCTGACACTCGGTAATTCCAAACTGATTCAATGACAATAGTGGCAGCTGGGGCTGTGAACCATCAACGCCATAACCCTGGCTGCCGTTTCAGTGTAAGCTTCGCCGATCCCTGCGTGGCAACGGGGGCACTGATGGTTCATGTTCTCGGCCTGGACAGCAAAACCAGATTAATTTCTCCTTGCAGCCGGACTAAAAAGAGGACCCCTCTTTCCGAGTAGGATTCAAATACAATATCCTGGCACCAAGATTGCTTGTCATCAGACCATGCCCTCTGGTCTTCCCATCAACACAACATCATCCACGACACAATGACGCCAAACTACTTCCGCAGCTCTCTCCTCGCCCTCGAGCTCTTTGCCGTTCTCGCACAATGTGCAAACCTCAACTATTCTGGAGAAGCAATAACGACGCGCTTCTGGGACTGCTGTAAACCTTCATGCGCGTGGAACGGAAAAGCAGACGTCAACAAGCCGGTCCTGTCGTGTACTGCCGACAACAAAGTAACAGACATGTCTGCTGGCACCGCCTGCGGAACTGGTGGCACAGCTTATCAATGCTCTAACCAGCAACCCTGGGCAGTCAACGATACACTTTCATATGGTTTCGCTGGTGTCTTTATCCAGCCCAGCCTTACGGGCGGTGGTATTGAGGGCGCTTGGTGCTGCGCGTGTTACCAGTTGGACTTTACCAGTGATCCACTTCGAGGAAAAAGCCTCATCGTTCAAGCATCCAACACAGCCTACGATGTGACCACTACAAACCGTTTCTCACTCGCAGTAAGTGCCCAGCAATGTCCATGCCACCATTCAAAAGCTGAGCTCTGTAGATACCGGGTGGCAACACCACTTCACAGAATGCTTGCGCCTCGCAATTTGGTGTGAGCCAGAGTGTGTTTGGCCAGAACAACCAAGGTGTCAACAAAAAGGAGGATTGTGATAATCTGCCAGAGCCACTGAAGGAGGGCTGCAAGTGGCGCTTTGATTGGTTCAAAGACGCAGCATTTCCCACGTACGCATATTGTCGCCATACACAAGCATCAAACTAACATCGCATAGCGCGAATTTCAAGCGCGTTGTATGTCCTGCAGACCTCGCAAGCCGATCAGGATGCGCCCGTAATGACGACAAAGCACTCGCAGCCGGAAAGACGACGTCCGCAGGAATGAGCCTCATGCCAGCCTCATCGAGCATGACAGTTTTCGCCGCAATGATTTTAGGCCTACTATCCATATAGCATCTGTGACGAAGCAGTATGCTGGACCCGATCCGATCGGCGCAGCCTCCCATCCTCGTCCCTCAGGGCCGCTCCGTTATTTGATAGGACGGCCCCGCCCTCTTTCATGCATGGACACCCAGCAATCAACCACCTGCACCCGCACGGCTCCATAATATGGCTGGTCAACGCGCGTTAATCTCTCCGCAATCATACGCTACCGGAGCGTCCGCTGCGGCATATGATCTCTATTGATATTTCATGACCGGATATCTTGCCTTCCCCCTTACAGCGCTGTCTTTGAGGTCTGCGATCAGGCAAAATGTATTTTATTATGACGAATCAACGTCCCACATAGCAGGCGTTGGGCGGCGCCATGGTTTCGTGTTGCCATTTACGGCGCTTTTACGTTATGGCAGCATGTCATGTTTCTTCCATTATCAATTGTTTTACGAACCACTCTCATGACACTCGCTTGGTCTGAGAATACGCGGAAGAGTAGTTTGGTGGGTCTGTTTCTCAACGACGCACGTTGCAGTACCAGTGGGGTTCTCGCTAGTGAAACGCGGAGTCCGCAACCTCCGTAGCTACGAAAAGAGCAATTCACTCCTATCACCATCAACTGACCGTCACAACCAACACATGTCGCGCCGAATCCTGATTTCAAAAGCTCTAACCCTTCATCAAACCTTGCTAAGCCATCCAGCGTACCACAAGGCTTCGGTCAGGTCCGCCCCGCATAAGCCCGAGCCTTCGTGTTGGCTTTGCAAGGGCACCTGAACATAGAAGCAATATCTGAAAACTTTCCTTGTTAGCCACCGCAGCTATCCGCTGCACTCCACAATGTCGTTGTCGAGTTCATTTAGGCAAATGAATCCCTACCAGCACAGATACCGATTGTCTGGAAAACGAGGGCCAGCATTCCCTGCCAAGGACACTTTATCCATATCACCCGCGCAACCGATTGGGATTTGGCAGGGCTTAGATTTTACCAATCAGGGAATATGCGATCGTAGACGGGCAAATTACCAGCAAGGCGAGAGCCACATCCCTGATATCCGGACAGGGTGTCACACGAGGTGCGGTGGGAATATTGGTGGAGCCGGATACTGGAGGCGGGACATCCGCGACAAGACAAGACCAACATGGCGTGTTCCTCTAACAAGTGACACTTCCACCTTACTATTCGAGCAGTGACATGTGCAAATGCGTCGCAACAGCCATGGCATTGACAAGTCACTTTGCAAAACCTTCAAATCCTGTTGAGTCTTATGGTGCGGAACAAGTACACCTGCTAAAGTTCAGTAGTGGCCGGATATATTCATGCCTTGTAATTATCGCCGTGGTAGAATGAAGGACATGTTGCCCTTCTGAGCAATAGCTCGGTGGCGCACCAGCGACATCGACACACCATCTACCTGCAGGATCGGTGGACTTGTGGAATCCAGAACAACTGGTTGGCTGAGAAGAGGTACTCGCGCCGAATTCTTCCATGCGCACGCAATGGCTAAGCATCCACAAGTCATTCGCACTCTTGCTATAACGGCCGTGTTATGGCGTTCTGCAGACTGCATCTGATTACCCCAGACTTGTACCGCAGCTGCATGCTCCGCATCTTAACGGACGCATGACTATATCTGGTCTTGGCTACATACTTCGCTACCCAGCTTCTTCACTCGGACGATCCGAGGTGTATTTACCCCAGATCCGTGCGTCAGGACCGTGCGGAGTGCGGGCCTGTTACGCCGGATGGGTGTGGTTGGCTGTCTGGCTGTGAGAGTGCAGTTTCCTCAGGTAGAAAGACGCATGGATGGAGTGATTATTGCGTATGTCGTGGAACGTGCAGCCTTGGATGCGATACTCGAGATCGATCTGGGGAAGTGCTTGAGTCGTGTAAGAGTTCAGTAGTAGGAAGGTCAAAGCGCAATTTGCGAGAGGAAGATCACAGCATTGGCTCAGAACATTGATAGGAAAGAGTGAAGTCAAGGCACACCAAGCATTGGGTATGAGCTAATTAGCGTTGGACTTGGTGATCAACGACGATCAATTGAAGATCAAATCACATCAACAGGCCATGGTCGTGAAGAATGAACCAAAATATTGCACATTGTACTTCTTTATTGAAATGAACTATTTATGGCGTGGGTATATGTCATCATCGTCCTCGATGCCTCGTAACCGGCACGGAGCCACTGGTGTGATCGGGCTTGTTGTGAGTGTCGCACTTGAGAACCTCCTACTGCTCCGTGTCGGACTGTTTGGAACACTATCCAGATCCATACTCTTCCACCTCATATCCATCTCCTTACTCTCCACGAGAGTCGGCGCAGATCCCAGACTGCCGACACTTCGCACCGTCTCTAGCACGTCACCCTTCTCGCAGGAATCGGACGATTGGAAGCGATCAAGGCTATTTCGTCTTGATCGAGGAAAATACGATGTCTTCTTTCGGTAATCGCCCGTCGTGACGAGTCGCGGTGGAAAGTTGGGTCGTTGTGACTGTTGAAGTGGAGTTCGTATGTCTCCTGTGGAGCGCGATGCCAGGCTCGAGGAAAAATCATCCTGAATGCACGGGAAGACCTTCTTGACGACGCGACTGCTTCGTGAGACCCGTGAGAGCCGATTGGTGTTACTGGAACTCGAAGTATCCCATTGACAATTCCCCTGAAGCTCGCGTTCTCGTTCCAGCGGAGTAGCCTTGGTACGAAAATTGAATACCCATCGCGTGACCAGTCCGCGCAGTATAGGAATGTTGGCGACAATGATGGCGACGTTGTTTTCGATGTGGTTGATGCAGAAGTCGATCGGGTATGTCCAGTCGGGCTTGTAAAGGAAGTACAAACGGTCGCGGTAGGTGAGGTAGATCTTTGCAGCTCCGATAGAGGTCACACCCAAACTGCAAGTGAAGACTGCCAATACCACAAGACGCGATCGCAAGCGCGCGCTCATCATTCTTCGGACGATGATGAATGGAATGGGCAGGATCAAGAGATCTGTAAGGAGGTTGGCGCATGTAGCCCAGAGGAGCATTTCGCCCATCTTGTGGCGGCCCATGCAACGGAGGTTGCCAAAGGTTCGCGGCTTCCATGTATTGCCAGTCTGTGGTGGACAAACGAAAATGTAGAGAAACCAGGGAATCAGTGCGCTCCCAATGGTGAAGATCAGAATGGCGTAGAGAACACGCTTGAGCCATTCAATGACGGAGCCGGCCCGCAGAAGAAGGAGAATAATGGATGCTTTGACCAGAGGCAATATTGGGAGGTTGAGAAGATTGAAAGACATGTTGACCTTGTCTTGTTAGCGCAGTGTCTACGACAATGCAGACGGGAGTACTTACTGCGTAGTACTCGTCGTAGTTCGGCTCCAGTTCATTCCATGGCACCTCCCATACATGTATGCCTACATGCCACATCTTGACATCTGAATAGTGTTAGCAACTGAGTGCTGCATGTACCACATGAGCACTGACGTTTGTGTGATGGTCCAATGAGCGCAATCGACAACAGTAGTGGTACGATAATGAGCCAGTCATCTTCAAATGTGGTCAGTTTCTATGCAGTCAAGTTGATTCAAAGCACTTACCCCAGCTCAACCTCAGGTTCAGCTTTCTTCGTGTATATATCCTCAGGACGACGAAAATGGCGGCCAATGCTGGAGTTCCGTAGATGACCCCCAGGCAGGTGAGTTGTAGAGGATAGGTAGGCATCTCGACGACTTGCTATCCGCTTCGGCCAGAAATCGCGAAAACCACATCGCGCGCCTCTTGAGGGTGGGCGCTTCTCATATACTACAGGAGTTGGCAGGGTTGGGGTGCAGCTACCCTGGCTCGGTGTGCCAGGCACGGACAGGCGGGCCCTTCAGGGCGCCCCCCCGCGATGTGTATATTAACACCTGCTGGGACGAATAGAGCATCACGTTCTTGCCATTCGCTGCAGCGGGCTGATCATCCGTTTTCGTGCCCTCACGTGGAAGTGCTTATAGACCATCCTATACTACCTCTTACCCGACATATGTTGCCATCTCGTGATGGATATTATGTCGTCGGCTATAGCAAGCAAGACCGACACCCTCTCTTTCGATCCCGTTTTGCCTCATCAAACCTCAGACACAGTAGTAGCACCGCGCCGGACGGTGGATCTACTTCCGGCGCCTCAGGACCGCTACTCTTTCCTATGAGGGCTGTCAGGCACGGCATTGGTGGCTGTGAGTGTGGGGAATGTGGGCGACGTGCACGTCTCGCCAAAGTCGCATGAGCCCAGCGAACATCGTTTCGCCAGACCAGAACGGAAGGCTGCGTGGCACATTTCTCTTCCCTGAGCCTGGACAGCAATTACGGTAGCCGATCCCTGTCCCAACGAACATCTGGCGGCCGCTTAAAGGCCAACAGCCAATAGTGTGCTACCAGCAGAATCAATTTGAGGCGACGGACAACAGGCGCCGTAGCACAGGCAAAAAGAGCCAACAGCATGTGACGACACGACAAGTCGAGTCGCTCAGCCTCAGGACTCGATGGAGCGGCCGTTGAGACGACGTGGAAATTCCAGGATCCATAGTGTCGCTTGGTGGGTGTGGACACATGCGGGTTACGTTTCGAGAACCATACGCCTGTGCGGCGCCATGCGACACATGTTCTTAGGAAGCAACACATTGGATGGACAATGTCCAGATCGGTGTCGCGTTTCAGGTGGTCACACGGCGTGATTCCGATGGCTCGCAAAAGCAAGGCAATGCCGGCGCCTAGACCTCATCTCCCAACATCATCGTAGGAGAAAAAAAACGGACCGCGCTCAGCTACCGACACCCGACATTGATTAAGTTATATTGCAGAAGTCTGGGGAAGATGCTGCGTTTGTGAGGTCATAGGTCTGGATGTAGAACTAGGCGCCTTGGTGCGCCGAGAAGTCCACAGGCTAGATTCCTTAAAAGTTTGGCATATGTTTGGTAATATGCATAATTACTGCCGAGCCCGAAAGCCTGAATCGTCGAGAAACTGCGGATGTGTAGGGTGCTCAGGCCTCCGACCGAACATGTCGCATGCGGTAGCGATGACACAGCGCGCTTCGAGAGCGGCCCGCCGGCCGTTTTGTGAAGCTCGGGGACGACGATCAAGTCTTTTTCGTCTGCCGTTGACGACACGCGATTTTTCCTGCGCACACGAGGAGCTGTAACTGGCGCTGATGGAGTTCTGCCTCGAAGCTGTGGGGCAGCGATCTCTCGAACGTTGTTGCACTTAAAAATATCTTCCGCCCGCCGAGACGCCGAATGCTCATAGGTAAGCTTGGGGGTACGTGGCTGTCCTAGCCACAATAGTAAAAATGAAAGGCGCGAGTGTGAAAGTGTTGCGACAGATGAAGCAAGAGTGGAATCGATTAAAAGAGCTATTCCTTCCCAGCCACAACCGTAAACAACACCTTCATTGGCGTCACGCGTGGAGACGCTTGGAGAGAACTCGTTGAGAGACGAGCTAGTTAAATCCGGCGACTCCGTCTCAAGGCCTATCACTGTGTCCAGGCTCCTGGGAAGGACCGGTCTCCTAGGCAGAGAACATCCGTACTAAAGGTTCCTGGAAATCGTTCTCAGCCAAGCAGTGGGAACCAGCTACCCCCCACGAAGTTCATCAACATGCGAAGTAAAATCACCGAACTCCGGAGAACGTGCGGATCCTCCCGTTGATCAAGGGCACTTTGCCTTGTCACGCCACTCCAAATGGTCACCCTTCTCGGACCTGTCGATCAGTAACGTGCTTAACTGGTGGTGAAAATTTGTTGAGTGAAGGGCGAAGTAACGTAGTCTGTGCTCGTTGCTATCACGACACCTCGCCAAAGACTGGAACTGTCCCGTTTAGCTTTGCATCTCATAGACCATGTTCGAGACCATTGGGACAGCCGTTTCTATCACATGAAATCAGTAATAACGTTGGTAATACTACCACGAAGCGCGGTATTGATCAAGTGGAGTAAACTCGGAGCTGATGCCGCGGCCAACTTGGCAATCGCCTGGAGTAACGAACTTTATTCACGGCTATCCGATTTGGGCAAACCGTGCTGTCGTTGATGCTCGTGGCAGAACAGCAATTTGCGTCTTGTAACGCTAAGTGCGACGCATCAAGCTAGATGAACAAATGTCTTGACTTCAAGGACTCTTTACACATCATCAGGAAAAGCTTCAAGGACCAAATGGCTCAGTGTATTAGCGGGAATAACTCAATGACCTTGTAACCAGAATGTGATATGCTATTGTTATCAGAAAGTGCAGGTACCACTAGCAGTGTAGCAGGTATTGATGGGCGCTTTGTTTGATTCGTGTAGCTTATGCAGGTTTTCGTCCCATCATATATGTCGCAATCATGAAAGGTATACCTGAAACTCAAAGTTAGCATTCATTAGGAAAGTGAAATCTAATCATCTTTCTTACCAACAGATGCACCAGCAGCACCACCTTCAAGCGCCGATCTTCCAATACTAACGGGTAACACTCCCCTTCTGGCAGCAAATATCCCAGCGGCAGCTCCAGCACCCATACCTCCCATCGTCACCCAATCTGTCTTGACTTCTCCCTTGTTCCGTAGTATTCTCCACGATCGGTCTTGCCATTCAATATCTTCCCGGCCTCGCATACGTCCCCATGTCATGAATGCGCCGACTGCTGAGCCTGCTATAAAAGCACGTCCTGATGATTGAAGAGTTCGTGCAACCAAGGCAGACATGTTGACAGGTAGTCCGCGGACGCGACTTCCTATGAGTGTGATCGGAATGCGAGCCAGTGAGAAGAAGGTGAAGGTCATTGCCGATGCGCGCATTACGTGGATGTAGAGGATGGCTTGTGCATTCGGTTGGTCTTCCGCATATGCTGCTTGCGGGTACAGAGAGTCCATTCTTGCGATGCGCTGTATCAGAATGGTTAAAGGTCAAATGTGTCGGAGTTGGATGTCGCAAACTTAAACTGCGATACCAGAAGCTTTTGAAATATTTTCTGTCTGTATGGAAAGTATGAGGCGAGGAGAGACTTTGGACGGTCTTCTACGCGTTCTTAAGAAGCTGCATCTGGGCGTCTTTCGTATCGGTCAGCCGCTGCCTGAATTAAGAACTTTTGCAACAATTCGGACTCGCGAGAGAGTACACGCCGTGTATTGAGAAATTGTTTCGTCCGACCGCAACCGGTATACCCATCAAAAACGCGTGTCCACCAATGGCACGGAGCTCATTGCAAGCGGAATTACGCCTTGCGACCTCAGGCCTCCGGCGCTAGAACATAAGATGTCCCGACCACCGACCTGACAGCGTACATAAGCAAGAAGCGTCTAGGACACGAGGATGGGAAGCATGTTGATCTTGAAGGCGGAGAGAGAAGGACTTGATTCGGACAAGGTTGATGAGGTTGCACTGAGAGAAAAGAAGAGTTACTTGGCAGACTCACATAGGCTTGGAAGCGGCATGAACTCATCACAATTGGTTAACCTGAATACGCATACTCGGATCATGTGTCAAGTCATGAGAGTAGATTGCTTCTTCAGAGTACTTGACCAGGTTCTTCAGGTATCCGACTGACGATATTTACTCCTTGGCTGCGAAAGCAGGATGCATTGCAATTTCGTGGCGACTGCGTCAAGAACCATGGGGATTAAAGCACAGCATCTGGTTGGATTATCGTTGTTGCAAATGGGCCGAATATTGTGAAGTCCAAGGATACAAACCTGAATGCTGAAGATGGACGGCAGAGTGTATCACGCGCATCCAGTTTCACAGCCCTGCCTGCAATGACGTCACCCCATCTTTGGGTGAGGTTAAAAAACTCCAGCCGTTACCACATGGTCAATTCACTTTGCCATCACCTAGCTCGAACTTAATCTGATCTTCAAACTCAAACTCAAAGACTCTGAGACTGCATAGCCTTGGCACTATTACCTACCGATCAGACAGCCGCTAGCTACGACGATGCCTATCGGCCAGCAAGATTCCGGCGCCACGGCGGGCGCGAAGTTTGTCACCTCTACGGTCGGTAACACTCTCGGTGGCGTTACCAACACAGTTGGTGGAGTAGGTAAGTCGCTGATGTGCGATTCGAGTTTGTGAGACAACATTGACGTAGCATTGTACTTAGTTGGTGCTCTTGGACGAGGTGTCGGAGAGACACTTGAGGGCGCAACTGGCAGTGCTGGACGTCCTATTGCCAATGGATTGAAAGATGCAACAAACGGAATCGAGAAGGGGGCGAATGATGTGGCTGGAGGAGTGAAGAGAGCTGGGGAGTGGAAGTCTTGATTTTGCGGATGAAAGAGAGGAATACTGGACGTGAAGACATAGGAGTGACAAATAATGATACTACATTGTTCCCAAGATGACCAACATGGAGCGATTACAAGAGTTATTTTTGTTCTGTTGAGTTGGCTACAATCCACTTATGAAAGAGACAGTGAAGGTTCATCCTTCGCAGCGGGACGCACTCCGGCGCTTGACCAAGTGCGTCCTATGTGCAGCAGCTCAGCATCCTGGTGGTGTAGTTCAACGAAAGCCGTGCGTCTGGTCTTTGTGTGAAAATGGTGCAGACGCGATTACGGAACACAAATCATGTGTTCATGAAAAAGTCACGATCTGCTCAAAAGCTGGCCGAGGGAAACCGCACTATCGATAGCATGAGCACCGACCGCGGCCATGATCTCCGGCACCCAGGGCCATATTTATTGCTTATTTAGGTTCAAAGTCCCTGCAGTGAATACCAATTGGCCGGATGCGCGTCCTGGGTAGGGGACTTGAAAGTCACTAGAGCATATCGCGATTGCCGAGCCACGAAGCCATGAATAACTCAACACCAAGTGTTTCATACCATGTTGGCGCAGCTCGTTCGTGAAAGTGGAGTCGTGGTGCTTTCGTCATGGTGGACTTGAAGTAGACGATGAGATGTCCCAAGAACGCATTCCAGTGGCGACAAGTTCCCGTGAGCAGAGCATTGGCCTGGTCATCAACAAAAGGTGTCTCAAGCCGAGCGCATCTTCAGCAAAAGGACTCAGATGAGAAAAATGAAGAAGCTCGGTAGTCCATTGAAGCTATGGAAGTATGCATGACAACGGCACGAGCGATCACCGATGGTGGCAGGGGTGACGTCAAGCTTCCTTCGCAATTCCGCGCGTCGTTTTGGTGGCACTCCACATCCCTTCCTATCGCAACTCAACGCCCCGGAAAAGCGGCCAAGCATCGTTCGATCCTGAACGGCATTATGTCCATCTGAAGATCCACCAAATACCCCTCCTTCGCAAGCTGCATGCGATTTGTCTCTGCGACAACCACAATGTACTCACTCAGAAATGAGCAGCTTGGAGTCTGACACACGACCATGTCGTGTCCCTAGCAACCGCTTGCACCAGCTGCCAGCCTCTTCAACCTTTTTTAGACGGTTCCAGCGAACGGTGCAATCGCGGACGATTGCCCGCGGCTGAACCATCAGCCACATTTCCCCACAGATGCGCGCTAGGCTAGGCAAGCATCCGAACTCAATTGGGACGCAAGTCTTGACATCACTGGAGACTTTTACACCTCAACACCGATCCCGCCTCGCCCATCCCTGCCTTTTCAATAGTCAAATTGGGCGAGCTACTTCCACACCATAAAGTACCCGCAGATCAGCAATAGCCATTAACGAATAGCCGGTCAGCTTACATGCGAGAGTAACCTCCCAGCGCTGCCGTCGAACGCAAGAAGGTCCATCCATGCTGCATGATGATTAACCTAGGCGAACGCTAGATTCCTCACGGGGATGATGGGCTTTGTGCATGCAGGCTTTTGGATGTCTTAGACTCTGCGTGCCGCGAGGCTTCCTGAGCTGGTACATGTGCGACGTCAATGATGCTACCGATCTGGCACAGGCCAGCAGCAACCATCTGCTCGTGCGCTCATGGGTACACAAACTCAAACGTTAACCGTAAATCTGGGGATGGCTGAAGCGTTACGAGAGCCAAGTTCAATCAAGAGGCGGGAACAGCGTTTGTCGAAGTGCATTCCAAGAGGCGGTGGCGGACAAAGGAGGGGTCGGGTGAATTAATTGTCCAATGAGACTGATCAGGATCCACAGATGGTTAGTCGTTTGCAGCGACGCTCGCGGACTCGGTCAGCCAGCATCGAATTTTGTAGCGGGAGGCGTCAGACTAGGCAGGTGACGGTCTTGCATTGACGCGTGCAGTTAATCACTACTGGCTTGGCTGGAGAGCTGACCTGCGCGTTGCTACTGGACTACTCCACGCCATCCATGGTCGATCCGCGGTAGCATGTTCGATGAGGTAGTTTCATGGACTAAGACAATGGCTGAGTGTTGCTATTTAGCTGTCTTGCCTTTCCACTCCTACCGTTCCCATCTTGTCTCATACTCCCCGTTGTCGTGGTTACTAGTCTTGTCAAAGTTCGCGCAATAATAACTATAAGACTGATACTTCGTTCATCAGTCCATCCTTCGTTATCACCTTCTGCTGTTTAGCAAATACACACCCGTTATCTCGTCATCAGTCCGACAGATCTTCTAAACATGAAGTCCTTCGCTGTTATTGCCGTTGCTGCTACGGCGGTTATGGCTCAGAGCCCCCCAGCCGGTTGCCAGGCTTCAAGGAGTGGAACCTTCAACATCCAGACTGTCAATGTCACCTCCTCAGGCAAGCGTGATCTTTCTCGCCGGCAGCTTGCTGGTGCCTTGACACTGTCCCTCAAGGACGGTATTGTCAAGGACCAGGCCGGTCGCCAGGGATACATTGCTAGCAACTACCAGTAAGTTGTTCACTGGGCGTCATTTAATCGATTCTCTAACGCTATTTAGGTTCCAATTCGACGCCCCTCTCCAGGCTGGCGCTCGTGAGTCTACTGGTTTCTCAGTCTGCGGCAACGGCTCCCTCGCTCTCTCTGCCAACGGCCGTGCTGCCCCAGCAGTTTTCTACCAGTGCTTGTCCGGTGACTTCTACAACCTGTACAGCCAGAGCACTGGTGCACAGTGCATCCCCATTTACATCAACGCTGTCAACTCCGCTGGTGGCAGCGGTGCATCCCAGATCAGCGATGGCCAGCCCCAGGTCACTCAGCCACCTGTCGTTTCCCAGATCTCTGATGGCCAGCCCCAAGCTTCCAAGCCTGCCGTCATCTCTCAGATCTCCGATGGTCAGCCTCAAGCTGGCACTCCCAAGCCGTCTCCCGGTCCTGTCGTTTCTCAGATCTCTGATGGTCAGCCCCAAGCTGGTACCCCCAAGCCATCTGCCGGTCCCGTCGTTTCTCAGATCCCAGATGGTCAGCCCCAGGCGCCAAAGCCCGCTGGCCCCGTCGTCTCTCAGATCCCAGATGGCCAGCCCCAGGCACCTAAGCCCGTTGGGCCCATCGTCTCGCAGATCTCTGATGGTCAGCCCCAGGCTCCCGTTGCCACCGCCAACGCCACTGTCTCCCGCCCAGCTCCATCTCAGTTCACTGGCGCTGCCGCCACCAACAACGCCGTTGTTGGCGCGTTCGCCGCCGGTCTCTTCGGTCTCATGGCCATGTTGTAAACATATGGCGATGGAAGATGTTGTAATTAGCGTTTTGCCCTCGCATTATCACTGGGCTGAGAAGGCTTAAGCCGTATAATGAAGGATATGGGTGGAGGATTTCCTTGCAACACTCTCTAATGATGGCATGTAGTCACGAACACTCCTTGGATATGTATATAATACTGGCATACTACGGTGGTCTGGTGTATACCAGCATGAGGCAAACGCTTGCTTCGACATTGTTATATCGCATAGGTTTAGGTAGTCAGGCGAATTTAATGTTAAATGAAGCTGAACGAGCACGAATATCAAGGCCACTTGCATTTTCACACCGATGTAATTTTCACCATCATATTTGATTTTGTGTCTGTCCGGTGGGAGCCTGGCGATACCGGTGAGCAACACACACTGACGTACTGAAGCCGTCTGACATCCCGCGCCCCAGCGCCAGCATCGTATTCTCCAAGCCCGGCTGAGTCGATTTCCTCCTCGGAGGCACTCAATACCCCGCTCGAAGATTGATGCACAACCCAAGTGTTTGATGCGCCACAATGAAGTTATGCCGGGATGTTGCTGGGATGATGTGCATAGAGGAACGATCATCCTTACAATTGATGGCTCGGTAGCATTATAAACGCCACAATGTTTTGTGACTGTTGTACCGCATGATCAAGTGCAAATGCAGCAGCAGAGAGTGTAGCTTTGACAGGATGCCCAGGTAGAGTGAGACCTGGGGAGTCATTTTCTCTAAGTAAAGTTTGTAACGAACTCTCGACCTTTGTTTCTATGTTCATCATTACATCTCCATTGTGACAATCCCTTGTCCTGAAAAGCTTGGAGGCTGACATTCGTGAAAGGTGATGGATCCAGCACGTGACATGAGCGCACGTGTCAGCTCGGCTGTTTGCCCAGATCCCTGTCGACAAGACCGCCGCCTCGACCTCCGAACATCTTCCCTCTACAGCTTACCGCTCACGAAACCTCAACAAACTGCAAAGCGTAATCCCAATAAAGTAATCTTCTTTCGAATACCAGAAGTCAACCTGCAATCATGTGGATTCTCGATTGGTAAGTACAGCTGCTCTGAGCTATACAGGACTATGTCATTAACCTTGCGACAGGTGTAAGTTCAGGCCGCTCTTTACGTACTTTATCACCCCCTTTGTATGCCTCGCGCGCCCGATCCGAACCGAGATCTGAGATGCCGATGGTGTCGCAATGTCGAGAAAGCCCTTGTTATTACTTGGAGAGGCTGCGATGCCAATTGAACATTGACGTCGGCCTCGTCGGATCACAAGCCTTACAACATGACCCATCACTTGGGCGCTGTAAAGCTGGCTGCACGAATGGGAACAACATAAATGAAGGATACAGGCTGACCTTATGACAGTTTGGGATGTTCTCTCCTCGCTTGGTCTGATGAACAAGGTAAATACAACTGGGTCAGAAAGTTGATGAGCGGTGCTGATGCAATGCAAATAGCATGCCAAGCTCCTTTTCCTCGGACTGCAAGTATACTCTCTCCACAAAGACTGAGCACAAATGCTAACTAATTCGCAGTGACAATGCTGGAAAGACCACGTATGGACTCTGGGCCAAATTGCTAGGCACCAGCTAACGGACCGAAGGCTTCTTCACATGCTCAAGAACGACCGTGTTGCCGTTCTGTAAGTGTGACATGATTTGAATCACCTAGCAGTTATTAACAATGTCCCAGCCAGCCAACTCTCCACCCTACCTCAGAGGAGCTCTCGATAGGCAACGTCAAGTTCACAACCTTCGATCTCGGAGGTCACGCACAAGCCCGACGACTGTGGCGCGACTACTGTCAGTACCTCTGCAACCATACATCACACATGGCCATAATCTAACACCTGTCTCTACACAGTCCCCGAAGTGTCCGGTATCGTCTTCCTCGTCGACGCAAAAGACCACGAGCGCCTCAACGAGTCCAAGGCCGAGCTCGACGCTCTTCTGGCCATGGAGGAGCTTAAGAACACCCCCTTCGTCATCCTCGGCAACAAGATCGATCACCCCGAGGCTGTATCGGAGGACCAGCTCCGCGCGACTCTGGGCTTGTACCAGACTACTGGCAAGGGCAAGGTGCCGCTTGAGGGCATCCGACCCATTGAGGTCTTCATGTGCAGTGTTGTCATGAGGCAGGGATACGGAGAGGGTATCAGGTGGTTGAGCCAGTATGTCTAGAGCACTTTGCACGCTTTGGTCTGGACATGCGAGCTGCGAAGTGGGTGCGAAAATGGCAGTTGATGCAGCAACGATGTACGATTGTCTTACGCACCCTAGATGTTCCGTCACTGGCGTCGGCGTTGGCAAGGGATAATTAACATATTGCATACGAGAAACTTGGGACTTGTGACACATGTGATGCTTTCACGAATTCATTACTCTTACAGTGCAGCAAATTCTAGCAAGCTGCCACTAAGCACAGCTCCCAAAAAAACTCTAAACAGCCCTCATGCGAATTTCCAAAGAACGCCGTGCAATGCTTTGTTATGTGTTCTCCTACTCGTCGTACTCGGCCTCCCTGACGCCACAAAAGTCCGTGCCGAAGCACGCATCCAACGCATACCACGTCCTCCAATACAAGCTCGCTTTGTCAAAGTCAAAGCTCCCGTCGTCCTTGCGCGGTACCTGGTCGCCAATGATGCCCTGGCTGCTGCCAATCACCCACCCAATGACTGGCACCGCGGCCACCGTCCGTTGCCAGCGCGGCTGTGAAGGGAGGAACGCCTTTTCTTGCGGGAGGAAGACGGCAGGCTTGACGTTTGCGCCTTTAAGACGGAGCGTTGCGCGTGCGGAGCGGGGACCAAGCGCTGTCGTTGTCGTTGTCGTTGTGGAAGAGGTCTGTGGTTGGGATTGCGGTGTCGGGGCTAGTTCTTGTTCCTCTGGGAAGGCGCCGCTTGCGCGGAACAGAGGCTCGGTTGTTGAGCGGGCGAAGGGTGCGATGATGGGGGCGGTTGCTGTTGCCGAGGACGCTGTGATAGAGGAACCGCGAGCACCCAGTGTGCCTGAGGACAGGGTGTTAGGTGAAGCGGTTTGAGACATTGCGCCACCGACATTGGCGCGTATTGCGCGGTCGCCGCCGGTTGGGCCTGTTCCTCGGTATGGTTCTGCGAAGACGGTGTAGCCCTGGATGTTGTGCGGGCTGTAGTGGCATGCGCGCTCTGCTGCTTCTGCGCTGTCAAATGTGACTTTTATCCAGCTGTCTCCGCCAACATACTGCATGATCTTCCGTAATGCTGATTTGTCCAATGTACGTATACTCGATGCGCGCATGGTGCTGGTTGGGTTGAATGACAAGCCGGTTTTGGAATTCCATGGCTCGCGGTCGTACTCTTCGTATATCAAACCGCCTGATACCTTCTCAAAGTGCGATATCGCCGCCCATTGCACATCTGAGGCGTAGCCGTATAGTATGACTTCCTTCGGCTCCTTGGCTGATGTGTTCGCTGATGCGCCGGCTTGGAAAGAAACAGATAGACCACCGGCGTCTATGAGGTTTGGCGCTGATGCTGACGGTGGTAGAGCAGCGACCGTACCCGAAGCTGCGCGAGTTGAGCGTTGGTTGCTCTCTGTCTTGAATGACCCAAAGATATCGTCAATCATTTTCTGGTTGTCGCGTTGCGCTGAATCGAGTGCGCTGTTCAAAGTAGGTGTTTTCGCTCGTGACGTTCCGCGCTTGCGTGCTTTTCCAAAGGGACCCTTTTCTTCTGGTACACGGCGTTGGTTCTTGTCTGAACTGTAGGTGTCCATGTTAGCAAATGCGCGCATCTTGTAGCGAGGTTGAGGTGCAAAGTGGAAATCCATTGTGTACTGGAGGCTTTGTTTGGAAGTCGGAAGTATTCGCAATGGTCGTATGTATGGGTCCAGTGACTGTATCATGCAACCACAGTGCGGACCGGATACATTCACTCAGGGCTGCCACTTACTCCGCGAACTCATATGCCCAGGGCAATCTTCTTCCCGTCGAATCGAACGCGCGTTCCGCTTCAGGCACGGCGTGGACCTGCATTATCACTAGTTGTCGTCTCGACGCGCTTCTCGAGTGGTGTGTAGGGCGACAAAGGTCTTCGAGAGTCGATTGTTTATGGTGTTGATGCGCTCCAGAAACACAAAGAGTTAGGCCCGAGCAACAGTCCGCGGCAAAGCCACACTAGTGGCCAATGCGCTTCTTGACTGCGCCACAACCTGTGCTTCTAGGACGCAAATGCACCATCCCATTTGCAGCACCTTGCATGCGTCTGTAACTCTGCTGCCTGGAACCGCGATATAAGAGCTAATGGATCTGGCGCTCACACCTGTCAAAATCCGTGGACGCAAACGAACACATCCGGCATCACTTCTCACCGCGAAACTTCAATCTTCACAACTAGCAGATGTTAAACGCCTACGAAAAATCAAGAAGCAGAAAGACAAATCAGACGCCATGTCAACGCCGACACTTCAAGGCCTGCCGCCCGAATTGCTCGAGATGATATTCCTGCGTAGCATGAGTCTTGCCCTACCACAATGCAGCCCAGATCTCGGACGCAAGCTATCTTCGAACAAAATGTACATGGACTTTACAATGAACGCATTCTTCCACACCGTCGATCACAAGACAAACCACCGGGACCGCATCAAAACATCTGATCCAAAGCTACAATCCGATCTGCTCAACTGCCGCTTCTTCACCTTTCCCTTCTTTCTCAAATACGTGGACCACGCACACACCACCATGGTCAATCTGCGCGGCAAAGCATGGGCAAACGCCAGCGTCGAAGTCCCCGGCGTCCGAGAATTCGATGGCTTGTGGCCGTTCCAATTCACCAAAATCCCATATCTGAGTTTCGCAGAGGGCTTCTTCGTTCCTGAGAAACTTCTGCGCGGGCCGTGGACAAAGGACAAGGCGTCGCTGTTGTATGTCCTCGTGTCGCTGAACGGCGAGATCGACTGGGCAGGCAGCTTGAGTGGAGAGACGGCGAAGAAGGGCATCAGAGAGGCGGTGAGAGAGGGGGATGAGTACGCGGTTGCTGCGCTGGCAGTGCTCTTGGGCGTGTCGAAAGCGCTGACGACGGATATGTTGCGGTTCGCGGTTATAGAGTGTGAGTGCAGCGTCAATATTCTGCGGCACCTGCTCTTCAATGCGCAGATTTTGGCGAGGGATACAACGAGAGACACGCTGAACTTCCTTGATCCGAGGCTGTGGGCTTGGGCGGATGAGCATGACGACAGAGTTGTGCTTAAAGATATGCTGCGGAAAGCCGATGCTTTTGATCTGGAGTTTTACTTTGAGGAAGATGCGGATTGGAGAAAGATTGTACCGTTTCCGTACGGTGGGAGCAAGTTTGACACTAGGACGGCATTCTCTGATATCGTGAGAGAGTTGTTGATCAACTTGTACCGTAACCATGGACGCAAGATCACAACGCGTAGAGGGAGACGAGCCCACACAGACACAGGGGCGATAGAAGTTGAGTAAAGTCACAATGGAGAAAGTTGAACAGTGTAACAAAGCACATGTAATTGAGTAACTATTTGACATACTTGACTTGTTTGTGAGGCTTACCCAACCCTTGGTTCCTTTAATGGCATCATCGCACCATGAAGCAAGCTCACATGCTGAGGCTGTGCGACGTATTTGATCTACAAGCTTGTCAGTGACAGTTCGCAAAGCTTCGTGTGTCTAACAAGGATGGTTGTGGTGTTCTTCCTCAGTGATCTTGGTGTGTACATGACGTAAATCATACCCGGAGGTCATTTACTATCTAGGCATGATGGTTTTAATCATCGGAAGGGGGGAGCGGGCTGCGGTAGCGGACTGTGACTTACCAAGCATGAGGATCTGTGCACTGAACTGGGTCAGTGTGCAGTAAGAGTGATGTCTAGCTTTGTAATGTCAGTGAAAATTCTGACGAGTGTTTCTGAAGTCAAGGGCCGACTCGTGATGAAGCTCAGAATATGTAAGAAATGAAATGTCACCGTATCAACACCGTTACGACACCCCGGCGAGGGTGTCCGGCATTGAACTCAATCGCAAATTACGTCATCATTGGATGATGTTGGAGTAGGGAGGAGAGGAAGAGACTTACAGTTGAAGGTTGTGGGCCAGGTCGCGGCTGTTTGTTAGTGATGGCATGCAGTAGGGCTCAAATCAGAGCAGATCAAGGCGGAGCGTCGCGCATCCTAAGAAGAGGTGCGCGCGTGTGCTCACGTGCTGTCAATGAAATAAGCAGGCAATTGCAGCGTCGATAAAGGCGTGGTCATTGTTGTTGATGTTGTAGGGAAGAGATGGTAGGAACGCAAAGTCGCGAGGAAGTCGCGAACTTTTCAAGCTCGACTCGCTAAGCTAGTGCGCACGGACCCGGCACCGTGGCACCGACCGCACTGAATTTCGTTCTTCCCGAATCGACCTCCAACATCCGACACGACAACATCACCGATTCCTATTTCCGACCAGTACGCACTCGATACTGCATACACACTCTTTGCACAACCTAACAATTAATTACAGCACATACCGACGAAATGGGTGACGCCAACATCACAACGAGCGCCTGGAGGCTGGTCGAGGTTGGCCGTGTGGTCCTCTTCAACGAAGGCCAGTACGAGGGCCGGTTAGCCGTCGTCGTCGAGATCATCGACCACAAGCGCGTACGAAAGCCCCGAGAATTGGTTGTTGGACAGGGACTTACAGAGACATAGGTGCTTGTCGACGGTCCCTCCGAGAAGGCCCCCGTCGCCCGCCAGGAGATCGCGCTTGCAAAGCTTTCTCTCACCCCCATCGTCATCCCCAAGCTTCCCCGCGCCAGCGGTGTCGGCCACGTAGCAAAGAAGTGGGAGGAGCACAAGGTCCAGGAGAAGTTCGACGAGAGCGCATGGGCCAAGAAGCGCGCGGCGATGCAGAAGAGGCGGGGCTTGAACGACTTTGAGCGATTCAAGGTCATGAAGATGAGGAAGCAGGTATGTTGCTTGCTGGCATTGTGGTTGCCGGACATGTTCTGGTGGACTGCAACGCAACACAATCTATGCTCGGAAGACATGGGAACTAACATGATATACAGGCCCGCTACGAGGTCCAGAAGACCTTTGCTAAAATCCGCGCCAGCGCCAAGGCATAAGTTCTTTAGTTGCTGTCGGGAGACACGGTGTGGTGGCGGTCGCTGCATGCAAGGGGATGGCGAGGCATGATGTGCATTTTCATGAGCATTCGAGGGCGACCCTAGGCATTCAAAAATTCAAGACCTGGAATTCGGGCGAATTAGTCCAATGACTGGCACGGAGCAATTCGGATGGGATGGTTCACTCGGCTCTCGCATGCGTCCACATGTAGCAAGAGAGCTAAATCAACACTTTCATGAAACCACAAACCACAAACTAGAGCTGCCAGAATGATACCCTTGTAATGACCAAACTGCCCAGGCTCTGTGACTGTGCATGTGAAGGCTGCGCATGGTGAAAGTCGTCATTCGCAGCTGCCTCGCTAAAGCTAGAGCGCCCACCACTAAATTCTGGCTTGGCACTCCACCCCCAACTTATCGAGCTGCAGCACCACCACCGTGAAGCGTCAACCACACCCGCCAACATGTCCAACCCACGCATTGAAGAGCTCCCCGACGAGCCCGAGAAGAAGAACGTCCAGATCGAGGAGGATGAGTCCAGCGACGAGTCCGAGGGCGAGGAGGGCGAGGCCAACATCCCCGCGGGCGCCTCGGTCGCTGTCCACTCTCGCAACGAGAAGAAGGCTCGCAAGGCCATCGCCAAGCTCGGACTGAAGCACATTGACGGCATCACTCGCGTCACTCTCCGCCGACCGAAGAACGTGAGTGCATAGGAAATAATGGGTGGAGAGACCGCGGGCACACACAGCCGCAGAGCTTTGCCATGTTGAAGAATATGGACTGACACAATGTAGATCCTCTTCGTGATCAACCAGCCCGATGTCTACAAGTCCCCCTCAAGCAACACCTGGATGTAAGCTTGCCCCGCCTCAATGGCACAAAATCACCAACTGACCCCGCACCAGCATCTTCGGTGAGGCCAAGATCGAGGACTTGAACTCCCAGGCCCAGGCTTCCGCTGCCCAGCAGCTCGCCCAGGCTGAGGCCGCTTCCCACGACCACTCTGGCCACGACCACGACCATGACCACAAGGGCAAGGGCAAGGCCGTCGAGGACAAGAAGGACGACGAGGAAGATGAGGAGGAGGAGGAAGAGGACGACGAGGAGGTCGACGACTCTGGTCTCGAGGCCAAGGACATTGAGCTTGTCATGCAGCAGGCCAGTGTCTCGCGGAAGAAGGCCGTCAAGGCGCTCAAGGAGAACGACAATGATATTGTCAACTCCATCATGGCCCTCTCGATATAGTCACATGCAACCTACGAGGTGCAGGAACACATGGCTGTCTGAGCAGCGCGCAGACTTAGAGTCCCGCTTACTCACCTAAAGAGACATAAAATCAATCTTCGGAAATCATTTGCCAAGACCAGTGTTTACATCGAGTTATGAGTGATGCCAATTTTTTTTGTGTCTATTGTTGCGGCGTTCGTCACACGTCATTAATTAACTACCTTTCTCGTTACACGCTCATATCATAGCTACGTTGTGTCAATCTCACCTGGGCACGTCGATGGGAATGGGCGGCTTACATAAGGCAGCGAACCCTTTGGCCGGTCTTGGCGAAGCGGCAGCCGGATCTCAACTTTCATGCCCAGTGAGCAACTCCCATCCCCACAACCCCATCACATCCATCACAATGGCCGTTGGAGTACGTTCAGCCCCCTTTCCTGCGCTCTCGGAAGCTCCGTAAAGCTCAATTGCCGCTTCCGCGACGCCTACCCGCCCGCAATGGCACCCCCATTTACAGCTCAAGAAAACTAACATCAACCCTCTTATAGCGCAGCGCTGCTCTCAAGCTCGACTGGACAAAGATCGGCACGCAGCTGGGCCTTAAAGGCAACACTGCTGCCGCTCTCCAATCCTTCAAGAAGCGCAACGACGATGCGCGCCGCAAAGTGACGGTCCTCTCCGAGCAGGCGCAAACCGTCGACTTCCAGCACTACCGCAGCATCCTCAAGAACCAGGCCATCGTCGACGACATCGAGAAGCAATTCAGCGCTTTCAAGCCCCAGACCTACGACGTGAGCAGGCAGATCAAGGCGATTGAGGCCTTTGAGGCACAGGCTCTCCAGAGCGCCGAGCAGACCAAGAGCGTCGTGGACAAGGAGCTGAGCGATTTGGAGAAGACCCTGAAGAACATTGAGGAAGCCAGGCCATTCTCCGACTTGACTGTGGTGCGTACACATTGGGAACGCTCGAGATGGAGATGGCGATGGATGCTAATGGACCCCACAGGACGAGGTTGCGGCTGCTCAGCCCGACATCGACAAGCGCACCGAGCAGCTCGTTTCCAAGGGCCGCTGGGCCGTCCCTGGCTACAAGGCAAGTCATGCGCGATGGAACCGAGAAATTGGGATTGATGCTAACACCCGCACAGGAGAAGTTCGGCGACCTTTCCGTCCTCTAAGCATCTCTTTTCATATAGCCAAACCATGCCCTGTCTGGGTTGTATTACCACATATTGTGAATAGTTCCCGGAATGCAAGCATAGAGTTCGATGTTCACAGCGATGCTTTTTGCATCAGCCCCGGTCTTTGGTCAGTTGACGCCATGCTATAGCGATACAGCAACTCTTTTCACTTCAGCCTGTCCAGAGAGTGCCTGTGCCAATAATTTGATTTCCATGGTAACGAAGAGGATTGTTTCTCGAGAAAATCACTACTAACAAAGGCACATGACATGCAAGGTGCCCGATGATGCTTTAAACAGCACAGAGTATTTCGATTGATCAACGGCCAGGTTTGAGGAGCGCATGACAGCCACAAGGTCTATCGATCACCGCCTCAGAGCTGCAGCATGTCTCAAGCACCAAGAGAACTCAGAAACAACCTTAACTTCAGCTCCCACGGGCCTGCTCTGAAACATGCGGCTGTCATCTCGAACTTGGCGGCCTCTGTCACGATGATTGGATTTCTTTTCACTTGTCTACCGCAAGTAGTAGGAGCTCCGTCACAGTCTGATGAAAGAAAGCCAGCTCGAATAAGCATACTTCGTTAGCTGGTGATCAAGAAATGCTTGGTATGATAGCGACGAATCTTTACCAATCATTGAGTATCTACGACAGTGAGATGACAAGCTGCAGTGCCTCGAGTCTGACTGGGATGGCGCTTAGGTGGTCATAGGTGCCTGCGCTCGTATCTGACCTGTGGCTGCTGACGATCCTTCTTCAGCCTCATCTGCGGACGAACGTGTGATACGTTATACGGTATACGGAGGATCAAGGCGTCAGAAACTACGGGAATTTATGTGCTAATCACAAGATTGATTGGATAGAATATTGTATATGCACAGACCTGGGAGAAGATGTGAATGGCGTCAGTGGCTAGTGCGATGAGGCTGTACACTGGTCTTCAAGGGTTGCACGACTATATGGAAGCACAACAAGCGATGGCTTGCCATCACCAATTGACAAGAATATCCTCCGACATCATCTGGCGCCCATTTGACGTTCTGTATACGCCCAGAACTCATGTTTTTTGTGAAGAACAGCGGTGAAGTTCAAGGCTTGGCTGCCATGCACAGCCACTGTCAACGGCGCTTCCGTGCATCTCCCGCATTTAACGTCTACGTTCGTCAGCATGGCCATCAGCACCAGCCTCATGGCTTGTCAGCATGTACCGATTGTGTTTAGCTTTACCTGTGGGGTAGCTGCTTCCTGATATACCCACGAGGAAGTCGAGTTTCCGAACATTCAACTTCGCACACTCCGCTCTACTACGCCTACGGCTTCAACTGCACAACATCACGACAGCCTGCTTAGCTGAAGGCTAAGCAACGTGCCCGAAAGAGAGACTTACTCGAAACGCACTGGATTCCGACGATTAGCTCGTCATGACAAGGCCCCGAGACCTTCGTGCACCGAATAGGCCCACTGCTTCTCGCGAATCGTCAATCCACTACTGCGACACGACGAATAGTAGACCATATATACAGTCTGGGCATGCAAAATGTGGCTGAAAGGCATCCATCATCTTCCAACATGTTGCTCAGCAACAGATCGACCGGTCCGCCAAAGCCCTAGGGTGCTAGCACGCGACCTAGGCCCATACCACCGTATCACCGTATCATTCGGGCCTGATAGGGTGAACGATCCTGAGGCGCAACAAAAGTTCCTATGGAGATCCATTATCGTTAGGCCGGAAGTGTGCCCAGTCTGAAAAGATGATAAGGCTGATGTCTTGGTGCCCTTGAGAGTGGAGACTCTCACACTTTAACCCTACCTTCACAGCATCTTTCAGCTGGCTACTCTTTCGGGATCCATTTACCTGGAGGGTATCACTCACTCATGATAGTGTGGCTTCGGCCGATGGACTGAATGTGGACATCCACTTAGGCCAGCAATTGAACTTATGGTCTTGGAGCTGCGTTACTGGCTCTGGTTCGTATGTCATATCTGACTATGTCTCGGGAATCCTTTCTTGATACTTCAGTTACCACTATATAACAGTTTCGAGTTCTTGGGATGTTCAACAAGGACATCATCTCCATCACCCAACCATCTTCAGAAAACCTGTTTCCATTCTTTGGAATACCTCGCATTTCGCAGCATTGGGTCATTCGAACACTTCGAATCACTGCATAATTCAAGAATTCAAGTGCTCATCTTGGATCAGGAACCGGACGCACTCTAGGACCGTGAAGAACGATTGGAGTTCGGATCTCAACACTACATACACTATAGCTTCTAGGCAAAAAGGAACGCCATTCACGTTTTCAGCTTCACCAACCAAATCAGCTCTGCCGAAAGACCTGTGCGGCCGATTTTATATGTCAACATACTCGTCATCATCCGTCAACACCGAGTTCAGCGAATTCAGCAACCCACCAGCACAAAGATACCACGTCCCGAATTCAACCACAATGTCTGGAAGGATTTCGTCAGTAAGTTGTGAAACTTTCGATGTCACCCTAGAAGAGTTTGTAGCTGATGAGTTTCAGGCCGAGAAGGAACAGTACATCTACGCGCTCCGAACTCATCAAGTCAACACATTAGTAGAACTTCGACGTATTGAGAAGGCGTTTGCTGTGCTGGGTACTCCCGATGTTAGCGAGCCTATGACAGCAGCCTGTAAATATACATGACATCGAAAAGCACGTGGTTGGACACTAATGCGGTGCCT